GGGGGGGGGAGAGAGAGAAGGAGAGGGTGTAAATGTGAGAGAGAGTTGAAGAGAGCGAGGGAATGCCAACACGGCGGGTATTAATATCAATAAAAAAGAGCAAATGCACAGCACCAGTGGCGGCTGTGAAGAGGCGACAGTATGTGGTGATGGTAAGAAGATGGTGAGGGAGTGATTCGCGGCGAAGAGACTGTCTGAGGAAGAGATCGAGTTGACGGTCTTCTTCAGACAGCAGCGCCGGAGCAGCGCTTATAAGGAGTGCCGGCAATAAGACAGTAAGTAGTAATAAAATGGTAGTGATAAGAGCAAGTATGAAAGAAAATAAAAGGACAGTGTCAAGTAAAAGTGAATATTAGAATATGGCTGGAGATATAAAGGGGAAGAGGAGGAAAGAGAAGGAAAGAAAAAGCAGCAGGACGAAGTAAGTAGTTGGAGGGGGCCACTGGAGGCTCTTATGTGTGTGTCGTGTCTAAGGCAATCTGGGCGAAGTGGTGGTTGGAGGAAAAGGCGATGTGGCTGCGTTTTAAGTACCAGACGCAGACTACATTGCACACTCAGAGCCGAATATTAGCAGAACACACACCAACTCATTAATCGTATTAAGCACAGCACAGGTTAAAGTAAGCCGCGGCCGGCCAGTTGGCAACGCATATGAGTGTACACACATATACAGACAACCTAGAGCCCAGCCCAGGAGAGACAAAGATAGACGGGCGGCGCTAGAGCGTCTGGTGTATCTTGGCCGCAAGTATAACATGGAAGTAGACGCGGGTACAGCGGGCAAGGAGCAAGTAGCGGGTACGGGCGCCAGTACGAGTACATGTGTGTCGAGGTACAGTACTTGAGGACCTGCTAGACCCGGTGGTATTTGGCATCTTATTCAGTGTGGGAGGAGAACTTGAATGGATCACCTTCAGCCACAAGACCCAAGACGAGAGATGCGTCGACAGGGGGGGCCAGCGATGGGCGATGGGATGGGGACAATGCAAAGTACCAAGACGAGGTACGGAGTACGCAGCTCGCATCAGAGTTCGGTGGAGATACCAGACCCCCTTCAACCTTTTGCTGTACAGTGCCGCCAGCGCTCAATCCCCCCTGTGCTGCGCTGTGTGAGTGCGCCAGAACAGCGCATGTGGCCCGCTGGGGGAAATGACGTCTCGCATTGGATCCAATGCCCAAGGCTCTCTCTCCTGGCCGCTGATCGCTTTGGACCCGGCACTAGCACCTGAACGTACCGATGGATACAATGGGATCGTCAGCATCTGGTCCCTTTTCGCAGACCAGAACCAGACCCCGGTTTTTCCATTGAGGACATTAAGTCGCTTCCGATGCGATGCCAAAAGGCCTCAGCGATGGACCCCGATATGGCGCATACGAGGGCTACGGGTTACGGGCTCTACGAGTGCCAGACTCCGACCCCAGACCAAACACATCCACCCATATTGAACATCAGGTCTATGGATGCTGGAACCGTCAATGGATTCGCTCACCCTGGCTCACCGTGTGCGCCTGTCAGGTACCTACGGTATCACCGTATGGAGAGGATTGGGTGCATCGTGGATATTAGTCTTTTGGGCATGTTCCCTCGTCCACTTCTTCAACAGCCAAGGCGGATCCTGATGGCTGAGATCAAAAACCAATTTGTTTGCGACTTCGTGTCACCAGCAATTCCACAGCACTTGAGGAAAAGAAAGCCCAAGTCAAGTTTGCCCCCCCGAGACGCAGGACAGGACGCTGTGCTCATGCCGCGGAAAGGTGCCCTGCATATCGATGCTCTGCTGCTACTGCTAGCTAAACTCGAGTGCAACTCTTGGATCGGTGCTAGCAGGGGGCAGGCTTGGAATCTTGTTGATGATGGTGTTTGACCAGGAAGCTGGCCATCGTCGCTCGCTCGCTCGCTTGCTCGCACGGCATGGGGTTTGAAGAAACGCGGAGGGCCAGCACACCCACCTCTACTCTAAATCGTGGATGCTCAAATGCTCTGTAAGCCATTTCTGCGGTCGGGTGTTACTAGCTCGGTGAAGCTGCCAGACTGAAGGACTGACTGACGGCGATGCGGCTATGCGGCTCGCACCCGATGCTCGCTGGGCATCTTGCTAACTGATGGAACGTATCTAACCTACACCACGCCCAGCCAGTTGTGATACTGAAGCCCCCATCATGGATGCTCCGATTATCGCTCCCTCTAACTTTCTAGTACTCCCGAGTCTCTCTCCTCTACGTCAATGCTGTCATCGCAGCCGTGAAATGAAAAAGGCAGCCGCGCTAGCACCTCTGCTTGGTGGCTTGAGATGCCCAGGCAGAAGATTAAAGAACGCGGCTTGGCGTCGACGGAGGCACGGAGCCCTGTGCGACAGCCCCTCCTCCAAGGGTATCGGCTGTCGATGGTTGCCGATACGGGGTTGTGAAGGAATCACAAATGGTCGACATTAACACGGTACCGAGTGCGGTAGTGCCTGTAACCCGTCACTTATGCGCGCCGCGAGACAAACGGCGCATCGACGAACCACTTTCGGCCTTCGGTGTGGTGTTGGAGTTGCGAGGGAAACGTGGTTGACTCATACTGTGAACAACGTGAATCGGCAAAAGGCAGTCGTCGAGGGGGCTGCGCAATTGCCATGCATCGTCGTTTTGCCAGCAAGAAATCCTGAGCCTTTTTTTTTTTTTTGGTATTTACCCCTCTGTCAACTCTCGCTCCCTTCCAAAAACAACGCTTAAGCAGCTGTCGGTCAGTAATTCGTCTTTACCGAATCGACGAGACAAGCAACGCGCAGCACAGCCCGCCGCCAGCGGCTGTCGTGGCAGGTCGACAGGGGTCCCGGGTGCTGGTTGCTGCTCAGTCTGTCACTGTCGCCGTTTTTGAGGAAGCAAGGCAGCAGCAGTAATACAGTACCAGCATCAGCAGCAAGCAAATCGAATCCATCAGGTCGAATCCTAGTCCCGACCCGGCGCGCCAACTGGCCTCTGCGCGAGTAAAAGTGAGGCGGGCGGGCTTGATTAGCGTTGGGACCAGCCCAGCAGCAAATCAGATCCGACAACCCCGTCAGGACGTCGAGACGTGCTGCTCTGTCCCGGGGATGGGATGGCGTCGGCCAGGCTGTCCGATATCCCAGGCCAAGTCAAGGGGATGGGGGCCCCAAAGCAAGAAGCAGACACACACACACACAGGGAGAGAAGAGAGACCCTTGATGCGTGTGCAAGTGTGTAAGTGAGTGTGTGTGTGCGATTATGGGATGGCACACAACGCTCGCATAGACTAACCTTGCCTAGGCATGATACCGTACGGCACAAAAGCATATACGCACCGTCGACTTATACATACACACGCACACAGAAAACCTGCCTTGGGTACGAACTGGGTCGTCCAGCTCATGGAACGACAGTGCTGTTGCCACTCCGTACATGTATCCGTTAACAACCTGACGCACATACTTGGTACCTTGCGTCGGCATATGCCGTCTCTTGGGCCATCTGGCGGTGAGTTATCCGGCACATGTGTGTCTGTATCGCCATCAATTGCAGCATCGTGACTGGCCTTGGGCAACCCGCGAGTGTGAAACGGTGAATCGGCCTGGTGTTGCTCTTGTTCCTGGATCGGCAGCCAGTAAGGTAAGGGGGGGCCACTTGGACGAGATTCAACCTGCAACATACATACAAAGCCCACCACCCATCTGCTTCCTTGTGCTGTACATGCGCCAACGCGCACCCGCGCACACACGACGCTGTACTGTAACTCGTACTGTCCCATCCATACTGTATTGGACTCGCGCATGCAGAGAGGCGGGCTCCTGAGGGTGGTTTTGCTGGCGCGACGTGAGAGGGCCAAAGTTCGCAGGCGGCGAGCGAGCAGCCTGTACCTGGATCAAGTCTAGGGCCCCCCCGTTCGCCAATCGCGCCCAAAGTCTGATTCGACCATGACGATGTGAGGATCTGATGCAAGTGTTGGCATGCAAGGTTGTGGACTGACTGGTGTAACTGTTCCTTACTTCTTTCTACTGGTACCACCACCCACTGCTCCGTACCCCATACATGGACTTGTTTGTATACCGACCGATGGAGTACATGTACTTGATATAGCAGCATGAGATTCAACCTTGGGCGCCCGCCAAGAGAAATGCCGGTTTCCAGGGACGTGGCCCGATTCTTTTTTTTGCTCCCTTGCGTCTGGGAGAGCGGGACGAGAGGAACAACAGACTTGCCCTGCCCTGCCCGCCCGGATATTCAGCTGCTCACGCAACCATTCACGAAGACAGGCGCTAAGCCCAACGCTCTTAGCACCCCAGCCAAAAGACATCCCATCCATGCGTGCTCCGTGTACGGGACTCCATTGATGTGAAGCCCATCAGCGAAGCGATCGATACGTGCGAAGCATCCGACTAGCCCTTTGGATACAGATACAGCACAGTCTAACTCTACGGCGGCGGCAATGAGCCCTGTGAGACACGCTACACCGAATGGAGGCATTGCAGTGTTGTGTCTACTCGTGCTATGCCGTATCACGTACATATCTGGAGCAGCAGCTATCAGGCTCTAGGACAGAAGGGCTTCCCAAGTCCTGGGCGAGTCCTAGCCCTGCAATTGGGAAGCCCGGTAAACCGCGCAACCATTTGTGTCGGCAGTGCGATATATCGATTGCCGTTTTCGATGAACTGACGATAAACCTGCCCCAAAATCTCATTCAATATCAAACAGACGGACGGGCGCCTCTTGCTGCGGATACGCTGATGCTGGCGTGAAGCTCAATGGAAGGAATTGAGCTTACCCACCTACCCGAGTTAGTAGGTATCATTGAACGTATTACTCCGTACTCCGTATCGTACTTTGTTCGAGTACTGCGCTGAAAGAGCCGCATTGATCAAGAGTGCCCCATGCTCGCGAGATGCGCAATGCGCGAATCCCAGCAGTCCGTTGCCTTCTGGAAGATTATTCCCTCAAGCTTCTGCAACGCGCCGGAACGAACTGCCCGTTATTGCAATTACCCGCGATTAAATTAATGCCTCCTATTGCCAAAGTCGCTCACCGGCAGGCCGATTCTGCCTTGTCAGGATTCAGGGAGCAGGTCGACATGCCGATCCCGTCTCATCTGGCTGCCACAGCAAATGCCAACCTCGGGGTAGTATCATACACGCGAGTATCGTATGAAGCCACATAGACTACATGTTCTGTTTTACGGCAGCATCAATATGCTTTACGTACACGTATTTCCAACCGCGGGTGCGATAAGAGATCCATTGGCAACGGCAGAATCCTTCTCCTGCCTCTCGCCGCATCAACGCATCAGCCTCCCCGGAAAACGCATCGTCACAAGCTGAACCATTGACGGCATCTGTGGCCAAATAGTGTCTTCCTGTAGCTTCCTGTAGGGGCCTGGCCCAGGGTCGGGGGGCCGATCGCCAGCCAGCGCGGGGCTGACAGCGCCTTGGAACTTGGAGATTGCGTTGGTCCCGTGTCACTAACAGCCCGTGGAACACGTCTAGAAGCCTTCGAAAACTGGCCCGAGCGCGACCGGAGAGCCCTGTGATGCCCTCTAGCGCCAGAGATTACAAACTGACTAGGCGTTCTCAGACATGTTTAGGTACAGGCGGTTGCGTCAACGGGCCAGTAGCTTGATCGCTGCTAATCGCGGTGGCTTCATGTTTCGATGTTACATCAACTTGGCGTTTCTCATGGCCCCTAGGCCTAAATCCCATCCCATACCATCCCATCCCTTCAATGTTCCCCCACCAACTTCAGCCCCGGCGGGAGTCGTCTCCGAGGTCGCCGTGGTACGTGATAGGCGACGAGAGGCGAGAGATGGAGGAGGATTGATGATGATGATGAGATTTTGGATTTGGGAAATGCCGACTAGTAGCAGCTACTCTGCTTTGCCTAGCTTCAATGGATGTTCTCGGCTTGCTTCAGCACAGTGCGTGTAGCACTTTACATGTAGAGGTTGTCATGTTGTCTGTCATGTGAAAATTGGCCAAAAGCTTCAGCCTAAGGTGTGGCCAATTCTGCTTTCTCCGTGGATGACAGTCTGGGTTCTGTTAGAGTTGAATTAGGCTGTGACTCAGATTGCCGTCTGCCCGTCAACTCGATGCGTACTATTCCAACGCAATTGCTTGCATTGGCTGGACAAGTTCTCAAAGCAAACCACGTGGACCGTGGCAAAAGCAAAAAGACCAAAGAGCAACGCTGTCTTGGTATATGCACATATGTTGCAAGCATCGCTCCGCAAGCCCGCTTCTGGCGCTCTACTTTGTTTTCCAATGGCTCCATCGCTAATAACGGGTCCCTCCTCCGTCATTTCTGTGGCGGATGTGCTGGAAAGTCGAAATCCAGCTCGACGATGATGCAGGGGTGCAGCCCATAAGTTGGCTGCCAGCGAAGTCAAATGACCCTTGGCCAGAACGGTTTAGCCCGGCCACAAAGTACAGCCACTCACTTCTGGGGGGAGTAAACTGGCAATCTGGGGAAGCCCGGATGTCATGGAGTGGATAATCGGCGCCGTTTCGCTGAGCGCATCTCGCCGACGTCCTAACGTTTGCTGTTGGCTGGAGGGGGGATGGGATGGACAGCAAGCATTCAAATGGATCTCTTATCGGCCGCAGGCCTCGGTTCAATTTGATAGTAGATAGCTTTGTAACGGCGCGGAATTGCACAGCGGAATGAGTGGCGAGCGGATGTCGACGGCTTGACGCAGAGCTGAAAGTTGCTTTCACGTCAGTAGAGAGCGTCGAGGCTAACGCATGCCAAAGCACATGACCATACGGGTGATTGGCCGCAGAGTGACAGGATGAAACGACAAATATCAATGAGGCATTGTTTTTACCAATTCTCACATTTCTTTATCTTTCGAGGCGAAACCGTGCCATTCGTAATCAGGAGCGGAGGCGGAGACGGAGAGGAAGGCGAAACACTCAATCTCGTCGCCGTGAAGTGATGCTCCGTCAATCCGGCTGGCGATAAGATGGTGGGATGGGATGATTTGGTGATGATAGCCGGCAAAAGCCCGGCAGAACCGCGACAATGACACAGTGACCTCAACTTGATGACAATTCAAGCTGGACAGCGGCAGTAGCAGAAATCCAAACATTGCAAATTGATGCTGTGCCCAATCCGTGGCAAGGCTATGGCATGATGCGCCGTCTACAGCTATCGCTTTTGGCTGCCTTGCCGCTGTGCAGGGCCAAATCTCGGGCCTTTAGCATCCACGAGGACCTACTGGCCTATCCGCAGGTGCGCCTCCATATGTGTACTTGAACCGGCGTAAGCGCAATGACGGATAGCTGATTGGGAAGCAGTTCGAGGTCGTCTTCTCCGACCACTTCATCTCGGAACAGGATGCGCAATCGCTACTCGAATACAACATTGAGCATCCGACGTACTCGGCCGAGTTCTCGCAGCCCACAATCAGCGATGCCAGCGGCAGCCAAGGCCATCAAGATGGGCGATATCGTGGCGGCTTGCCTCTCACATACGAGGTCATGAACATGCCGCCGCATCGCTACCTCTGCGCCATTCCCATCATCGAACCCCCGTCCCCCGAGAACCAAACCGCGACCGAGCTGGCCAAGGCAGAGGAGGAACGTGAACTTGATCGAGCGGCGATTAGCGGCTGGAACCTTCTCAGCCAGCTCGAAGACACGTGCCTCTACTTCATGTCCGGATGGTGGAGCTATAGGTTCTGCAACAATCGCGAGATTGTGCAGTTCCACGCTCTCCCTTCGACTCCCATGGGGAAGCCTCCCCAGCGCGACCCCCATGCGGCTCAGTACATCTTGGGTCAGGCTTCTCTCCCCGATGGCTCCGACATGGATGCGGAATCTAGCTCCAGTGAAACCAAGTCGCCGGCCGAGCTACAAGTTAAAGGCGATCAACGATATCTGGTGCAGAAACTCGAAGGAGGAACTATATGCGATCTGACAGGGAGACCGCGCACAATTGAGGTGCAGTACCATTGTGTTCCAGGGATGCAAAACGACAAGATTGGGTGGATCAAGGAGGTCACGATATGCGCCTATGTCATGGTGGTCAACACTCCACGGCTATGCGGCGATGTTGCCTTTTTGCCTCCTGAGGAGAGCAAGGCGGATGCCATTACGTGCCAGCTTATTACCGACGATGAGAAACAGGCTCCTCCGCTTCTTGATCAGCAAGCATCCAAGTATTTGCAGGAGGATGAACTGATAGAGCAAGAAGAGGAATTGCTAGCGACTGATGGCGGCCAACTTAAAGTTGGCGGCGTGCTCGTTGGCGGACGCAAGTCCCTCTCTGCTGGCGATCAGGATGGCCAGCCTCCAATGGTACTGGCGCCCCCTCGAAACTACATCAACACTCAGCAAGCCGCGGAGCAGCTCATCGAGGTGCTCATCAAGGCTGCCAGCAAGCAGGACGGCGGCCAAGTCGACCGGCTTAGCAAGGAGAAACTCGAGAAGCTGAATCTCAGTCCCGACATGGTCGATCAGTGGGAGCAGGAGATGATGGAGCGAGCAGGTGATAAGGGGTGGCAGCTGGAGATTGTGGGCGACGTCGACGATGCGCAGAGACATCTCCGAGGATGGATGCATGAGGATGAAGAGGGTGACGACGGGAGCTTGGCGGACGCGGCCAAGGGAGCCAAAGAAAAGGGCAATGGCAAGACCGAGACCACCAAGGCGGCGGAGAAGAAGAAGAAGAAGAGCGGCGGGAAGAAGGATGACGAAGGGAGCGAAGAGCAGTTCTTCAAGGAGGAGCTATAGGCGGCTTCTGAGAGGATGAGAAAAGCGCGAGAGACGGCAACCATCATTGTTATGGTTGTTGTTATGGATGTTGTTCGTCTGGCGTTACATTGGTTCTTTTTGCAGCATCATCATTGATGCTGAGCGCAGCATTGCATTATGACAAAGCGTAGGTATATAGCCATTCATCAATATGAGCACATGGTCTTGTCTTTAATGTACCTACTGAGGATGTTTTGCTTTTCTCTTTGACAGAATGACGAGACGATTTCTACTATTACTGCTCCATGTCTGGAGTATGATTGGCATTTGGGGTTTACGGAATAAAGAACAAACGCCAGTCGTTTTTTCGCCATGACTTTGACGTCTGCAAGGGAACGGGAAGAGAAGGGGCTCCCTAGTTTACCAAAGGGAGAAACGAGGCGCAAAAAGCAAAGAGCAAAAAAGCTCCGTCCTCAAAACTGTTAGACATTCACCGTTTCTCGGCTGGAGATCAAATTGGGTCCGTCTCCACGTGTCGTTGTGTGTTGGCGCGCGCGTTGTGCGATTTGCTGTACATGCTCGCACAAAATCCGGGCACGCGGGAATCGTGTTATAGTAGTTACAAGAACCGTGTTAGTTAGTAGTTACATACAGCAACGCGCTGCAGATTGTCAGAAATCTTCTGCAGAGGTTTGCTTTTTTTCTTTTTCTTTTTCTTTGTTCCCGCTTCAGCTGGCGACTAGGGTGCCCAATTGTGGATTTTTGATGCGTTGGTTAGGAATGATGCATCCGTGCGTTCTTTGTGTATGAAGTGAAAAATGGACAGCTGTTCTGTTTGGAAGAATTGCTGCTATATTTGTGCGTTTACCGCTTTTAGCGACAAGGATTGCTTCACCGGCTTGGGGAGGCGGTGACGAGGGGAGTGGTGGCATTGCTGATGGATTGGCTCATGGTGGTGATATTATGAGCGGATGCTGCGATTGTGGTTTGCTTGCTTGGAGCGGTGTCTTAAATGTTCAATTGCTTCTGTTGAGTACGGGGTAAGGTTGTGTGATTTCAACAATTCGAGAGGGTCCATCAAGACTATTCCTCTCGTCTCGTCATAATTTTTTTTTTTTTCGTCTTCTTGCAGACGGGACGCAAGAACAGGGGGATGCTGGGAGGGGAATGATCGGTGTGACTTGCTTTGCTTGCTTGCTTACGGTTCCTGTGGCCTTGTCTCCAGTTTAGAGAAAATCGTCAATGCCGAGCTTGCAAGGTTTCTTAGGTATGCAAAGATGTGCAAGCCGGTACGGGATAGTCATAGTGTTGATGAGTTGTCGAGGCGGCTACTGCTGATGCTATGTGGGAATTGGCGCCACTACGAGTACAGTTGAGATATGCTGTTGATCTAAGACTCGCTTGACCGTTTGTTTGACGATGCGGTCGGTCGGTATGTAGCAGTGCCCGACTTGTACAGTAGTTACATATATCGTACATACATGAACCGGGAGAAAGCATGGGTTGGCAAGCAAGCGACATCACATCATCGCGACATGCCTAGGCGAGAGAGGGAAAAGCCATCATGAGAGCCAGCGATGCAGCGATGGAGATGGAGATGCAAGACCCCCCGGGGAGGCGAGTGACGAATCACTGCAGGCGACACGGTCGTCGCGCCACGATCCAGGCGTTGGCGTTGGGCGTTTGCGCTTTGCCGTGGATGGAGAAGATGCGGAACCGCAGGGCCGGCGTCCAGGGGGGGTTGAGAGGAGGAGGAGACAAGAATATGAACCGGAACCCCGCGGGCTCGGGAAGTCTAGTGATTTACGGTGCTGTGGATGAAAGGGGACGGATGGACGGATTGAGGATCGAGGGATGGTGATTGATTGGCGAGGCTGTGAGTCGATAGTGTCTAGAGGGAGAGAAGTTGTATTATACTCACCGTAGCCTCTTTTTAAGTGAGGCTAATAAGATTAGAGAGTAGAAGAGAAGAATTGAGAAAGAAAAACGAAAGAAAAAAAAAAGAGCGCGTTGGACCCGAAAGGGCGGCCTTGCAGGATGCATGCAGAAGAGGCACCCCACTGCATTGGCGCATGTTTCCTTTTTCTGACGGGCGCCGGGCGGTGTTTGGAGCATTTGGATATTTCAAGGGGGGTGTAGCGCATGAATCTGGCGGTTTGGATGGATGGATGGATAGGCGGTGGGTGGATGGTGGTGGATGTGCCATTTGACGGATTGTGTGCAGAGATGGAGAGCTACAATGGAGTCTTGCGAGCTGGGCTGAGAGATGAGCTGCAGCCTCTCTATATTATTCTGTTCGTCTCTGCTGTCGTCAATGGCGGTGGAAAGGGGGGCTGGGAGAAGCTTGGGGCTGAAAATGTGACGAGATGTGTCGGATAAAGACAGGAAGGACGACTAGCAAGCATAAAGAGAGGTGGCGGGAGGGTCCAGTTTGGGTTATGCAATGGACTGCAAGAGGCGCATGCTCGGAGCAAGTAAGCAGCATGAACCAGCAGATGCCAATGGCTATTGATGTGTTCTTTTTTTCCCACAAACAAATAGTAATTGGTAGCCCCGTACTGTATAGATCCATTCGATGGATGTCATTGATGCCTTACACACCTGATGGATCGTCATAGGCTCAAACAAGACTCAACCTTCAAATCACCTCCATCGCCTCTCCTGGGCCACACAAACACGCTAACATCCCCCCAAAATGCACGGGCCGCACGCCAGGCACAGGCACTAGCGCCTCCCCCTGTCAGACCTGCAAGCCACTCACCTCAACTGGCCGCTACTCTTGGCTACATACAACTCACTGGCAATTTATGGACGGAGTAGCCGCACTGCTAGTGAATTGGAGGGACCCTCCAGAACTGCTTCGCTGCCATTTTAGCTCGATGCTTGTCCATCTTCAAATCTCCAAACCTCCATCCCTTATTTCCTTCTGCCCTCCTTCTCACGCCAGCGGATCCCCCGTGGACGGCGATGGCCCTGGATGTCATGTCCATTGCAGTGAATTAATTGATTGCATTTGCCCTCGTCTTTGACTCTTAGCCTGATTTGTCCGCATCGCATCTTCTTACCTACATACGCATCAATTCCGATACCGATACCGATCTATTATCTGTCACTTCTCTCTCACTCTCTCTCGTCCTGTGGTCGCATCACCCATCCATCATTCCTCAGCCAGACACTACATCCATCCACCTTCATTCCCGTCCTTCAACTGCATTCCTCTGTCCTTCAATTGCTGCAGGCACGACCATTTGTTGATCTCTGCTGATTTATCGCATCATTATTTATTCTTCTTCTTTTTTTTCTTCCCTGTGCGCCTTGCTGGGCATAATACGAACAAGCCTTAAGCGAGTTTCCAGGACGACAGCGATTCCCACACCCCCCCTTGCCTTGCCATTTCAACCTGCTGCCGCCCACGACCCTCTATTTACGTCTCTCTCTCTCTCTCTGTTTTTCTATCCTACAGCACAAAGGCACCTGCCTCGCTGCTTGTGCACACATACGTCAAGCCTTCTAGCCTGGAGCTGGACTCGATCCCTGTGCGCCGACGCCTTCCTGCACCTTGCACATCGCGACATCGCGACATCGACACCCCCTTGGACTGTGCCCGGAGCGACATGCTTCACCACGACGCTTCCTCGCGTGCCTAATTCCAGTCTCTACGCGTCTTCGCAGCCAAGCTCGTCCGCCATTCATTCACCTCGTAGCGTCGACAGCATCGGCTAAGCACTAAACCCTGCGGCAGAGTAACTTGACTTTCGATGCGGGCATCAGCGCAAACCTTGTGCCACTCCCGCGCCTGATATCAATTATACTACCTTACCGTCGCAATAGGCGTATATCAATCTATTGTCATCCCTAATATCGTCTTTTCCATTGTCACCGTCCGCCAGCAGTCTGGTGTACGCTGCTTTGCGCCATGGACTACTCTAATCCACGGGCCTTCCAAAAGGCTCCATCATCTCAATACACTCGCGCTTCTTCCCGGGCTTCGAATAGATCGGCCACACACGCCCGAATGGCGTCTCAAGGCGTCAGGAGCCCGGTTCCCCGAACGGCACCCTCACCTCAACTCCCTTCCGACCATCCGCCGCATCGATATCATCACAGCCCTTGCCCACCTGGTTTGTCACCGCGAGCCACTCCCACTCCCACTCTGAGGCACCAAACGCCTCAGCTGTCACGAGACGGCAGCATCGAATCTCCCCGCAGCCGTGCGGTCTCAACATTTCTACAGGAGAAACTGCAGCGAGAACGCAGGGCCGAGAGCGACAAGTTCAGCCAGAGCTCAATGTCGCGAGTCAACGAGGACCTTGGCGCGTCGGTTGAGCTCGGCCGTGTCAGTTCTCCAAGGAGGAGATCAGTGGCAGCATCATCCGATGGATCGCGCCCCAAGTCCAGCAATGGCGGTGGTATCGAACTCGCCAAGAAACCTGGGCTGGGCGTCAAGGACATGGAACACGTACGTCATTTATGAGATGAGACACTCCCAAGCAGCATCCCTGTTTCCGTCTCTCTCACTTTCGCTCGCTCTCTTTTGCTAACTTTTATATAGGTCATCTCTAGCCTCCACAAGCAAAACTTCGACCTCAAGCTGGAACTCTATCACCGCCGAGAGAAGCAGTCATTGCTGGAAACGAGCATCGAGTCTCTAGAAAGAGACAAGCGCCAAACCGAGGAGATGAACGAAACCCTACTCGACGAGCTTGAAAAACGCGACAAGGCTGTTGAAGAGGCCGTTGCCATGATTGTCTTGCTCGAGGCAAAGGTCGATCAGCTCGTCAAAGAGCGCAACATGGTTCTACAAGTCGAGCAGGAGGGATTCTTCTGCCGCCAAGACATGGACCAAAAGTATCTCCGGCCATCCCTCGAGCTTCCAATCGACGAAGCCGGCAGGAGTGGCGACAACTTCAAGGCCATTAACCGCGTACCCAGCTTCTTATCCGAGAAGAGCGAAAACACCGAAAACCTGCGCAACGTCTATCTCGGAGTGAGAGGAAGTACGCTCAGCCTGGCACGCGTAACTGAAGGGGCGGATGCGGATAACGGCCCATCCAACGTCCCAGGTAGCCCAACCTTGAGCGTTCTCAGTGAGAGTTCCTTTGCCAGTGTTTACGGCAAAAAGAGCCAGGACAGCATCTTCCCTCGGCCCGTAGACCAGCCCCTTAGCCTGGATGGCATCGATACTGAATCGCAGACCTTGTCTCCTAGCCGCCGAAACACTTCGAGGAAAATATCCCCTTCTGGTTTCCCGCCCCGAGCAGCCACTGCCAATCACTTTCTCGGTGGACGCCGCTCCTCATCTGGCACCCGCCATTCCATCTCGGGCGCTTCTGTGGACCGGGTTTCCCCCTTGCAGCAAATTGAGAAACTGGGTAGGTCCCAGAGCGTGCTACAAGAGGGTTTCCGTCCCGCGCCCAGTCAGGCCGGAGACCGACGTCGCTCTCAGCCTCCTACACTGAGGAAAGTAATGACGGACGGCCCTGGCACCATGCGCCTTCACGATCCAAACTTCCCTCCCACTCCAGACACGATTTCAACCTCCACACTGCACCGAATGCGCAATTCCAACGACTCCCTTGCTAGACAAGACAGTCGGAACGATAGATCTTCAGTGACGTACAGCGATCAAGATAACCAGTCACTGCGAGTCTCATTCCGAGGAAAGCCCAGCCTTCTGCGTGATCAAGAAAAAGCCATCGAAGGTGAAAAGGTAAAGGCTCGTGGTACTAGTGCTCCTATGCAGCGCCATCAGCGAGCCGCCAGCGACACTGCGTCGTTCCAAAAGAAAGAGAACCGATGGGACAGCACCGACTCTGATGAACACTCCGAGGTCCACTCTCTTCGGTCAAGCCTTGATATTTGGATGCGAGAGAGCACCAAACCAGATCTCTTTGGCATTCCCAACACCAAAAAGTCGCAAGGGATTGACAACGATGCGGACTATATCAACGAGCTCTTCTCTTTGCGTCAGTCCCTCGCTACCAATACCGCACCGCCCCCACCGGATAGGCGGTCGAGCCTTCACGCTCGAACGTCCTCAACAACTTCATCCGTCCGAAACTCGCCTAGGACACTCACTCTTACCAGTACACCAGAGCAGCCGGAGCTTTCGAGCCACTCAAGACGGCAGAGCGATGGTGCAAAAATGAGAGATGAAATCCACACACCTGCCCAGTCACCGACTATCCCGCAGCACCCGCAAAGCGAGAAAAGGGGCCAATATCCCCCAATTACCGGCCCGCGTACTGCTCTCAATAGACTGTTCCGTCGCTCTTTGGTTCCCAGCTCACCATCCAGCACTCCAGCGAGCGCCACAGATGCCACCTTTGCTGAGGCCTACAAGACCAATCAGGGCGTCAGTCTGCAGCCTTGGCTCAACAGAGAAGCCGATTTCGACGACCGGGCAGGATCAACGCCGCCGCCCATCATGCTCAAGCCCCGGCAGATGCGAAGAAGCACTGTGGGAGCCGAAGCAGCCCCGACATTTTTACCCTCGTCGACTAGTGCTCCGGTGCGCCTTTCCGACCTGGTTGTCAATGGCCGTAATTCACCAAACATGAAGAAGCAGGCGACCGAACAAGCCACGCCGGCGCCATCGGTAATTGGAACCAGGAGAAAATGGCTACCTGGATTTTCCAGGGCTGGTAGTAGCCTGAGAAACAGAGCCAACTAGAGACTGCGCTCTGTGACATGAATCAGGGGCCGCATGTGGACAACAGCATAACTGCAATCACAATTCTTTTCCTTTGTCAATGTGTCAACATACGCTATACCAGCATTTTAATAGACGAGAGCATTCACAAGTGACTCTGGTCTTTCACCTCGACGGTTTTCTCTTTCTTTCGTCTTTTTCTTTGTGTTTTACGAGCTCAGCGAGCGTATTGGCGGAGGCCATGATCAACTTTTTTTCTTCTTCTTGCTTTATTGCTTTCTTACCTTCTTTCTTGTCCACATTGCATTGCGCGAGGCGTCTGAAGTTGCGTGTACATATGTGTATTCTATTACGGTCACAAAACGAGGAACAAAAGGGGCCCCGCAGGCACCAGTTATGATTTACTTTAACGGATGAATGAGACTCAATCTAAGACATTTTCATTTTTAATCGCTTGATCCATCTTCGTGAGACATGTTGTTGGTTGTAGTATGTAAAGTGAATTGATTCAGTAGGTCTATGTACAGTGGCAATGAAGGCGAAATCTCCTCTACTTTTTTGCAACCTTTCCATTCTAGGCATCCCGTCCATCGCCGTCTATTCAGGTTTTGTGTTTGGTGTAGTGAGGGTAATGACAAGCTTGGCTTGAAGTAAAGAACGTATGACAAGCTCTGCTTGCGGTAGGCAAAAGTGATGACAAGCTCGGCTTGTAGTAAAGAATGGATGACAAGCTCTACTTGAATTAAAAGAAAGTAATGGCAGGCTGTACTTGAATTGAAGAACGTATGGCAAGCTCTACTTGCGCTGTGAGAAGGTAGGGGCAAGCTCCGCTTGCATTAAAGAATGTGTACAAGCTTTGCTTGAAGTAAAAGAAGGTAATGACAAGCTCGGCTTGTAGTAAAGAATGTGAACAAGCTCTGCTTTGAGTGAAAGAAGGTAATGAATGGCAAGCTAGGCATGCTTGGGGGGTAAAGCACGTATGACAAGCTCTGCTTGAAGTAAAAGAAAGTAAGAGTAGGCTGTGCTTGGAGTAAAAGAGAGTATTGTAAAGCCGGCTTTTGAAGTGACAGACAGCAAGACAGCAGCGACAGCTCGTTTGTAAAAAAAAAAAGAGAGTAATAACACAGAGTGTGTAAAGAAAAAGAGAGTAATAGCAAGCTCGGCCAGCTTGAAGTAAAAGAGAGTCTTAAGTAAGTCGTTTTAAAGTGAAAGAAAGTATGAACACATTGTTTTGTTCGAAGCGAAAAAAAAGGATTGAACAAGCAAAGTAGAAAATGAGCAATCATGCCAATTCCATCTTGGCCATGCCGCCGCCGCTGCTCTTCTCTCCAGATTTAAATAAAATCCCAAGAGCCCTGGACACGACCAGCATCAAGGCTGCCAGTGAGGTCAGAGAACGCGCGAGGCGACAGATCGACGTCGCCGAAAGCGCAGCCGGCGCAGCGGTCGACGACTTGGACGTTGACGGTGGCGCCGTTGAAGTTTACGCTGATGGAGCGGCCGCAGACGCTCTGGGAGTCGAAGAGGGCGGCGGAGACGGCGGCGACGAGCTCTTGGTCGTTGTTGACGGAGCCGCAGGCGCCGAGGCCGGTGTTGTAGAAGGTGATGTCGCCGAAGTTTTGGCGGGGGGCGAGGGCGGTTGAGGATGAGGATGAGGTTGGGAGGGCGGAGGTAAGGATGGGGAGGAGGGGGAGGAGGATGGTTGTGAAGGAGACCATTTTGGAGGTTGTGAGGTTTGTGAGAACGAGAGTGAGAGTGGGAAGTTGGTGTTGATGGTGAGATGGGATTTGAGGTTGAAGGAGGATGTAAGTGAGGTTTTATATTTCTACGAGAATGAACATGCTTGTATTCACGGGTTTGACATTCTGGAACTGTTCGTTTCATCATCTTGAACGCGGCTTATGGTTCCCGAAGCGTCATATTCTCAATATGAGGCCATGAAACTCACTCGGGGGAGTTTGTCATAGCACTCTGTGAGAGGCATTCCCCCAGAATACAATTTTTTTCTTCTGGAATCTTTTGCTGCAACAAATATGTGCTTCAGGTGAGGACTGATGTTTGGACTTTTGTCCGTATAGAGGCTGTAAGTGAGATTTTACCCGTGCACTGACACTCTACGAACGTATGTGAAGCATGTTGGAAACAAGATGGGCACCGTGCTCTTGTTTTATATAAGCGGATGATCGTCATGAAATAACCTTAAGCAGTGAGCGGTAAACATGATGGACCTGAAACATGAAATGATTCGGGAAGAAAATGTCCATGGGCTGATACTTGTGTCTGTGCGGCACAAGGCAAGCCGTTATGAGATGAACCGTTAGGGCGACACATGACCAAACCTAATGGTAGTAACGACTACTGTATATAAGATCCATCATGGAGGTGAATACACTTAGACTCTGTAATACGTGGCTCATCCCATTGCTGGTGAGGTATCTGTACAAAGACCGACTCCAAGTTGTGGTTGATGTCGAGATACTGCACAGTCAAGTCCAGGTTCAGCTAACATGGAGATTTATCTGAATTGGGTGTAGAGCACAGTGCGCCTTTGTGAGTGAAAAGTCTCCTCTATAGCAACCAGAAGTGGGCTGATCTATGGAGTAAAATTGTGCCTAAATCAGCAAATCCAGGTTACAGCCAACTGTCCTATTCTAGCTCCTCGACTTGAACAAGACAACATGCACAGCCCAATCTCATAACTAAATCCAAAATTGGTTTCCTCATTCGCAAACCCAAGTATCATAATTTTCGGTGCGGATCTCGTTCAAGTGGCCATAGGCGCAGACAAACGTGCGCTCAATTCATCAATTTGAACCAGCGAAAACGGCCCAGGATCATTTTCCATTGTCACCCAAAACACCCAAATCCGAGATATGAACCCTCGAGTAAGTTGAAATAGTTCCAAAACAAACATGCGCATATTCTTACAGTCTACAGAAATTCATGGCGCCAATCGCGGCATTCACCATGGCAAGCATATTATTTGTGTACGCCCAACCAGCCTTGAGTCGTTCGAAAAACTTTTGATTCAACTAACCGGCATATTAGATATACGAGATCATCCATAAGGACTGCCAGAAGAGAATCAGGTCGGAGATAACATACACAGTATCCAATAACATGTAGGATAAAGAGCCATAACTTCAGAGTGTTATGGCTATGGTGGGAAAGTCGAAACATGAGTCATTTGCCTACGTTTGTTTACAGGCTCTCTTGCTGCCTTAGGCACACCTAAATTTAGGTCAGCCAATTTCTACTACCAGTTGTTATAGGGGGACTTTCCCATAACAATGGTGCACTGTGCTCTATACCCACATGCTTAACCTGGACAAAATTTATATCAAGAATGCTGATGCTGAACCTGGACTTGGCTGTGTACTATAAGTCTTTACTTAACGATTTGTCAAATAATTGAAGATCAAACAAGTCGCATTGAACTGAATAAACTCTACAACTGGCGCTGCGTTATAACGAGACAAACATTGTCGCACACATGTTGGGCGGGCTCACGCAGTCGTTTCTGCTAGTTCCCGAGAAGTGGAAGCCGTGCCGCCCATTTCTCAGCAGATTCAATTTCCGTTGTAATAATGCCGTTGGGATCTTGATTCCTGCCTACCGATGAGCTGGGATAGAGGAGAAGACTTGGAGAAACTTACAAACTGTCAATGATGCCAACGATCTTGGCCATTTCGCGCTTGATGTCTTTCCGTGTCTCGACCAGACTGTGCACATCGAGGGGTATGTGATTGTCACATTTGCTCTCTCTGAAAGCAAGTGGGTTCCCCATGGCGGTCTGAAGCAAGACCAAGTGCCTCTTGTAGAGCATGTATGAGTCGAGGAGATCGTGAGTGTACTGTTCAATGTGAGAGAAGGTGGGCACGTAGATCTTGGACTCGGCTGCCCACTTCACGAAGCTCTGGTTCTGGGTGTAGGGCGTCAGCACAGCCCATGTTCTCTCTGGACATGTTGCCACTCGCGCTGGGAATCCGGATGCTGCCCGGAGTAGCGACTCCAACGTCCACTCCTCCCCATCGGGCTTGATCTGGGCGCCACCTGACCAATTGACCGTGATAGTTGTCTCGGTATCTCGCAGCGCTGCCTCGAGTGCGGATGACGCGAGCCCTTCGCTTAGCTTGAACTCGCTGGCTGGGCCGTTCATGACGCCTTTCAGCCTGTTGCCCAGCGGATACGTGTAAGTGACTCATCGCGAAGCGGACAGGATACACGATTTTTTCTTACTCACGCTGCCTCAATATTGGCCTTTTTGGTTGCATCTGGGGCCTTGATCGAGATGATGCCGTGCAAATCTCCCCCTTCGACGAATCCTTCAACAGGTCTGTCAATGCATATACATATATAATTAAAAGAGTGAGAGTTACCGGATATATAGCAGTCACCAAAAGTCTGGAAAAATGTCTCGTTCGTCATCTTCATCTTTCTATCAAGTCCTGAACTGTCAAGTTGTTAGAAAAGAAGCATGATCGCTATCGAAGTCACCATGAGAGTCTCATGAAAGGCGGATATGAAAGACCTACAATTCTGGGTTCTTGTTTATTGTCGTAGTCTCTGTAAAGTTTTATGAATCGCATGGTGTAAGCGAAGTGGAACTTCATCGGGAAATGGACACTCAGCACTCACGATTGATCACTTTGACTGAGATGATTGCATTCAAGTCGCTATCGGCGAACTTGGCCTCGTCTACGCTGAGCGAGTTACCTGATATCCCGATGGTGCCCGATTTGATGGATGATGCTGCGCTGACGTTCATACCGCGCGCCACGTCGGAGATTCTCTCAACAAACCGCGAGCTGTAAGATACCACTTGGGACACGCTGGCTGACGGATCGGGCCGAGCCACGTGGGTTTGTATGCCCGACTCATGTATCTTGACGGCGCCGTCGAGGCACGGTAGTTGAAGAAAGGAGTTGTACCCCTGACCTAGGCGCATGGTGTCATTGTACGGAGCGAGTTGGATCGAATCCATGTTGGGTGATTTTTTTGTTTCCGACAAGGCAAGCAATGAGGAGATTAATTGAAAGGACAGAATGATGAGGTTAATCGTCTTTTTTTGGTAATTGTATATAGTGTGGGCCTTCATGGATCGTCGACTATTGTCAATAGTTTCCGCTTGGCGTCGGAGGCCGCGAAGCCAGAACGCAGGCAAGGCAGGCTAAAGAAGTGCTGCAGCCAAAGAACGCACTTCGTCAACACTATTCCTATCTACCTCTACTTGCATGCATTTTTAAGTGATATGTAATGCCGTTCCCTCGAGGCGCGCCAGAAGCACAATAAGGAAGCCATAGAAACTCTTGGAACTGTGTCCCGGGTTGTCTTGCGACTGAGAGACTTGTCCGGTCGCATCAACGCTTCGCCACCCCCATTGCCGCCCGCATTGCGACACACCTGAGTACTGAAATAAGACGCTTATCTGCTTTGCGCCGGTTATTGGCAGTTCTGCATAGCGCCACGGCGCGTTTCTGTGACTGATCCGTTGTCTATGTCGCTTTCACAGAGTGTCGTACTCTCACCAAGCTGAAGGGATAACAAGACATGCTCCAACTAAGAAGGGAGGACTGCCGAGTAATTAAAAGACATTAGCTGAAGACACTCTAGAATGGCCGAGGCTTGGGAAGCTGGTCGATTCAAAGCCATCGGGATCGCGGCAAGCGCCAGTATGCAAGCTGAAAAAAAAAAACTTCATCGAATAAGAGATGCTGGAGCTTCTAGAGACAGGATGTCGTGGACTGAACTATTGATTCAATACAGTCGCATTATTGACTTTGCAATATTGAGGTAAGTAATGTACAATGTGTATGTGGGGGATTCTGGCGTTTGTAAGTGATTCTCTCCTATGAAGCACACTGCATATCTTCAGATTATAAAGGGAGCAAGCAGACTGCATTTCAACTTCCTCCCACAGTTTCAAGGCGTTTTATTTTTCACTTAATTTCATCATACAGCGCTTATCGCAACATTATCCAAGATGAGTAACACCGGCACCTGGGCGAAAGAGTACTATGATGGCTCGCTGCTCTATCCCGATCACCGCACAGTTCTTGTTCATAAGTTAGTCAACCCTACTTTGGCTGAATCCTTCATTTTCTCCACGGAAGCATGGCACGCACAATGGAAAGGATATCTCAACCCGAAAGGGTCCTACGTACTCTTTGAAAAGGGTGATTTGAACCAGTTGGGATTTTCATGCTCTGATCCCAATTCCGATTTGTTTCTACCGCTCCAATTTCTGGTGGATTTGAGTAACAAGCAGTATGACTGGAACACCGGATATAAACCCAAAGACTCGAATAATAACGACTTGTACGGCATCGTGGGTAGAAATCAGCAAGGGAAACTCATGGATGCATCATCAACGCAGGCTTTGGACTCCGTTTCCAATTCACAGAAATTGAAAGAGGTTATCGACAGACAAATGTGCTACTGGCATACAGTAGATAGATACCGCGAACTCGTTTCGATCAGTTGACCCTAAAAATGGCCTGACTCTACTCATTAACCCTGTCGGGGCACAAAATGGCATCACAAATGGCCAAGTAGTGAATGCTTTTAAGCGTGTCACTACTCAAATGATGTTCAATACAACCTATATCTACGAGCCTGAGGCGGGAAAGACATTTGCTGACTATACATTGGTAAGCATCTCATAGTGCGTGCGAACCTCACGCACTCTAATATTCTGCTCTGCATGGTATACCGTCTCTAACAGAACCTCTCTTAGCTATGGACAAGCCCATTCTCTCTTTATGAGACCTGGATACGTACTGATGAAATCTTGTCAAATATTGAAGAAGATCGACCATTCCCTCAGGGATCTGTCTCTGTTGGGACTACACTAACAGAATGGGCCAAGGGCGTTTACAAAGTAGCCCAGAAAACTCCATCGGATCCCGTTGCTCAAATCGGATTAACTTACGAACAATTCCTTGCCGGGGTTAAACAAGGCGCCGGAACGCCTACTGCAATCAATGCCGACAAGATTGAAGAAGCCATAGGGAAGCGCAAAGAGGTAAAACCCCAGAAATCGGCAATGGGAGGCCTGTCTGCCACCGACGTAAGTTTTTCTTTCCCAACTTCATCGCCCCACCGGCATTCGTTCGGCTGTGATATGGCTGCTGTGTGCTTATATGAGTTTGCGAATGTGACGGAGAATTATCACTGACGTTGCTGTCATTTAACTACCCTTTTTGGCTGGAACGCCCCTGCGCCTACAGAATTATCTAAAGCCGAGGTACGTTTGCGTCTTTGCTTTTTTTCTCTGAATAGATAGACTGTTGGCTAAAATTCATCTCTAGTGGCTTCATCTGATTGCTTTTTCTTTCGGTGGGATAGGAGCGGGTAATAGTTATCATCACAGTCAGCTTTCGTTAAACTTCATATTCGGCACTGCTGAGTGCAATTCACTCATGTATAGGTACGTGATAATGCAATTAGAAAAGAAATTAGATACGAGCAGGCGAAAAGGGGCTGCCATGCTGTTAGCAGCGTCTTCTACCACAAGGCTAACTTATCCACACGCAGATACGAGAGCAGCTGGCAGGTTCTATACAAATACGAGGCAGAACTAAGAAAGCTTTCTCAAAAGGCTGGGCCTCAAGGACAAGTCCAGGCTCAAATCAACGATGGCCTCACTGTCAAGCCATTACACCCCCCAAGTGGCGCTCAGTGGATATTCGGAAACAACCCAAATGGCCTGCATGAAACGCTAGCAAAGAGTTTCCCCTGGCTTTGCTACGCGCTGCGATACCATATCACCATGGAAGAATGCTTGGTTTTTAGCAAAGCCAATACATTTGATCAAGTGGTGGATTTCTTTCCCTTTACTCGTCCTTTCTTTACAAAGGCAGAGGCTTTAGTTGATAGGTTTCTACTTGATGAGCTCTACTACAAGTGAAGAACCACTATCAAGGAAGAAATCGCCAACGCCAACGCCAATGCCAACAACGCCCCCTAACAAAGCCGTCAATCCTGCTAATGCCCTCGAATGGCGCGCCTGAAGGTGATGTGAAGCGTACTATCGGCCTTGAAACTACTTCTGAAGTTCAAGACTTGGCCCATCAGTCATTCGACTCTGTTGGTACACTTCGCATAGGAGCATACTCTTACACTGTCGATATCGACAAGCTATTTAATTTATCAGTGAAATTATTTGTTTTTTAAGCTACAAGTTCTTAAAACCTCCTTGAAGAAGTCGTAGCTGCTTTTGACGATGATGTTGGCGTCTTTGGCAGTAGCAGATGCTTTGATGAAGTACAAACCCGTCTTCCTCTAGACCATCATCAGTATCACAGTGAATTTACACGACATGTTAATCTTGCAGTAGAGGGTTTAATTATAGTTCTATATAAAAGCTCATGTGCACTCAGCTATTGAACATAGATAAAATCAAACTGTTACATCAATATAACCAACAAAAGTCACATCGACCTTGATAAGCTCCCTTCTAATTGCTTTTAAAGACATGCTTTCACTGGAATAATCAACTATCCAGTGCCAATTCTAAATGATTATCAGGGATGGAGTGGGTTTGGCAAGCCATTTCCCTCAGAATTGGATGTCCATGCTGAATTAAGCAACAAAGTTGACGGTGAGCTCGCCGTTGTCGACGTTGTTGCCGCTATCAGTAGGAATAGAGCCGCAAACTCGGCAACCATGGTCCATGAGCTGGTCCAAGAAGGTAACAGTCTGGCTCTTGCTGAATTGGCGGTTTCCGATGTTCTGGTAGAAAGCGCAAAGACGACCGGTGGCGAGACCAACACAGGCAACTTGTTGGCCATTGCCCCAAGAGCCATCAGGGCCGGAAGCCACAGCGTTCCGGACGTCTTCGAGAGTACCATGAGGCGAACCGGCGATGCCGCCGACGCCGCAGCTAGAGCTACCACGGCAGTTGATGCCAAGGCTACGGGCAAGAATCTCTGAGGCTCCCTCAGGCTTTGAGACGGGCTCAGGGGCACGCTCGACCTCGACGTGGCGCTTGGCGTTGGTGACCATGTTGGCAGTCAGCTCGCCATTGTTCACATTGTTGCCAGGATCGACGGGAATCGAGCCGCAGGCAGCGCAGCCGTGGTCGAGGAGACCTTGGACAAAGTTGACAGTCTGGCCGACGGACCATTGGCGGCCGGTCTTCTGGTAAAAGATGCAGAGAGATCGATCACCGATTGTAACGGAGGACTTGACACATGTGACATGCTGGCCGTCGCTAAAGGTACTACCCTGATTCATACCACGGAGCTGGCCTATGGCTGTGGATAGAAGTCCTTTGTTGCCAGAGCAGAGACCGCTGCCGTTACAGTTGATGCCACCAGCGTTGACAGCAGTGATCGCAGAGGCGATAGTGAAGAGGGTGTTTCCGAATTTCATCTTGAAGATGTGATGGTATGTTTCGTAACTGTATTAGACAGAAGAGGAAGATGAAAGACAATGTTAATGTTGTAGAATGATGCTTGGAAGGCGGATTGAAGTTGGACACGATGGAGAGGAGAGCCTCTATTTATAAGTTTTCTCCCCTTATATGTTTAGCAATCGAATTCAGAGTTCCTCCATCTGTCAACTGCTCATCCGCGGATCTTCTCTGTTCGGGTCGTCGGCATGAAGTCCTTTCCCGCGGGGAATTACAGTTGCTTGCTTGGCCTTGAACCTATAGTACTTACAAACCTATACTCAGCATGTCCATCGGGCATAACACGGGATGTTTTTTGGGTACTGTGACTGGAGAATCTGACTGGTGGATTATTTCGCCTTGCTACTCGATATGGATATATTCAAGCTTATTCAACTCTATGCCTAGCAGTTTCCACAGCGTAGCATTCTGATATCCCGTGTGGAGATATCTGCGGGTCAGTATTCTTTCCTCTTGTGGCGGTGTTGCGGATGCTCAAGCTTATGGTCTGATCTTACCGAAACAGCAAGAAAGATATAAGTTGACAATACTTATGACACAACGGATGTGAGTAAGCGGCAGGTATTCTTCCGTCTGAGATGTTCTCATCCGTGCAACACGCAATACTCTAGGATAGATCTGACCTCGATGTATCAGTTGGACTTCAGTCTTTCCTTTGATAAGATTCATTATTCATTCTTATACAGTTCTTATCAAAAGCTTCGCACTTTCATTAGACACCAAATGGCAAATTTTCGAGTCTCTTCGTCAAAGACTGAAAGTCCGCATATTTGACGTTGCATCCAACCGCCGTATCTAGTTCACCTATTATTTGGTGGAGCTTATATTAACTGGATCAAGTTTTAGTGCTTATTCTATTGAGTACAGTTTTCCATCTGAAGGCGTTTCCTTGATTTCGTTTATTCTTTTGTTTGTCTCTTTGTCTATTTGGTATTAACAACAGTTAGAGGAGGCACTCAACTTCTATGCATCAACTGTTCATAATCCACACATTATCATCAGTCGATTTTGATCTTCAAAGGAGTATATGTACTAAACGACATTAATAATACCATGCCATATTTCCCTATTTGCGCAGTCCAACCAATAGGGTTGAACATATCGTATAGGGAAAGTGAGGAAGAATGTCTTTCTCCAATTTAAGCATTCCAAGATATGTAAAATACAAGTGTCGAATGAGTCAAGCTTAGAAATGAGTTCTTAGAGCAATCCAAATCGTATGTGATTCTTACAAATCCGATATTCAATGTGTAAGACTATGTGGTGGAAATGTTTGTGAACTTATTAGGAAAACTTGATCCAATCTATCTCTACAGACTTCAGATTGTGTATAAATGAGAGGTGCTGCATTCAATGTTAAATCTGGTAAACTTAAACTTTCCAATTGCAACAACGCAGAGAAAACCCGAATATTGTACTCATCAATATTGTCCTAATATATGCTGATTTTGTATGACCTCTGGATTCATTGAAGCCTTGATGATATTGCTAACTCTAGTGAAGCAGACGCATATCGAATGAGCGAGCTGCTGTGCACTGACAATATGAGGACACCCGCTTCACTGATATTCGTCTTCGGACTTCTATCTAAAGCAATCAACATTGGACCGCTCAATGTTAGGCCGGTAAAATTGGATTTTACTCGACATGTGCCACATATGCTTGACCTTGTCAAAGCAACTCACCTTCCATCTACTGAACTCCAGACTGCTAAAATGGGACCGAACAATACCTTATTAACGGGGATGCCGTTAGCTATACTCCAACAACTGCAGATTGAATGGATTACCAGTTTTGATTGGGAAAAAGAACAGAACTCTATCAACAAGTACGACTCAGCATAACAGTCACTGTTATATACGAACCACACTAACTGTTCCTTTAGATACCACCAATTCATTGCAAAGATTGATGGGCAAGATATACACTTTGTTCATGAGAAATCTGAGGATCCTAACGCTATACCAATTATTCTACTACATGGGTGGCCCGGTTCTTTCCTAGAGATGCTACCTCTAGTCGATTTGCTTGTCCGAGACAATTCAGCTACAACATCCAAGCATACCTCTTTCAGTGTTGTAATACCGTCTCTGCCGGGATTCGCACTCTCATCCCCCGCACCTGATAGCTGGACAACGTCTGACACTGCCAATATCTTCAATAAACTCATGACAGAAGTTTTGGGTTACAAGACGTATGCAGTACACAGGACTGACTGGGGATGTGTCGTGGGGTACGACTTATACGACCGATTCAACAAAACCGTTCGGGCGATACACCTGAGTTTTTTGCCATTCACGCCGCTTGATACAGAGCAGCTAGCCGCTGCGAATATCACGCTATCTCCAAGGGAGGTTGTACAGGAAAATAGATATCTTGAGTGGGCAAGCACAGGAAATGCATATTTCTCTGAACAGGCCACAAAGGTATGAACAATTCTGCCCCCATCGAATGCTTCGAGCATTCTAACTATTGTGGTCTAGCCGAATACAATTGGTCTCTCCCTGTATGACAACCCTGTTGGGCAACTAGCCTGGATTGCGGAAAAGATCATTTAATGTAAGTAATGGAACCTTTTTTCCCGCTGATGTCTGCCATCGTGATGTGGTATAGTAATGCAATATCTAGGGTCTGACCCACGACAAGGGACGGCGCCGTCTCTTATTACACACAACGAAATTCTTCGACTTGTGTCATTGTACTATCTTTCTCAGTCATTCGTCTCTTCTGTTTATATATACTACCAGAATCCCAACGGCTTTACAACGAAGTATACAAAGGCAAAGACAGATGCACCTCTGTTGTATAGCGACTTTCAGTATAATGTGTTCTTCTGGCCAAAAGCACTAGTTGAAACAGTCGGAAATCTTGTTGATTACTCATGTAAGGAATCTTGACTTTGCCACTTAATTGAGAGGGAGTTGCTAATAATAGGTAATTATAGTCCAAGAGTTTGGTGGTCATTTCCCTAGCCTAGACAATCCGCCGGCATTGGCCGGTGATATCAGAAAGATTGGGAAATATTGGCGTACTCACAGCGGTTAATAGGGCTGTCAATTCATAGAGTATGTAGTAATAGCCCGATTTCATTCAGAGGGTCCGCTTGGATTCAGTATACGAGAGGTTCTGCTCTCATCAGTTAGACTGGATTATTGATATTGGTCATTGATATATTTTGCTACGCCAATATATACTATCCATCAGAGCCTCGAAGATAGTACATCATCTATGCTAATCGATAGCTTCCATAGCAATCTTGGCCACTTTTTGAATCGCAGTGTCGTCCCAGAAACCACCACGAAATTTATTTACTTCATAAAGCAGGGCGCTTGCCTTATTCTTGACAGAAGAATCCCCACAGCGAACTGCAATGTAGTATAATGGACCGACAATATCTGCATCATGAGCAAAGCCAAAATTTAGCTTCTTTGATGGTATGCTTGCAGTGTATGGGCGAATAATGGTGACGAGGGCGTTGAGTTGTTGCCTCAGCTCATTTAGTGTCGGGAATTCTGGAAACATGAGTCTCATAGAATCGAGAAGGTGACAACAATCCATCTTTTCTAACAGAATTTTCGCGCAGCAGATATTTAATTGATCTAGCTGAATGCAGAAGAAGTTATTACTGCGTGGTTGTGGAGCGTTTGGCGCCTCAGCAAGGGTTTGGAAAAGGGTCGCCAGCTTGATAGCTCGTATAACGAGTGCTTGCTGCTGCTTTTGCTCTTCGGGCTGTGACCAAAATGTTGCATCACCAGAGTGAGCAGAAGTCTCATAGCAGCGGCTCATGATGTCTCTAAAATAATTAACAGCATGGAAATGCGCCTCTTCCACATTGTGTAGAGTTTCCATGTCTGAACCATCATCGAATCTCCGCAAATTGTATCCCTTTATTGCAACGACGGGTCGAAAGCCAGGCGAGTAGAAGCAACCAAACATTTCAATCCTGCCGAATACCCTGATTGTGTTTTGCAATTCGGCTTTTGTTTGCCCCACCGTTGCTGTCGGACTATTAAGGAAGCCGAATAAAAAGGGTGGCAGGTCATCGATAATATTCAGTCCATTCTGAAGATGTATGTAGGCAGCAATACGATTATCTCGCAGAATTTCCAGGCAGATGAAAGAAAGACAGCAGATAAGGGCAAAGATAACGTTTTCTTGTCTTTGCTGACCGGTATATTTCTGAAGCTGTGACATTGACTTGATATACTGGTCGATGGTAACTATATTCCACCTCTCAAGTGTATCGCCACGATCGGCTGCGGTATTAGATAACTGGAGAAATTTGTAGGCTGATCCAAGAGCAATCATAGCGTGCTTTACGGAAGCTTCATGATGACTAACTTGCGGAGACACCCGGCTGAAGAAGGGAACAAACGGGCATTCAAGACCAGACGTTTCGTCAGTGGTTGCTGCAATTCTAAAAGTGTGGAAAAGCAGTCGTTCTGTATGAGTTGCATCGGTATCAGCCGCAATAGGTCTCCATAGTTGCTGATTTAGCTGCGACTGCACTTCGGAAGTGTTTGGTATCAGTATGGTATCTTGTTCATTTTTTTGTTCCGATTCATCTTCGTAGCCGTCGCAAAGGAACCCCCCTGAGCTACATTTCGGGCAGATTGGCCTCTCCTCTCCACACTTGAGCCGGCGTTTCCTATTCAAGGTGAGCCAATGAAAACAGCGTTTGCGTAAATGCTTACTTGCTATGTAACAGTTGATGATTAGTCAAATTTTAGACAATCTAAAAATAATTATAGAGCTTTGGGGTAATGAAATGAAGCTTACCACGTCCTACAACCAGTCCGCACTTTGGGCTTGCTTGCCCTTGTCCGCCGCTCTGTATACCCCTCTTGGCTTGGTACATGCTGTACACGCGGCCCTCGTACCATTTGGTTGCCTTTTTAAAGAAGAGATAAAAGATCGTTATCACAGAGAATCATGTGGTGTGTGTTCTTTTCAAGTTCTTGCTAAGTTGGAAGCGTAATATAGTTGGAGTCGGAGGAGCGGATGGACGCTGGGCGTTTATACAAAAATTCCCCGAATCTCACCAAAAGTGGAGAGCATGTCACTTCAGCCGCCTTAGTTTGCATATACGGTATGGCTGATCCGATTCGCTGGATGCCTGTTTGGCCTACCATTAGAGGTAAGCCATGCGGGTCATAAAGACTCATAATGACACCCGTGGACGCATCGTAATCTAGAAAACGCAAACGACCCTGTTGAATCTGAACCCTGTGGTAACATCATTGCTTACAAAACGAACTCTACATGAGGTAGTACTGAATATAATAGCAACCTTGACAAATTTTACTAAACTTGTCGCCTGCCTACTATACCCAGTAAGGCATACAGAGCATGATTAATGGAAAACTATAGGCGGAAAAACTCTTTCTTTTACAGTCCTTGTAATTTCCATAGCGCAAAAGTGATGACATTCGGAGAACTAGCTCGAAAAATACATGTAGTTCAATTCGCAATCTCAGCCTCAAAAAGGTGATGCGAGAACCCCATCGCTATGCGTATTCCCTCGTAGGTGATGGGTATCCCCCTCCTCACAGCCACTATCTGAGTAATATTCATAATGTTCTTGATTTGCCTCCCATTTAGCGGGAATTCGGCCAGTCCTTCGAGTTCGTGTTCTGCAACGTCGACTGTCACCTTTCCACTAGCAGCAGATCGAGCCATGAAGCTCCTCCAGAGAATTCTTCGCTTATCAACATCTAGATCGGGATAGTCCAAGTAAAAATGAATCCTGCTCTTGAAGGCTGGGTCAAAGCTCGCATGACGATTGGTGGTCAGGATCAAGATGCCCTGGTAATATTCCAGTCGTCTCAAAAATATAGATGTGATAGCGTTGCGGACCAGGTTAGTGTCGTCTCGTTCGACGAGGAACACGTCAGCTTCATCCAGGAGCACGACAGCATGCCATGCCTCAGCAAGCTCCATGAGGGTGTCAAATCCTCTCTGCACAGATTCTGGCTCCGAACCAAGTTCGCCAGAAGAGATCATGTAAAGTGGTCTCCGGGCTATCTCCGCCACAGCTTCTGCAGTGAGCGTTTTGCCCACGCCTGGCGGGCCGGCCAAGAGGCCAATCAATCCTTTGCCTTTATCGCGGACAAAATCGTCGAAGCCGCTTGTGGAATGTGACTCCACGAGAGCGCGCATGAATTGCTTTTGGTCATCTGAAATGACTAAATCGTCGAGAATGGTGTCATTCCATTCGACATCGTGGAGCAATGTTACAGCGAAAGCTCCTTCAAATTTGTCAGATCAATAAAAATAAGAGAAGTTCAATGCACTAACCCCACATCTTATCCCCAAGACTAAAGCCATAGAGCACGGGGTTCACGAGTAATTTCTGATCGTCGGTGAGGTCCGACAAAGACTGAACGATGTGTGGAATGAGTCTGCTGTTTGGCTGGACTCGATTGAGTGTGATAGGATCAAGAACAATTCGGCCATGAGACTTGAAGCATATGTTTAGCCAGTTAGCTACCCCCGATGTTTCAAAATTGGGCAATAGAGTATGAATGGTAGAGGGAGATCAATTACGTTGAATTTAGCACCTTGCGGATTGAAAAGATCACTGCTGGCATGGCCCTGGTATTCTTGAAGTTGCTGTCCATACAGGCGCAGTACTTTATCTGCCCTAGAGATCAAAATCGATCGATCTTCGAGATAACTTGGTCGAAGATTGAATGGGTGATGGCGCAACTGCAGTATTAATCTCGAGCTTCGAAAGGCAGGGATTTGGAGCTTAACGGCTGGAACAAACCCCGCCTTTTTGCCGTTGGAATCAACATAATCTGCCGCAATTTGAAAATAAACCGGTTCTCCAGTAGGGGAGAAAACGTATCTCGTCGCCCTAACACGATGCACAAGCTGTTGGTCAAATGTATCCTGAGAAGTCACGAACGATCCGGGAGGGAATAGAGTCCAGAGCAAGTCATATGTAATTTCTCCTTCTGGGAGACTTGATAGCTCGTCTGCGACATCGGAAAATTCTTCGTCCATAAGGTCTAGGGCGGCTTGAATCTCAAAAATAAGTTCATGATTAGTGACAGCTGGAGATTGAGCGCGTTCCTTATCCTGCATGGCAGTAAGCTCGTGTCTCCGGTGGTAAATAAACTTCAAGTCATCTCTATTCTGAATAAAGGGAAAAAGAAAAAGACAGAAATCGTCAGCAATGAGGAGGATAGATTGTCATTTCTTGCATATTTCGACACTCACTAATTCCTCGTTCGCGCGGAAAGATGGTCCACCGTCCTCTCGAGTAAGGGTTTTTAGAACATTGCGAATGAGTTCGCCGTAGATGTAGACGACACTTGACCTAGTATCTCCGTGCGATCGTTGGGCGAATTTGAAGACGTAATCGTATGTTTCTGGCTTCTCTACCTTGGGAGGCTTACTGGCCTCTGTCTCTTGCCATGTGCAGCCCTTTCTAGGAATCGGTAAGTCTACATTAGCAATAAACAAAATAGCCTTGCCGGCCAACATATTACTTACGAATCCCAACTATTACCATGAGAGTAGATAACTTTAGTCTTAGCAGTCTTTCAACAACAGCGATTCGTATGCTTTAACTTACGTTTGCAGAACACGCATCAGTTTAACTCGTGTCTCCATGGCTTGTTTAAGATCCTCTTCTTGATCTCCGCCGATTGCTTCTTTTTTTTTGCTTTCTGTCATTTGGTTAACACCCTTTTGACGTGTAAAGTAAAACCCTGATGTTCTGGGTCCGAAATGTAACGCGAAGTTTAAGTCACTATTGGCCTTTGAGGAAGACTAAGCGAGAGTGTAAGAGGGCGAGAATAGAAAGCCAAGGAGCACAGAGACACGATCGTGTCTTATCAGCCATGTCTTAAAGTGCCATGTAACTGCATTATAATGTCCCGCTATTACATACATGTACTAAGACCACCCCGTGCCGTAGCTAAAAGTGCTTCGCTGCGGCCCAACGCCATCGGCCCGTTTGATGAAGAAAACTATCAACCCTGCTTCCTCCGGACTGATATCCATATTTTCCGTAACGATACTGATATGTGCTGGCTCCTTGTAGCCTTCGTAGTCACACGATATCTCGCAGTCCCCCCTACCCAATCTCCTCCCAATCTAAACCATCGCTCGTGATGATCTGGTTTGTAATATTCTTGGCTTTGTACCATTATTGATATTACTTGTTCTGATTACTCTCAGTCGCAAAGTATACATCTTGGTCTATCTAGTCTACCTCATATTCTACCTCCCTGCTACTATGATGTTCTATAGCTTATCAATGAGCCCTACATGCCGTCCTAGGTAGGATGGTAGTTAAGGCCCTAGTTGCTCAGATTACCAAGCATCTAGCTGCAGGGTGCGACGGCATTATCCAACTGAAATAATCGATGGTAAGTCGTGGTGGAACATAGTGTGCAGGATATATGATATCAGGGGATGAGACTGCATAATTCCATTAGCCTAATTTGGGCCTTTCCCAAGGCAGACCACATCATTGAGTTCTTTTTTCTTCTACTTTACGGCGTATAATATGGATCGACTACATATTCTATATATATCAACGAATGAAGAAGAAGGGCTTCTGATTTAAGCGATCATACGAATGGGCATTGGCATAGCAATTGCCCCGAGGGAGGGAGGCAACCATTTCATCCTGCAGGTTGTTTGATACTGTGGACTTAGGTAGCAAGGCTCAGGCACCAAAATGGAAAGAGACATTGCGTTAGTTAGATGTTCTCTATCCCCTAGAGTTATGATTTTCTATTTTTTATTAAATATACTGTATCTCGGCCTTTGGAGTATTATCAAGCGTGTTATACGATTCATATTTCGGAGACAGAAACCTTGCTCTATGTTTCTAGAGGCACTACTGGCTTTCCATCCGTCATTTTATTCCCATCATTTTTTATTGCGCAGAGATGGCTACCATGAAAGATTACAAATACGAATCGTTGCCCAATGGTCCCTCCATCCGCTTATTGGTTATCCATCCGGCTAAAAACCTTAATGAGCCGTTGGTCTGCGATGTCAGAGTCATTTCACTAGATGAAAACCACCCAGACTATGCAGCACTGAGTTATACTTGGGGTGACAACACTACGAACAACAACAACGTTGTCCACTACGTTATCTGCAATGGACAAAAGCTAGCCATTACCACAAATTTGAATCAAGCCCTCCGGCGATTTCGCCAGTTCAAGACCTGCGAGTGTATCTGGGCCGACGCTATCTGTATCAACCAGCTCGATAACATGGAGCGCAACACGCAAATCCTTCTCATGAAACGAATCTATCAGCAATCTAGAATGACCTATATATTTCTAGGAGAGCAGGAAGACCAACCCCAAACACCCAATGCAGTTGACTATGTGGAGAAAACGATATTCCGTCCTCTACACACGTTATCTGAGCCGTCGATATCAATTTCGAGTCTTATCAGGTGCTTACACCACCAGGATATTAGGCGAACGACAGACGAGCTGTTGAAGGATATTCTACATTATGTCGAAATACCACAAGAAGATGACTGGGCACCATGGATGTCATGGCAAATTCTCCTAACACGGCCGTGGTTCAATCGGATATGGGTTATTCAGGAAGCCACTGCGGCACCTGATCGTACCGTTGTTCAAGTTGGCGCCTTTCGAATGACATGGAATGAATTGGTGGCCGCAAATGCTGCTTCACTCGAATTTCTGTCTGAAAGTGATGTGAATCTTGGATTCTCTATGGTCGGCGGCTACAACGTCGGAGGACAGAAACTCGATGCGATTGAAGCCATTACGAGATGGAAGGCAAACCGAGTGAATTTAGAAGCCATGGAGATTATTTCGCAAACTCTCCATCCTGGACGTGATTATCTGAGTGTTCTGCTGGGACCAAGGCGCCAGATGATGAAATCCGATCCTGATCCGTCTCCTGTGAAGTACTGGATCCCACTCAAAGGGACCAACAACGTCCCAAATCATCTTGCATCTAGAATTTCAAGCGGTATTCATAGTCGAAGCAGGGCGAGCAGTCTACCAACTACTGCAAATATCCACGAACAAAGAGAAACGGATGCTCGAGATGGAGGCTCTGATAATGAGTCGATATCAGAATCAATACTGCAAGGGGCAGAGGGAGGAAATAATGCGGATTGGAAAGATTTATTGGAACTTACCGCTAAAATACAGTCCCTTCATCTTTTCCAGCTTCTAAAACGATGCTGTAACTTCAAGGCTTCGGATCCAAGGGACCACCTCTACGGCTTGCTGGGTCTCGCGACCGACGCAAATATGGCACCGAAACCAGACTACGGAAAATCCACGGAGCAGATTTATCGTCAATTTGCCGAGTACTTTGTTTCACAAGGATATGGAACTGAGCTACTATCCATGAGTGACTCGAGAATGAGCCCATCCTGGGTTCCGGATTTTGCTGCCCTCGGCCAAAATGTCCCAGGTCACGCTAAAGGTTGGGATCTCAGGCACTTCTCAAAATTGACCGCTAGTAGTAGCGCCCGTGGGGATACTCGGTTGAACGGCGATCGATTGACTACGAGGGGTGTCATTGTTGACGCTGTCGTTGCTCTTGGGCCGCAGTTGCGTTCTAGTTCATATTTCGCTTCTCAGCCCAAATTACCGGATGATAAAGAAGCATTGAAGAAGTTTGAAGGCCATATCACAGATTTGGATCGAGAAACAACTATGTTTATCCAAAATGCACATAAAGTGGGCATGTTTCAAGGTCAAAGCCAAACAGAACTATCGAGAGTGTATAACATAGTCATCTCTGTCGGGAACAAAGCGATCCATGGAAGGGAAACACAGTCAATTACTGCCCAATTGGGAACCGGATCTTACAGTATAGAAATGAAAGATAACTGGGAAAGAAAAATTCGTGACCAGATTGTTGATAATTTGCAGGGAAGAAGAATTTGCATAACTAAAGGCGGCCTACTAGGTCTAGTCCCAGAAGGAAGTAAAGAAGGGGATATTCTTTGCCTTTTTCTTGGTTCTCCTGCTCCTATTGTTGGACGAAGGAAAGGAGACTTCATTACAATAATTGGTGTATGGTATTTTCATGGTTTGATGCGAGGAGAAGGAATTTCTCACAGTCAAAGTAAGATACAAGATATCATCATAGGCTAAAATAACTCGTTTTATCCTGTATGATACAGTGTATTTACCGGACACAGAGAACAAACTGCTTTAGAAATAGGGTTAAAATAATTGCTATTGAACCTTTTTCCAGTAGCTATTGACTAACGGTAGCCTAACGGATTCACGTCTTCTCTTTCGCGGATAGCTTAGGCGGCCTTCTTTTACCTTGTTTGTTGTTGAAGCTCCGGCAAACCTTCTCTACTGTGTTGGCTACGTTCTCATTGTGCGTATTTGTATCAAGGGATGTTATTTTGGCCGTAATCGCAGATGGTCAGTCAAATAAAGCTCAATAGCAGCTGAAGTAAGAGGACGTTGATGTAACGCGAAAGAATCGAGAGGTTTACGCAGCATAATGGCATGGCATTTATGACATAATAGAGCGAAATTCAAGCTCTAATGGCATAGAGCAGGTGTTGTGAATAAGATAATAGAGAGTCAGTGGTGTGTGTCGGCACGCTTATTTAAAGTACGCTGTTGCAAATCACGATTGATGCAAACAACCTGTGCTTTTATCCTCCTTCATAGACTGGATGAACTGGGAGTATCCAGGACGCAGTTAAGCTTCTGAAAGATCTTATTTACATGGACAGGGCTATCGACAACATCTTTAAAGTCCGCGTCTGGAACTGATCAGGCCGGATCTTTAGGCTTTTATTCCCCCAAAGAGAGTATTATGGGCTGCTACAAAGTAGACCTCTCATGAATCAATGAGGCTGAACGGAAGTTATTCACCGCCATTTAGAAGACATCGGAAGAGGATTGCGAGGGGTAGTCCCGATTGTGGGTGCATCATCCGATGCCATTGGTAAGAAATTTCCACGAGGCCCGTATTTGCGGATTCTACAACGAAAGGTGGTCAGCAAGATGTATTAAAGCTACTGCGCCAACTGCTTAGACGTGAGCATTAAATCCGAAAGGATTCCGTAATTCGTATTATAAGCAAGATGTGTTTGTCTTAATTTAACTACATGTTTTGATCAACTGCATGAAACGCCAAGATACTACAGTCGATGGCAAAGGTGAGTGCTTAACGGCGACCATATGATGCAGTCTAAATGCGCCTTATGATTCGATGTCGCTCATTCCACATACTGACGCAAAAGCTTTTGTAATTTTTTACTCTAAGTATGATACATCCTTCATTAATGATATGACATTTATGCATAGCGTCCATCAATTGGAGTTTTCCAGGGTCTCCAGGGTAGAAAGTCGGTCTGAGAATCCATCCGCTGACCTTTTTTGAGGATCTGAATTATCGAGTGACCTGCAATAATTGTTCGTATACCCTCTAAAAATAGATCGTAAATAGTAAGAAGTTTGGTAGGGCCTGAAAATGGTACCGGCTAATCCCATATATTGGGCTGATTAACTGTATGGGCTTGTTCACAAATAATCGCATGCTAACCCCTAATATCAGTGGATAAATATTAAATACTCATAATCGTTTGATACGAAGAGGTAATTTATTTTCGATATTTGGATTACAAGAGATGCAGCACCGAATTGAGACAGGTTCCTACTTGTATTTTTCTTCTAGATGACCCCAGTCAAGCGTGTCATGTGCCTGAAATTGTCTACTTCTCTCGAATGCTGAGGATGACTGCCTAGAGGCAATTCTAAATTAGTGAATACGGGCAAGAACAAATTACTTCTTATTATAGCAGCTACCGATTATGGAGTCAGGACAGGATGCAATTGACGGTTATGCAAAATGTTATTTTGGGTATTTGATGATGTTTTTGTAACTTATGCCTCAGCATTGATAAACAAGAGCACTGACGATTGGGAAACCGACATGAACTGTCACACCCGTTTACCAATTTTATTACGTACAACCTTTTTCAGCTTATTTTTCTCAAGGTGGACATGATCAATAAGATCTAAGGCTGCCTGAAATTCCCATCATTCCTTGACATAAAGGTGGCTGAGCCTAACCATGAGTAGTGCCTCGGCATCAGGCAATATTTTGACTAGTGCTCGGGATGCTGCAGCCTCACCGGAAAAAAAGAACGCAGAATGCAGAGAGTGAGAAGTAGCTAGAGGATGAGATCCTGCCAACATGTCCATGCAAGTGCGGAGAAATTAGAGAAACCTAATCGAGGCGATATTGTGAAAGGGGGGGGGGGGGGATTGTAGGCAAAGAGGGCCAACGAAGGTATGTAGCTATTTCTAGCTTGTGATAGAAGACCTACCGCCTCTTACTGGTGTGAAGCTTCATTTAGCGAGCCCAAAGAAGATCATTGCCCCAGACGTTTCTGACAATAAGATCTCCAAGGGCTCTATATGCCCTAAACTTGCTTCGCTTGGAAGCTGGCGAAGAAGGTTTTAATCCGCGAGAGCCACTGGAATGTTTTTTCTGAGGGCACACTTAAGGCTGTTCAGTGCAGCATGCAGCCCATCCTTCGGGATCCTCTCCGTCCAAGGATTGGGCTCAGCTGAGGCGGAATGTTAGAAGAAGTTGGTGGTCTCGATCCTGGTGGCGTTGAGACAATATACAAACGACTGCCCAGTTTGTGGGAAGAAAATAAGTTTCGCTTGAACAATGCGTTGCGATCGGGTGATCATAAAGTTTGGCTTGCAGTAAGACCGGCTTATGAGAAAGACCATTGTGAGAGATGTAAGGCTGATCCGAGGCTCTACGTCATCTGAGACATGACATTAGCGACGAGGGTCCAGTAACTAACTGATGATTGGGGTAATTGAAAGAGATGCAGAGAGAGAAACACGCAACTGTAAGTGGAAGTGAAGACATCACGACGGTGCTAATTTTAAGCCAGCTGAGAAAGCGTCCCGTTACACACGGAATACACTGCCTCCGGGCAGCGGCTTGTGGCTCATTGCTTGAGTCCCTTAATCAGCAATCCCCAGGGTTCTCTTGACAGCTCAGCGGTGCAGTTTTGCGGGCACAGCTGATCCACCCGTCAACGGGGCGGGACGCCGGGAAGCCGGGACTCCGGGGCTAAAATGACATCGCCATGACATCCGCACCGTCCGACCAGAATTGTTAGTCCTCAAGACGGTAAGCAAGTGCTAGCAAAAGTGAGTTTTACGAGGTAAGCAAGTAGGAACGTGGCTTATAAAGCCACAGCTAGCTTGAGGCGAAGGCTGCTGGTAGGAACTGGAGTCAGCTTATACTATTTATAAGCGCATCGCATGGGCTAGTAATAATAGCTTGTCCAAAAAAGAACTTCACGTGTGTCTAGTGGAATAATGCTGCTGGTAACACAATTAAGCCCCTTCGTAAAAGTCAAAATGTGTATGGTGTAAACATCGTCTAAATATAGGGTATCAATTTGATAATAGGCAATGAAGCTGAACAATTCATCTATATAAACATCTCTTCATCTTCCTCTCCAAACATTCTTCTCACCATCCACAACAACATCTACAACAACAACAACAACACTACTACAAACAACAATTACTCTCTTACCACATCTTCCAATTTAAACCTTCCACTCAATAACTCAAATCACCATCAAAATGCAGTCCGCTATCGCCTTCACTGTCTCCCTCCTTGCCCTTGTTGCCTCGGCAGCTCCCACCACTCGCACCGTTGGCACTGTTCAAGTCCAGTTTGCCAACGATGTCACTGGAGCAAACGGCAACGCTCGTATCCCTCTTGACGGATCCAACATCAACCTTGGAGAGGCTTATGGCAACACCAACCTGGAGAAGGACGGCACCCTCTTTGTCACCAGCCTTCAGTTCACTGCCGACTTCCAGAACGTGCAGTGCGTTGTCCTCAAGGACTTCCAGACCAGAGTCGCCTTCATTGCCGACCCTCACCAGGACTTCCAGACCTTCTCTCAGAAGCCCCTAGACTGGCAGAACAACTTCACCATTGCTTGCAATGTCGCTTCTTCTTAAGCATTCTCTTAAGCACTCTCTTAAGCACTCTCAAGGTCGCGGGGTAGAATGGACAGGTCTTTGGAGGGGCGTCGATTTGGTTTGATTTTTATCTCCTTTGTCAGGGCCGGAAGCGATCGGCTTAGCACAAATGGCCAGAAGGTACCTAGTTAATACATAACTAAGAATTACATCATTTTAGACGGATAGGATGCATTAGCAATATATATACATTCATTTCAGAAATTCTTGTCAGTTAGATTAAACTACAAATGAGTTTGCAATCACAAAATGGATAGACAGCCTCATAATGTGTTTTGTTTCATTACTGTAAACGTTCATAAGCATGATATAGCTCTTTGGCCTACAAAAGTCGAACTGGCTGTTTCACAGGGAGATTCTTCATATAGAAGACCTGCCTCATGATTAAACAGCACAATGATAATCTGCCAGCTAATTTCCCATAATCTACCAGACATCGACCGTAGAAAAGCGGCTGGCAGAACAAGGAACATTGAAGGCTGCCGTCATGCGTGACATAAGCCACAACGCCACAACATAAACAACACCAAGCACCGCATTTACCAACACAACATGACAATAACATGGAAAAAAAGAATTAATGCAAGAAACAAACCAAAACAAAACAAAACATATAACAACAGATTTTTGCCAGTGGTCGCCTACGTACTGGTCAGTAGCTTATTTATAAAAGAGCAGATGGGGTTCCTCGCTTTCTAACCGAACCGGGCCTGAGCTTTTGCTATTTCCTGCTTTTGAGACACTGCTGAGCATAGCCTGTATCTTGGTTCGCGTGCGCGAAACGAGAATCAGACGTGCACCTACATGTGTGCGAACAGAGGGCGACAGAACTGCGCTACATAGCTAACTGTGTTAGCTGCCGAGCTATATGCAGCCTGCATCTTTTGGCGGCAGGGGGGATGAGTTCCATGTCGTCTAACACGGATGAAATACTAGACTAATCCTCTCTCTATCCCGCGTCTTTTCCTGGGCCGTGCCGCACGAGATTTAAGCATGGAAGTGCTTCCTCAGTAGTACCCCACCGATAAATAAGTCGCTGGACTCTTGCTGCTGCGCAGCGTGCAGAAGAAACTTCTAGTGAGAAGCTGTTCCTAAACCATGGTGGATTCTCAACTTGGGCTGCATACTACCTCGCGTGACGTGATGCGGAGTCTGGCTCTCATTTTGCTGGTCAAGCCAGGCTTGCTCAATCGCTGCGTACATTCGATGAGAAACCAGTCGAGTTCCGCATATCAGTAGTGAAAAGAGTCAAGGACGCCCTGCCCACAACAGCAGCTTCCGCAGATTTAGGAGAGGAGAATGACCACCAGCGGAGAACATCTGTGCATACCCCTATTGGATCAGCAGATAATATCAACGTTTCTACGGATACATTTCAAAATAATGTTTTTTTTAACTTGGAAGGGGTGCCGGGTTTGAGGCTCGCAAATGTTTTCCCACCATTTCTCGCCGCTTCAATTGGCGCGCAACCTTCAACTAGCCATTCTGGTAAACAAGCAGCGGACATCACGATGTCATTCCTCATCACGATGTCATTCCTTCTCGCCATGCAAACTGGTAACAAATTTGACTCCAAAATGAGTTTAAAAATTAAGCCTCACAGAGTTGGATATTTTGTAATGCGATTATTCGACATTTATATGGAATCGATAAACGAAGAGCGATACATCGTCCTACCGTCCACTGGCTCGGAAGCTGTTACTCGCGGTGAATGGATCTTACTAGGCTGCAAACGAGAGGTTATTTCGGAGGTCTTTGGGGATATTGTGGCTACAGCTGTCAAAGCAAGCCTGACTTACATAGAAGACGAAGGGCAAGGAAAGCCTGTGACAGAGTGCGTGGCCATGGTGGTTTCGTCCAAGGCCAGTGAGGGAGCTGTCATAACTCTATCTCTGGCTGAGAAAGAGTGTGTTCGAATAAAACAAGCTCTATGGCCAAAATAGCTTAGCTTTTAGTTTAACATCTCTCGTCTAGTACGGCTATTTCTCTAGGATACTGCCACCTTGCCCGCCGAATATAACCTCAATATCTGCAAGTATTATTACCCATCCATCGCATTTATTATACTCTTCTGTTGACTTAGGTTCGCCCTTATGATATACCTTTATCCAGCAATTCTTCCAATATACTTTCTGGCCCTTTCCTTCAATAAGAAAGGAACTGTTTTCGGCCTCGGAGAAATTGATAGACACCAGGAGTGGCTGTATATCAAGTAACTGTTATAATGTTAGACCTTCCTTATCTCAATTCTAGAATCAGACTCATATCATTATAAACCTCAATCCCTGTTTAATACAGGTTGAATGGAGAATGCTCAAATAGGAATGCTCAACTGGGAACATTCTTGTGAAACTGTACGTTTGAGACTGGTCGTTTGGAAATATGTGCTTGGGATGTTTTTTTTTAAAGGAGTCGGCTAGAGGTTGTCTGCCAGGTCGTAAGCCAAGATTTCTCAAAGTATGCCGCCCGTTGTAAATGAACATTCAATATGCCTAAGAATTATCAAATCAATCTCAGAATCCTATGAATGTAAACGTAAAACGCGGCCCCTTAATAAATTAGACGGAAACCATCCAGTTTTCAGGCAAACGTGTGAATATATCATGACGAATAAAGCTGTTCATTGTGAATCGCAGAGTTCACGCATTTAGTACTATGAGACATTTTCTTAGAGAGCCCCAATTTTAGTGGTGATCTGGGACATCCTTGACCCTGGCATTGGTTTAGCTTTAAATAATAAGAGCAGACCGAAGTGAGGTCGTGAAGTAAAACGGCATTCTTCTTTCGGTTTACAGAGTACTATTGCACTGTTACACAAGTTCACCAGTCTTGGTAAACGGGACCCAAAATTTTCCACTACCTATGGTACTAGGTATTTAACAACAGCACCGACTCGTACTACATTCACAGCTAGAATGGCAGGGTATAGAATCACAAACATATAATAGTCAATGCTCTCTAGTTAGTATCCATTTTTTTTTTAGAAAAAAAACTATAGTTTAAGGGGCTGTTGTTTGTTTGTTAGGAAACATACGGGGGATGAGTTGCTAATGCTGGGTTTTGGATTGGCATAGGTGAGGTGGCATTTTAGAGCTGATTAGCACTGACAAACAGTACCAATTAAGGATGAACCTCATGCTGGGAAGTAGGCAGTGACAGTGTTGTGCGCGATATAGAATGCATCAATCAGAACAAGATGTCATCAAATCTACAGCATATTGTCATAAAATTCTGTTCACATGCACTTTCCAAAATGCTTTCCACCTCTGTATGACACCTGAACCACGCTCATGTTTGAGCAAGCCAAGCCTCATCCTGACTCACACAAGACTGGCAACCTTGGTCTCTACCCTTTTCAGGTAGAGTATTCACATGCCCCAACGACCTCTGATAATTACTGCGCTTACTGCCTTGGTTTTAGAAGGCAAACTTATTCATTTTCCTCGATAAAACTAGTATTAAGAATAGTATAGTTCTCTCAGGTTTTGTTTGGAAGCTTAGCAACAGGAAATTGGGCTATGTGCAGTTTTGCAGCTCCATATGGAATCAATTTAATTCTTGTCTTTGTCTCTGGGCTTACCTCAGGATTGATAGGAGGCAAAGCGGCCGTGTCAAATTGTATCGGCCAGTCAATTGGATAGGCGTCCACATATAGTGATATTGATGGCCCACCGCGACTGAAGATGGGATTTGGAAGAATTCTGTCTTGTGCAAGGCCAAAATCGACTGATATAGTCGTGGGGTCAATGGCGAACTTCCACGGCGATACCGGCTCTAGTACGTGGTCCATCGCCTTCGGGTGCGACTCAGAGTCGTCAAGTGGCGTGCGGTCCGTCCAATTTAGGGGCTGATGAGCTGTTTCCTTGTAGGCAATATTGGCAGCATAAAGCATAGGACCGTAGTAAAGACCAACGGTTTCGTTGCGAGAGACAATATGTATGTCCATGGGGAGTTTAACTATGAGCTTTGTGACTCCTGGCAGCACTTTAGTGTAGCGTAAGCCATTAGAATCAGGGGAGAGGTGGACAGGTCTCTGCCGTCCAATTTGCACAGTGGCCGCGTGCGTCGTCCAGTTAGGAACGCGGACACCAAATTCGAAAGACGTCTCTGTAGTTATTGTGTACTGTAATATGGAAGAGAATGGATAATGGGTATCGCATTCGACTGATCCGTCTTAGCAAGGTCCTGGCCATGATATTCAACTCAAACTTACCTTTGACTCTCTTGCCTCGGAGCTTGGTTTCTAGTGACGTGGAGCCTAGCAGGATATGCGCAATTTTATCGTGCTCAGTGTGAACGTAAGAGGACGCAACATATTTTGGGTACCCTTGAGGGTGGTTGACAGTACAACAAGGCTGGATAAGTCAGCCTGGAGTCAAGAACTTGAAGAGTGGCATTGCATACAAAATTCGGCTCCAACCCGTAAGTGTTGGCGTAGGAGACGACATTGAAGAAGGGATTCCCAGTTAGATTCCGCGACCAAGGCTCATTGGTCTGCGTGACGTATTGATGCGACTACCCTACAACTGTTAGAAAAAAAAGCTAGTGATGTCGTTAGATGCGCTCACAGTCAGGACTCATCGCTGCTGGAAAGGCGTTGAAGGCAGCTAGCTCGGCACGGTCGGCAAATTCGTTGGCGCCGTGGAAGCGGTAAAGGTAGGCATACGAAAACATGGATTCAACAGCTATGCAAAGCTCAGAGCTTGGGAGGCAAGTCAATATCATCATATCGTTCAATAGCGCATACAGAAGTCGGCTTACCCTCGTTGTGGGCTTAAATTACTGATATGCTCATCTCCAATGATTGTCCCGGATAGTGATGTATGATACGTGGCGGTCATGTTAACAGCATCAAAGGTCTGCTGAACAAGGGCTTCACTACCGTTCCGTCTATAAAGCACTGTTGGATACCGCAGGCCCTGTGCCAGGTTAACACCATGGGTGAAGCCGCTAGTTTTAAAATTGCCGTCTTCTGGGAAGACGCCTTTGACGAAAAACTTAGTCCAGTCCCTGCCGCCAACACGGCCGCCCTCAAACAAGAGATCAATTGTCTCAAGGATGACGTCCCCATTATCACGGGGATGGTTTTCGTACAGCCACATCAGGGAGATGGGCAGCTCGTGGGTCCGCGATAGGCCAAAGCCGAAAGGGTCGAAGTTGTCTTCCTGAGATTTGTCCTGCAGTAAACCAGTGAAATTGTCTTTGAGCATGGAGTGGGCTAGTTTCGTAAAGCGGTGCATAGCATCAACAATACGTTGTTCTTGGCTTTTGTCGGCTTCGGCGTATTGCTTTACTGGTTAGTACTTGCTCTTTTTTTCAGCCTGTTGGGTCCCTACTGTTAAGCCAAATGCTAGCAGGCTTCTCGCCCATATACCCCGTGTTTGCCTTGTTGTCTCGGGCCCGAGCCAGCCGTCATCAGCTTGATTGTCAAGTACATAATCGAGGAACTGCCGTGCTTGTTTCTTTAGTCGCGGATCATCAAGCGTCCAGGCGAGAGGCACGATGTAGTTGAACCAGTAGGGCGCCGACTCGTGAAGCTCACTATACTCATAACTACCCCCGAGCCAAGTAGAGCGGGCAACGTAGCGGTAGAAATCGAATAGATAACCACCGAGGCCGTCCGCCGACAGCTGGATCTAGTCACGTAGCCAACCCTGTGGCCGAATGGACCCGAGGGGGAAATGATCAAACTTGAAAGGCACGAGGGCTTGGATATCAGCAATGCCATCGAGAATTGGGCTCAGCACTTACAAGCTTGGTGTGCGACAGCAGACGACATGCTCGCCAACAGAGATGTAAGGACAGCAGAAATTTTCATGGTGGCAGACAGTCAACATCCAGTGGCACTGTCTTAAAATGGTTCTGTGACTGAAATATCGCTTAATATAAAGGTTTTAGCCGTAGAACCCGAGGATATTTTTTTTTTCCCTCGCTCAACTACGCGATGCCCCAATTGGTGGCAGTTTACCAACTCACTTCCTCGTGCGGAGATGATGAACATCCAGAAATACTGTTTATAGGTTGGAGTTGTAGGGCACTGTCGGTAAATGCTCCGGTAGACTGCCCGGACCTAGTATCTTCGCTTGGTTAAAGATTATTCGTACAGGTCTAGTCCACCGAGGCCCACGAGGGACCATCTACACTTGGCGAGCCTGACCACTACGTAATGGCACAGCCTCTCCAAAAGCATAGAATAATAAAAACCGGGCCGCGGGCTCTCCGCTATCCAATATTGAAATATATAAATTTTGCGGATATTAATGTAGAGTGTACTCCCGTGAGGTTTCGCGTCATCCGGGATTCGGAAAAAGGCTCGGACAGCTGTCCGAAAAATTTCTGAGATATTGGGTTTGTATAGAATCTCAGAGGTGGTTTTTGGCCTTGGTATTGGCTTTATAAAGGTATATCTAGACAAATTATTGCTAAAGAAAAATGAATGGTCCTATATGCGATGTGAAGATAGACCTCATTAATGCATCATAGAGACTTCAGAGTGTCATTCGGCCAGGTCATCCAGTCTTCCCAGTATGTGCCTAGATATTTACTGGCGGATTCTATCATGAATCGACCAGTATCGCCAAACACCCAAAACCCACGGTCGCGATATAGGAGCACGGCCCAATGGGCTAGAACTACCAGTGCCTCTGGTCTTCGCTGTTTAAGCATTTGTAGATAGTCGAAAGAGACGAGTACTGGCCATGCCATCGTGATATGTGGATGGAGCTCGTCGGGGAGACCACGCCGCCGCCCAATGACCCACTGGAGCGACTTGACAGCCTCACAGCATGAATTGAATGAGGCGGGACCGAGGCTTTCGATGGACGCTGTAAGATGGGCCAGGAGCCCGTCGCACTCACCGCAAGAGACGGTTAGCTAAGGGTCCAATTGATCGAGTGCGCTTATTGGGTCGATGATATGTTTCATCTCAGTCTCATTAATGATGTGCCAGGACTTTCGAGTAACGGTGCGTATTCCGCGATGAAGGGCAATGAATTGGATAAGCTTGTCCAGAAACTCGGTAAAATCTCTCTGGTAGATGGTTGTGTCGAAAAGCGTGTGCAGGCTGAGGAATGAGGAAAACAGGAACATGGCGGTACAATTTTCATCAGAAACCCTCGGTTGGGCTGCGTTGAAGTAGCCGAGAGCTCGCGTCTGGAGCTGTGCCGCCTGGTGGAGGTATTGGTTCTTCTCTGCCGGATCAAACGCCTGGGTACTCAGATGAAGAGCAGCCATGGCGAGAAGCTCATCCATCAGAAACGGAGTCGTTATGGCGGATTTAAAGATCAGCTTGGCGATCTCCCCTGCTTTCGTGGCATCAGGGAAAAGACCTGCATCACCGGAGTTGAGCAGATTGCTTTCGAGGTGATGTAGGAGGGCGAGATGGCCGAGGTTGTAGACATTTGGTAGTAAGCTTTCGGTCCCGGATTCAACCCCGTCCGCAGGACAGAAACCGGCTGCCCCGATCGCGGCCACAAGATTTGCTGGGGAGGAACTGGGTGATGTATCAGACGCAGTGGGGGTTTGGGACGAGTTCGCGAGTGTAATCATCCCAGCATCGTTGGCACCTAATCGTTGGCTGTAAGAGCACTCGCGGTCACAGGTAGAGCAATTGACGCAGGTCGGTCGATGCTCGTCACATTTCATATGACGTCGTTTACATTGCTTGCAACCATTGCGCGATTTGCGGTGCGGCCGTCGGATTGTATTGCTGGGCGGGTTAGCATCTCGGGCTTGTTTGGAGATGCGCGCCATTGGAAAGGGAATCGATTCAAGCAGCGAATCAGCAAATGAATTCAGAAGAGCCGAGAGGACGGACTGTGCGTATCGGAGAAATCAGCTAGCACAACTGAGGAAGAGCCTCCTTGCATGGGTTGAGCGCATTCAATGAGCTATACGGTGGTGGCGCGTATTCTACATGAATACGGCTTCGAGTAGAGATTTCACGCGCTCGGAAGCTTGAAAAGGAGGAAGATACTGTGTGGGCTAGCGCTGGAGAGAGTAATGAGCATATCGAAGCTCAAACGTATACGGGGTTAAATCGCTACTGACAATACGTAATCAATCACCTTGCACCATTAACCTTTGGACGACCCATGGCTACTACAGTAGGTAGTTTGCTAGAAACTGGAATCGAGATACGGAGTATGGAGTACTAGCGGTCCAAAATGTTGGGTGGCTTAGCCAGATACGTAATGAAGCCCCTGACATTCTGAATGCTAGTGGTCCGTATAGGCATTGGCGACGTCGAAATACGCGTATTCGACGTATTGGCGTATTGGTTATTCTGAGGTGCCGATTTTCTAGTTCCGTGACAGCTACTACTCCGTTATGGGGACAATAATCGGCTGCGGTTCTTCTATTGAGGATATGACTTGCCCCACAAACTTCAGTCAGACTTTTAGCAGTAACTCTAGATGTTGTCGTAATCTCTTTGGTGTTGGGCTTGGGATTGGTGACTAGGCCGGCTTGGACTGACACCTCATCAAAGTCGCCCGCAGGGGCTTCGCGGAGAGTGTGAGCTCTCTCCCACAGTTTGCGCACAAATGTGCCCCCGTGCCAACGGAGGATGAGATTGTGTAAGTTCCCTTTTGCCTGGCCGATGCCGTTAGATACATCAGTCATAAATGAGAAAGTTAAGTTTTAGAAGAGCTGGTAGCGTTTGCATTCGGTTTATTTGCTAGCCGACTAAAGCTCAGACGGTTCCAGGCAGGGCGTAGCCGAAATCTCTATTTGAGTACGACTCTGCTGCAGACATTGTTCCAATGGTATGCTTATTGATGTAGAGAATAAATCAGCCATAACTTCACCATAGAAATGATTTCACGAGGAATTAGTGTAAAGCATGCAAAGCGTCGTATAAAGGTATATTGGATTATAAATGCTTCGTACCATAGCGGTTTATACTATAGACGCTTAAAACAGCTACCATCTACCCATAAATTCCTTGAAATGTGATGCGACATTTCTTCTTCCCCATCTAAGCCGGCTCAACCCCGATCATACAAGAGGGGGAAAACAGTACTAAAGAAATCTGGTACACCCGAGCCTATAGCCACAAATTTAATGATCGTTTGAACTTTGTAAGTTAGCCTCATCCACCCAATATCTTGCAGATTTGGAATCCTTGCGATAGTTGTAAAGCTGAAAGCCGCTGGTGAATGGTTCCTGTCCCTTCAGAAGCATCCCGATTTCTCCGGGGTGCTTCCACAGTAGCCAAACAACGACGATAAACATAGGAAGACTGTCTAAAACATAGAGAAATACTTCGCTTGTCATCAAATATCCGGAATTTCCCTGAGCATATTCCACGACGCGATACAGAGATCTGATCATGATCAAGGCGCTGACAAAGTAGAGCGTATGGAGGTAGTTTTGCCAGCGAATTCCGGGCTTCAGAGAAGATGCAGTCGGGACTAGTATCATACGCCGGTGGAAGGTTGCAGCAACGATTACGAAAAAGATGAACCACAAGAGCTGCAATACAAGCCCAGCGATGATTATGCCGTTCCCGATATTGGTCATGGATTGGTTGTCTCGGCTCCCAGCCATGAGGCCACCACCTGAATCTCAGTTAGATAACATTGTGTAAGACGCACAAAGCTTTGAGGAGGATGCGAAGAAGGACTCACCTCCTGACTGAAAGAGAAAACACAAAAGATCACCGATGACGAAGGTTTTCGTAAGCCAGCGCTGCTTGATGATAGAATGTATTTCGCCATCTGTCAACAGTATGATTCTTCCTAGAATCATGTATATAGAGGCCGCAAACAGCGGAGGGCCCAACAAGATATACATGTTCTGGATGATGTATGGCATCAGTTTCCAGCAGCCCGGCTCTTGGCTCGCGGAAGCAGCTCGAGCGGCGTAGCCAACGAATTTGACTGACGGGAGAGTTAGCAATTAGAATGGTTCGCGGGGTTTTTTTTCTTTCTTTTGGTTTTGTAAGACTACACATACACAAGCACCCAAACACCAGCGCTGTCAGGAACCAGGTCTTTGTTTTGAACATTTGAAACAGATGCAAGCCTGTTGCGACTAAAAATAAAAGGCAAAAGATAACAGCAGCTGCTACCGATGGCACATATCTGTAGAACGACCACGTTGCATGCAACCAGTCGGGGTTACAGACAATAGCCATTTTGGGGGGCGGATACGTTGTATGAGATTGGTGGATGGATTTGGATCAGTAGATAGGACGATTGAGAACAGTAGAATGCAGAATTCATGGGTGTGCTGAAAGTTGGGAGAGTTGGGTTATATCTAATTTGCGTCTTATTTCTCCATGCTCCATCATGGCACAATAAGCCGTGACAAAGTGTGCGCGGCAACTATCTCCAAGACAAACACGGATTATTCCAACCACAGACGCGGCAAGGAAATTACTCGCTTAACAATCGCCATTTATGCCCTGTGGCATAGGCCATGTGTGAAACAGCGCGTACAGACGAGTCGACCCAAGCTCGGGGCTGAAATACGTGGGAGAAAGATCGCATACGCGGAAGAAGGATCGCATACGCGGAAGAAACGTCGAATACGTGGAAGAAAGGCTGAATCCGCGGGATAGCAACTCGCCTGTGGTGTGGGTCTAAATGAGCCAAGGATGCGACTGTCCTTCTAAATATGGTGCAGTTTCGTCTGTGTATAATAGCTTCTGATTGTGAGCTGTTTGCTTGGTATATGTCAACAATAAGAACTACAATTTACCAACCTCTTATACAATCCTTTTCCCATGTACTTTCCAAAATGCCTCCCACCTCTGCACAGCACCTTCGCCATGTTCCTGTCGAATTTTCCCAAGCCAGGCCTCATCTCCATTCTCAATAAGCTGGTAGCCTTGCTCTTTGCACTTTCCAAGCAAGATATCGACAATATCCCAGTGACCTCTGATAACGGCTGCGTTCAAAGCATTTCCATACTTACCCCCCGATATGCTTATTTGTGCTCCCCTTTCTAATAGCATGCGAATCGATCTCGTCTGACCGGAATATGCCGCTGCTTGCAAAGCTGTGCCAAATATTCCGCTCTGGGCATTAACATCAATACTTTGACAATTGTTGGCAGTAAGAAGAGTCATTGCCCCATGACCTAAAGAATCAAGATTAGTATATGCAGGAGATGCGCGATAATCATCTAGAACTTGTGGTTGCACTGCACATGCTGCTTGGAGTGGAAGGCCATATATGCCACCTGCAAGGTTGACATCAGCTACTAGGTTGAGCAGGAGCTGAATTTTACTCGCCCATGTTGCTTGTAAGGCATCAATATTCCAGTTGTTGGCTCTACCGTATGCCGTATACCATTGCTGTGATAATACAGCATGCAAAGCCGTGGCGTATGGGTAGGTCTCTGGGAGCACATGGTTGACTTTTGCACCGTGTTCGTGTAGCAGCCGTAGTAGCTGGAAGTTATCCAGATTGTCACAGGCATTTTGAGCAGCAGCATGCCATGCACTCCCGTATTTTCCACCCACAAAATGAATATTCGCACCGCGTTCCAGTAATAGACGTACTGTATCGAAACCACCACTGCTGGTTGCACAAGCCGCCTGTAGTGCAGTTCCATATTCACCACCTTCAAGATTCACCTCAGCGCCATGGTCCAGCAAAAATTGTACAATAGCAACACGCTTTGTAGTATCATGGGGGGTCCCGGTTCCGCAAAAGGACGCTGCTTGCAATGCCGTGCCGTATTTACCACCTTGGGCGTTGACGTTGACGCCGCAGTCAAGCAAGAGCTTCAATATTTGAATATCAGGTACCATCCAAGGATGTCCACACGCCGCTTGCAATACGGAATCAAACACACCACATCTGCTGTGGACATCAGCTCCATGATCAAGCAACAGCTCGACGAGAGGCAAGTCTCCCTCATAGCAAGCAGTATGAAGAACGCTTCCACATTCCCATACTGGATCCCAGGTGCTTATATCAGCGCCATTTTCCAACAGTAACTTCACCGCGGAATGGCCGAAGAAAACCTCGTCTGCCTGAAACGCATTTCCATGCTTTTCTCTGAAAGTGTTCACATCTGCCCCTCTTTCGATAAGAAGTAGGGCTATTTGAGCCATGTATCCGTATTCTATAAAGAGGGTGTTCGTACATGCCCGGTACAAAGGGGTACCATATGTCTCAGTTGAGGCATTCGGGTCCGCGCCAAGATCAAGTAGACGTTTCATCCGCTCCAGTACACAGTCTAATGGTCTTGCTTTATGCACAAGCATCTTTAGTGACATCAATCCGTGAAGAGGATACCCCAATTTTCCAGGAAGATTGGCGTCTGCGCCCTTGTCGAGCAACAAGTCAAATTTATCCCAGTATCCGTGGCTTGCTGCTTCATAAAGCGCAGATGCATTACAGTCAACGATATTGACATCAGCTCCATTTTCTAGCAGATATTTAAAGCATTCAGAATGCAACTGGGCCGATGAAAGGATGCATTTTGTCGTATCTGGCGTGTAATTTATTTTAGCCCCGCGGCTTAGCAAGAGCTCTAACGTAGCAAGCTGACCATTTCGTCCTGCAAGTTGCAAAGGTGTTGATAGTGTTAACGCCCCATCCCAATCGCCAAAACTTGAACCTTCGGCTTCAATATCAGCCCCCTTATCTAGGAGGAGGCTGACGATAGCTAGATGTCCTCTAGACGTTGCAGCCAGGAGTGCATTACCGAATGGCTTCCCCTTTGCGTTCACGTTGGCACCCTCGTGTAGTAGCTTCTCTACGATCGCTTTGTTTCCCCCAAGTGCTGCATCTTGGAGTGCCAAGTCCAGATCTTCTTGCGTTCGATACCGGTTTGCACCAGAGTCTTGCGGAAGAAGCAAATTTGTCAACTGAAAACACCCCCGCCGGGCGGCGTAGAAATGCGGTCGTTGCAGCATGCGTTCAACATCGGTCGGTCCATATCTTACAGAGAGCATCTTTTGTAAACTATGGCTTCGAGCTGATAATGCATTCAGGGCATTTTCAGTCATTGTTGTAGGCCAAAAAACATAAGGAATCTTTTCCAAATGCATCGGCCATTTGCCACTTGCGTAGCGGCGTAATCTCCAGTGATGCTTTGAACTAGCATAGTCGAAATGTGAAGAACTGAGTAACTTGTGGTAAGCTATGCACGAACGTGCAATCCAAAGGTGGGCGTCGATATCTGTGAACGAAAAATCTGACATAAACCCTTCGCGCATTCGATCAGATGTTAAATATTCTCTGATAGAAAAGTGCGCTAGGCGAACTTTCACCTCTCCTGGCGAATAAGAGTAGTCATGATAAAAGGCGTCCTTTCCCTGGATATAATCCTGTTGGTCGTCAGGCCTGACCTTGTATGTGATAACGAGTCCTGAAAGGTATTTCAGGACGTCGTCAGAAGAGAACAGCTGATCTTCAACCGTCAGAACAGCATCACAATCTGGACGTAAAATAAAGATGTCTGCAAGCATATCAAGGGTTAAGATGTCGTTTGAAAAGCAGAGCCACTTCAACAGACTTATAACTTCCTGGCGAAAATTGGAGTGTATGTTCTGAAACATTCGGTTATATGTCTCATCAAGGCCGGTAGGGAGATTCTGCAGGGCCTCGTTAACTCTGAACATCGAATTTGATCCTCGTAGTGCTTCAAACTGATAACGGACGTATTGGAACCTGAAATTATGTTACTCAAAGTGCGAGGTGTAGTTTTGAATCAGAACTCATTGGATGACTCACATGCCATCCGACTTTTCTATGAGAACTTTTCTTGCTTGAACTTTAACTTTTTCCGGCCAAGACTTATATTCTTCATCTGACGAGAGAGTAGAATCCACGTATCTTCCAATATCATTGTCAATCATATTTCGTTCAGACAGTAGATCAAGTTCGACTCTTGTGGGCGCAGAGAGCGCAGGTGATAGTCCGGCCCGAATATCTGGTTCGTTGCGGCTTGTGCACAGTATATGGAGATTATCCGGCGCATTTGTTAAAATGCTGCGTAGGGACTTCAGTAACCTTTTTCGATGTCCACCGAGTTCGGCACATTCATCCAGCCCATCGATAATAATGTAAACAGCCGAAAATCCGTACACACTTGATAGCAGTACTTCTTCAAGTCTTGCAGTGTCCGGTTGGCCACCTTTAGTCTTAAATTCGCCTAGTTTCTGGGCTGCTTCTGGTATATCTGGTCGACAGCAACATATTTGCTTGATGAGTGATGATAGCATTGTATTCACGTTATGCTCTGTTGAAAGAGTAAAACTAAAGTAAAAGTAAGCCACGGCAACAGTTGGACATTGAATGCACTGAGTCTCCAAGTATTTAATGACCGTTGAACTTAAAACCGATTTCCCACAACCGGCTATGTTTGTCAGTGGGAGAGCTTAGAAGAGTGAAATTTTAGACATACCTTTGCCATGAATCCATAGAAAAGAACCAGAGTTATCTTTCCACGCTCTGAACTCTGGGCTCTCCTGCAGTAACCATTCACCTGTACCATTCTCGTGCATGTCGCGGTTAGTATTGTAAAATAATGTTGGATCCGCATTGGATAGCCAGCTGAGTAGGTCTTGGCGACCTTTTTGTTCATTGGCATCTTGTATGACTTTCTGGAGGCTAGAAATGGAGATATTGGTTGTTCCCCAGTTCTGCATTATTTCCTCGTGTCGGCCTTTGGCAGTAACACATTCCTCGTCATATTGCATATCGCGCCAAATCTCACTGACTTGAATGAATACTTGGTTTTCCTCACGCACCTTGTCCATGAGAGCATCCCAATCATTCCACTTAACGATATCAAGTCCAAGACGAAAAGCTCCGTTATTAGCATAATAACAATAACTTGTTATCTGAAAGCGTAAAATTTCCCTGTACAGCGCTTCCAAAACTTTCTTGTAATCATCGTGAAGTAGTTCAAAATCGCCGATTGAGCCACGAGACTCATAACGGCGATGATACAGTTCTTCCCGCATACGGCTCTGCACGATGAGCGAAGAAATGCTCTCCAAGCCTTTTGAAAGAGATGCTGCTTGAGTGCTTGGGCGAAGGAAAAGCTACATGATCAGTTTTACCGCCTCTGTTTTGCATGTGTATAGAGATACTCACAGGCAATAATAAGCTTACACCAGCCCACGCAATTGATGCATACATATTAGTATTTAGAGATGTGGTAATGTAGTCGTTTGCGTGACTGATGATGGCTAGGATAGGTGGCAAGAGATCCCTCATGTGGATCTCTGCGCCGCCAAACTTGAGTTTCCAAGCGTCTTGAGTAACTTCATCCATCTTCTTCCTCAATATGACGTCCATTTACTCTCGCACATTTTCCTTAACGCCCAATGGCAGTATTAAGGCGGTAGATGCATTGCCTTGAAGTTTCCTCTCATAGTCTTCAACAAGCGTGGAATCCTCTATTTTAAGCCTCTCATATGCTAAGCTCCACAGTTCTTTGATAGGAACATGTATGAGATTACCCTCAGATCTTGATACTGAGGATCTTGGTAGGCTTGACGAGCTTTGAGCTGGTTCGAGGGATGTGACATTTGACAATATGGGCGACGGGATCGCATGGGAACTGCTGCTATTGATGAGCGCTATCATGGGCATTGCTTCAGCACCATCTCGACTGGCCTCTCCATTTTCATCATTATTTTTCTTTTTCTTGCTCCTGAATACTCTTTTGAACTTCCCCTCCAACCTTTGTTTTAAATCTGTTGATGAGGACCTATTTGCCATCATGAAAAGCACCGCACAAAATTTGACGATTCAGTAGACGTAAAACGCTGATGCAGAAATTATAAAATGAAGAAATTTGAGGCTCAATGCGCGAGATTTAATTTAAATCATACACGTATCCTAGATGCCAAACACCAAATGCAGGGCTGACCGAACTGCAAAGTTGCCTAAGGCAGCAACAAGGTTGATCCATGTAACCTCTCAAGGCTGTGAAGTGCATATGTGCGTGCATGTACTTCCAAGGTTGTCAATTTCTGATGATATCGAATATACATTGGTGATTTCACTGCGACAGCCAAAAGCCCTTGTAGTCCTACCAATGGAAACACGGCAGGCAAGAATAAAAGCTTTCGCCGCGAAGACCACGTTGCGATATGACATGGGTTTAGCTGATGATACCAGTTACAGACGATGCTCAACCAAATGGGGGAAATAGCTCCAGTGCGTGGCCATGCTAAATTACATATACATACTGATTAGTCTTCTATTGAACGTCTGGCATGCTACAGGTAGTTAGTCTCATGTCAACTCGCAGTTCGGAGGCAGCTGCAGAACACAAATAATTCGTTTGAGTCCTTCAGACTATTACACAAAGGTGAATCGTGAAACCGCCTATTGTGATTCATGGCCGTCTTTATAGAGGCAAGTATAATAAATTGAGCCGAACGAAGCATGGAAAGGAGCAGCAGCTGCTCTATATAATTGCCGCTTCGAATGCATGAAATCACCAAGACATTGGCAATTGATAGTCTTGCCAATGATCTTTCGTGTCAGCTTCCCTCCATTTCTCGATTCCACCAGCTACACCATCAACATCGACTGCCCACTTTCCCTTCTCCACCATATCTGCCCAGTGCCACAGTACATGCTTTAATTGCACGTCGTGCGTCTGGATGAAATGGTTGAGTCCCTGTTGGTATAATTGTGTGCTACGTGGCACTGGGCTCGCTGTTGGTCCTTTGGCGTGCGTCTTCTCCCCAAATAGTGCGCCATCGCTTGTCCGAGCCCAGCCATTTTCTCCGATAGCATAAGGCAGGATAAGCTTGCAGCCGTCTTCAAATGGATGCGCGCCGTGTGGATCCGTCTCCGTGAGATAGATCCCGGCAGGGTAACTTGTTATATCTCCAAAACGCTGCGGAAATTGTAATATGGGAACTTCTTCTCCCCAAGGCGTTTGTTCCGTATCTTGATGAGCCTCCTGACTGCTCTCAAAAAGAAGGATAGGCCTTATCTTCCCTTCTTCAACGTTGATTGATGAAAATGGCTGTTGGCGGGCTATACGAAGGCCAGGTGCGATCTGGCTAAATCGAGTTTCCCGAGCCCGCGCCAGGAATTGGCCTGCGAAGCTGTTTGGTGAGAGCACGCTCGAACTTATCGCATCTCCAAGGCGGTGCGTTTCATTACTCCGAGTCGCAGGTATGCGAGACTCAACCGCATGTGTCAGTCGGCTGAAGGCTTCGAGAGTCTGGTCCAAGTCACAGACCGTATAAGCGGGCATAGTCCAAGGCCCGATTTTTTCTTGCTCCCCATCATAGGAGGAATCCACCGCAAGTGCCTTGCCTTGGTCTATCATGTCAAGGAAGGCTTCAAGGATGAGCTCGAGTGGCAGCCAGATTTGTCGACCGTTCATTGTGATATTTGTGTCATGAATAGACATGTGCTGCATTGCCATAGAGGTCTGCTGATCAAAAATGAGACCCAGTGGATGATTTGCGCCCAGAGCCCAACTTGCCATGTAGAGTGTCACGTAACGCGCTTTGTTCGAGTCATCCTCGCCGTCGCCGTAGTGGGCGTTCTCCCAAAGATCATCCGGTGAGCAAAGCCCCGAGAGGTACCTGAAGAATGCGTGTTGTGGTTGTGCTGTAATTGCGTAGCCATGCCACGCTGTTTTGAGAAACGCAATCACAGAAGGGCTCAATTTCGCAGCGTGTGGTGACAGTTCCGCGTCCCCGCCATAACACTCCCACCACGACCGACGATCGAGATTGCTCAAGCTGCGACCGCTTTCATTCCATCCTCGCTCAATGATGAGATTGTGTAGAGCGGCACATCGTTCATGGTCAAGTCCCTCAGTTTCTCGGAGTGGATGCTCAGCTGTTACTCGCCATTGTGACATGGTTGCAGTGGGACCGTGTCAGGACTGTTCCAGAACCACGTCAACACCAGATAATGTGTCTGTCTGATGATAGCGTTGCATTAATAAAGCAGAACAACCATCTTTTTGTGACTGGTTCGTCGGCCCGTATATACTTCCGATTACCCCCGTTGCCTTGTTGCAACCACCAGAAATCTGGTTGGAAATAACAACAAGATCGTTGGATTGGCAAATTAGATCCCTCTGCATAATGGTGTGTTAGGTACAGAGTCCTGTACCAGACTTGTGGGTCGCAGTTTTATAGCGTAGAACTTGGCTCTCTGTTCACTCACTACCCGGGTATAAGTTTCAAGTTGTCATCGACTAAGAGAGATATAGGCACACGAGTAATATACATGTAGTTCGATAATGTATTCATGCAGATCTCATTCCAAGGCAGAAATAGAGCTGTATGCTTGCACTGTGTTGGAGCACGTCTGGATTGCCCCGCGCCGACGGGCCGACATCAGCTAAGCCGAAGTGCCGCTGTAACGCAAGATCCTGGAGGAGGGACAAGGGAAAGACATGACATATTCCTTGTTCAAGCTTTGTTTTGACTCATTCTCTGCCGAGATTGACATCCACAGCCGCGCCAAGCCTTACACGAGATGGTATATCATCATGTAGGCTGTGAGTCAATACTATGTGCCCTGCAGAATGCTACCTAGTAGTCTACAGGTTGACGCTCCTTGTGTGACGTCCATATTGCTGCAGCTGTGGGGGAAATATTGTGTTCAGAACTAGCGATCCAATAGGATATTCTACTTTCCTCCCTAGTTTTGTGTCCCTGAGTTGCAGGATAGTACCAACACTTTGTGCCACCAAATCTATTTAATTGGACACATCTCGTCCTTCAGTTCAAGAAACCGAGAAACTTCAATTGACTCGCAAACATCACGCCATCTGCCAACATTCCTCTGCATAATTTGCCATGGCGACAACCTCGAACTCCACATCCACGGGGACCATTGTCTTTTATGACATCGGGCATAAGCCCCCCGTAACTGAGTCGTGCTGCTCACCGAATCCGTGGAAGACTCGCCTTGCGCTCAACTTCAAAGCTGTTCCGTACTCGACGTCGTGGGTTGCCATGCCCGACATCGCGAAAGTACGCCGCAGCCTGGGCGAAAGTGCCGGTCGCAAGTTTGCTGACGGTTCTGATTTCTATACCTTGCCTATGATCCATGATGATGCCACTGGTTCTACAATCAGCGACTCCTTTGACATTGCTGTCTACCTGCAGCATACATATCCCGACTCGGGCGCTGGCGACTTGTTTCCGCCTCAAACTCTCGATTTCACTTTTACGCCTCCCTTTGACCTGGCTGTGCCACTGTCAGAACGCGGAGATGGTGGCTTTCCCGAGTATTATCGATTCAATACAAACGTGGATGCGGTATTCACCACCCACACTCTGCTCATGGTGAGCGGCATGCCGCTTGATCCGGCGACGATTGAGCAAACCAAGGCTGAATTTGTCCGTCGTGCTGGTGTCCGCTCTTGGGATGATTTCACCTTGACCAGCGAGGCCCGCGAGAAGCTCATGGAATCCTTTCAGGGCGCGCTGGGCGACCTGGCCAAGCTGTTCCTTGAAAATACTGAAGGCCCTTTCTTGCTAGGGCAGCGAGCTAGCTACGCGGACTTGATTGTCGGTGCTTGGTTGCGAATGGCATACGTATGTTTGCCCAAGTCTGAGTGGGAGGAAGTGAGATGCTGGCATGATGGTGTTTTCGGGCGGCTGCATGACGCGCTGGATACGTTTGCGGAAGTGAAATAAAACCTTTCAGATTGAGCAATGATAGGGCTGTAAAGACTCAACTTGATAAAAATTAAACTACAACATTGTATAGATCATGTATCAATGACCCACCCTGCAGCAAATTTTTAAATACATTATATCCGAATCAGCTACACTGCATCTCCAGATGCAGGAGAAGTCGAGTCCCAAAATACATTCAGTACTCACATTGTTTCAACAATTAATATCAGCTAAGTTTTACAATACGGTATGCATGATGAAGAATCCCCATTAACGCCTGAGGCTGTCCCCCTTCAAATCTGGAAGATAATAAAGAAATCCATATGCTACGTTTAGAACTATTCATATATGACTAATGGGGGACATAGGAAAGTAACCTAAGTTAAGTTTATTCGTACCTGCAGCCGTAAAAAATACCTTTGTGTGGTTTCAATGGCTAAATAGTCAATTTATTGCAATCCTATTTTTAGAGTCCTATGTTGCTCGTATAGGATGGTACCCGAAGCAGGTTCTGCGATGGTCCCGTTGTACACAACGTCTTGACTGAGGCCTTCTCTGTCCATCCTCAACTGATCCCAGACCTAACCACATGAGAGATCTAAAGAAGCGGCCCTTGAATTAGAGCTACAGATTATGTTAGCCATCGTCTAATGAGCGATCATGGTGTCCGTACACAGTAGTAGACGCTTCGGCAGATGTTACCGTCGCCGCCAAACAGTTGTCGGTTGTTATCTTTATAACAGTTGAAAAATCTCTCTCTATTTTCGCCCTGTCCAGCATATTGGCCAGTAGCCAAGTTCTGTGCTCCAGCGTTGATGTTGCTGGTAAACCTGTCGCCAGACGGGAAGTTGCCGCTGCGAACGGTGCCCTCCCAAGTAACCACATCTGCACATCCAAAGCCTTCTACACACGCTTGATTGTTAGCAGCCGGGAATTCAGTGCCGCTTGGGTCGCCGTCCGCATAGTAAAAGAAGGCGCTGTGCAGCTGGCCATTGGAAGTGTACTGGCAATTCGAAAGGAAAACCTGCTCAGCTGCCACAGAGAATACAAGGCAGGACAGGGACAGAAGTGATTTATACAGCATGTTGAAGATCAGTTTATAACTTGATGGGTGAAATGGCCTTGAATGTGAGTGTTCGAGTATAACAATGATTCATGGAGATGAAGAAATGCGTATCATTATATAGCTGAATCATCGGGCCAAGCCTCGGTCCTCGTCATATGACAACCTCTTCTAAAAAGAGGCAGTAGTGCGAACCACATACCAATGTATAAGATGTTGCAAATCATCAATTTCTCCCATACATCATGCAATTGCTGTTGGAATCTTACACAGAGCTAGATCCCCTAAGTTACTAGTCTTCACTTCTGCGTTCTCCTATAGGTGGTATTTCTAGAATAGAAGGCCGCGGATTTAGATGCTAAAATCGCCGGTTGGTGTAAATAGTGGATCAAAGAACACAGATCGCATCAGCAAACAGCAGAGATTGCATCAGCAAAGCCCCATTCACACTAACCATATATACTATAGATGATTATTTGTGTATATATAGTGTAAAATAATTTGGTTGATTCCAGCAAAGCTTATAAGGTATGTGGAATTATTGCTTACTGGTGGAGGCATGCAGTTCTTTTTTCCTCGGATTGCACGCACTATACTTATGATATATCACATTTTTGATGCTGATAAACAGCTGAGTTATAGTCATACAACACAATCAGCATTTAATGCTAGATAAGCGTGGTAATGGCAATATCGTATTATAACTTCTCAGGTGCTGTTAAGAATACTAATTCGAGACGGTTTGTTGCACCCCGCCTTGGCCGCCCCAGCCTTCCACAGCCAAAACCTGATAATTCATGGTGCCCAAATTCATTCCTAACGATCTCCATGCATTGAAGTGATTTGCAACAGTGACTGTGCCACTGGATCTTTTGGAATTCCGCACGGAGATGTACTGGTTAAAGGTTGCTGTGCCCTGGATAGAAGGCTCATTGACACGCGTGTTCTCCCAGATCGTGTAGCTTGATCCGTCACTGGTGACACTACCCTTCACCGTGCCGGCAGAAGGATAGGCAAAGTTGTCTTCCATGATGTAGTATTCAACAAGAGGGTTGGTGCTCCAGCCATAAACAGAAAGCAGGCCAACTCCACTGCCGACACCAAAGTTACCGCTGAACTTAATGGGGCTATAGAATCTTAGTATCAGCAGAGGAATGAGAAAGAAAGAGTAATGATTCTTACGCAGATCCTCCAGTGCTCCAACCAACTCCTACGACGAAGTCATTTGGAAATGACCAGTTGACCGCGAATCCTGTGTTTGAGTGGGTGTAGACAACATCGCCGCCAGTAGTGTAGTCTTGGTTATAGTTTATGGCAGAGCGGCGAACGGCATTATGTCCTCCCAGAACGAAGTCGCTGGGTCCACGCTCGGTTATGTTAGCATTGAGAGACTCATCCAAGGGAGCAGCCAAGGAGCTGCCGATGCCAACTAAGGCAACCAAAAGTGATGAAAATTTAACCATGATGAAGATTCACTTTGTGAAAGCAGTGATAAGATGATAAGATGCTGTTGATATGAGCTCAAGATTGAACACTTTAAGTTTATATACATTTCGCACCAACGGAAACATTTGGAGTATCTTCATATTAACTGACATTGAAAGGAAGATTCGTCAACATCCGCTTTCGGATTTTGCCTAAAAGCGGCACATACCTGCTTTACGGCACGCAAGTGCCGATGGAAATTAATAGCCATCCATAAGGACAGGACTGATCTCAAGAGTTTGGAAGGTGATGCGTTGCACTAATACTGTTTCATTGGCGCGGCAAGCGGATCTGGGATCTGGGGTGCATCCGGTTAAGTATGGGATTTAGCCTACTAATTATACTGATCTATTTTCGGGGCTGCGGAAGAGTAGCATTCCAGACATCCGATATATACTCGCACGAGAGATTCTTAAGTTTAGTACGAAAGCAAGTTAGACATATGCTTAACTTTGTATTTTGTGATGCGGGGTGTTAGCCTCAGACATGCGTAGAAATTATGTGTTCTAAACACTGATAGCGCTAAGTATCTGCCAGCATGATCAAGCAGTTACCGTAAGTAGAGGTTAATACAATTTGTGACCAAGCAACCTGGCTTCCGCACATTCCGTTGTTCTCGTTCAATCCGTTGTTCTCGTTCAATCCGTTGTTCTCCTTCAATACTTGCCTCGGTTTTTATTTATAAACTAGTTTTCAGTCATATAGCTGTATCTTTAACGTTTGTTAAACTTCAAATGTTGTACCAAAAAATTGATAGGCCAGAAGTAGTAGTTGTAATGTAATGATTGGCATCGGATAGAACGGCAACGATTTTATTTTATTTCCATTTTTCTCTTATATGCCTGGCTTCAAAACTAAAGCTTTTTAGTGCTATTTTAACTTAAGCTTAACATAATTCTTACCCCGCATTGCTGTTATGAAGAAGCAACTTGAGATTACAAAATATGGACTCCATATTACTGATGTTTTTCAGTTAACCGTGACGCCTGCAAGCACAAGGTTGCATTTGCCTAAATGCAAAGATATTAGCCGGTTGTGCAGATACTGAGCTGCCGAATTTATCTGTACATCATTCTGTATTACTTCAGCTACGCCATACATTCAGAAGCGACAAAATCCATTCTTCCATTCTACCTTGATAAATCTCGTGGTAACTTTGGCTTTTCACCTATAGTGTAGATATACTACCACTCCATGATCTTGTTCTCCAATGATTCACCATTTTATAGCATCCGAAAAGATTCCTGTTACGCCCTTGAAGGAGAAACCATTTGAGCCAAAGTTCGGAACAAAATTACTATGGCATATAATATTGACGGAGCTATATTATGAATACAATACCAAAAGTTTTAACAGACTTCAAAAACCTCAAGAGTGACATCACGTTCCAGCGCAAGGCAGCTACAGAGATACCAGTACAAGCTGTTGCCCTCGCGCAGGCCTCTTGAGTCTTGATCTTTAACCATGCATTGTTGGAGTAATGCTCCAAAGGGGGGATCTCAAAGAATTACTGTTATTACTATAACGCAATTGTGTTTAAGTGATCTCTTACTTTTATATGACTATGGCTATGTGCTCTTGAGCTATCATCATAGTAATACTATCTACATGTAGCTGCGAGAGAAGTAACGTAATGGCGACTTTTACAGGAATAAGAATATCCCTTAGCCCCCCACTACCCACTACTCTATTGAAGAGCTTCCAAAAGTAGTTATCTAAGTCTCGTAAATTGCCAATTATATAATTGCGAAGATGCACATTTTATTCAGTACTCATGGTAGTTACTAATGGAACATATCGTTAGATGCTGTCGAGAGATTAATACATTACCTCCGGCGTGGATCGTGAGTAAGACTTAGATATACTTCTTATGGAACTTTGACTCCCCAAATGATTGAATAGACGAACCTGAACCCTGGCATGAATATTTCCAAAGACTATTTGAATGATGGAAAATACAAGGCATCTAGATGGGACTGAGCAACGCCCTTTTGAGCTAAGTTGCCTCTACAGAGATCTCTCACGACTTGAACATCTTGAGTGACGCCTTCAGCCGAAGCTGGATCACTGACTTACACCAAACCCACTGTGTTTGAGTTTAGTATGTAATAATTCCAATTAGAAAATTATTACAAACAAAGATACGTATACACAAGAAAAAGATCAAGATTATCCGCTCCAGAATCTAAGTGAACCCTGATCTGATGCTGATCAATAGAGGCATTATCTAGTGAGTGCAGGACCTTATCTGGGATTTCTCACCATATGTTGGGGTGCCTGGAGGTGATTGAGATTGCTGCAGATCATTCAATGATCGTTGACAATTGTGTCATAGCGGTGCCATCGGCGACTAATCCCAAACTCGGGAATAATCATGCAAGGAACTACTGGGGTATGCCTTCGGGAAATTTCTCACCCAACTTTAGTGGTGTCTTTATTACAAGTAATCATGAAGACTTGTCCGCGGTTATCTCCGAGAAAAAGCAACAAAGTAATACTACAGCGGCAAAAATTATTAATACGGCTCAATTAATTTCCATGTTGGAGTTATTTATATGTCCACGGCAGCCCACCACCCCGCGACAATAAGCATAGATCGCGACCTGGCGTGTAGAGTTACCAAGAGATTCCTGCGCTATTCACTTTACTGATTCATCCTATCTCGGAGAAGCAGGACTTTCTTTCTCTCCAAGAAACCGTCTGAAATCTAAAGATTATAATTAATGTCTAATATGTAAGCTTGCAAAGCTAACAATATGCATATTACTCTAACATCTCCAGGTCATTGCTAGACAATGCGATCGAGGCCGCCGGCGGCCTGGAATATTACAACTCCATCAAATCAATTTCCATCAATGCCTCTCTTTTGGGATCAATAATGGAGCATAAAGGGTTGACTTCTCAAGTTCTCAAATTTACTGTGGATACAAAGGCACAGAAAGTCGATTTTCATAAATTTGGCGATTTATTTAAGGGCATATATACTCCTCACAAAACAGAAATTTACTCTCAAAGTCCAAAGTCGCCGACCAGTATCCTCTACAACCCTCGCCCACGCTACATGGGATGTGGTAGTGGAACTAGGGAGGAATTACACTACCAATTGTACTTCTATGGCTATGCATTCTGGTACTACTTCAATGTACCATTTTGCCTCAAGCTTCCAGGATTCTCTACGAAGGAACTAAGTCCGTGCTATCGTGATGCCGGAGAGGTATGGAGAGTTCTGGAGATTGTTTTCCCCGACGACTTTCACACGCATACAAAAGTACATCGCCATTATTATGATGAGGAGTTCAGACTGCGAAGAATCGACTATTCTGATGACCTCCTAAAATCGGGCCCCGTGGCCCATTACTGCTATGACCATACAAAAGTTGGTAATCTCCTCATTCCCAGGTTTCGGTTGGCGAATTATGACTCTACATGGTTTTCACACAACGATGCGTTCATGTTACTCATAAGTTCGGTGGAAATCCACACAATGTCCGATTGGGGTAAATAAAAGAATTAAAAGATCTACCCTTTACTGCCCAATGCCAGAAGAGTCAATCATGGGTAGGTTACATGATGCCATGATAACGCGACATTGAACGCATGTGAACTCGCAATATACTAAGCAATTATATTACCGGGGTATCTAACGACATTTGCATCAATGAAGTCGTTTAGAAATAGAGAATATTAGAGATCGTTGCTCAATTTATGATTACTTCAATAGATTACGGACCATGACACTTAATGCATGATTACCGGAACAATCGGAATCGGACGTGCCTGTTTATGTAACTTTACTTATACAAAAAACTCCGAGTACATGCACTTCCTATCATGGGATTTGGCTTATATGTAACGCAGCGCTTGATATCATGCTGTACCCAGTAGCTATATGTACATAAAATTGGCAATTGTAGACAAATAAATGGGATCCATACCCAATTATGCTCCGCAGGCTACCATGAGAAACCCGAATCTAGAAATGCAATCTTATTTGGGGATCTTCCAATGCGTACGTATATGTATACGAATCATCAAGTAAATGGTGTGCTTGAGAACTTCGATTCAATGCGTGTTCGATGTATTGGGAATTGCCGAATTATTACTACCCAGGTAATCATGCATGAAACATCACGATTTCGGATCTCTTTAACTAGCCCGCGGCTGCAAAACTAAGAGCGTGCATGCAGATGCAGTCAGCTTTACGTAAAATTCCCCTGGCTCTCAAGGTATTCCCGAGTTCAAGTCTTTTGCAAAATTCGGCAGTTATGTTTGGCAATAGACGCTATCGAGACAAGAAAATAAAGGTCAAGTGTGATATGAACCTCCACCACGAAATATCACGATTCCGACTCGATTATGGTGTATCTACAGTCATGTACCGTGCTCAATGTACAACAACTCTTCACGTGATTACGACAACTCCGCACGAATGGCAGAGCATCACATGCCTAATAATCAAGCTCTCCTTACCCGTGATGAATGTAATTGGAATCATCATTGGCCTCACTACTAGCATTGACGTCAAGATTAAGATCTACGATTTTGCCCAGTCGGCTTACTGCACGGACCGGTCTTTTGAGATCGTTATATACACTGGTATGCGGCATTTGCATTACAAGAAGCTCCGCATAACCGCGCAGCTGCAAATCATGTGAGTCCAAAACGGCCAAATGACCGGTTAGTGGCTGCGTGTGCTTCCTGTTCCTCCGCAACGCCTTCCGGGATCCTCTAGTCTAAGTCGATAGTAGTCAGCTTAGGGTATCCGTATTCACCCAAAGAACCACGACGAGAACGCAGTGCAGCACCATCATCTCATTCAGCGGTCAGGATCAATTGTCTCATCATGTCGTAAGACCTAAGAAGTGACAGTGTGAGCGGCAAGCTTCGTTCTGCCAACATCGAGCTCAATCATAAAGTCAAAGTCGAGATGAAAGTGTGATGAGCCGTTTCCACTCCCGGCAACGTCTCTACAAGAGCCCTATTCCAGTGTATGTTTTGTACGATTTGATTAGAGTCCGACGAATCACTTGTTCTATCTCCAATGTCCTGTTCGCTGAGTACTCGCAGTGGGCGAGTTAGGCCTTAGCTCATCAGCGCTAGATACTAACCTCTATGTCATGATATGAGTACAATGTACCATCACCTCTCTGTATATTTTAGCCGGGAGATGTCCAGCTATGCTCAGTTTCCACCGCTACCACCCTATATGTGGGTTCATAGACGGCATGAGACGCATGACTTGACCAATGGATGAACCTACGCTGAGTGTTTAAAAGGACGCAGGCGGGCGATGTCTTCGAGTTGATGTTTCCTCCTGTATCCTCATCCTGCAATCTAATAATCAATGTTACGACGCTGAAGTAGCTGGCAAGAGGATATACCGTCGCAGACAAATCCCACCGGAGCTGGGTTCGATCGGCTAGCAAACGCTTTGGAAGATTTTGGAATGCTTCGTTTGGGCTTTTATGCGACGTCTTATTGTCCATTGAACATTCACCACAAAGACATATACGATGATATTCCATAGGAGTACCAGGAATAATGCTAAATTATTCTAGGTATACTATTTCCTCTGACATGCATCACATGGCCGGAATAGGGATTTGATGCAGCCACTAGTGTTCACACATAAAGTGAAGGCTATCATGAGGATGCGGCATGGTTTGCATACCTAACACCAGATGGTTTAAGATAGAACTAGCAGTTTGTAGAACACGAATAGGATGCAAGAGGAAAGGAATCCGTGGAGTGCGAAACCGGTAACGGGCAAAAAGTCACATCAGCATTAGACGACAAGAGAGGGGGCTAGTCGTAGCGTAGCCTTTATAAATGATCAGAAGCTGAGTCGACAGAGAGGCATCTCGACTTATAACAATATATGCAAGAGCATTGATAAGGGATGCGGGTGATAGGTGATGCTCTAACAATATAGATCATTACACAAAGGGCTACTAGAAGAAAACCGCCCAATTACATATGCATTTAAATATATAAAGAGGCGTTGTGTCATCGAATGGAGAGCCGTGGAGATGAAGTTTTCGTGATCCTGAATAAGCCCTAGCAATCCTACTCGAGACGCCACCAATCACATAGTGCTAATTACAGCGTGTGGACTGAAAGAAGTGTAACAATAAACTTATAGCTGCGTGTCTTCTCGGTTCTCGGCTAAGCTTGGTAAGGTGTCCCAACTTTAGAATTTGGCTTGGTAAGGAATCCCGAGTTAGCATTTGGAGCACTAACTTTCATCGCGCTTATATGCCCCCTCGCATACGAGTACCTATCACGGTAAGTTATTCGAGCTTACTTTAAAAATGCACTGGTCTTGAGTCTGATAAGAAGAGCTACTCTTTTCTCCTTTCTATTTCTTCTTTCACGCCCAGTTCAATCTTTCTCAGGCATCGTCTCGTCTCCTCTAATTCCAACTGCACAATTATATGGCACCGTCACCATGAGGTATGAGCTATTAGGTGTCGCCTCGGCCTCGGCCGGCGTTCTATCGCATCTTCTCTACTTCATCCATGGACATAAGGCCATGCAAGCGCCAAGAACTTTTGTTTTCTACTTGATGGCAGAATGCTTACTATTTGTGCGATGCTTTTACCTACAGGGGGCATTTCAAGGGACTCTCAGTGCCACCACTATATCTCTGTCCTACTTCCTAGGCCTCTTTACTAGCATCGCAGTATATCGACTCTTCTTCCATCGCTTAAGACGTTTTCCTGGACCGTTAGCGGCGAAGCTCACCAAGTTCTATGGGCCCTACAAGGCTCGGGGCGGCAAATCACATATTCACTTCGTCGAACTCTTCGAGAAATACGGAGATGTCGTCCGAACCGGTAAGCTGCCTGCCCATGAATGACTTTGAAGTGAGGATATTGACTCATCTATTTTCGTTGCCAGCTCCAAATGAGCTCATAGTGTTATCAACGGACGCTCAACAGAAAGTCTTTGGAGTTGGTACCCGATGCTCGAAAGAAAACACTTCTTACGAATCCGTGGCCTACAAAGGCTTCCAAAATTTGGAGGCTGCGACAAATCGCGAGGAACATCGCAAGAGACGACAAATCTGGGACAAAGCTTTTTCTACAAAGGGTAGGTTCTATCTCTTTGAAAACTGCTGTTCTGGAAGCTTAGATGGTACTAGCCTTGGAATCCTACGAAACCTACGCTCGCGAAACAGTATATGAATGGTTGGGAAAGTTGGCATCTCTGCAGGGCCAACCGGTTAATACTTCATTGTATTCCCTCTTGATCCCTTTCGAGAATATGGGCCGCATGGGCTTTTCTATCAATTTCGGATCCATCCAAAAGGGCAAAGAGGACATTATGTTGCACTACCTTGAAGAAACGCTTGGTATGATCGCAAAACTCGGCACAATGTGGTGGCCGATTGCTTTAATCAACGCGATAGGCGGCAGCGGCGATCACATTGAATTCGAAAAGCTTGCTTGTAGGATGGTCGACCAGAGGGAAAAGGTAGGTGATGCGACATACAATCCCTGCGTCAGAATCTTCGTAAGTCGAGTTGCTGACGGTATTATAGCAAGCTGATGATGAAAATGAGGACATAATGAAATATATTCTCCAAGACCATCACTCAAAAGTCCCGAAAGGTTTCCACCATCACGATCTTTTATACGCAGACGCGCAAGTTATTATGGTCGCAGGGACTGACACTATCGGGGCAACTTTATCATTTGCTTTCTACCATCTAGCCCGCGATCCTGCCCTACGACAGAAATTGCTTACGGAACTTGAGCCTCTCTATGGACGCACGTTGACCGGAGAATTCTCCAACCATGACTTGAGCGACGCCGACGCACCATATCTCAACGCGATTATCAACGAGACGATGAGATTGGATAACCCGACTTGTTCTAATGGTGGTCGACTTACGCCACCTGAAGGGCTCGAGGTTGACGGTATCTTTATCCCCGGTGAGGTGGTGGTCTACACACCAACGCATGCTATACAACGAAGTGAGTATCTTTTCAAATACATTTTTTTTAGTTTTAGTATTCTGTCGGTGTCAAAGCTTTAGTAGATGCCTTCTAACCACCTCAATTATGATAGGCGCCAAGTACTTCAAAGACCCAAACAGTTTTATTCCAGAACGTTGGACTACGCGACCTGATCTAATCATTGATAAGCGGGCATACCTTCCGTTCTCTTGTGGTTCTCACAGCTGCGTGGGAAAGAAGGTTGCCATTCTTGTGCTACGCATGATTTTGGCGTATACGGTCTGGTACTATGACTTTGAGTTTGCTCCCGGTGAAGATGGGCTTGCCATCCACCGAGATGCAATTGATGCGTCAATTTTGAAGCCGGGCAAGCTGGAGTGCGTCTTCTCTCAAAGGACTTGAATCGGGGTATGAGTGTAAGCACCTTAGCTTTGCTTGTCGAGCTCCATTAATTTCTACTGATATCGGGCAGATGCAAATTGACGGCATGCCTGTTGGAAAAGAAGCGGTGATATATGTGCAATCCCTCTGAATGCTACCGGTATAGTTATTTAGTGTCCCAATCAGCGGCTACAACACGGGTAGGTATTCCGTAGCCAAGCAAGATCGATGAACAAAAACGGCGCGGAAGCAGATAATCGGCCGGGGCGAGGTCCAAATCTTGAGTTACATGCAGGGTTCAAAAGTTTCTTTCCGATGAGCTAGTAATCAATCTCAGACGTACAGTCAGAATATGATACCAACGGCTAGATTACGGATGGTTGTGATTGTAATATCGCGAAAGAATATAGCGTATGTGCGGCGCTTATTAGTGCTTAGTTCATCATAATGGTATTGCCTGATCGCTCCGACTCATGGAGCGACTGTGTCCATTAACCTACGGAATACAGCTCCAAACAAACTTCGCGACTCGACGGAGCATTGTGATTCTCTAATGTTGTGCTGGGTAAAAAGTCCTTGGTTACGGAGGGCCTATGAATGTAATACGTGACTTTTCCAATAACCGGAGTGTGCTAGAAACGATGCCTATCTCTCATTTGGTTTCTGCCGTCTATAGTTGCGTAAGAGTGCACACACATCGGCTACATGTACTCAGCACTTGTGGGTGAGAGTTGGAGCTTGGTGGCGTAGCCAAGATTCAGTGTACTAAAGATTTGGACCCGGTTTACGAGGCCATGTGCATTCCTCCACGGCGTCACTTGTTAGATCCTTGGAGCCGTCGATCCCCTAAACTAGCTAGGACTGATTAATCCTTTTGCGACTCAATAAAACCTGTGTAGCACAGCGTTAATGTTAACGATGCCAGAATTAAGAAGGAAAGAGGCAAAGAAATGAACAATAATTGGATTACGTGTCGGGAAATGACAACAAGATGTCAAGAAGACTGTATCATCCTACCTATATTAGGTCCCATCGTCACCTCATCCTTTTGAAGCAATATTTCTTCAGCTTTACCTCCACGCAGTCGAATGAGACTCAGGATCAGGCATGCTGAGGTTCGCGAGAACCAACATTTAAGGCTGCGGGAACTGCCGATGAAGCAACTACGTTATATCTTGAATCGGCAAATACTCTTTTCTGTGATTATTTATCATCCTGGTGGCCATGGATGAGTCCGGCCAGAACGCATATCAGTAGGAACTGGTGATACAACGCTTTTCCATTTTAGGGCCGTTGATCCCTTGCCAGCGAAACACAGCAGCTGGGAGCCCGTTCGTATGGGATCCATTTCCCTTTAGAGTAACAAAGTGATTACTTTTTCAACCCATCAGACTGGATGCAGCGCTCCCTTCCAAAGTAAGAATGCTAGCTGAATGTGGCATTACCCGACGACGCCATCAAGAATGGCAAATGGGGTCTGTGGGACAAGGGTTTAGCCTCGTGGGAATCTCGCAGCTGCAACTCGAATACGTAGAAGTTCAGATCCATCAGCTATGGTCAACAAAGACACAACAGAGCTTGCTGGTAATGAACGGGGTGGGTCATTGCCATCAGCCTTACAGGTAGGCTATTGTGCGGTTTACAATACATCCATGCCCACGTATGTGGCTGGCCGGTGATCGGAAATCCGCCGGGCTTGTTCGCTCTGTATGTATGTAGCTCGTAGCAGTATAATTCACATGCGGCAATCGTGTTTTGTTTAGACTACGGATGTCGCTCCGCAGTGGAGCGAAAGATTCGCCTTAGCCACACGCGAAGGGCGAAATCTTGAGCTTGTCAGACGCAAGACCCGATCCGGAGACTCGGATCACTGAACAAAAATAACCCAACGCCGAGAATCGGAGTTCTGGACATGCCTTGTCGCTCCGATTTTGCAAGCTTCATTTTGGTCCATATTGATCCGGGTAATAGGGGTTTCGTCTGGAGTGCCAAATAACAGCGGTATTAAAGGAGGTGTATATGCGATGTTGGATTCGTCCCGGCAAGCCCGGGTCGGTATCGCCTGAGGACGATGGTGATGGAATTAGTCATCGTAGTAAACATCGAACTTATTACGAAGCAGCAGTGGCTTTATTCGAAAGGATGGCAATCAGGGGCGACTTTGTAGGTTCTGTAGACCTGCTAAATTTTGTAGAGCCGTGCCTTTATTTGGCTGAGCTACGGGCCGCCGTGTCGCGAAACGGGCGACAGTAAGGCGACTACTGAGTAGCGACTAATAAACTCAAGAAGCCAAAAGATCATTGAAGCCAGTAGCACAGCTATACATATCATTAAGTGGGCGCATACGGATCGAGTTTACCATTCGACTGGAAACAATAATGCCCGCAGTAATATACAGCACCCCATATAATGGGAAAGTTGAAGCCAGTAACATTGAGTCATGCTTCAAACAAGTTAACACAGTCGGTAAGCTGGCGCAAGTGCGCGGGGGCTTGAGAATCTGATGGCAAAACGAATCCACCCTCGTAAGATTTTAGATGCCGGGGCGTGTACGGCGTGTACGAGGCACTTGTTTCTAGGCTAGGTGGAATAGCGATATATAAAGCAGGCCATGGGCAACACTGCGGTTTGTTCGAAGTGTTGAATCATTTGGCACAATAGTTGTTAACCGTTCAGACAGCTTTCATCACAGTACAAAATGACTCAATTAAAAAACGGAATCAAGTCGCCAATTCAGCCCTCGCCGCGAGTAGCAGGCAACGTCCAAGATGTGTGGTGAGTAACGATATGAGACTCATACGAATGTCTTACCTTGATTGTGACTCACTGATAGCATTCAGGTCTATCATCAACGCTGCAGCTGCAACTACGCCCAATCAGCCTGTGGTGAACATGGGACAAGGCTTCTTTGGCTACAATCCTCCCCAGTTTCTCATTGACGCTGCGAAGAGTGCGGTAGAGCGCCTCGACTGCAACCAATACGCACCTCCAAAAGGCCGTCTCCGTCTGCGAGAAGCCATTTCCAATGCCTATTCTCCTTTCTGGGGCCGGAAGCTCGACCCAGAGACCGAAATAACCATCACCACGGGCGCTAATGAAGGTTTTCTGAGCTGTTGCATGGCCTTTCTCCAGCAGGGCGACGAGGTGTTGCTACTAGAGCCCTTTTTCGACCAGTAAGCGTGCCAATCTTACGCCGTCTCAGCGGCCGGCTTAAAGATATGAAGTATTTTGATGCTAAGATAAAGCAGATACATCAGCAACATTGAGATGGCCGGTGCCAAGGTTGTATCTGTGGCGTTGCAGCCACCAAAGTCAGGAATGACAAAAACTCATTCTGCTGGCGAATGGTCGCTTGATGTTTTGGCATTGAAGAAGGCCATTACTCCCAGAACGAGAATGCTCGTTTTAAACACACCTCGTTAGTAGCGCTCCTGTATCCGAATAGTGTTGCTCATGTGGCTAACGGATTCGATCTGGTAGACAACCCATTGGGCAAGATTTTCAACCATGAAGAGCTGAAACAGATTGCCGATGTTTGCGTTGAGAACAACATTCTTATCATCTCCGATGAAGTCTATGACCGACTATTCTACGTGCCATTTTCTCGCATTGCGACCATGTCGCCCGAGGTGGAGCGCATTACTTTGACTCTCAGCTCAGCGGGAAAGAACTTTTATGCCACAGGTTGGCGAGTTGGTAAGAAATCTCGCCATATAAGTCAGTTTATGATCTTATTGCCAGCTGACTGAGTATACAGGTTGGGTTATGGGTCCATCCGAACTCGTCTCATACGTCACAAAGGCGCATGCACGAATTTGTTATTGCTCTCCCTCACCTCTTCAAGAAGCGTTTGCCATTGGTACGTTCAGATCGTTATTCTCAACATGCGAGGTGCTAATAAAAAAACACAGGCTTCGAACAGGCTGAAGCAAATGGCTTTTGGGACGAATGTATCTCTGACATGAAGTCCAAGATGGACATGTTTAATGAGATTTGGCACGAGCTTGACATGCCCTACTCCGAGCCTGAAGGTGGCTACTTTGTCGTCGTCAACATGAGCAAAGTGCAACTACCAGAGAATTACGACTTCCCTACCCACGTATTGAATCGTCCAAGAGACTTCAAGTTGGCGTGGTTCCTGATCCAGGAACTTGGAGTGGCAGCAATTCCGCCAAGCGAGTTTTACTCACCGGCTAACCAACACATTGGAGAGCAGTGGATGCGGTTTGCCGTATGTAAACCGAATGAAGTACTGGAGGCTGCCAAGGAAAGACTAAGAGGATTAAAAAAGTATATTAATTAGACGATTCACGCGGATCAGCTGGCGCTTTGTTCTAGGATATTAGATTCATTGTATATAGGTGCCCCCTTTTGTCAATTACAGCCGAGTGTTTACTCAACATAGTCGCAGAGCCGACTGTATGATGGTGATGCCCAAAGTTACAATTCACCGCCCACCTGAGGTCGAGATCTCTGGGATTAGCCCCATCGTACAGCGGTGTGGAACCTATGGTCAGCTTGTTTGTTTTCGTGTTGATGAAATCATTTACACGACTCCCCATAACTAAAAATAAGAGGGCATTCAAAAAGAACTGTTGCCATTACTCGGGTAGTGTGTTAGTGTGCCCGTAGGGCACACTTTCTCTTATTACTTTTAGTGGTCCACGTACCTGAAGCCACTACTCGGCGGTTTACATGTAACCTCTTAAGTGCTTACCGTTTAGTAACGAAAAACCCCAAAGAGGGGCAGAAACAACATGCGTTGGGCTCCAGATCTTGTTAGGTTACCATCAACGGCTGCAGCTTCACTCAACTCTCAATGTCTGAGAATGGCAGGTACCTAACGTCTAGCGGCATGAAAATGGCCAATTTCGTATAGGTGCAAGTGATTCTGGTACTAATGATAGGCTATTGCTCTCAACTGAATGGCTAAAAGCTTGCTGCTGGATAGGCTGTATGTTGAGATGACCAGGCCCAGGGTGACGATCGACATGCGAGTCGGTATACCCTGTCTAGCTTTTTAACAAACAAACAACCATTGGTTTCTATCCGATTGCGGGCGCTGATCTTCCCGTAGATGGGTGGAGAATGCTCAAGTGCCGTCGTTCTCGTTGAGTAGTATTTAATCTGACTACCTGGCAACTGATCGTCGTTCTCCTGTGACTGCTTCAATTTTTTTCCTCTTCGTTTTTCACGTGCCAGTACTGCTCTCATGGCGATAGAAGACAAAAGCGCCGTCGAGGCGACGAGCGAGACCAACTTGCCCAATGTCTCCGACAAAGATGTTGATCGCGCGCTGCTACGAAAGATCGATTGGCGCGTGATGCCAGTGGTAAATCTCTACTGTCCACATTTCTTTGCTCAAGATACTGACATAGCATGTTTCCCAGCTGTGCGTTACATATGCCCTTCAGGTAAGGACCTCTTTGTCCTTTTATAGAAGCCACTCGGCTTGCGTTGTTGAAGGGAATAACTGACCAGTTCCGTATTAGTACTGGGACAAAGGCTTGCTTGGCCAAGCAGCTGTATTTGGGCTGCGAACAGATCTTGGCTTAACCCAGGGCAAATCTTTCTCTTGGGTGTCCGTGGTATTTTACTTTGGCCATATAGCTGGCATGTATCCCGGCTCTCTACTAGCACAGCGGTTCCATCCCAAGCGCACCTGCTCCATCCTGGCTATCGTCTGGTCCATCATCATGCTCACCACACCAGCATGCACGTCTTATGCCGGCATTATTGCTAATCGCTTCTTCCTCGGCGTGGTTGAGGCTGGCGTTAACCCCGTCTTCATGCTCGTTGTTGGCACATGGTACACGCACTCGGAGCAGGTCTTACGATCCAGTATATGGTATTCCTTCAGCGGTGGCTCGTTGTTAATCTCTCCGGTCATCAACTTTGGTCTTGCCCACATCCATAGCAGTCGATTGAATCCATGGCAGATAATGTATTTATTTGCAGGAGGGATTTCCTTCCTTTGGGGCATCGCATTACTCTGGGTCTTCCCCGATACCCCACAACGTGCCAAGGGTTTTACGGAGAGCGAGAGAGAACTCATCGTCGAGCGCACTCGTGTTAACAACGCAGGCACCGAAAACAAACACATAAAGTTCTATCAGATCAGAGAGGCTCTTTTCGAGTTCCAGTTCTGGGGAATTCTCGTGCTATCCCTGTTGAGCTGCACGGGCTCAGCTGTTGTCACGCAGTTTGCTTCCATTGTGTTTAACGGACTGGGTTTCGATGCTTATACCTCGCTCTTGCTGAACCTCCCGACCGGCGCGATGGCTTTCATCTGTGTCCTGGGCTCAGGATACCTTGGAAGACACTGGAAAAATTCTAGGTTTTTTATTATCTCATTATCTTGCCTACCGGTCATTCTTGGCTGCTCACTTCTGTAAGTTGAAAGTCTCCTCCCATCCAATCACTGTTCAGAATACTAACATACGCTCAAGCTGGAAACTTGATAACAGTAGAGGTGGAAAAATCTTCGCCTTCTATTTGCTGAACTTCTTCTCGTCTGCATGGGTTCAATGCATCGGCCTAGGTACCTCAAATACGGGCGGTTATACAAAGAAGGCTGTGTATGCCTCCGGGACCTTTATTGGCTACTCATTAGGCAACATTACGGGCTCTTTGCTCTTCGACCAGTAAGTGACGAGAATGAGCTCAACTTTTTTTTTCACTTGCAACCAAATGAATGCTAATGCCGTTACCACTAATAGAAAATTTGCCCCCAAATTTGGCCAGAGCTTCACGGGTGTTTTGATCTGCTTTGTGATTTGCTTCTTCCTCGCACAGGTAGTCCGTTTTGTGCTTGATCGAGAGAACAAAGAGCGGACAAGGGTCCATGGACCGCCTACCTTTGAGAAGGGCCTCGATGACTTGTCGGACAGGGAGAATATGTCATTTAGATACGCACTATGAGCGACTCTTGGCCAGTAGGATATCAAGATTCCCCATTGCAGGTGGTATTCGACACCGAGATGAGCGGGACCTAGGTAGAATTGCATGATTCACATGCTGTTTGGCTCCGGTCCTAGACTGGGGGCCAGATCCATTCTTATAAGGCTCGTATCAATTTAGTGGTTTCTTTCTGCTTAGCCGCCATAGCCTCCGAGACAGGTCCACCCAATCCCATCGCAGGACTTTTAACTGTCCATGCGCGCAATAGTCACTGAGCTGTTAGAAGAGCGGATTGGTTGCATGCACAGAGGCCGATTTGGACCCCGAAGAGCACTAAAAGACGATCTACCTTTGAAAGGTCAAAGATGCTTACTGCTTCAGAAGACGGTGCCTTTTTTCAGCTGCCAAGTTTTGCCTTTCAGCTGGAAACCCAACACCGAGTATCCAGCTCAGCTGCGCGTAGGCTGGCTATAGGCAGCCACGATGATTTCTCATGAATTATCTTGTCGTCAAAAGAAACATCGGAGCAGAAGATGCAATAGGAAGGCATAGGTCAAGGCTTTTTGGTCAAATAGAGCCTTTGTGACAGTATATCTACGTAGATCAATCCGCAATAATAAAAAAGAACTACTTTCTTGAAAATTGACAGATTTTTTTTACATTCAGAAGTTGAGCTACGCAAACTTATCACAACTCTATAATGGCAGATCTCAACTTTTATCAAAATGACGAGAGCTCATCCCCGAATGCGACCCATATACAACTGATGGAAGAGCTGTGTAACTATTTCTTAATTACGCAAAAATTATCCTTGTCATCAACAATTGTCGACATAGCAAATGAGGACGAACTCGCATATATGCGAAATGCCGCGAGGCCAGGCGCACAAGCCTTACCATTGAACCATGTTATAGGAGACATGGCCAAGATCATGTCTCATCGAATAGCCATGGACCATCCAAGATTTTTTGGCTTCATTCCTTCTCCAGTTGACGAAAACTCGTTTCTAGGAAGCATGCTCACTACCATGTATAACGTCGGCGCTGGTAGCTGGTATCAGAGCTCTGGCGCCAGCACCGTGGAAGATTCTCTCATCAAATGGTTCGCTGAGCAAGCCGGGCTTCCACCATCATCCGGCGGCATTTTTGTGTCCGGAGGCTCAGTGGCCAATTTGACGGCCGTTGTCACCGCACGCGATGCCAAGTTGCAATTCGAACAGAGGCCAAAGGCAGTCATTTACATATCTGAGCAAACGCATTCTTCCATGGCAAAGGGCATAGTCGTGGCAGGCTTTCACCGGAACCAGATCCGTCGCGTGCAGTGTGACTCGAGTTACCGGATAAAGCCTTCGAGTCTTAGGCAGCAAATTGAAAGCGATAGGAAGAATGGCTTGATACCATTCATGATTGCGGCAACTTGCGGCCTTACCAACACCGGGGGCATAGACGACTTGAACGCGCTCGCTGACATAGCCGAGTCCGAAAACTTGTGGCTTCACGTCGATGGCGCATATGGAGCATCCATACTTCTCTCAAAAACGCACAAGCATTGTGCCGATGGCATTGTTCGCGCGGATAGCTTAACATGGGACGCTCACAAATGGCTGTTCCAAGTATACGACTGCGGTCTGGTACTCGTCCGAGACAAGCGCAACCTAATCGAAAGTTTCGCGACCGGTGCCTCATATATCCGAGATGCTGATGAAGCCTCATCGGAAAAGGTTAACTTTTGGAATCGAGGCATCGAGATGTCTCGACCTGCGCGAGGCATGAAGCTCTGGTTTACCCTTCAGAGGCTGGGCCTTGACAAGGTCAGCGATATGATTGACCACGGAGTCGATCTCGCAGAATTCGCCGAATTGGTATTCCGAGGTTTCGAAAATTGGGAGATTCTTTCACCAGCCCAGCTGGCAATCCTCAATTTTCGGTATGTTCCGCCCATTTCAAAACCTCCTAGTGAGGGTACGGATTTCGATCAGTTCTGCGATAAAATAAATGCAGAAATATCCCGATTGGCGGTAGAACGGAATATCGCAGCACCTCTGACGACTAGAATTACCAAAGTCTTGAACTTGCGAATGTGCACCGTCTCCCCTCAGCTGAGTAGGGATCAGCTTTTGGAGGTGATAAAAAGCCTGGACTCGATTGCGAAGGAAGTTTCGGCCTCGTTCGTGAAGAAGAGGATTTTGAAGATTTGAGGTGGCCAATCCTAGTTAACTTTCTTCTCTTGTGTGTATATAATTAGATATAGTTTGTGTTGACTTTTCGCCTTTTGGTGAGGTCAAGAGCGCGAGTCAATAAGGTGTTGCAGCTTACATGTAGTTAGGAGAGCAAACCCATAGAGTGGTGGAATGCTGAATATGGAAGTATACCTAGAAACAATTCCAAATATATAAGTGCCTTGATTTCACTCCATTTCCGCCGAGTGCCATATCAAGTTGATGTAAAATGGATGTGGCGTAAAATGAAGCAGACATTGACTCATCATTATTGGACTTATATCGAGCTCTTCCTAACTACTGTACCTAAATAAATATAGGTGCTGCATTACCACTTTGATGCCGGTTTACAGCGCTATCCTTACAAGATTGACCCGTTGGTTTTATCCTAAAAAGTGTGAAAAAAAATATCAGATATTTCTCGAGATAATTATTAGAACGGATGGGCTGATGGGCAGTTGTGTCATGGATGGTAAGGGAAAGATTGTAGCTGTAGGGTGGTAAAAGCGAGCTCGACGGCTTAGCCTATGTACCTATGTCATGATGCATCCAGTAATTCAACATATCAGCGACTCATCATGCTCTAATGTAGGTCCATATTCCACCATTATTGCAAAACCAACAAACGGAAAAAACAGTTCAGATGAAGATACACTTACACGAGCTATTATATCCCTTTGAGTACAGTTTCGTGTGTTTGCAGATCTGGTAATTCTCCAAGTATCGGTACTTGTCTTCCCCCGCCATCGCCGCACCCCGCCATCAAGTACAGTAACCAGCTCCCCTACCTCTGACAGCTCCGAGTCCCCCACCAAAGTGACGAAACGATGCGCTCAGCTCCGCCAGAGCTCGGCAATCCGAAGCAAAGCTCCCATTTAGCCCGAAGACTTCCGCTTTTCCCTTGACATCATCTTCCTCTCTCTCAAACAATCTGCTTCTGTATCCATTGGTAAGCGCCCTTCGGCATTTTGCAATTCCCCTTTCCAATCTCATCATTCCAAAGGCGCATCTTCGAATTGCATCTTCATCCGCCTTTTCTCTTCCCAACTCTCCCAATTGAGCTCCCCCAAAAGCTCTTTGCGCCGCTGCCCCTCATCCCGTCGCATCTCCAATTTCCCGCGATCCAACACAAGAGACAGCTCCAGACTTTTCTTACTTACCTGTGAATAGCTGCAATAGACCAACAGCAACAGAGCCATCATGTCCTCCTCCCTCCTCCGCACGACGCCTCTCCTGCGCGCCGGCCTTCGCGCCCGTGCCGCAAAGCCTCTCGCCGCCATGGCCACCACAAGCTTCACCCGCGGCAAGGCCACTCTTCCCGATCTGCCGTGTAAGTTCCTGAGTTCCCATAGCAGAACAAGAACGACCTCACTGCTCCGAATCGCGCGGCACAGCAGAGCTGACAACATATTGCGACCTAGACGACTATGGCGCGCTCGAGCCCTATATCTCCGGCCAGATCATGGAGCTCCACCACTCCAAGCACCACCAGACCTATGTCAACGGCTTCAACGCTGCCGTCGAGGCCCTCGCCGAAGCCGAGGCTAAGGGCGACGCCAAGACTGCCGCTGCTCAGGCCCCTCTGCTCAACTTCCACGGTGGTGGTCACGTCAACCACTCCCTCTTCTGGGAGAACCTCGCCCCCAACGGCAAGGGCGGTGGTGGTGAGCCTGAGGGCAAGCTCCTGGTATGACTCGATTCACTTCCCTCTGTAGCTCTCTTCTTCTCCCACGCGAAGCATTTCGCTTACCAGTATATGTGAACGCACAGACTGCTATCAACCAGGACTTTGGCTCCTTCGAGAACCTCAAGAAGCAGACCAACGCTGCCCTCGCCGGCATCCAGGGCTCCGGCTGGGCCTGGATCGTCAAGGACAAGGCCTCCGGCAACCTCACCCTCGTCACCCGCGCCAACCAGGACCCTGTCACCGGCAACTTTGAGCCCCTGCTGGGCATCGACGCTTGGGAGCACGCTTACTACCTCCAGTACCAGAACCGCAAGGCTGAGTACTTCAGCGCCATCTGGGATGTTATCAACTGGGGAACCGTTGCCAAGCGATTTGGACAGTAGACATTCGCATCCGAGTCTGCACTGAACAATCTGTAAAATAAATTAGCATGTAGCACATTCCATATTGTTACAAGTCTGCAATGTCAGTTAGTAGGATTGAAAGCCCAAAGCGTATCCATCCAAGACAACACAGGTTGCTGTTTTTGTCAAAACACTCAGTTCAGAATACACAACATTCATTGCTGATTTGCTACTACTAGCCGAGGGAGCAATGATACACGCAACGTAACCTAAGCCCCACGTATATTGATACACTGCAGACTTGACCTTTGGACTCCACGCCATGTGCGCTCATCCCCTTCACCTGTATATATATGCGATTCTGCGAAACAGGCGAACAACGATCTCTTTTTGCGCATGCGTCTGATGGATCTCAATCCATAGCGCGCATATATGAGAGACAATTAAGCATGACCAAAAAACCCGGTATACTCGTACAGAGAGCCATGAAAAAGTCCATGCTGCCTTCTCAAGCAGATTCACTGTCTTTGGCATCTGGCAATGCCCTGATACGCCACCAGTTCGCTGGGATAAGTTTCTGCAAAAATATCGCGAGCATAGTCGTACCAGTCTTGGTTTTCCGGAGCAGTGCGAGCCTCAAAGAACTTGACGTATTCCCACCACTCCGGATACCAACCTCCACTGTCCCAGCCGAGAATACACACAATCTTGCTGTTCTGAATAATGATATTCTTGGGGCTCAGCTCGCCATGGGTGAAGCGGATATTGTAATCTGACCGAAACTGACAGGTTAAGGCATCAGAGACCTGTGTCGGAACAGATTGGACAAACGACGCGGCCAAGAAAGCAACGAAGTGACGGCATGTGGGCTTGACACGGACCGCCCAATATGTATTCTGGAGATGCTGGTCCAGTATCAAAGAGTAGGGGCCAGAAGAGGCAGATCCCAGCATGGCCCCTTTGCCCGATATAGTCGAGCTGACACGAATTGGATTCATGCCACTTCGCATATTATTGATGATATGACGCAGTTGGCGGGCATAGGCAAACTTTGCCTCAGGTGTGAGATCGTACCAAGCGTTTTCCAGAAGCTCTCCTTGAACGACCCGCTTTATGGTCCCTTCCACTTCGCTCGGAACTGGTAGTTGTAGAACCGGGAGATCTAGATGGTATTGGATCGCGTTTCCCAGAAGCAGTCCTGCATCTGTAATTGAACGATACTGGGTCGAAATCGACAGGCCAGCACCACACCTTGATTTGAGCGTCAACTGGAGGCAGCGTGGTGTAAGCAGGCTTTCCAGATACATGGTGTGCTCATTTGGCGCCGGTTCTATGAGGCAAATGAGACATTACTCAGACATAATGGCGGAGATTCATCCACTTACGCGGGGGCAATGAAGGAGGAGTTGAGCACCACTGCTGCTCTGAATCGTCCAGATGATCGCGGGGCCTCTTCACTCCCGCAATCACCGAGGGAAGATTCCTTGGAGTGTATACAAGCGATTGGGGTCCTCCATTTTGCGATGGAGGAAGCTCTTTTTTAATGCTGGTAGGCTTGTGAGAGGTAGCCACGCCCAGCTTGAGGGCGTTGCTACCCGTCTTGAGTGGCCCAACTGCGACTTTGGTGGGCAGTTCTGGAGAGCGTGGCTGCAGCAGCCGCATGGCACGCTCTGGATTCAGGCCCTCCATCTTGCTGAGAGGATCGGTCTTATCGCCGTTGAAGATGGGAGAAAGGCGGAGATTGTCTGCCATCGTGTCCGCTATTTCTTGAGTTTCGGGAGACCTGAATACGTTAGTGCCTAGAGGGAGACGATGCAATAGGTGGCGGCTCAGTCAGATGGCAAGTTTCTGCTATCTGAATGAGTCGAATTGTAGTCACTGCTCGTGGAAGATTGAAGAGGGAGAATTGCTCGGAAAGATACGCAAATGGAAAAAGAAACGACGAGAGTGAAGCAGTAGAAGAGCTTCTTCTCGCATGGATGGAACAAAGCGGTGCTTGATGACAGAAGATGAAGTCTTCACGACATAGGAGAAAAGGATGAGAAGAATAAAATGCATGCGGAAATATTTGTCTGTTTGTTTCATGTTCTTTGTTCGACTTTGGCAGGACAACGGTTTGGAGGAAGGAGCAGACCGTGGCCAGTTGGCGGCCAGTTGCCTTGGACTGACTTGCAAAACGTCAATGCGGCACTCGGCAAAAGGTACATGCACCTGTATACAACATGTTAACGTTTGTATTGATGTTTTACCGTCTACCTTAACAAGTATGATTGCAATGGTTGTTAATGAATGAATCGTGAGTTAAACAGCACTTGACGACGATGTGTTGAGCAGCTCTCTCAGTACTCAAAGTGGAATATCCTCTTATGAGGGCGGCTACAAGCATAAGCGGTTACCTACAGTAATATGAGCAATGGATACAGTGAATAAGGACCCGTGAATTAACATACTACTAATCTAATAATAAATTTGCTGACATCAATGCTGACTGGCTGGTAAATGAAGTCTAAATTTTAAGTTGAATGAATGATAGAGATAGTGCTGATGTCCTCTTGTCATCTTGGGTGGTCAATACAGCACGCGTTGCAAGTGCGGCGAACTTATGTGCGACTACGGTGTATTTGATTAGTAGACGACAAACAAAAGTACCAAAAAGCTGCGATAAACAATCAACTGCCATATCTCATATGTGCAACTACACCATGCATCCATGGTATTGTCATGTCGCTGCCTACATATGTACGTAATTTCAACAAAGCACTGTATTGCTGCTGAATTGCGGATACTACTGTCCATATCTAGGTACACGTATTTGCAGTCTCAAACTCGATATTAGTCACAGCCGATGATTCCATGCGCTTACCAATGAGTACATAAGTAAGGTAAGGTATATCTTTACGAGTTACTCCGTACATGGCATCTGATAAAAAATATTCCCATCAAAAGATATACCATAATAGATTCAACCCTCCGTCCTGATTCGCTACTGATAACAATCCTCGCAATGGTTGCAAACAAGGGTTGCCTGAGCCAATCGTAGCGGCTGTCATCATCCGAGCCGCTTGCGCAGAATAAGTCTGGTGTCAGACCGGGAACGCGTAATGCCAGCAAATCCTCCTGGCCGTGAAATCCATGAAATGAGTCTTTAGTTACACATGTGTTGCACACGATGGCTTCCATCGCAGTCAACATGAAGCTCATCGCCTTGCTGGCTTCGGTGGCGGCGGCCCAAGTCCAGACATCACCAATCCGCCCAAGCCATGACAGCGCAAAGGCTAATGCCAACCACATCTTCAATGCGATTCACTCTGCCGGTCGTCAGTGGGGATCTTCCTTGAACCACAACGGCTTCGGCTTCATTCCTGTTGTCATTCCAGCTGGGACCTTGCTGTATCATGGAGGCTACTTCGAGGACCCTCCCGATCGCTTCGAGTGGCTGGCTTTCGAAGTTGAACATGCGGAAAACTTCGTCAGTGTACCAAACAGGGGCCGTGTAGGTTGTGGGGATGAGCAGCCTCATCCTCCGTCTTCTGACCAGAAGCTTCTCGACCAGCCGGAAACAGGTCCCGGTGACTGTGAGGGGAGAGTGAGAGGATATCTACAGACTTACCAGACAACCCGCGACGTGCGGCTGCTCTATCTCGATGGCACATCGGCAGGGAAGAGCCCTATGGGAACTCTGGACTCACAAGACGAAGTGCTTTGTCCTAACAACGAACACGGAGAGTTTGGAGGCGAAATGTATCGCGCAAAATGCCTTTGTGATCTAGTGACCGAATGGGGATGGGATGGTATTATGCGAATGGAGATTGGCTTCGAAGCTATATACTGCAACTTCAGCGCCGGCTTACATCTTGATTCCTCAGTGCGGACAATTATCCCAGAAGAAAGACTGAAGCCTGACGGCTACCTGATACCTTACCTATGGTCAAGAGCAGCCGCCGAACGATATGATGGCATTGGAGGCGACCGAGTTCGGATGGACTTTTCGTCCATGATATCTGGGTTTTTCTTCCCCATCAACGTCTCTAATACAGACCCAGACCGACCCGACCTTATTAGACTGGGAGCTGCAAAGCGAGAGCATTTGCAAGATATCAAGACTTACATTCAGAGCGTCGTTGTGGAACCCAAAAAGTTTAATGTCAACTGGCAAGCAGTTGTAGACATGATCATCACTCGTTTCAGCAAGAGATTGGCGGCAATGGCTTCGACAAGCGTATCGACGGATTTATTCATCGGCGAGTTGGAGGGTGCAATAATGACGTACCTCGAGGCCCCAAGACTCCCAGGCGATATCACATTGGCAGAGGATGATGATGGCAAGAATCGAACCGCCGAGGCTGTTGAACGCTGTGCTTCACACTACCTGAAACCAGCGCTGTTATCGCAAAAGAACTGGACGCTATCAGACTCATTGATTCACACGGCCCTCGGAGTCGTAACACAGCGTATCTGCAGTGACCTCTATCTCATCCGATCAATCCTCCTCCAGGCGTCACCAGATGCGGAACCCGATGCATACTTTATCAAGAGAGACGTAAAAAGCGACGATATGGAGATCTCAGCGAATCAATCCCGCGCCATTGTACGTGATCTCCTAGAAGATCTTGCCTGGACCACATGGAAGAAACCGCAGTTGTGCGATGTAGACCAGATCCTACTAACCGCAATGTGGCCGTTTGGAGACAGCGTCGACCATTTCAACCCCGGCTGTGTCTCCGTCCAAAATGTTACAGCGCGCCGAAGAAACTATTGGACTCCCCATGAGCGAAGGCCTTTTGCCCTTTGAATGGGACCAACCACTCACATATAACTTCATATTATCTTATGCAGAATCGACAAACTGGATATGACGCGACACGAAGGATTTGTTATATTTACAACTATCTAATGCTATGCTATTTCTTTGCACCAACCTCCTCAACTATGTGCCATACTAAGCCTTGACTCCAAGCAACTTCTCGGTGACCTCCCAAATCCTCTTCGCAGCAGTCTCGTCGTAGGTATGACCAGGGTGTCCTAGCCACTCTGGCTTGTCTGTCTGCTCCGTGGGGAGTGAAACACGACAATCCTCTAAGTACTTTCCCCTGGCCTCGGGAGCCAGGACATCGTCGCTGACCGCCGCCCACACTTGCGTCGCAGCGCCCTGCGTGTTGTTCTTGAAAAGCTTAGAAGGCCAAACGCTCATGAAGCCGTCAATTGCCTCCTGGGAATATCCGGCGTTCTTCATAAAGGCCGACTCCATGATGCCACCGGGGTGGACGCTCCAGGCGAAGAGGTTCTGGGCTCCGTAGCGACGGTCAATCTCGGTGGCCGTGTAGATGCTTGCCGTCTTGGCCTGGGCATAGGCGCCTGTGGAAGGGTATTCGCCCTTCTCAAAGTTGAGGTCGTCCCAGTTGATGTTTCCGTAGCGGTGTCCGAAGCTGGTGACGTTGATCACACGGCTGGGGTTGGAGGCTGATGCGCTTGCAAGCAGAGCGTCCTTGAGAAGGGCGAAAAGGAGGAAAGGGCCTAGATGGTTGATGGCGAATTGCTGCTCGAAGCCGTCAACGGTGACCTTGCGCTCAACGAGGACACCGCCGGCGTTGTTGAGCAGGACGTTGAGCTTGCCATCAGACTGCTTCAAGAACTCGGCAGCAAAGGCCTTGATACTGGCATTCGACGCCAGGTCAAGCTCGAGAAAGTGGACGTTGGGAAGATCGGCGATGGTCGGGAGCGCGGCCTTGGCCTTCGGAATACTTCGGCCAGCGAGGTAGAGAGTGGCACCAGTAGCAGCGAGGGCTACGGCACTGGCACCGCCAATACCAGAGGAGACACCGGTGATGATGATGACTTGACCCTTGAGGTCTTCCTTTCCGGCGTCCTTGATGATTTGTTCGGCAGAAGGGCGGGCATCGCCAGGTCCGGCGAGCTTATCCCAAGCGTGAACAGCAGCGTAGCGAGCCATTTTTTATATAGAACGGTATATTCAAAGAGATATTTAGAGTTGATATGAGTAGTAAAGAAGTATTGAAAGGTTATATGGGTGTTTGTTTATTTGTTTAACTGAAGCAATGAAATGTATCTCGACGAGTCGTCCAGTCCCTCTCTCTTATATCCTTTCCGCCATCATCTAATCATGACATTTTCAATTCTAATCTCCGTCTCCTTCATACCGTCGGCTCCATCATGCTTTAAATCCGCGAAACAACATCCACAAGTTTTATGGATGTTTTGCGGACTCTCTTCAATCCCGTGGGTTTGCCTCCTCTTTCAATGGATGCTTTACAAAAGGGGGCTCCACTACATATGGTCATTCTGCCAATAGAATTGTTTAAATTGCGAGCTGGCCAATGAGGTGTAATCTTTGTTATAATAGAGGGGCGATCTCAAGATTTCCTTTCGGGCGGCAATTTTGATGCTCCGGCTGTTCTCCATTAGTTTAGCAAGCGGCGGAACCCCTCTCCCCCTTTGTATGTTTCTAGCTTCACTTGTATGGGAATGATACAAGCCATCTTGATGCGTTGGGGGCGGAGATAGACTTCTTACAACTGAAAGGCTATAAGCGGAGAATGGTGATAACTCCCCGCGTGCCTAACAGCAGGGGTAATATGACGCAAAGAGGTGAGCTTTCCGGCGTGTTGAGAGCAAAAGTGTGTTTTACTCCAAGAGCTGCTGTGTACTATAGACACAAACCTAACTAACTTAGGACATTGCTCATTGTTTTGCTTATACTTGTGTGCCAAAGAACTCCAGCAACACAGATACTATACGTATCTCACATCCACATCTTCACCAACTTCCCCGCGTTCTGGCCATTCTTCTCGCATCCTCAAGTACACGTTTCAATGCCAAAACATTACCGTTGCCCCTAGCCGCATCAAGTGCCTCTTTTGTCATTCGGACTTCGCTCCCCCTTTCCTCCAACAGAGTAACTAGTACCGACTTTTCTCTGTTATTTGCTGCTGCCACAACCACTTCTTTTGTAACCTCAAATTCCGTCCCTTTTGCTTGCAATAATATTTTCAACGCCGGAAATTGTTCGTTTTCTGCTGCTGCGACGGCAACTTTCGGTGTAATCTCGATCCTGTCTTTCCATCTTCCAAGGAGATAGACCAACACAGAGCGTTCCCGATTCTCAGCTGCAGCAATGACAATTTCTTCTGTAAGGCGAATCTTGCTTCCGTGTCTCTCGAGAAGATACTGCAGTACCGACTCATTGTTCCTCATTGCTGCTTCTATGACTACCCTCTCTGTAATCCGTATCTCGTCTTTCTCTCTCCCAAGTAAGCACCATAATACTGAGCTGTCGTCGTTCTCCACCGCCGATATAAGTATTTTTTCTGTAATTTGGACTTTCTCTTGACAGAGTAAAAGGTACGTTGCCTCGATGTTCTCTTTATTTACAGCTCTTAAAAGCAGAGTTTCCATCGGCGGAGGAGTATATTTTTTCCGGCCAGGTGTCTGGTCAACTTCCACTTCGCTGTTGAACCTCTTCTCTGCTGCAATGACAGATTTCTCTGTAACTTCAACGTCTCTCAAGCTTGCTTGGGCCAGAAGGACGGCAAAGTCTTTGTCCGCCATCAAGGGATACCGTCCGGCCATCTCTAATAAGCTGGCTACTTTGTCGAAATTCTTCGCCCTGTGGGAATGGCCTTGGCCTTTGCACATTGCCACAAAGTTAGTCAGCTCTCTGACAACATCTTCGCGCCTCTCCTGCGAACTCATCCTCGTCCAGAACATTCGCCAAAACTCGCTCTCGGCTTCCCATAAATGGCCCGTTCTTCCGTACATCAAGGCAAGTTTGCTCATACACATGAGTGTTCGTCGGTCAGTTTCTCCAAAGTCTCTTGCGTGAGCATTCTTCATGTCTTGAAGAGTGTTGATTATAGTTTTGTCGTTGCTCCCCGCATCACTCATAATCAGAGCCAGATTGCCCACTCGTGTTTGCCTGTCGGGGTAATTTTGCGATTCTTCTTCTGAAGACAAGTACTCGGGTACTCGACTTGTCATCCATGATTCATAATCTTGACTTGTTGTTTCCTCATTAGAGCTATTCCAATCCCATACAAGTAGGAAATCATGCAAAGAAGAGCTCTCTGGCTGTTCTAGCCTCTCAAGATCCATTCTCTCCATTTCATCCTCTTTGGGAGGAATAAACTCAACCATAATGATCGCAAAATGGTCATGACGTGGCCTAATGACCATGGGATTTGCGGCTCCAAGTAAGTGACATAAGAGGTCGCCAGCCTCGATTGGCTTCCCTGCCACTTGGACGGTCCATGTTGGTCCAGGAACGTCCCTTATCTTCAATCTGACGTGCTGCCTATCTCCACGAGAATCGTCATGCGCTATTTGAACTGAGGATACGATGCCAATAACACATCCTTTCGCAAATACCACAACCGCCTGTTGCTGCATCCACGACTTGACGAATATCCGCTCGCCTAGTATAAACTTGAGAAGCTGTGCCATAAGGTTATCCCATGGAGTGTTGTAATTGGGCAGTAGCCCGTGATTGGTTGGATCATTAGAACTCATTCCCAGTAGAGCAAATATTTTGTCATGGCGCTCAGTGGCCTCGTGCGTGTGGTACATATCTATGAGCGCGCCTAGAGGGCGTATATCTAAAGATATACCACTTAATGAATTCACGCTATACTTTGGCCTAAATATGCAGCCTCTCATAAGATAGGTTACCGACCGGATATGGCTCGGGATATCCTTGTACTGGAGAAGTGATGGTAGGCCTAAGCAAAAGGCGTATCCATCAATCCTTATAGAGCCACACATCATGACAATGTGTTGAGCAGCAGCGACTTCTTGAAGGACCTATGACAAATATTAGTATATCACATGGCATAATGAGGTAGATACTTGGTCTACCCATATTCGTCGAAACCACGGGCGCTCCAGTATAGCTAGAACCGCCTGGTGGTCTGTATCATTCCGGGACGATTGGTGTTCCTCATCTGCTGCCATTCGTATGCTCTTCAGAGCCTGGTCGCTATTGTCGGCTGCTTCACCGAGCCACACAATTACACGATTTGCTTTGGAGTAGATCTCTGCCATATACTGAATTTGTTCCCCTCGCTCTTCGATGCTGGCCTGGTCAATGCAAATTGCGTCTATCCATAATATCCGCTCAATCATTTTATCCCGGAGACGCAAAAGTACTTCGTAGAGGTTTGCCGTGATTGGTAGGCTTTTCTCATCTATATGTAGAATGTGCGGCCTTTGTCCGCTCCCCCACACATATGATAAAGCCTCGTACATATGTTGTCCATCGCCCATTTCCAACATAGGATAATCGAAGAGCTGAGAATGAAGTGGTGCATTCTCATTCCGATCAGGTAGCAGACGAAGCAACCGAATATGCCGATGGCCCAATAATGGCAAATAACGATACGCATTCTGAACATCTTCATGAGGCGCATTCGTGGGATTTGGGGGTAGTGAGTTACGATTGGTAGATGCTATCCGAACGTCGGTTTGTGTGGCTGCTGGTATAGGCGTAGCAAGGGGAGAAAAGCCAAGCCGGTTCCTCCCGCTGCCTGGCACGACGGGCATGTTTTTGTTATTTTCTGAAGCCGAACAGGTTGAATTGTGATTATGTATTTAATTGGCGCACGAGGGAACGTTTAAAAAACGCCAAAACTTATATTAAGAGGGAATACTTTGCATATGATATATCATTTCGCTTCAATTGTTTTGCTTTCAATTGCGACTCCGCACAGCGGTTGGGCATTAAGAATTTTGCCCTTGTTTAGCCTCAGAATAGAAATAGGCAACAAGGCGTTCTCCAAGTCTGTAACATCTGACATGCCCGAATAAGTCGACTTGGCGCCGGTGCAACCTGAGAGTCGCATATTAAATTAGTAATCATGGGTAGCAACAACTTCGATCGTGATGATGAGAATAAGATTATTAAAGAGGGGTGGACAGAGCAGACTTTGCCTGTGTAGAAGGGCCAAATGGGATTTTACACTCGCGACAGCTGTAGGGAAATGGATGGAGTCACTTCTCCGCTAGAAATACAAACCCGCCAATTTGCAATTGCATGGTGTCAGCCGGTCTACTCTTCTATTACGGAAAATAAGCCTTCCATTTCCGACTTGTTTCTTGTGGGAAGTAACGCCTCTTATTGCCAAATACGGCGCGGTGATGCAAGATTGATTGGTTCAGAAGTCTGTGTTGGTTGATCGGATGGAAGCCGGGTAGGTAGATGACGCCAGTACTCTCGCGCTGCGGCCGGCCCATCGGGTCGGAATAAGCATATAAACTAAATCTATGCATAGCACGAATTTGCTTAGAAAAGGCCAAAAATATGACCTGTGCACAATGCAAAGGAAAAAGAAAACCTAGAATAGATTAACGATGACTTGAGCTGGGTACAGGTCAACGCGGTTCAATGGTGTAGGTGGAACGGTGTGCATATATGTGTTGTTTTGAAGAAGCAATGATGTTCTCGTTCTTCCTCGTTGAAGACGCATTTACTCCCTACATATTCATCTCTAGAACTCTTTGGCTCTGGCAGTGTATATTGTAGATCTATCCGAGAGGGCTCGGCTTAGATCTGTCTCGGTAATTGAACATGTCACATCACAACACCTCCATCAGAACTACAGATTGCGTCTGAGCAAGTTTTTATTGGAACTGAGCAAGTTTGACTGGGATCTTAAAACTCCACCTATCTAGTCAACACCGAAGAGGGTCGGTGTTAATGTGATAGTTCTCGATTCTGCCGCCAATGTGATTCAAGTTACGCAATATTGAGACTTTAGGCTCACAGTAATGTAGTAATTTCGGGAGAGATCTGACAAATACTGTACTTTATGGGCGCAAAGTTCTTGCTCTTCCATTGAGCTTGACAGAATTGGAAATCTTCACGAGCTCTAGTTTCGATCCATGGAATATATATACTACCCAACTGTTTCGTTTTATGGAAGTAGAACTCCATCAACACTCTTCTTTTAAAGTTGACTCTTCAGAATCCCAATTCTATTTTAGAACAATCCTCTTATCAAAATGGCTCCCATTGTTGTTGGTTCCCTCTGCTACCAGTATCAAGCCTCCGATGTCATTGCACCATTCGACATGATCGCAGGTGGTAGCAAGCAATTATTGGAAGCTATCAGGACGTACTCACCAGACGTCACCGATTCAGGAATCAAGAACGCCCCGGAATTTGTCTTTCATCACATTGGCCTTTCTCGCGACCTCGTGGACCTAACCGCTGGCACAATTATAAAACCTACATGCACTGTGGATGACTGCCCTGAGCTGGACATCCTTCTCCTTGGAGGCCCAAACCCCGTTTCTTTCGATCTTGACCCACGATACGCCGAATTCATTCGCAGACACGTCGCTGCAGGAAAGATACTCTTTACCAACTGCACTGGTGCCTTCGTTGCCGCTATGACGGGTGTATTAGACGGCAAAAACGCCACGGTCAACCACATTGAGTATGAGTGGGTTAAGCAAAAGTACCCCAAGGTGAATTGGTCGAAGGATAAGAAGTGGGTTATCGATGGAAACATTTGGACAGGGTCTGGTCCTGTGGCGGGCATGGATATGATGATTCACTGGTTGCGAGAGAATTATGGGGAGGAATCGTTTAAGTGGGCAGCTCTGAATCTTGACTTTGAGCCTCGGGACATTGACGGAGTTAACGTGGTTCCTTTCCGGTATGGCGCGGATGGAAAACAGCTGTTTACCTATGTTCATCACTACTACGATTCCTACTGAGTCTTTGCCGAGAGATAAGGGTTGAATAACTAGTAACTACTCATTAAATGAATACAACTTTCCATATTACGTGGTTCATCAGTGATAAATTACCTCTTTATCAAATAATTACGAAAAAGAACTAAGGCAGGTGTTAAAATTTATACATGAATGCGTAGGAGGTACCCGAAGCATATTCTCCAGAATTAGAAAGCCTGTGTATTCCACCTTAGCACATACCATAGATGTAAATATGTTCTCCTGAGCGTTAGATTCATGCGTCTGGGATCACGGGGCAGTTGAGCGCCGGAAACGACTTGCGCGTTAAAAAAAAACATGTAAGTTAAATAACATCGGAATAGAATGGCCAAAAGAGTAACTACACAAAGGAATCCAATTACGGAACCCACGAAACTCACTGTTGTGAGTCGGAAGTTGTGAATTGGGGGGATTCTAAAAGGTCGTTTAATGAACACTACATGACATCTTGATTTGACTACAAGAGCGAGTCTCCCTAATATCTTTTCCCAATATCGACGAAATATCTACACCAGCAGTGGCAATAAAGCAGCTTTCCGAGACAGAAGAATAGTGAGAATAGGTTCAATAGCAAGCTTCAATGCGCTGTGGCTGCTGATGTTCTGACCAATTCCAATCAGCTCTTGACTGATCGCTTGGGAAAGAAAAGTCTAGATTCCCCAAGTCAGCTTTTGGTATATATCTGGTAGCATGTGTAAATAAATTAATTTGTATATCCGGGGGGCTACGGATATAGGTATCTTTGGAGTACAGGAAAATTCACCCAATGCTTGCTGCTACAACTATCCATACACCTTCGGCTTTAAGGACCTCCGTGGCGCTTTATTCCGTGTCTCTCCCTCTCAACCTCTCAACCGTTGTCTCATGTTATATATTGTTACGCTTTGAATAGTATTCTAGGTTGAAGTCTTAGTGATACCTGATTCTAAGCGGCGCCGTGGCATAGCCTAATATTGTTTGTTTGTTTGTTTGTTTTAGTATTAAACGACCACTATGTAAGGCTAGTTACAAAGTCCTCTTCTGGGCACAAGGTCGGTAGGAGCCGCTTGGTGTCAGACCCTGCGTTCACTACATGTCAATGAGACAAAGGAAAATGGTTTGTCAATCTGGGGATGGGGTTATTCTGGGGGGTTGGGGGGGGGGGGGGGGCCGTATGGGCTGGTTTCCTCCACTAGTTTCTGAAATTCTTTGTATCCTTTGGGGCCGAGTAGATAGTCTAGTATCCTGACTCCCATCATGTAATCCTTGTCTGGGACCTCTGGGAGGAAGGGCCGAACCATTCGACACTTGACGAAGTGGCCTTGCTTCCTGGGTCTCCCGCATTTGCATTGAGGTCGGGCGTCATGTCCGAACCTCTCGTGATATCCAATGAAGTCTCCGTGTCCTGATCTTTCATAGCCTAATATTGCACGTGAAATTTATTGATAAGGATTCTATGGGCTTGTGATGGAAAGACATAAGGCTAAACTTGCAATTCAATAATATATTATACTGAAAGTCATAGCATCTAATTACAGTTTTGTTTGACGTTGAATTCAAGTTTGTGATGGACTAAAACTAATACAGATTTAACCTATACAAACTCATTTATTTTAACATTCTAGAGATCGATTTCGGCTTTCGAGAAATTGATTTGATCCGCTTCTCATTACAAACATTGATGCTGTCGTCCTGACTTGTTCTAATAGAATCTAGGGGAACTACATCGATGTAACTTTGTGATCAGCTTCTGCGTAATCTTCCTCCGAAACCTCTTTTCCCAGCAACCAACCGAATCCTTTCAAAATATCCCTTCTTTGTCCGCGGGATGAGTCCAACTGTGGGAAAACATCATCGTATCCATGAGGAATGCCAGGATACACGTCAATTCGCGTTTGGACTCCATGATCACGCAGCACTTTCTCATAGATAAGTCCATCATCCCTTGCCGGATCATTTCCATTCACCTGTATATAAACAGGTGGGAGACCTCGATGCGGGCTTTCAGCGTTGAAAGGTGAGTATTCGGGCGAGTTGATATCTGGTTCATATAACGACCGAGTGAATTCTAGCGACGCTTTATTGAGAATGATTGCGTCCGCATTCTGTTCCCTAGAGAACCACAGTTCCTTGTATTGATCAGGGACATATTCCTTTTCAAGCAGGACGGGCATGTTTAGCCAGAGTCCAGTCATACGAGGGGACACTGCTTGAGTGACCCATTTTTGGGCCGCGACGGCCGCCAGGGTCGCTCCAGCGGAAGTACCACCAACAATGAAACCGGTAGACAAGTCTGCTCCAAGGGATTGCGCATTCTCTTGAACGGATAACCACTTCAAGTTATCCCAGACATCATTTGGTGCAGTTGGAAACTTGAACTCGGGAGCCAGCCGATAGGATATACAAACAACAACAGCGCCATATAAGATGCTTAATGCTTCAGCATGGGTCCTCATGAGACTGTTATCACCCAAACAATATCCTCCGCCATGAATCAATACGATCAATGGCCTGGAACGGGAAACAGTCGTCGGTTTATAGACCACAGCGCCATTCTGGTGGCGATCCCTCATAGGAACGGTGATTACCAAGGCATTTCCTGGTGGTGCCTGTAAGGGCAGAGTATTCTGTCGGGACATCTGTAATAATGTCGGGAGAGGTATCAAAAGCATTGGGTTTTTGGAGCCCTCGTTTGCAAGGTACTGAAAATAGTCAGTCTCGTTCATTCACTCTCTACAGTATTGCTTACTTCAGACACCTCAGGGCTATGTAGTGCGGGTGTTATTATTAGCTATACACCAAAATCCATGGAAAAATAAGATGCACATACTCTATATTGCCCAGACTAGAGACATCTGCTTTGGTATTGTATACAGCCATTGATAGAATGAATTGTCGCTATGAAGTAGATGCTGGTATTTTTGGTATTGTTAAGAAGATGAGAATTAAACTGCCATTCAGGTCGATCACATTGTCTTTTTATATCTTTTGGTAGATTTGAAAATCCAAATGAACATTATGAATATCCTTCTTAACGTTGAGGCCATCAATGTAGTTGGTGGAATAATAATTGGTGGAACAATGGGAATAATGTCCAGGCCCCTGGTTACTAGCCTCTAAATATATCGTGAATATCACAGGCACATTGCTACTTGTTCAGTCACACCAAGAAAAAACAACGTAAACGTTCCGGAAATAAGAGACAGCAGTTGCTAAGATGCGGAAGTCCGCTTTGCTCACTTTTTCTTATACGTCAGTGGTTGAAGTAGTAGGGACCCTTGCTATCACCCCTCGTCTGTATTAGAAAATTGATTCCATATTTGAACAAAAGCCAAAAGTCTTGAAAGACCATTGCAACCTAGGGGTAGCCTTTAACCATTTCGGATAAGGTCTTACTGGCCTCAAGAGTGGACTCGTACCTGTTATAGCACATAACCAAATGAAGCTGAGTCTCAATTGGGAGCTACCGCAAACTATACTATCGTACTGAAGCGTGGAGAATGGTGACACGCTTTAACTCTAAGGAGGAGGAAATTGAAACTCGGGAGATCTTTTGCGAAGATTCTGTTCTAGGGCACTTTCCTTGTAAATCCTTGCATAAAGTGACAAGGCTCTCTATAGGATATGATATACGGAATAAACCTAGGTAAGATGACTTATCGCTATTACACTTTGGATAGATATGTTTACACGATAACATAGGATTGAGTATATGCAGAGAATAAAGAGCCTGGCCAAGATGCATTTCCTCTATGAGGAGACTCTTCGTGTCGCCAAGCACATACGACCATAGGTAGTGGAGAATTCGGGGTCTCGTCTGCTCCCCCAGAGACAAGCCACTAACCGGCAGATCAGTAGTTGAGTGGGAGACCATCAGCGAACACCGGCTGTTGTATGTTTCTTTTTTTGTTATTTTTTATCTTGGTCGATCTCATTTCTTAGAGTTCCTTTACCTACGGCTTCTGGGATTAAGCTTCTGCTTCGTATTATCCATTATATAAGGCTAAAGGATATCAGCAACGGTGACTAAAACGAAGAGATGCTGGTACTCCCTGTGACATGAACCATACTTGTATGTTGCATTGCCATCTTTACTGGCGAGAACTGGAGGGAACACAGGCTACCATGTTCATTATCTATTATTATATGTAATGCTATTTCATGTCCCAGTTGTCAAATATTTTGCTTCATCGCTCTAAGTTACACAAAAACGCCGGAAAACATCACGTGGCGGGCCGCCCAACCACACCTACGGCTTCAAAGTCTCATTCCACGATTGCCAATACTGATTCTCCCAAGTAGGCATGCATTTCACCATACTGGGGGGGTCGAGCCGCCATTCTATTTTATCGCCCTCAGGCTCTTGTTTCGAGACTATGTCAGACGTAAATCCCTTGGCTTCCTTGATCTTCTTTGCTTTTTCCACAGAGTACTCAAGGTTTACGGAAGGGACGACAGCGATCTTGCGGTAGCCCTTGAACCAGAGATCTTTGCAAAATAACTGCGGTTCACCTTGTCTACATTCACCGGCGGTTTCATTCGCTGCCCTGAATTTTACAGATTTTTCTAAGATTGGCTGAGCTGTGAATACCGTAGCGCCGTTCCAACAAGAGAACACTTGAAAGGGACGCTGCGTGTAGAAGCGACCTTGAGTCTCCTCGGCGTTCCAGAAGAGATTCCATGCCGAGTTCCAATTCCCGTCGGGAGGGATCTCGAAGAAAGAATCGCCGTGAATTGTGCGGGCAATCCATACATCGTAAAAAGTAGGGTGCTCGCCAACATATGTCCAGTCCATGGCGCATGTCATATCCGCACCAAGAGCTTTTCTTTGATGTACAAGCTCGAGGATATCCTCGGAACATGCGGATACATCATTGAGGAAGATGACGGTTGTATCACTTGTCGCTTTGCCATTCAAGTCTAGGAGAGGTGCTAATGCCTTGTTTCGAAGCTGTGCAAGGCGCGCGACACGGTTGTCCTTGCTCGGATCGATTGCAGATGACTCAAAATAATATGTGACTCCTAAACTCTCAAGTGCTGGCCGGAGAGCAGCAAGTACATCGGCGGTGCCGTCTGGAGAGTTGCCTTCAACTATGGACAGTACACATTGTGTCGGGCCGAGAGAACGAATCGCCTCGACAATGCTGCCTATTAATCGAGGTAACAAAGGCAAGTTTTGTCGCAAGTTGAGGGCGAAGAAGTATTTAACAGTGGGATCGGAAGGAAGTGTGCTCTTGAGCGCGCCATATCGTGTAGTGTTGACCGCCGGGCATTCTAGATTAGGTAGCGTCGAAAGCTGTGGTGTGAGAATCGCCTCGAGGTATTGCGTGATGTTCTCAGCCGGCAAGATGCTACCTGGGAAAGTGAAGAGGGTCAGCCAAAGCTCGTTGTGTTTGCGAAAAGAAACAGCGAGGGCCAAGTGCAGAGTACCAACCATCAAGAGTGGGCTTTAGCTCCGGTGTCTTTAGTCTTCCATCATCAGCGTCATGTCGAAACAAAGGTCGCGCAAATCGATCCCTTCCCATTAACAGAGTTGTAGCGACAATGAAGCCCGCGATCAATGGAGCTGCCAGTATCAACAATCTCGTACGCATCTCGGGAACTGACAATTACATAGCGCGTTGGCTCAAAATCGTATCCTCGGCTACATCATGAGGCACAGAAGAGGATGCGAAGGCTGTCATATTAAGGGGACTGTAGCCGCTGACTGGCAGTTGTTGGTTGTTGGTTGATGATTACATGTGCATCGCGCAATCCTTCCACTGGTCAAGCTGAGCAGAATTGCGGGCCAAACGAGGCCGCGAAGCGCCGAGTCTACCGCAGTCGCCGAGCCGGGGTGGGGGCAATACCGGTGAAGTGGTGCCACTGTTGAAGATGGAGTAGCCGCCCAGGTTAAACTTGGAACCAACAGCGTTGTTGAAACCTCAGCCTTGACACCTGGAGCAGTTGGGTGTTCAGGTATGTTGTTTAGGTGTCTTGTAACATGCTATATGTATGGATGAGTGGAGGGGGGCAACCCGAGCATGGAGTGATGCAGTCCTCCTCTCTTTCTCAGAGTTCTTCGCTTCCGCTTATGTTGCAGATCTGTCAGAATATCTTATGGTGTAGCCAGCAGGGGCATGATAGACGAGAACCATGTTTGCATATATGATGAGAATACTCGCCGTTTTCCTTTTCTTCTCCCAAGTCAACAAGTGTAAAGCGCGGGATCATGGCAATCCACTACCCACTCTCGCAGCACAGCTACTTCAACGCAATGTAACGCAATTCGATAAACGAGCCGTTGTGCAGACAGAAATGTCTACTTGCGGATACGAAAACGGGGATCCCAAAAAAATCCGCACCGCCAATCCTGGGTTTGACTGTCGAGTTGACACCATGAATGGCCTCTGGGGGTTCTGTCCTGTCACTGTTATAGCAGCTACTGACTGCGGCTTGGCTGGAAGCTGTGTCGACCATGGATCGTGCTCGAGTGGGTGTGGAAAAACTGCCAATACCAAGTTGACTACATTTACTTGGTAGGTCTCATCTTCCAATAGTTACGGATTGTCTGGGTGTTAATAGCTTGACTCTGCAGTGGGCCAAAGCAATTCTGCTCCACCGCCCTCTTGACTTTTGGTGTCGACCAAACATACTCCTATATTGGCTGTGGCGGGAGTCCCAGGACGGATCATTATCTTATTTCCCCTACCGCAAATTCTGGTTCAGCCTCCGACAAAATATCTTCGCCAACGACACCGGCTACCACACAGATTTCGACGAGTGCGCTTTCATCGTCATCATCATCCACTGATGCATCTGTTGACAAGGCATCAGTGTCGATAACGCCATCAATTGGCGTAGGGCCTGCAAAAGAAACAAATGGCGCCAGTGACAGTACCAACAGTGATTCATCTCCAAACAACACTGGAGCAATCATCGGCGGCGTCATTGGCGGCATAGCTCTGCTGTGTTTTTCCGGCATTGCTGCAATTCTGCTATTGAGGAGGAATCGATCATATCACCGCCAGACACAAACTAAGAGAGCGCAAAGAGATACTCATGAATCTTGGTATCATTCGAGTCCAAAAAGCAAGCATCGTCGCATGGGTGGCTGGGGACCTATAGAACTGCAAGGCTCGCAATATGAAAGAACCCCTGAGAATGCGATAGAACTACCCGGTTAATACTCATTAACACTAAGTTTTCAAAGGCAAAAATTGTCAGATTATTATCTAGAGCGTAAGGCAGCGGTGTTTTGCCTGCACAGAGGCTTTTAAACTTCTGAAGTCGGGTTGCTACCAAATGTTGAGAAACGGCAAGGTGGTAGCGGCTGAAAGCGTGCTGGTGAAAGAACCACAGCTTAACACTGGCTGTTCTAATTTTATTTACTTTTTAGTTTTTCACGCTAATTTAATCATCTAAATCATTTTGCGACTATCAAGATTGAGTCAGCATTCTGTATGGCAACAGGTCCTGTTGGTGGCTGTTGCCGTTTCTATTACGGTTGAAGAGAAGTGCATATAAAGTCAATCAACAGTAGTATATTTGGCTATTGAATCTGTGAAATAAACTACCAACGGACCCCTCCATCCCCAAACTACTATCTGTCCTCAACCCTAATGTTTTGTTTCTCATTTTCTGCATTTAGCTTAAAGGGGAACCAATTGTAAGCTTAAAGGCAGAGTTCCCATGCACTTAGACGTAGGTGTCGGTAACGGTTGAGCCGTCAATGGTGACGGTGGTGAGCACTTGGTTGTTCTGTCGAATGTCGATGACCGAAGCTGTAGAAGCGTCCAGCGAGGAGCTTCCGGTCGACGCCGTGGCACCAGTAAAGACAACGCTGCCCCAGTTGGCGAGGGAAACCAGAGAAGAGCCTTCCTCGAAATCCTCAACAATCCATTCGGCGTTCTGACCTCCAAGAGCGTACGTAGAAGTGAGAGACTTGGAAACGCTCTTGCCAGTGGTGACATTCTCGATAACTGCAACGCCAGCTTTGCTAGAGGTTGAAGTGACGGTAGTCTTGATGGTATCGCCGGGGGAGATGGCAAGAGTAAAGTCGTATGCATAATCGGGGAACCACTCATACCAGGCATCGTAGCTCACTTTACCATTCGTAACGGTAAAGTCAACGCCCGTCTGCAAAATAGCATTCTGGTAGGTATCGCCATCAATGCCAACCCAGGCGGAGGCACTGTAGGTGCCGCGAGAGGAGCCACCCGAGGGAACCTTGGGAGTGGGCACGACAAAGCTAGCTGAGACGCTCTTGAAGGTCTCGCCAGCTGGAGGGGAGGTGATGACGGCTCCCGACCAGTTGCTGGAGTAAGAGACGTGGGTGTCATTGCCACTGGCCACGGATTCAACATCAATGCGCTGATTGGGCCTGGAAGAGCGTCCTTGTCTGCGGGCAACACGCTCGCTCAAGGTGCTCGGAGCGGCAGAGACATAGCCAACGAGCAGTGCGTAGCTGAGAGTAATTGCGGAAAACTTCATTTTGAAAGGTTGAAGTTGTGTTGGAGTCTTTTCAAGTTGTGCTGGTGCTATGAGTAAGAGCTGGATGCTTCTGGACTGTGTTGTTGAAGAGTGGTGCTGAAATCCAAATTCACTGGCAGGTCCGTATGCTTTTATAGACATCACAATATAGCTTCACTCACGAGAATAACCATATGTATATAGCTTGTATGCTTCTTGATACTACCTTCCCAAAATATTGGGTTATCACTTAGCTTAATGAGTATAAGACAACAAAAAACATGCAAGATAATGCAATGAGTGAACTCCAGCATGTGATAGTTGGCATGTTGACTCCGTCTCTTGATGAATCGTAGAGTAGCAACTCGTCGTAGTAAGTGACGACCCACCATCTCTGCTGCATTCCTATCCCTAAAAAGAAATTCGGATCCGGGAACCTTTGCATTATAAAGGCGTAATTACAGGGCTTGTATTGCTAGAGATTATCGTGAGAGTTTGCATTGGCGCGGATGCCATGGAAGGCATCACACCTCAGTGCCGTGTTCCGGCAGATGGCACTGCTTGCCAAGACTCGGGAACGATCTTGTAAACCATCTTGAACTAATATTCCGCATCATTAACCTTAGACCGATTCACCTGCCTAATTCAGCGCATCCTACCGAGATTCGAATGGCGTATTGTGTTGCTATAATTGCCATATAACTCGTTACCGTCTCAATGGCGTATTTTGTTGCGTAAATTACAGAATTGCGTGGGTTGTTGTGATACAGGATTGCATAGTCGCCATAACTAGGTCGTGCCGCGGGTTAATTACGGACCGAGCCGTTGATGAAGACAATGGCGACCTAAAGCGGCAATTGGTTTATAGCCAGATGGAATAACTCTAAGCGAAGGTTGCTTCCGACTATTCTGAGAATGTTAAATAACTACATGGTTTGTTACACTAAAGGGACCTGAATTGGGGAGGGAGCTGGCGAACGTGTAAGCAAAACTAGGTGATGATTCGTCAAGAACTGACATTTGACAACATCCCCCCTTGACCTGGCGCACCGTCTGATCTTACGAAACATATTTGTTTATATCTTTCGAAGAACCTGGCACGGTACATTTCATCAAAAATGAAAAGAATGTCGCCATGTCTGTGTAAGTGCACACTGGTTCCAAATTCGTCAAGGTGGAGTTCATTATCATTATGAGTGCGACATCGCGTGAGCTCCTAACAGCCTTGCATTAAAAGGACCAACTGATCAATGTCATGTGAGAAAGCCGTGTTGTTTGTTACACACCGAAGAATCATATTTAAAAATAAATTGACTGTCCACTATGAAAGACATTGACCTATTACAGATAACACGTCCTACATATTGATTAGCACCTTTTCCCCCCATTCAGTGCATACTAAGTCGAGTTATTTACCTAAAGCTGCATAACACAGTTAACGACACCCCTAATAAGGGGAAACTTATTATCTTTCAAAGTCTTTAGTACGTCCTTAAGCTCGGAGGCGTTGTTAATATCACATGCAAATACGAGAATCCTCGCTCCCTTCTTAGTTAACTCATCCACCAGCTTGCGAGCTGGTGGCTTTGTGGCCCCGGAGCGGCTTGTGAAAACAACATGTCGTGCACCCTGGTCCACCATCTAGGCGGCGATCGAGTGGCCGAGACCACCCAGGCCTCCTGGAATCATGTACGTCGCATCCTGATAAGCCAAGAGGGTTCCGTGAGTAGACCAACTAGGTTGCTGTATCTGTACGGTATGCCTCGCCTCGGACAGAAACATCACCCAAGCGTGCATGCGGTGGCTTCAGCTGACCCTTATTCGGACAGAATTTCGTCATATGCACTCTGTATGAGGCGTAGTGTTTTTTTTTTTTAATCATTTCGTGTACTCTGCTATGTATCAATAAGGTTGTGCAGTCTCAGTGGGCGTTAACCAAATAAGGGAACAAAGGATGAGTTATACAAAAGCGATAATCAACAACCTGGGTGACAAACTACCTGGATAAACTCTAAATGATTTTAAAGTACCAAGTTCAGTCTATCTTAAGATTGAAGGTTAATACTGATAGGGGAAAAAACTGCTATGATTCACGGAACTGGCCGACTGATGGCCAATGCAGTCAAGCAATGTCGTCTGTGAATGACTCTGACTATATTTTCTCCAATCATCAGTGGAAGATTAATTGCTGAATTAATAGTACTCGTACATTTATACATATCAAGCGTGTACAGCCAACAGCCTTCACCAATTGATATTAGACTACTGTCTCGCACTTCATATTTTACTTCATACGAGTCTGGAATATAGCCCCATGTGTCTCTCCCAGTATACGGTACCCCCTTTCAACTTAACTTAAAATTAGAAAAATATGGCAAGCAAGCCGCAAGATTAAACGTGAACTTTGCCAGAGAGACGAGCTAGGTCATAAGTCAAGGCACATTGGCGTGAATGGATACACTACTACCCTATGATAGAGAAGATCGGAAGGAGGGGCATTGTATAACCGATGAAGATGGTTGTACTCCTCCCCTTCGAGCATGTAGTTACGTTTATTCTGCACGTATTGATCAGCTATCCGTTTTGGCACAAAGTTCCGGCACAAACCAAAGGAAAACAGACATCACAGTACCACTCAGTGTATCTAATACCTAACTTGTCATAACAATAGAACGGGAAACAGATAGCCAAGACCGATGCACTTTGCTCTTCATGTCCTTATTTCACCATTACATCCTCAAGTCGCTTATCACCCAACTAGAGGCCGCTCACACATCTCATGCAAGGCATCTTTTGTAGTTTGTTTCAAACTTATAGCTACAGATGATGGGCTCAGGATTATAATTACTTTTGGACACTTAAATAGCACACGGCGGTAATGGTTTCTCAAGAACAAAGAGGTATCATTCATGCTCAGACAACGGCTAATTACAATCCACTACCACCAGGTATACCCATCCTCCCAAACAAGACTCAGTCAGTGTTGCATTGAACATACTCGATAACATCCTTGGACTCGAGAATGATGGTTCCAGGTCCATTCACCTGACCCACTCCCAGACCGCGGCTCAGCGCATCCAGGAAAGCGCAGCGAGCACCAAAGTATCTGCCGGGGAGGGCAGGGTTCGCAAGTGGCTCGACGAAGACATTGTCAACAATGCCACCGCTGTCTAAACAAATGAGTTAGTATACGTTTTGAAGAGTCAACTGCCAGATTCTACTTACTGAGAGGCACCTGGGAGATGCTGTCCTGAACCCACTTCATCTCAGATTGAGATCCGTTGGTGTAGGTGAAAATGACACCGATCTCGTTGTCATGGCCAGCCGCAGGGGCAGCCATGACGAGGCTGCTAAGAGCTGCGAGAACGACGGCGGCGCGCATGATGATTATTGGTGGCGGCAGTTTATTGAACTAGGTGTAGGATTGAAGTTGGAGATGCTGCTGTCTTCAAAAAAGGAACATCTTTGCCTGTTGAGAAGGAGTCTTTTATACAACTGCCCATGGTGGAGCACCTCCTTGTCTTCGTATTTCGCCAACACCCCCGGCATTTCCCAAGCCCGTATCAGCAGTGATGTACTCTATACGAGTAAAGGCCAAGCAATTTCAACCCCGGACTGCAGACGCCAAGACTCTACACTCTCCCCCACAACAGCACAGTTGTTCAAGAAGTCACGGATTATATGAGCAAGTCATCATCATACGAGGACTTTTTCATGATAGAATTTAGCGGTTTAGACACGGAAGCGGTGTGGTTCTTTACCCATTTGTCTTCTCTGACGCCAGAAATGCCTTTCTGGGACGTGAGTAGGTCTCCGGTTATTAGGCCCACATGAGTAAGAGTGCACATTTAAGGGGCTAGACTTCCCAAAGCAATGCCAGGGGTTTTCCACTATGGCAATGCGGATTCCCCTATTATTCCTTGTTAACGAATCGCATGCACTACTGTATCAGGTAAGCATCATGACATTAAGCTTCAATACCTACCTCGTAGCTTTGGACGGTATTGGCATCGCTACAACAGTAAACACTGCGAAGCGTCTGCTTTAACAGTGCACAGAAGCTAAATCATTTATTAGGATGTATATTTCTATAAAGAAAAGAAAGAGAGAGTCGGCTTTTTTTTTTATCTTGCGCCATCTAGCTGATAGCAAGGGCCATGTTTACTACCAAGTGTCCCAATTGTTCTCACCCACTATAATTGCAGCATTAGGCGATCAAACGTACGCGTGCGGGTTCTTCCATTGAATCTCAAATTCTCCAAACGGATTCGCGGTCCGGGCCTGATCCAATTAGATTCTTTTCACCAACACTATGAGATCAACAGTATTATAGGCTAAAGGCGAAGGTAGTGTAAGCATCCTCAAAAACTGCTCATCTTGGAAACTCATATTATTCGGTTAAGGTGAAGGCCATTCTGACAACTGGGCCCAATTTATTTCTGGAATAACCTGCCAAGCCGAAACCCCCTTTTCTATTGTTTATTGTCAAAGATATTTGTGTACTGTTGAAGCAAAAGATTCTGGTCAAAATCCTGCGCTATCTTTTCAACCGTTGCAGATTCGGGATCAGATTTTGCCAGATTCAAGTCCATCATGAATGTTGCTCTAACCTCTCCTGGTAGCTGATAACCACTGTTGTTGCCATTAATATCGTGTAGCAATTGCCGCGCAGTTGAGCTTGTGATGTCTCCTTTACGCAAAGCCATCGATAAGAGGGCTGTCGAGATGGCTCGTGTAACACGCCAACACGGTCGAAGTCGTTCGTATCCATAGACACAGAGTAGGAAGTAAAAGAACCAGTGTTCGTCCTTGGGGTGGAGAAGAACGGCGTTGGCCAAGTAAGTCAAAGCCGTATGCCATAGTATCGTGTAAGATGATGAGGCGAAGTTGAGCCTATAATTTATAATGAGCTGTTTAAGCTGGCGAGCCGATGCGATGCACACATTTTCCGGAGTGCAATGAGGACTGGTGAAGGTTTTCAGGTGCTGATTCTTTATATCGCTAGACATTGAAAACCTAAACAAGTCGAGGATGGCGGCATGGAGCCATATGCTACAGATATCATTAGGGGCCCGGATTGAACGGGGATGCATTCACATCAATAACATGGTGCGTACTGTAAAATTTGGACATAATGCGGGCTTTGGTCGTTCCGCGATAGTTTTGGCGGCAGGCGGTTGCTCCAGGCTAACAGTTCACGAAACTTGAATTCGGCAAAGTAGAGAGTTCTCTGGTCGCCCGTGAGTGGTCCTTTATGCCTGTACATTAGAGCTAGTTCATGTAATATGGACCAGAATTGACAGATATAAGGGAACACCCCTCCCATATACTGGGGATCAGGTTCGACTTGGGGATTGTCTGAGTTTTCGGGCTCTCCTGTTACATCTGGTTGGTGATTCCAAGGAATAGGTAGTTTAGGAGGAATCTTGGGGCATTGTAGGCCTGGTTGGCGGTAAAATAGAGACATGTGACTGTTGAAGGTGAGCACTGAGATTGTTCACTCGAAGTGACGGGGTGATGAGAATGTGAGTACTCACGTAATCCAATTGAATGATCCCCAAGCCGCGTACAGCTGCGCAGTCTTTGCTGGTTCTGGCATGAGCTCGATTTGTTGTTGTTTGTGGTTTGCCCCAATCCCAAAGAAGCCCATCCGGACAGCCATCTGGGACGCTTCGTTGAGATATGCCAAGACGACGTGATCTCTACCCTGGCCCAAGTAACCTAAACTCAGAAATTGTACGGCTGCTAAATTCAGTATTGAGTCGTAACTGCGTTGGCGTTCCCAGAGCGACTCCGCCTCGGTGCAGAAACGAAGTGCCAGTGAGCCACTATCGGGGTCTTGAGCACTATTCAGCTGCTACTTCTTATGTTAGTTCGTGAATTGCAGTGACCAGCTTCACTTATATACCAGTACTTACGCATGCCCAATAGAGAAGCGCGTTAACGAGCATCGGGGAGCAGTAGTCCGTCTTGCCCGCCGTGAGGCTAGCTACAAACAAATTTGGCTCGAAGAATCCCAAGAGGGGGTGATCTGTTTCCAAATATAGAGAGATTGTACGAGCAGCATACTCATTACTAATTATTATATTCGTCCAATTGCTTATATCTAATTGGGCGAGACGACTGTCGCAAAGACGAAGTCCGGGTACTGCTTCGTGCTGTGTCGTGCCTTGTATAACCTCAGTACCCGAATCTTTCCCCGCTGTATGTATAAGCTGCTGGTACGTGGCCTCTTCTAGGGTTTCTAGGCTTAGAGTTGGTGTTTTAGGATATGCATTTTGATACTCATCTCCTAGCTCCAAAGATTGAAATGCATCGCTCATCGTTGCCGCTTCGAAGTTGAGATCAGAATGCTGCAGAGTGCCAGCTTTGTCTCTTAGACTGGAGAGGACAGCGGAAGCAGCACCCTCTTTTCTCAGACTCTTTAATTTGTCCAAGATTTCATCGTCCGGAAGTGCGTTCATCAGGCGAATTACTTCGAGAAGTAGCGATTGGGACTCTTCCGATATTGCAGAAACATCCCTGTACACGCAATCGCTCGGTGTATTCTCACAAGCTGAACAAACTGGTCTTTGGCCACCGCACTAGGAATGTTAACTCCAACCAACGACAAATCCGCACCTCAAATGATAAAGGACATACCCGGGTCTTTTTGCGGCGGCAGCCGTTGCAGGCTATCGAAACACCAACACGACGTCGCTTGGATGCTAGTACCGCCGAGGAGGTGGCCCCAACATCCGTGGTGTCTTGTGAGCGTTTGGGGGTTATGGATACGTAATTCTGCATGGCTGTGATTCATAGAGTCATGATAACCAATTCAAATAGCATGAAACGACACTTGAAATAGCCTTTAAGAGGAAAGGGTATTGACAGCCCTGCCAACATGCTCCCATCACATCATGCTGACGATGTTCAGAGGCTGCAGCGCTTGTGTTGTACGCTAGGGCTTAGCGTCAGAACAGCTGAGACATGACAGCATCCTAACAGCAATAATGGACATGGTCTGGCTGCCGAATTAATGTGGTGATCTCATAAGTTGCCAGATCCGCATCATCTTGAGCCCGGAGCGAATCAGAAGGCGGTCATTGTTTCGATCGCCACGTGGGAGCCGTCGCGTGCGGCGGTTGAGAAAGGGCTGGAATTCAACCTGGTATCCAGTTAGTCTGACAGCTACTTCATGCTAGCGGTACGTTATACATGTGGATAATGAAGTCTTCACCACGCAACAGTTTATAGTGTAGCGCTACTCAATGTGCCATGCATGTCGTTCTCTTTAGCAGTGACCTTGATGGGCTTCATACAGTCAGCTGTCACCGTGTCAATCGCAAATCATGGGCCATTGTACCCATTGGTTATCATTCCAGAGGTGTAACCACCAAAGCGACCTTCTTTATCAACCCATCCAACCAATACACAAAGGTTTCGGTACAAGAAGTATCACGCGCTTAATTTCTTGATTCTGTACGAATATATACAATTAAGTAAATTGTTGCCAAAGAGATCTTCTAAGCATTGATCACGAGACAACTCTCAACCTGATTCTATCCAAGTGGCTTGAAGCCATCCCACTAGGTGGCATTGCGGTAGCCTAATGCCACATGGATGAAAGGCGTGCAGCAAGTCCTTCCAATAACGCATCCAGAAACATACTTAATTGGCGTTGGTTGTCACTGAAATTACACCAAGCTAGTATTGATAGTAGGCAGTACTCCAAGTTAGCTATTCGGCACCCCAACGACTGCGTGAAGTTCCAAGTGTGTCAGCAGGATGCGAAGGATGCCTTTTATTTAACATACTTACCTGTCCTAGTGGGTTCTTTAGGTACCTGCCACTATCATCTCCTGCTATGGCGATATTCCTCTCGTTTCTGGCATTACGACTCACCACTCATGTATGCAGCTCTAAATCTGAGACACAGATGCTGGATGACAGACTTGGGGTACTGGCTCATATTCTTTTTATCATACATCAGCAATGTCGTAAACTAATTAACCATCGTGATCACTTTATCAAAATGACTAAATATTCATCATTGTTTGTCGCTGGTTTTCGGCTTCTTCTCTCGGCACTGATAAGCGACGCAATGAAGCAGCTTCATTCTTCGGAAACTCTCTGTAGCCAATCCGAATCCTTTGAACACCTACATCTAGCTCCGTGCGGACCAGGATTTGGCATCTCTTGAAATATCGTCGGAGATTAAATTCGAGGTACTGTCCCTTCGTTCTTCCAGTTGATTGACAGACACGCTACATTCTATCTCCGACAGCGCCTATCCCCGCAGCCAATGCCATGAGATGCGGGCCTAAATTTGTGAAGGATCCTTTAACATACGCATAAGACGGGACAGTGCACCACTGTATAAACAAGGTTGGATGCCTAAAAGCAGTCAGGCGATGCTTGTCTCGCCTTTCCAACCAACGTCGACTCAGCCTCATTTGTGAAACTCTTCCCCTCCATTTAAAAGGCTGCTCTTCACTCTTGCACTCAACATTTACAGCGTTGCTTTTTTGTATTCGGCAAGCAACTCAGGCTTAACTTCGTCAATTCATTTGCTATCTCTGCATCAGGTATTGTCTTCCTCCCAATTTTTAAAATTCTTCATTTACTCATATTCGAACCGTAAGCCGGGATGTCCATGTCCCAGCCGGAAGAACAAGAAGACTTGGTGCCCAAGGTCGCCGATATAAGACCCATCCCGTTCGATGCATCAGAGCAACGACAATCCTCTATGGATGAGAGCAGCACTCAAGACGGGATGAGCAAAAACGATGCAGCAAAGCATCATGTTATCTCTGACGAGTCTGCACAAGCCCTGCAAGATGTCGCCTCTCTAGAATCGCTGAGCGACGCCAATTGCCTGGTGGTTGATAAAGAAGCCGCGGGCTCAGACAAAGATACCATCCAAAATATGTCTCTTGGAGACTTCCAGATGCGCGAAGAAACTCCGGAACCTGCAGCTAGCACGCCCCTAGAAGCCTACCAACTGCAATTGATGCGCCTTGAGGCACAAGGGAAAAAACCTTTGCAGATGACTCGTCAAGAACAACCGGAGGCTGAAATTAATTTGTTACAACAAAAATATGAGTCGCGATGGAAGCTTCTTCAGGAGCAGACCAAAACCCGCCTTGTCATGGCTCGTCAAGAACAGCCGGAACCTGCAACTGGTTCAACCCAACCTGACTATGACTTGCAATTGAGGCTCCTCGAGGCGCAGAACAAAAGGCGCCTTGAGATGGCTCGTCAAGAACAATCTAAACTCAATACCCAGTCGCCGCACCTTGACTCACAAAGCAACCAACCTTCTGAGATGACCCGTCAAGAACAACCGAAACCTGCAACTAGTTTAGCTCAGCAAGATTATGAGCAACAGCTGAGGCTCCTCGAGCTGCAAAACAAAAAACGCCTTCAGATGGCTCGTCAACAACAATCTCCACTTGATGTCCAGCCGGCGCAGACTAAAATAAAGATGAAGGGGCCTCCAGAGCCCAATGTTATGGCTGTTATGCCCTCAACGCAAGAAAATGCAACCGCGGGGAGCGGAAACATGATGGCAACTCTGCCACCCGGAGCTCGATACTTCATACCGGCCTCTAGGTCCTACCCGGCGAATCCAGTGGCTGTGGATGTGAAAATTATGCCTAATTCAGAAGCCCAACCCGTCAGTAAACCCAATCCTAGAGACCAGGCAATGTCAATGCTAATAGCTTCCTCCAGACAACCCTACCAATGCCACCGAACCCTCCAGATCCTCAGGTTCTTGTTTTACAAAGGCAACTGAGAGCTCTCCAGATTAAAAACCATGTACTTCAGCGACAGTTGAAAGATGCAAAAGGAATCAATTTCGCTATATTCCACTGCTTTATCGGGCAAGAAGGGGAAGAGACCTATCTTGGGAAGCCATACTGGACAAAAAGTGGTGGGAAATTCCAGCTCAAGGCCTACCCACCTGTACTTTATCCCGATGCATACATTCTTTACAAACCTCTCGCATTCGTCATTTACAAACATTACTCGTCGGAACTATCAACAGAATACAGAGAAGCCCTACAGCAAGGTCAGATGCTAGACCTAGAGCCAACCCGCGAGGTCATAAAGCTCTTTTCAGACGATATAATAAAAGCAGTAGAGTTATTTGAGAAAGAGGATGAAGAAGCACACAAGAAGTTTCCGAGTCTTTCCGTCGAGAAAGAGATGTCAGCCCCTTACCCATGGTGGTACCACTACCGCGACAATCGAAACAAAATCTCTAACCTACCAAAGCCCGAAGCCGAGCTCATTCACCTTTTGACCGATTGGATTGATGTCAATTATAGTTGGCGATACGGCCGAAGTGATGACCAATTCAAGCGCGGTGTGGTCTCCGCCAAGTCTTTGCCTTTCTTGGTCCAGCCTGGAGAGGTTTTGGTTCGTAGGGATGCCGAGGGCGTCGAAGCTTTCTTGGCAACGACTTGGTCAGATAAAGAGAAGAGAAACTCTGAGATGCAAGTGCCTCCTGAAGATCCGGACTGGACCCTCCTATCGGTACCGTCGTCGAAGAAATCCGAGTGGAGTTGGGAGGTTGATGCTTGGTCATACATGTATAACGGAGGTTTTTATCGGGTGATGAGAAGACTCGTTATAAATCTTGACGTGGCTACAGCTGATACGGAAATTCCCATTGTGGACTTGGATGTGTTCCCGCTCCGATTCGCCTCACAAGAGTTGCGAGAAACGCTGGAGCGGCGAGGCAAGACCTTTTGGAACAGTCGATATGGCAACTACGTCTCATACGATAACCAAAACAAAAACGAAAAGCATGCTGTGAGTTATCAAATTTAGTCACCATCTAGAAACCGAAATCGCTAATGCGTCGACGTAGCAGGAAGAGTATTACATGATAGACTGGCGAGGATACACAATTCCACCCTGTCTGCCCATGCCTGGTCAACGCGCAAAACCTAAAGAAAATGACTTGATACCTGAATTCAAGGTGAAATGCCGGTATGTACACGTAGGTCTGCGTCCATCAGAGCCTGACGTGTATCTTTTTCCTCGAACAGCCATCGGTTACCATCTACAGCGCAAGGAATGGAGTATGTATTCCCATACTCGTGAAAGTGATATGCAGAGGGCAACACACTGACACCCTACAACTTAGATCACCTGAAAGTCGATCAAATCCAGGAGATGCCTTGGGATGAGAAGACATTTGGTAATATCGCTGCAGACGTCGAGATTAAAGAATTAGTTCAGGCTCTCATCCCAACCAAGCTTTCTGCTGCAGATATAGGAACAGACTGGATGTATAAGAAAGGCGACACCCTCATCACGGTCCTTCATGGAGGCCCAGGAACAGGAAAGCCATTCACGACCGATAGTATTGCTGAGCTAGCACAGAAACAGCTCTTGCAGGTGAAATGCAGCCAACCTGACATCACAGCCGAGTATCTGAAGTCAATGTTCCACGTTGGCGGACATTGGCGCCCTTTACTTATGTTCGAAGATGCAGAGGCTCTCCTAAAGCAGCGCTCTCTGGATGGCGTGCCATGCAATACGCTCGCCTCGGACTTTTTACGCGAAGTTGAGCTCTTTGATGGCCTCATCATCTTAACTTCAAAGAGTGCCGGTGATCTTGATGAGTTGCTCAAGTCACGCTCACGGCTAACTGTACACTACGAAACACTGACCCAGCCACGACGGGCGCAGGTCTGGCGCAACTTTTTGCGTCAACTCGACCCCCTGGGCGAAGGTAACATTGACTTTGATGGCATTAATGCTCGCATGGACGAACTGTCAGAAAAGGTGATGAGCGAGCATCAGATCTGCAATGCCATTATCACTGCCTGGCAGTTGGCTCAGTTCCAAGGCAAAATGATGACCATCGACCACTTGAGATATGTCAATAGCTGGGCTGATCTTCGTGAGGGAAGGACTCTCGACTGGCTCTCGACTGGCTCTGGTCTCTCTCAAGTGGCCAAATAACAAGCGGTGAAGGCTATGCTCAAGATAGTCTTCCGAATATCGCTCATTCCGTCTTTTGAGTACTCTAACCAACAGTTTTACGACCAACAGCTTTACGGATTTACACTCTTACGGATATACAGCTTCACGACCAACAACATGAACTTTTCATTAAAAATGCGACAGAAACATCAGCCCAATTAATTAAAACATTTACAAGAACAGATTGATCAATATTTTCCATAGCCTCTTCCAATATGATTATATTTTACCAGTATTCTTTATTTGTTGACTGAATATGATGAATTCTCTTACTGTATCTCCTGCTCAAAGATCAATTAACGTTGGATCGGTGAAGGATTTCCCTCCATATTTAGAAAACAAAAGGACCTACCGATCGCAGACTAGTCTCCATTGTCGCTGCCTAATATCACCTTAGTTGTGAAAGCTATGCTGCCTCTATGTTAAATCCTCTTAATGCGGTAGTAAATGCATGTTGTTGTGTTGCGTGGTCACACGACTGGAGCGTAGCAAGGATGATCCAAATAGCTTTATTTATAATAGAAGAGATGATTTTTTGTGGCCTAGTTATATGCATACTATCCCCGCTGTTAGGGCATCAAATCGAGCAATGAAATGAAGGCGTTAGCCGCCGTTGGGTCTATCTTATGGTCACGCATGTATTTATATGTACCTGTACAGTACTCCAGATTCCTAGAAGTCTTTTTTTCTGTAATGATACTGTTTATTCTTAGCATAATTGTGTTCTCCGCCGTTGACATACATCGTGGTGCAGAGTGTTCTAGTCATAAGAGAGCAGCGTCGAGCTGAGCCGAAATCACAACTTATCAGCACAATGTCCACCTTCCATCTCTTCCCTCATCTCCCTATTGAACTTCGCATTCGTATCTGGAACTCAACAGCTTTCCCCCATATGGTACATGTGAAGCGACGGTGGGTAAGTAGATACGGCGAGTTTGGGCTCCAATATACGGCTACATCAACGCCGTGCCCTCCAGTGGTGCAGGTCTGCCAGGAGTCTCGACGACACGAGCCATATCAGCGAGCCTTTACAACTGGTGCTGAGCCGCGGTATATCTGGGTCAACTTTGAGACTGACATGATATGCAATGACGACAGCCACAACGCACTGAAGCTCGCACCACATGAACAAGATGTACAAAGACTCAGGTTCTCAATTGATGACGAGCTAGCTTACAAGTACCTCTCCATTTGCGGCGACCAAGAATTTAAAAATTTCGCCAATATCAAAGAGATATACATAGCAGTAGACAGAGAAATCGCGGGTTTTAGTGTGGATCTTCTGGCAGATACTGTGAACCGATGCTTCAATGAACAGGACGATAAGGTTAAACTCATCGACGTCGGGTCAGGGTATATGATGAATGCCAATCAGGTCCGCATATTAAGTGATTGGAGGAATTATTACTCTTTTGATACTTATGGAAAGGCAAATGTAAACACCTTTGAAGAGGACATGCGGCGGATACAAGATCTCGGCTCCATTCTCACATTGTCGGAGATGCATGCCCTTGATGATGAAATGCCAAGTCTGAAGAGAACCAACAGCATCTAGAGCGCATGTATACGAGAGAATTCGGGTAATTATCTTTTTTTTAGAGCCGTAGTCCAATAGATAGAAAATCAACATACCACAGCATTCAGAATTCGCGCCTGCCTATCTTTATTCTAAATATAGTACGGCACGCTTCCTATGTTAATCTGTTGGTCAGCAACTTTGTGTCTATATACGGGTATAACATGCATTTCGGAAGATTAAAATTAAGCTAATTCGATCCTATAGATGTATACGACGTCATCAGAGGCTTCCCAAATAAATCCAGCAAACGCGGGCATGACAAATGAGCTTGCATTTATTTACTATTTTACACGCTATATCTACAAAGGAACTATTTCATAAAGACCTTATCACTGTGCTTCAATGTCGTGCTGAACATAGATGACGCCCCGCGTTTCTGTCACAGCCTTTTTTCCAGGCTCATACTTGATGTTTGTCGTTACCGTCGGAATTTCAGCTCCATTGGTATGGAAGCTCTTTGAAGACTCCTCCTCAATCTGGCTATACTGCTTTTTGGCGTATAGGGTGCTCCTGCTGTCAGCCTTGGATCCAGCAGTGGCGCTCTGGAGGCGGATATTGTTTCCATCAGACAGCTCAGTCAGTCTTGTGATGACCGGCTTGACGTAGGTCTTGAGCAGGGGTCCGAGGGTAGGGATGCAGGCAGCGATGATTCCGAGCCACAGTTCGAGCAGACTAATCAATCCGATGTCGAAGAGGTTGAAGACGAAATCGGTGTCGTTGAGTGTCGAAATGGTGAACTGTAGTCGCCATGCCATGATGCCAATGGTACTGTTCAAGTTAGCTATCCATGTCATTGTCACGATCCAGAAGAAAAGCTACTTACATGAAACCAATGCTAAACATGACGGAGACGACCAGTTTTGAGCGAACAGCCAGTTGGAGACTCCAAAGTACAGGTAGAGGCATAATTACAATTCCAATATCGACAACCATGTTCAGCGACACAGAGGTCAACTCCTGGACGACAATGTTGCGGCATGTTCCTCCTGGCACCGGAGCCCATTGCTGAGAGATGGGTTTACATTGGGTCATGAAGAGAATCAGAAAGGCAACACCGTAGCAGGCGACGACTCCCATCATGATATGTGCCCATAGCTTGAAGTTCTTTGTGCTAAAAATTCTCGTATACAGCCAAAGAACCGACAGCTTAATGAAGACGGTGCCCAAGAGCCATGTCACTCCACTCGCGAGGATAAGCTGGTTCGTGCTGTTTAGTTTGGGTCGCAAGATTAAAGATGATCGATGATTGATGGATGGAGTCATACCTTGAACTGAACGCCGAATTCATACGGGTTGAGCTCATTTGTGTGCTTGCCCAAGCCATTGTAGATGGCCCAAATGACGACTCCCTCCAAGGAGATGGTGTTGGCCTGAGTTTCTATTATTAGCGTCTCTATTTACATGACCAGCCAACAACCATCTGCAGTCTCTGATTCCATTTGAGGAAATCGCAGGCATAAGGCGTCGAAAATTGTTACCTACCAGGGCAAACAAGACCATGTAATCATCTGGAAGCAGCTTCCGCCTGGAGAGAGCCGCCGCCCAGAAGCGCAGTCCGATGCAAACCGTGCACAGCACGGTGAATACAATGATCCATATGAGGAGCTGGATTCCTCGACTGCCTGCAGACATTGTTGCAACGGACGAACGATGTGGCAATGTGTGGATGCGATTGCTATTGTCGTTGGTTTGAGGGGTCGAGGAAGTGGTAGCAGCACACGAGGTGGGTTTGGCATAACTGCCTTATAAGTATAAGCACGCCCGACGGGGAATATGTAACGAGCATCTCTGACTGCAGGGCATAATGCTACTCTGCAAAGTGCACATGCGTGGTGCACTTACAAATGATACACAATCAACTGGGGGAAGACAATATCGTATCGTATCACGGACGCGATGGGGGGGCGTGCGGTCACACCAGCCCATCAGAGTGTTCCCGCAAAACTGCCCGTTGCAGCATCTGCTACCACTTTGTCCTGCCTCTCCCGAAGTACCTCTACTGGTCATCTACATGTACTCAATTTGCCTGCTGCATGTACGCCGTAAGACGGGTGGGGGTAAGGATCCTGGCCCTTGTCAGCCCATGTAAACCATGTAACCCTGCTGCATTAGGATCTCTGCACCCACAGACAGGTGCTCGACGGACAGACAAGTCCGTGCGACGAGGGTTAATGTACATTGGGAAGCATTGTCCGTGTAGATAGCCACTCCTCCTACTAAGTTGCTCTTTTTCCAAAGACTTTCCAAGGATTGTGTAAGCGCTTGGACTTATGGGCCTGGACCTCGACTACATAAGGCTGCTTGTATAACCCGGACATTGACGCCTCCCCCTGGTTTCTGGCGGACCAAAGCATCCCGATACCTGTATAAACCCTCAAATATTCCATCTCAGAAGACCACAAGGTCACTAAAACAAGCACATACGCAAAACTCCCACATCATGCAGCCTCCTTTGCCCTCTGCTACGCCAAGCTGGCGCAATGACACTTACACGGCCATTTCGCCCACAAGGCCTGAGCTCAGTGCTTCAGGCAAAACCATTGTCATCACCGGCGCTGTAAGTCATGTCATATCTCGCCGATAGCTTATTGTTTCGGCCACTTGTACTCCGTTCATACGGTGTTCAGTGCGGCCTGACCTGACCCCCTCCCCCCTGCTCACCACCACAATCAACCCTCTAGAAGCCAGCTGGCGATCTTCTTTCTCCACCCCAGCCTACTGAAGCTAGGGATTCTTACCGCAATGGAGTTGTTTGCAATGGCTGAGCGTAATTGGTGGAGAGAATGGGGGATCATTGTCCCCGATCCCGGCTAATAGATTGTGCTAATCTGTGTGCGTCCAAAAGGGGAGCGGCATTGGCCGCGAGACGGCCACGGCATTTGCAGCCGCGGGAGCTGCCCGCATTGCCTTGCTTGGCCGGACGGAGGCGTCGCTAAAGGAAACTGCTGCCGCACTGCCCTCGTCTGTTTCAACCTCGTCCCATGTGGTCGATGTCACAAGCGAGGAGTCTCTGGCCAAGGCGGCTGGGGTGATTGGCACGTGGGATGTTCTTGTTCTAGGCGCTGGCCACGTCTCCACGCCGTCGAGCATTGCGGAATCGAACTTTGCAGAGTTTTGGCAGTCTTTCGAGGTGAGTTTCATGTACTCTTACTGCTCTGCCCCACGTGTTTGTGGCGAACTGAGCGTTCATGTCGCATTTTGCTGAACCGTTCTCTCTCTCTCACGAACCACAGACCAATGCCAAAGGCACCTATGCTTCGCTTCACGCATTCTTACCCACTGCCAATGCTACCCATGCCGCGGTCATTGCGGTGACCACAGGCACCACGGCCCTTCCAGCAACCATGGTGCCGGGACTGTCGGCCTACATGTCGTCCAAGCTCGCACAGACGAAGCTGATCGAGTTCCTGGCTGCCGAACACTCAAACCTCTTTGCAGCGACCCTGCACCCGGGCATGGTCGAGACGGGCATCTTCACCAAAAGCGGTGCCAAGGCCGAGGCTCTTCCCATGGACAAAGGTGCGTTTCGCTTATGCTTCTGAATTTTCTTTTGCGACGGCATTCAAACACACGTTTTTTCTAACACGTATCACACTGCCCAGTACAACTTCCGGCGCACTTCACCGTCTGGCTGGCGAGTCCTGAGGCGGCCTTCCTAAACGGGAAATCGGTCTGGGCGAATTGGGATGTTGATGAGCTCAAGGCAAAGGCAGAGGCCATCCAGCAGAGCCAGCTCTTCACTGCTGGCATCAACGGCTGGCCCTTTACCCCATAGGCGAGCTTTAGATAGGTAGATTCTAGACAGGCTCCAAGGAGCAATTAGGAAGAATGAAAGATGTATAGTCGAATATTTAATAATTATTAAATCACTTAAAAAAAAAAAAAAAAAAAAAAAAAGACCGTCATTTAAAAAAAGATTGTGAATTATACATATTCTAGAACTACATAGACTCCAACTGCCCACTTCCCGACCTGCAGATGGGCATCGATTCCTAGTCAGTGGCATGTCTCCTCTCGAATTGCAATTTCAAGGTACCAGGATTCGACGTAAACTGGTCTTTCACAGTTTCCAGGGCACTTAAGCTATCGTCCCCTGGCGCAGCCCGGAAACGATAGTTCTTCAAGATCCTTGCCAGCACATACTTCATTGTGTCCAGGGCCAGGGTCTTACCCAGGCAACTGTGGTGGCCCGTTCCAAATGGAGCATACGCTGCTGCATTTCGAACCATTTCGGGCCGAGTCGTCCAGCGCTCTGGGACGAATTCAGAAGCCTTCTCAAAGCAGCTTTCGACTAGTAATCACATACACAGTTAGCACATGCTTCATTTGACAATGATCGACAAACTTACGTCTGCCAATGGTGTATCGTGGAGCAACAATCGTTGTGTTGGGAGGAATAAACTGATCGCCAATGGTAAGGCCAAATTCGGTCGTCTTGCGATTGCCGCCCGTGAGGAGAGCGGGATGCAAGCGAAGGGACTCCTTCATGACGGCATTGAGATGTGGCAGATTGACGAGGGTCTTGAGATCTGTAACATCTACATTCTTGACTTCCTCGTGAATCTTTTCAGCGTGCTCTGGATGTTTGCCAAGCTCGCAGAATACAGCGATTAGAGCAACCGCCGTTGGCTCACTGCATCACTCAATGTCAGCACTCTCTGTCTTTATCACACTTTCCGGTCTTATTCATCTCTTACCTTCCAGCTACAATAGCCAATAGACTATCTCCCGCTGCCCAGTGCCACTTCTCATTCTCAGAGAATCCATGTCCTTCTGAATCCTTCTCCATCAAGTAGTATGACAAGTCTTGCGACTGGCTAGAGCTACCATTTTCGAGTCTATCACGCATCTGAGACTGGCACCACGCCACTGTGTCAAACCAATCTTTCAGAACGCTGACTCGTGGAGCCAAGTTGAAGCCAACCTGGATGAGCCATGGCACTGAGCTAAAAGGGCCCAGCAGAGAAAGAGCCCGCTGCAGACGGACAATTATGTGGTGCCACTGCTGGTTCTCAAGCATACCAAAGGACTTGCTAAAGACAAAGTCTCCCATGATGTCAAAGCCGAACCAAAGAAGCAAGTCTCGCATGTTTGTCACCTTCTGCAGCTTAGCATCCTGCTCGATGCATTGGTCAAGCTTATCGACATATTTGAGAATTTTGGCTTCATGCTCCGCCAGGGCTGAGATCAAAAAAAGTTCCGGTGTAAGCAACATGACGAAATTCCGATGAGGAGCTGAACTGACCTTTTGTAGTAAAGCCGCTGTTCCATTCACGACGACGAATGGCATGGACCGACTTGTTGCGTGCTGTGACAAGGGCCTGGCCCGGGTGTAAGATGTCATACCACTCTGACTTGACACATTCGGAGCGCGGTCCATCGACTGCCATGAAGACATCTGGATGAAACACGGTGATCTCGGCAGGGCCTGTGTAGATCTCAGCTTAGCCAGCCAGCTCCCTTGCTCTGTCTTTTCTTCCCCGCAAAGACATAAGAGATCTTTTCTCTGGAGGATTCTTACCTGTTCTCACGAAACTTCCGTATTTCTTGTGTATATCGTTAAGAACATGGTGATTCTTTGATCCCCTGGCCGCCCACATGTGCCAGATCTTGGTACATCTTGCGTACCACGGGCCCCGGAAGCCAGCTCTGGTAAGAGGGTGAAAGAAGACGCGATACAAGAGAATGCTCGCAATGAGGCCGGGCAGATACCCATAGCTCCAAAATATGACTCCCTGAAGAAACCCAGCAACCGCAGTATCTTTCAGAGTCTGTGCCAGTACAGGGCAACCGACGTACAGAGCAAAGAGTTGAATGGTAATTTGAGGCGCTTGAACATGCCACTCTCCCCGGATGTAGACAGCATTGTGGGCGATGATGCCGGACAATGCGCCCACAGCCGTGAGGATAGCCTGCTGGTTCGCGTAGTAAAAGTCCATTGCCTCCATTTGTCTTTGCGGTAGAAGGTAGATGCCAGCGGGCAAGACAATGGGTTATCAGAGGACAAATTTATCACGTCAACAAGTCCGTTCACGTTGAGACACAAATTCTCGGCGTGGGATTATATCAGATTGACCTTCCCATTGTGGCTCTCGGATAGATCAAAGGCTACTACATCGGCTGGATTATATTTCATTTTTAGATAGTCGTGCATGCAGTCACTCACATACAGCCGGTGACATCTTACATGTAGGTACATTTACAATTCATGTAGCTTCTAACTATAGCCGGTACCTGATATCACATATACCATCTTATTGCATATCTTCGGAACCTACATCAAAGCTCGGGATAGATTCTCTTGACATCATATTTCCGACCCAGCTCCCAGATTGCCCTTGCTGCATATGCAACCTCACCAGGATGAGCCTTTTTTGCCCCTCGCTATCATGGGCACCCCGACAGGCTCCTCTCTGTATGTACCCGTATGGGCATTTTGGCAGAGAACCGTGTGTTTGCATTAGCTCAAGGTCACCGAATGTAACATGAAGGCCTGTGATTCCATGTATGTAAGACGGCATGGCATTCAAGTAAGCTAGACCGGCAGCTATCTACAAGGGTGGAGGTTCGATGGACCCCGATCTACCACCGGGGCCCCTGGCCTGGCTGGCCTGGCCCCCAATATTGACAGGGATGGCACTGCATGATCTCCATAACCGAGCGTCACAAACGCACGCACCGCAGCGTAACCCAAAATGTGACTCTGTCGAACGGCAGACCCTGGCCGTTACTCGACCATTCGCCAGGGGACTTTCCTGAAGGGGCTTATCAAGCACGGGATGGGGGCTGTTCGTATCAAGCCAACAACTCTACTTGGACAAGCACAAAGGGCTGACTGTATCCCCGCTACTCGTCAGGCATTTTACCGCGTACCAACAGATAGGGAGTACAACCGGGCTATTATCGACACCCCCAAGCCAAGACCAATGGCAGGATGAGACCAAGCCCCGTTGACGCAATCTGTCATCTCATAGCTCTATTTGCCCGCTTCTACGGAGTAAGTGAGGCCATTTTGTTTTGTCTTTGTCTGGTCCGTGTAGCCACCAACACGACACAACCAACCCCCGGCCACCTTCCTATTGGTGATGTTGGCTCAAAGGCTCTTGGCGGGATAGCGGAAAGGCGCCGTTGAAGAATTTCCTCATCTTACCAACAGTGCACGGCGGCACGGGGAAGAAGGGAAAGCCGAAGCATCGCCTCCTCCTTTGACGCCATGACATGGCGGAGCGGCAGTTGGTTGAATGCATTTGTTATGTCTGAGCGGCCATCCATCACGTGGTAAGCCGATCTCGAACGGAAGCGATGTTGGGACGGGACGGATTTGAATCCATCGCAAGCGTGAATTAGAAATCCATTTTATTGCAGTCGTTGTTATTTCTTCCTCGACCTGCGCTCTCTCTCAACTACACGAGGCACCTTTTTAGTACATGAAACATTCACCGCTTGAAATTTGAACTTCAATTGTATTCCACAAACGACAAATTATCTACCATGGCTAGCTACGACTACATCATCGTCGGTGGAGGACTTGCAGGCTTAGTCCTGGCCGCACGCCTGACTGAAGACTCCTCGAAGCGGGTCCTTGTCCTGGAGGCGGGCGAGGATCTGACGGCAGATGCCCGTACGTCGGTTCCGGCTATGTGGCCGACGCTGCTGAATACCGACGCAGACTGGCAATTCAAGACAGTCCCTCAGGTAAGAGACGAAACATTGGCTGTTCTATGGCTCATCACCTCATACTAATCATTGTTTCAGCCTGGCTTCAACAACCGTCAAATCTCCTTCCCCCAGGGCAAGCTCCTCGGTGGATCGAGCGGTCTCAACGGCCTTTCCTTCACGCCCTCGTCCAAGGCCAATGTGGACGCTTGGGCCAAGCTTGGGAACCCCGGCTGGGACTGGGCAAGCTTCTCCAAATCGCTGGCCAAATCCTACACTTTGACCACCGCCGCAGGGACCACCGCCGGCGATGGCCCGCTTCAGCTCAGCTTCCCCAAGGATACCGACAACAGCTGGCCGAAGATCTGGCAGCAGACGCTGGGAGGCCTGGGGTTCCAACAGTCTGGAGAATCCTACACCCAGCAATCCACGGGCCCGGTAACCGTCGCGGACAGCATCCATCCTGCGTCTAAGACGCGGAGCTATGCTGGAAACGCCTATCTCGAGCCTGCTCGCAGTCGAGAGAACCTCGTCATTGTGACTAGCGCTCCGGTGAGCAGGATTGTCTTTGCCAAAGACGGCAGCGCAGTCACCGCCGAGGGCGTCCAGTATGTCAAGGACGGCGAGACTCAAACCGCGACGGGCAAGGAGATCATCCTCACCGCCGGCGCCATCAACAGCCCCCGGATTCTTGAGCACTCTGGCGTTGGCGATGCGAAGCTCCTGGCCAAGCTGGGCGTCGACGTTGTCATTGACAATCCCAATGTCGGCGAGAACTTGCAGAACCACCCCATGGCCGGCCTGAGCTTCGAGGCCGTTGAGGACGCAAAGACAATAGACGGTCTTGCGCGCCAGGACCCAGCTGCTCTTCAAGCTGCCATGGCCGCTTATGCACAGCAATTGGGTCCGTTTGCTAGCAGTGGCACCAACAACGCCGCCCAATTGCCATTCCCAGGCATCCAGACCGCTGAGGGCAAGGCTGAGGTTGAGGCGCTTATTGAGAAGTACATCACCGGCGCAAACAACGGTGGCAATGCCGCCTTTGCCGAGGCTCAGGCTGAGTTTGTCCGCTCCATTCTCACCTCTCCTGAAGAAGCATCTGGTTATTACATTTCGTTCTCGGGCTTCGCCTCATTTAACCCTGACGGAACAATGGCAGCACCGCCGCCGGGCACTGAGAAGTACTTCTCCGTTGCTCTGTTGCTTACGCATCCCCTCTCCAGAGGGTCTGTCCACATCAACTCTGCCTCTCAGTCATCGACAGACCTCACCATTGACCCTCAGTACTTCTCACACCCTCTGGATCTCGAGATCCTCGCCCGTCATCTTCGCTTCGTCGAGTCCCTTGCCAGTGCCGAGCCTCTGGCCAGCCACCTCAAGGCCGGCGGCAAACGCAACCCTGCCGCCCAATCAGCCGGCACCTTTTCCGCGGACTCTGGCCTCGAAAAGGCAAAAGAGTACCTGCGTCAGACCACAGTGGGCGCCCACCACTTCACCGGCACTTGCTCCATGATGCCCAAGGACTTGGGGGGTGTCGTGGATGCTCAACTCCGGCTTTACGGATGCCCTAACCTGAGAGTGGCAGATGCGAGCATCATTCCGCTGACGCCTCGGGCAAATCCCCAAGCGACTGTGTACGGTGTGGCCGAGCATGCGGCATCCATTATCAAGGGTGGACTTTAGAAGAGCCGAACATTGGGGGCTGTATCCGTAGTGACCACATGTTTTTTTTTTAGCTTGTGATTTGTATTACGGGGGTGGACCATTGTTGCATAGAGACATATATAGTAGTATAGCAATAGTTTGTTAGTCTGGAATAGTATAGTACGAGCATTGATATCATCAAGAGTCCAGTCCCTTGCAGGGAGTGATCGGCCAACTGCCAGTCTAGTGGAACATCATCAAGCTTGCGTAACCGTGACTATGTTGAAGATTACACTACGTATCGTTACGAACACTGCGTATCGAATGCCGCATCTAAAACTTATTAGGCAGGCCTTGTAGAGTTAAACATGTAAACGTGCGGGTTCTGCAAGGCTCATACAGGCACACAGCACTTTTAGGCGCTCTTCCATCCCAGTAGCCACATCCCGGTCCTGTCAACCCCCCAGTCCATTCCCAATCCAATACCAGTGAACTGTGCCAAAGAGCCGGAACACCCAAAATCCCACTTTTTGGTGCTAAAACCGTCTGGTCTTTCCGGGCCGAGGAAGCCCGTCTTGAAGTCCGTGGTCTGACACAATCTCCCGAGACTAATGTAGTAACTAATTTGCGACCAAGTTTAGCATCAACTCGCTAAAAAACCTGTAATATCTCAACACGGGTTTCTCCTTCGGGTATGTAGTGTGAAATCTGCAATATCCCAACTCGGAAGCTCCCACTGATATCATTGCACAAGAAGATGGGACGACCCAAGACGCGGCACTTTACTATCCGTGCAACAGGCTAAACTTGGCGCAGATCTTTTTCATCCCATCTCTACCGTTTCTCTGTATACCCGGTCTGTGCACAACCCAGCCTCTGACCCGTGCACCTTGAGAGACAAGGGCAACAGGGATCGTATTTCCCTCGCAAGGATTACTGATATACGAATAGGCAGTACAATGCAGGTAAGAGCTAGATATGCGCATCCGGTATACATGTAAGCATTATAACGCCATGGGTCTGTGCTCAGGTTCTAGGCCGGGGAGCTTGTAAGCCGAGCGGGATCGAAGGAAGCGGTTTTGAATGCCGCTACTTACATGTACCTATGAAACAAAGATATCTCATCGAGATCACATGGAGAAATCTCCAACATCTTCAAGATCAACGGTACTGATATGTACCTGTCATAGTTTTGAATGCCGAAACCGAAGCCGCATCCTGTAACAAGATCCCGCAGTCAAAGATCATGGACCCGAGCGTTGTCAGTTGCCACAAACAGCTTAACCAACGCTTATCAAACTCCACAAAATATGCTTGGTAACTAGTAGCCGAGTTTTAGCTTGTTACTTGGAATCGTCCAAGTAGCAAAAAAAAGACAAAACACAGGAGGAGTGGCACTATCAACACCATTTTCGGCGTCTCCAAGAAAAGTCACACAACTCATCCCGCTTTCCACCAAGGTACCGGATGATCACAAGATGTCGAGTTTGCACCCGTCAAGGCTATTATAGCTCATGGAATATAGCACGTTTCGGGCAAGGGGTGAATGTCAAATCAGTTCAGGACGTGGTTGGAGTTCCCACAGATATCACCTCGTCTTCTCCGGTTGGGCCAATAGGATAATTGCAACTGACACTGCTCAGGGACTCGGCGGCCATTTAGTGCTTCCGTGTGGTATCTACATTGTTTCCGTTATTGCTTGTTTAGTATTTTCTTAGCATATTTGTGAATAAAAAAGAATTCAGGGGAAGAGTGAGAGAGAGGGCGGGAGGGAGAGAATTATAGATATATATGTCGAAATGTCGACGTTTTTTTCCCCAAAGCTTTGTCCTCCTCGTCTTCATGCAACCATTCCAGGATCTACAACAAGGATTGATTTGTTCAATTTGTTCAAAACGCAGTCTTTATTTACAATGGAGAAGAGCACTGCAGACGCCATGCATCCCGAGCACAAAGTTGAGCCCGCCTCGTCGGCCGTCTCCACGATATTCAACATCCCGTACCTCATCTGGGAGTTTACAGAAAGCAATTTCCCAACCTTTGTCATCCCAAACACCACGTTTGGCATTCTAGGAGCTCTCGCCGGCTCTCATCTTGCAGATGGCCAGCTGCCTTCGCTGTGGCAGGTCGCCCAAGCCCTCCCCCTAGTCGTCGCCTTCAACTGGTACAACGTCCTGATATTCGACCTCGCGAACCAGAGATCCGAAGAGTCGGTTCGCGAAGATCTCATCAACAAGCCCTGGCGCCCGATTCCGTCCGGCAAGATATCCGGAGACCAGACCAGACGATCTATGCTGGTGGCCGTCCCGATCGCCCTCGCCCTCAACTACTGGCTAGGAGTTTGGAAGGAAGGTGTCTTCATCCAGATCCTGACCTGGCTGTACAACGATCTCAAAGGTGGAGATGAGGTAGTACGGGATCTGATTATATCTGTCGCATACGGCTGCTTCAACCACGGTTCGCTGCGCATCGCGCTCGGATCACAGGCCACCGTCAACCAGGAGGGCTTGACATGGATCCTCATCATCAGCGGAGTCATCCTTACGACTATGCAGGTGCAGGATCTCAAGGACCAGGAGGGTGATAAAACACGGGGGCGTCTGTCCGTTCCCTTGCTCCTGGGCGAGCAGTTCTCACGCATCTCCATCGCCATAGCTGCAGCTGCCTGGTCCAGCATCTGCCCGTTCTTCTGGAAACTCTCGCCATTGGCTTATGTCGGACCAATGGTAGTTGGGGCAGTCTTGATGACGAGCGTCTTGTTTCGAAAGACGGTCAAGGCAGACGACCAGTCGTGGAAGATTTGGTGTCTGTGGACAATGTCTCTCTACACATTGCCGCTGTTTACGCTATCATGACGGGTTGATGCAGCAATTCGACGAGTTACGCAATTGAGTGTGGTGGCAGACATTATTTTGTTTCAGTCTTTCTTTTGTTACCCTTGAGGAAAAGTGTTTTTTTATATCTACAATTGTTTGTAGCAGCGTTATGTACGATTAGCTTTCTCTTGTTCTCTTTTTAAATAGGCTTGTAACAAAATTATATATCAATATCCTGCCAAAGCAAAGCTTTCACTTCAACATAGTGAAATGACGGGCCACCACGAATGCCGAGAAAAGATATCATGTATTCCCTTGCTTCCTTTTTATGTTGGTCGTTCTTTATAGAAAAGCTTCGACACACGATATCGGTGTTGCCGAAGGTCCAGCCCTTTGCTTTGTCATGAAGGTTGCATGTCGTTACCCTTGTCGCCATCATACATCCCTGATACCCCAACCTGATGTTGCACTCGCGCAAGTACTTTGTGTTCTTCTCATGGTACCGTGCCTGTACCTGTAGACTGTCGACCAGGTTGATGCCCGTACCCAGTAAAGAAAAAGTCAAGGGAATGTCACTCTTGCTTTCAACTGAACCACACCTTGGCCTAAATCCGAGACTGAACAAGGACCAGATAGACCAGGATGAAAGCAGAGCGTCGTACTCAATCTGGAGCAGGCAGATCCGCGGTCAATGCACCTGTCAATGCGCCGAAGCATTTTGCAAAACCACATTATGTCTCATGCGCGCACTCCGTGGTCATCGGCTCATTTGTTCCGTTCGAGTTCAGCTCTGCCTCTTTTGGGGAAAATATCCGCTCTGTTCATTTCACAGAATGGAGAAAGTTGAAGATTATTGACAACGGCCCCTGAGGGAGACAGCAGGTCAACTTTTTCTTTTTCTTATACAGGGAGACAAAATAAACAAAGACATCGCTTCCAATCGCAGCCTGTGGCTACTGCACGCGGCCCATGACCCAGCGAGCTGCCAAACCGTAAGCGAACGTTTACAACCCATGACAAGACCTTCCCATTCAGGCAACCCGTCCGTGCAAAAAGCAAATAACTTACATGTACCAGTAATCTCACCGCCCGGCCGCACCGTCAATCTTTTGCGCACTGACATTCAATATAGTGTCACTGATGCGTCGGCGAGTGCTGGTCGTAAGTGCGGAGAGGAATTGAGTTGCCTAAGAACTTTGGAAAAGTTCCATATCAAATAGATGTACACACGGATATGGCGGCGGGCTGAGCCCCACGATGCTCAGCTATGATTCATTCTTGCGGCCTTCGAGAATGCAGGTGGTAAGCATTCGAAAACTATTGCTCGAGCAGTTTCCTCGAGAGAGTCTACTTGGCATGTAATATGAAATAGTATCACCATCGTCTCACGAGTCTTTTGTGTGGTTTCTACAGTACTTGGCAAGTGTCCGTGTATACGGGAGATAGGTCAATCCGGAGTTCGAAATACAAGTCCGGGTATAGTTCATAACGGAGCTCCTACACAAACTGCATCAAATTGTTCAGCTCCCACGAATTACTGTACGAGTGCAATATAATTCCCTCTCAGCTAATGCACAACTCACCTGAACCAATCCTCCCGTTTCGTTCCATGTTCTCCGCTCCCCTCTTCACGTGGCAATCTACCCACGACAGCATCCCAAAAGCAAGGGCTGCCTCGTGGGCATGTCGTCCTCGTCTTCCATCTCTGCATCTAGATTGAAGGAAATGACCCCATCTAACCCTCTTTGCAGCCTAGCTCTTACATCCTTCGAGTCCACAGCTCGACATGGACGCAATATGAATGGCCGAACGGCTTGGAAGGGGTGGCACACGCGGATAGTAAAAAACGTGGTCTATGCATGGAGCAACCCCCCTGGTCCTGGGAGACGCAATATTGGCTCGCAAGTCCACCAGGCATCCTGTGAGAGCTCTACTCCATGAATGTCCACTCACTTTTTTCCCTTACCATGGAATATTCTATATATCTTCTCCATGATTCCCTGCTGAAGTCTTGAAGATTCTCATCATCACAGCTTCGATTCGGACTCAATTGACCTCAGCAATGGCTCGACTCATCGCCCTCCTGGCCACCGTGCCAGCTTTAATATCAGCTGCTGCCATCGCTCCCTCTCCCACCGCTTCTACTGCTACCAATTCAACCTGCCGTTGCTTGCCTACAGACCCGTGCTGGCCCTCCACAGCAGATTGGAATGCCTTCAACAAGACACTAGGCGGCAAATTGATCGCCACGGTTCCCCTGGCCAGCGTCTGCCACAGCTCTTCATTCGGCTGCTTCAGCGCCTCAAAGTGCAATCAATTGAAGTCCGTCTGGGACTTCCCCGACACCCACATCGCGTCCTCCTCCGACCCCGTTGCTCCCTTCTTCGCCAACCGTGGCTGTGATCTGTTCACGGCGCCCGACGCCGGCTGCGTGGTTGGCTCCCTCGTCCAGTACTCCGTCAAGGCTTCAACTGCTGCCGATTACCTGGCCACGATCAAGTTTGCTCAGCAGAAGAACATCCGCCTGGTCATTCGAAACACGGGTCACGACTACTACGGCAAGTCGACTGGAACCGGCGCCCTGGCTCTCTGGACGCACAACATCAAGACCACCCAGCTCCTCAACTACAACGCAAACGGCTACAAAGGCAAGGCCATCAAGGTCGGCGCCGGCGTCCAAAACTCCGAAGCCCAAGCCTTTGCCCACGCCAATGGCCTCGCCCTGGTCACTGGCAACGGCGGATCGGTTGGCTTTGCCGGAGGCTACAGCCAAGGCGGTGGTCACGGCCCCCTCGCCACCAAGTACGGCCTTGCCGCCGATCAAGTCCTCGAGTGGGAAGTTGTCACCAGCACCGGCCAGCAGCTCGTCGCTACTCCCTCGCAAAACTCCGACCTCTACTGGGCCCTTTCCGGCGGTGGTGGTGGAACATACGCCGCCGTCTTGTCCATGACCGTCCGAGCCTACCCCGATCTGGTGTCTTCTGCCGCCAATCTCACCTTCACCAACCAGGGCATCACCGACGACGTCTTTTACGGCGCCGTTGCTCAGTTCCTGACGACGCTCCCTAGCATTGTCGACTCTGGTGCAAGTGCTGTTTTCCTGCTTGCGCCTGGCCTCTTCCTGCTGCAGCCTGTGAATGCTCCTGGCGTGACCAAGGCCCAGCTCCAAACTCTCATGAACCCTACTCTCAACTACTTGACGTCCAAGGGTATCGGTTACGGTAAGTTTGTCCATTCACAACGATATCAAGATGAGTCTAACCTTGTCCAATTGTAGACTTTCACGTCGACCAATTCTCTACCTTCTTGGACAGCTTGAATGCCTACAACCCTCCTCCCAACGTGACTGAATACAACATCGGCGGCCGTCTCATCCCACGCAACCTATTCACCACCGCATCCGGAGCCGCTTCCGTGGCGAGCGTCTACCAATTCATCAACAACGCCGGCGGTGTCGTCTCTGGTGTATCCGTCAACGTCAGCAACGGTGCCAAGGTCTCGAATGCCGTTAACCCTGCCTGGCGAACAGCCATCACAAGCACCGTCATTGGAGTGTAAGTTTCTTCACCATCTGCATCAATTACATAGTTCCCCCTTGCTGACGTATTCTGTAGCCCATATGATCCACTCGTCTTCCAGAACAACCTCAACGCCCAGAAGAACATCACGGGTGTGCTAGTTCCTAAGCTGGATGCTTTATCACCCATCAAGGGCGCCTACTTGAACGAGGCCGACATGAACCAGCCCAACTTCCAGCAGGTGTTTTACGGCAACAACTATGCAAAGCTCAAGTCCATCAAGAACAAGTATGATCCGACGAGCACATTCTTCGGCCTTACAGCGGTCGGAAGCGATGACTGGACTGTGGATAGCACCACTGGAAGGCTTTGCAAGATCGCGTAGATAGAGAACCTAGACTGGGGGACATATATAAACGGGAAGACATAAACTAGGAGGTGAAGACTTTATGATATTTTAGACTAATGGCAAAATACTCTCTTTAATTGTTAAACTCAGTTTGGTGTTTACATTGATTGGACTTTGGCTAGAAGCGGGCAACTCAAGCATTCTTTGAAACACTTAGAAACTGCCCGCGCGTATGCTCTTGGAAGAAATTGGCTTGGCGTGATAGTCCCGCCTTAACACGCCGAAGTCCTATGACAATATTGACTTTGACTGTTTGGAGTATACACACCAAGATTCTTCTTCTGCGACTTCCGCATCGTTGCCCATAACGAAATAGCAATATTTGGTTGCCCCCCACCCGTGCCAAGAGGCGAGAGTTATAGGTAGACTTGCAAGTCTTTGTTTTACAGAGAAAATCTAGGGTAAGATTCAACTTATTTACTTCGCGAGTATACTATTCCATCTATTGTTTTCTTTGCATATACCTCCATACCAAGGCTATATAGGCAGTTGTAGCAATGCGTCAAGCAGTAGTGAACCACTTGGATGAAGAGAGCTTCCAGCAGCAGGCTATTATCAAGTGGGCGAGGTTTGCGTATCCCAGAAGGCAAACACAAAACAGGAATTAGACTATTAATGAGGATCAATGCGCGGTGGTAAGAGCTCAGCGAAGAATCCAGGATATCAGACAGCAAGGTTCTAGGGCACTTCCCCAGTATCTCTCAACGACACTTACTGCATGTCGCCTCAAGGATATATGTGCCGGATAACCAAGCAGGTATGCTGAACTAACACACCAGATAAGTCAATATTTCGCACTTGTGAATCATCACATGTGTTCAAAAGGGTGACAAGTCGGGCTGTTTCAGCTCTCTCGAGACCATCAGCCTATTCTTTCCCTTGCACAAATCACAATAACAAAACAGGGACCCGGAAAAGAGACATTTGTCTATGGCTTCTTATTTTTTGCTTTTTTGAGAATCCGTGACTATGCGAGAGGGCGATTTGATAGCCCTTACCCAGCGCATACCAAACTATGTGAGACACTGATAGATTCTGACCCCCCAATCATTACCCATGATAAATTCGTTCCAACAACTCTCAACACTGGTATTTTTCACCCGCTTACAGCTTCTGCATGGCAACAACGTCGGTGGACTGGACCCAGTCCTCGAACTCCTGGATCTGCTCCTGGAGCTCATCCAGGGAAACCTTCTCATCCTCGACAACCAGGTTGATCTGCAGCTTCTTGATACCGAAGCCAACAGCGACCAGCTTGGAAGCACCCCACAGCAGACCATCCTGCTCAATGCCACGGACAGCAGCCTCCATAGCAGCCAGGTCGGTCTCGTCATCTGTAGTTGCAAAGTTAGCATCACCAGCCATGAGAAAAAGAAACCGTTGTGGTGCCGCGCCAAAAGGGACACCAGTATCGGCAGGAGATGGATTCGGAATGTAGTAGTAGAAAAAAACGTACCCCAAGGCTTAACATCGAGGGTGACAACAGACTTGGCGGCAACCTTGGGCTTGGCAGCCTTCTTCTCGCGGTAGGCAGCCAGACGCTCCTCACGGACACGGGCAGCCTCGGCATCCTCCTCCTCGTCGTCAGAGCCGAACAGGTCGACATCATCGTCGTCCTCAGCGGCGGGGGCCTTGGCGGGGTTCAGGGTGACCTCGGCGACCTCAGGGCCGTAGACGGTGTAGGGCTTGCTGGCATCGCCCTCGAGGGTGGCGAACTCATCCTCGTATGTGGCAATGTGCTTGTACCAACGGGCAGCAGCAGGGTACTTGGCGGCGTTGGGAGCCTCCTTGAGGGCCTTGAAGACGGCGACGTCGGCCTGGCTGGCAGAGAAGCTATATTTGGCGGGGGAGGGGTTAGTGAGGGGTGTTTTATGAATTTTTAAATTTTTTTCGTCGCTGTCATGCAGGCACTGAGGGGTGGAAAAATATGAAAGAGGGGCTGGGCTGCTGCATGCAAATCATCGCCTGATTGTGACTCAAACGATGGGAAAAAGATGAAATGTATGCGACGGCAGGATCGAAATTCAGGGACAGAGGAGAGCGTCGTCGTCGTCGCTGCGCAAGGGGAAGAGGGCATACCCAGTGATGTAGGAGCGGGTGGAAACCCAGCTGTTCAGGACTGTCGACGCATCGATCGTTAGCACAAGTTGAAATGGCCACGCAAAGAAGAAATTTTTGGCTTACGGGTGAGGCCAGCATCGGTGAGGAGATCGGTGAAACCCATGGCTGCGGTTTTGTGTGTGTGGTGAATAAAAAAGACGAAAAAAAAGAGGTTCGTTTGGGTCGAGAGGAGTGTTGGAGTTGGGTATCTACGAAGAAAAAAAAGACAGCAGAGCAGAGCAGAGAACAGAGCAGAATGCGCAGTATTGAGGCAAACCCCCACTAACGGGAGCCCTAGCAGAGGGGACTTTGCGGCCTGAGGCAACAAGAAAAAAAAAACACCCCGCCTGGGCAGATGAAAAAAAATTGTTCAATTGCCTGGAAAAGTGGCGCATGTGGGCGATGGGACGCTGCAAAAGGCATGTGGTGAAGCCGTGCGATAAGATTAGACGACAGAGCTGAGCCACAGAAAGCAAACAATTTGTTGCCCCGCGTTGAAACATTTGAACCCCGCCAACCACCAATTTTCAGTGCATGATGATGGTAATGATGATGAGTGAAGACTTCAATTACAGAGTCCATATACCCGCAACGCCTGCTGTGAAATACAAATAACCTCGCATACATATAGTTACAGTTACATACAGTGACAGCTACAATTACAGTGTACAGACTAATGCTCGCAAAAGTTGTACGATACTCGCTCCATATTGTACTCCGCCTTCTCCTCATATCGCGATCGCTCGTGCATCAGCTTCACTCGGTGCTCTTGAGCCTCCTCCACCGTCATAAGACTGCCAGGAATCTCCCCCTGACTATCCTCTGCCGCCTTTGAAGCCTCCGTCCACCAGTCCTTCTGCTGGGGCGGCACATTGGCAGTAGACACGATGCGCTCATGAGGGTCGACAAGCCAGAGTGCCAAAAACCTTCTGTGCCCTGGCTTGGTCTCATCCTTGAGACGGAATGATGAGACCCGATGTTGGCTAATAAAGAGACACAAAGATAATTAGTGTCTTGCATTATATAACAGCGTGTAACCATTCGCGACTCAACTTACTATACGTTTGGGAAAGCAAGGACTCGCCCCTCGCATGTCTTGACATCTCCATAGTTCTGGATGCAAGATCCCCCATGCCCAAGGCGAGTGCCAAACACTCGCTCCAGCCAGTTGTAATTGTCTTGGCCAGTCGAAATGCTGTCACTCAGCCAGGCCGACGTCTGCATGCGAAACGACAGATGGCTGTCCGTCACGTTCTCGCTATCAAGATAGAACAGAGCCGTAGCGCATATTCTCTCGTTCATCTGCCCTTCAACCTGTAAAACTTGTTTAGCATACGTCCCACAAGCTCTTACAAAAACAGTGGCAACATTGAACCTACATGCCATGATCCAGCTGGAAAGTGAGGCTTCTCAGGAGTCAGCTCGATGCTGGCCATTTTCACAATAACCTGCAGCCCGTGCTCCTTAAACTTCTCCTGAATCCTCTGCGGAGGAGTGTAATCTATCTCCTCGAACTCCTTTGGCTCCGGGAGAATAGCATCTCGGCCCTCAACCCATTTGCCAGGAAGGAGAGTCTCGCCCCTACTCGGTTGTGGTGGCTTGCCATACCGGTACCGATTCAAGTAATTATATCTAAACTCTCTCGGTCGTTTATACCTCATCGACTTTGTCCACAAATCTTCGTCATCATCACTGAGCCATACACCGCCGTCAGCTTGTGATTTCAATTCGGAGCCAGAAATCTAGGGTATCCTAGGGAAAACTCACTCTGCCTCGGAAATAAATTCGAATCGCGACTCGTTTCTTCCCGCAGTAACACTTTTGTCGAATTTGATATCCTCCTTAAGGCACTGATCCCATGCTGGTATGGCGGTGTCAATAGCATGCTCAATCGCCTTGTATATGGCTGGGTATTTTCCTGGGTGCAGATTATTGATGTAGCTGGTAAATTCGGTTGACCCGTCCTCGCGGAATGCAACATTGGCTGGCAGCCACTGATATTGGCTTGACCGATACTCAGGAGGGACAGTCCCTCGGTCTTCCGGTCTCCAACAGACGTTGACAAATCTTCCCCCAAAGTCGGCAAGGCGAGTTATTTCGGGTACAAGTTCGCCTTTGCCAACAAAGTCCAAGGCGTTTTCCTTGTTGACCTGTTCTTCCAGAATAAAGCTGGATCGGTCTGTTTCCAAGCCATTGAAGATTAGGTCCGGTTCCGACAGTTCATTTCATTGCAGCGGGAGACATCAAACACGTACTATAGACGAAGGGGTACATGGAAGGATGGGCCAGGTTCTGCACCATATCGTTGGTTCCAGGATGCCAATCCACATTTCCAACCTGGTCCGCTCGGAGTGTCTCAAACGCTTGCTTCAGCTCATCGCGAAGCTCAGCGCTCATCAAATTATCAGACTTGACAATGGCATTGCCATCCGAGTCAAGAGTAGGTATCAGACCAGTCTTGACAAAGTAGGGGGCTTTGTTGCGCAACTCAGCAATGCACTATAATTTAATTCCACGTCAGCAGATTATCTCATCGCAAAAGGGGGCAATCCAACGAACAAACTCAAAAACCTCCTCCGAGATAATACGCGATTGGGGCATAGGAATTTCATTCCAATGCGTCTTTCCCTCCATGATCCTTGAGTAGAGCCCATTCTCCGACTGCGTCTTAGCCTCATCCCGCCACTTCTGGACAATGGCCTCGTCAAACACTTTTTCGTGCCAATTCGGCTTGTCCGTCAACTTCTCCATGATCAACATCATGGCAACCTCCCTGATGGGCAATATCATCGAAGTGGCCCCTCGCGCCTGCGGCATGCCAATCGCATAGACGGGCGGCAACTTGTCAAAGAGAAAACGGTCCGACGTATTGAGCGGCAGGTTGACGCCGGGGTACTGAAAGCCAGCCATGCTGCCTTGTTTGCCTTGAAGAGCTGCTAAAGGATTTGAGAGGAAATTGACAACCGCGGTAAAGGCTGATTGACTCGGGGGTGAAAATGTTTTGGCAGTGCTGTTGGGCTTTACCTTTGACTCGCTTGGAGGTGGGAGATCGGGAAGGGAAAACTCCTTTCTAAGCTCGTCGTCAACATATGGCTGAGATGCTCGCGCTTTTGGCATCTTGAGCGGGTCTTTTTTTCCAGGCAGGACTGGAGTCGGTAGTGGACAAAAGAGGAAACACAGCTGGAATCAGACAAGGCCGTTAACATGCCTATCCCGGATATCGGCTCAAGCTGCTTTAATATACATGGAATAATAGCCTCCAGGCAATAATGCCGTTGGCCCTAAAGCTGGTAAGCGGGGAGCCGGAATCATCGTGGCCGTATTGCTCAGGCAGCAGCCCCGTAAATCCAAAACTGGTAATATTGAATGTGAAAATATACTGCTATTTATTATGTGCCATATTCACAAATTTCACTACAGGACAACAGCAAGGATGCTGATACAGACTCGTGTTGTATATGCTTCTATTGCTCAATTGGGGTTGTCTGCCTAAACCAACCTAGAAGAGACTCTTCGGAATTTTTCAGGCCAGTAACGCCACCGAAATCGTACCGAGCTCAGGGGTAAGCGCCGCACCTTGCTATTTCGGGGGCATTCTAGATTCCAACAACCAATGTTGCTAACTCAATGTATTTTTTTGAGAGTCCACACCCGTAAAGAAATCAGAATGCTCTCTCAACATAAAGGCTCCATCTTGATGACTCTAAGGCGATTTGGTGATATTCATAATGATTTACCTGACTGTAGCTCATTTAAACACCCAATATACATGTATTTTGGCGAAATCCATTCCGCCTTTTAATGTAGCAGTCTGACAGCAGCGTTAATCATGCAAGTCCAAAATAAGTCATATCAACGCGTGAAATAATTGCATTTTAATTCATCAAAGCTGTTTAAATTCAAGTTTCTCCATGTTGACACGAAGGATATCTATTGGGACAACCCAGACTTTGATAGTGTCATAATTATATAGCCCTGCCGCCGCTAGCTTTATGCCTTGTGGGAAGGCCGATGACAGGGCACATCGATCATATACTTCGAGTATTTCTTGGCGCTGGCCTGTTGTCATACTCCATAAGTTAATCTCATATTCCGATCCTGATGCTAATAGTTTTGAGTCATGGGAGAAAGCCACTGAACATGCTTTCATGCTATGGCCTTCGAGCGTTTGTTGGCACTCGCCCGTTGTCGTATTCCAGAGTTTAACAGTACCATCGTCTGATGCTGATGCCAGTAGCTTTAGGTCATTCGAGAAGGTCACTGCGTTGGTGTAGTGTTCATGGCCTTTGAATGTTTTTTGGCGTGAGCCTGTCGCTAGATCCCAGATTTCGATCATCCTACCAAACCCGGATGCTAATAGGTTTGAGTCATGCGAAAAGGCCACTGAGTTGACGTTACCTGTATAGCTTTCGAGCGTTTGTTGCCACTGGTCTGCTGTCAAATTCCAGATTTCAATAGTAGCTTGGAGCGTTTGTTGGTACTGGCCTGTTATTGTATTCCAGATTTTAATAGTACCACAATTTGATCCTGATGCCAGGAGCTTTGAGTTATGCGAGAAGGCCATTGACCTAATGCGACGCTGAAAGATAGTGGGCGTTTCTAGACATGGGTCTTCGAGCGTTTCTTGACAATGACCGATTACTGTATTCCAGAGTCCGATATTTCCATCCGTTGTCGCTGATGCTAATAATCTTAAGTCATGTGAGAAGGTCACGAATTCCACATTATCTTGTGACCATCGCACTTGGGCTATTGCCGCATCTTTGTTGGCAGATTTCCAAAGCAGAGGCCGCACAACATCTCCATGCCCTCTCTCAATAGCCAGTTGAAGCGCAGTCCAGCCATCGTCATTCTTCGAGTCAGCATCCACTCTGCCCCTTTCGAGCAGCAGCCGAATCACATCGACATATCCCTTACTTGCAGCTGCATGCAATGGCATCCATCCATCCTTATGCACGACCGTCGCATCAGTGCCTCCATCGAGAAGTAGTTCAACTATTTCGGCATCGCCATCTTCGACAGCCCATCGGAACAGTCTCGAGATGTCTATGTCCTCTGGTTTGCAGTCATGGTCAAGGCCATCAATCTGCCGGAGTTTGAGTAATCGTTTTTGCGTAGAAATACATCGCTTGGATAATCGTCTTTGTCTTCTCGTAACTAGAAAGCTCTTCCCTATTTCCCTTAGCTGAATGTCTTTCTGGGATAGTAATTGCTGCGTCTTGTCATTTTGCTCTTTTTCCCGAAGCATTTGTGCCAACGCCAGCGTTAGGACAAGTCTTTGCAACTTTCTATCCGCATCGACTGCAACGCCTGGCGACGAATCATTTCCAGTAGAACCATCGGAAACTACCTTATACAATATCAGTTAGCTGGCTTATGGAAGCTTGACTCGGAAACCAACTCACCCTTGTCCGCCATGTCCTTTGCTAATGGCTCTCGTTTAACATCCTTTGACTTTACATATTCCAAAAGATTCTTCGCAAAGTCCGCTGCGTTAGCCACTGCATCTCTTTGCCGATCCGCGTTATGCGAATCAACATAGTCACAGATTCCCCGGATGACAAGACAAGGAAAAATTTTGGCCAGTCCCGCCGCTCCCACCTCGACACAGAGAACCTTTCCACCAATGTCTTCGTTGAGCTTTGTCCGAAGAGTAGTGTCCTCGATGACCTGGTTGCCCGACGCAATCATGCCAAAGTGCACCGGATACCTACGATTTTCTTCCTCTCCGCCATCGCCTTCATCGCCTGTAGTGCTTGTATTGACGTCGCTGTGGTCTGCTTTACCCAATGTTGATTTAAGTGAATTCCACAGCAAAGTTTTGGATATCAACCTCGGTCGCTTCTTCAGCAATGGCTCGAAGTTTTCAGGCTTTTTAGCCCGAGACAGCTCTTCTGCCTTCTGCAGTTTTGTAAGGGCCGTAAGAAGCGAGGCAGGCGGCTGCTTCAACGATCCGATGCGTTCGAAGCGGTCGTTTCCCTCGACCTTTTCCATGCTCCATTGGACCAAGCCTGGTTCCTCTTCCACCGATGTGCTGACCACCACATCACCGAGGCTAACTTTGGACGAAACACCGCTGCCGATGCCGACCAGTAACACAAATCTCATTTGTGGGAAGGTGGATTTCATCCGAGCGGCAACCATCGCTGCGGCGGAGTTGTTACCGATCTCCTCATTAGGCGGATAAGCAATAACAATATTGTGGCGATATATTGATCCCATAATATAATTGTTTGTGTCATTCAAGGGCTTTTCGATGCTAGGATGTGTGTCATCCAACCTAGCCATCGCCTCCATCCACTCCGTTGGTAGCGTGCAGATCCATCCTATCATGTATTTATTGTTAGATCTAGGCTTGGTAATTGCCATAGTGAGATTCAAGGCAATCTAATACGCAGGTTTGATAAAGAAGTGAAAAAAGAAATATGATGTCAAGCTAGGGTCGGTTGGTTTTCTGTGATGCCTTAGTGATGACTGGTATATTTGACAATAGACTTCCTCAAAGGGGTAATCAGAGAAACAGAAGAATGATACAGGAATCCCCAAGGTATTGTCTTGAATGCCAGCAGAATCGCTGCTACTTATAACACCTGCAGGTGCTGTGACCTGGGCACACACCACGTAACCGCAGGCGCCCAAGGAAAAAGAAACAAAGGAAGAAAGTGTGTAAGAAAGAGAAAATGAAAGAGAGATGGAGAAGCAAAGAGAGAGAAAAGGAGGCAAAGAAACAAAGAACAAATGCCATGATCCACTAAGATTCCGATTTGATGAAGCACGCTGGGGCAGGACTAGACAATGTCATCGCTCTATACGACACCTGCATACACAGCAGCAGTCTTATAACAAAGGCAAAGCAGATCATTGCTCAATCCGTTGAGGCCTATACTCGCCAGCCTTTGACAACTGCAATGTGGCTGACAAGGATCAAAGAACATATTCCAATCCAACGTGGTAACATGACCTCCTCTCAATCAAGTGCAGCTCAGTTGAACCGGTAGTAAAATTCTTCATGCTCGAATCTGCAGGATTCCGTCTCGCCACTGCCTTGCACACAATCGAGACAAAGGCTGACTCTCCTCTTTGCTTTCTCCAGCTTCTCAGCTAGAGTTGCGATATACTTGGCCGGTTCGTGATAGTAATCCTTATCATATCTCGAAGTACTCGCGTGGTATTGCCGATTACCGTCATACGAAATCGATTGGATCCGTTCAACAACTTTCGAGATGGGAGTCCCAAGTATCCTCAGAGGGGTATACTCATATAACAGATCTCGATAGCTATCACTACGACTTTTGCCCCAGCCACAGGAACAACTATTTTTCGTCTCCCTGAGCATTATTTCCCCTATTTCCGCTCTCATCCGATTTCTGCGTTCTTCTAATAAGTCTTTATATGTTAGTAATTTGGTCGAAAGGTCCGAGGTATAGGCCTTGGCTCACGAGGAGTATTAGCAGGTAGTATTTGGGACAACGTGGAGTCCGCTAGAAGCTCGATATAGGAATCTTGGTGCTGAAGAATGAGAGCTTGGCTATGCTCTATAAACATGTCCATATCGTCGAACAAGAAAGCTGCCGCCATGAGGTATGCCAACTCCATCATATCGGTGATGTTTTTCCTTTGCAACCACTGCGCTTTCGCAAAGAGGAGAGCAGTACGGAGGTCATATTTATCCGCCTCGATGGCAATCTGAAGCAATTCTCGAGGCGAAATCCTTTCGGGTAGAATGTCGTTTCGGTGATGGACGACGCAACAAATTGTATATAACGCCTTGGCATCGTCCTCTATAAGGGGAATCTCTTTCGGCGAGTTTTTGGAGAGATTTTGGCCCTCACTCCAGTTCGGGCCGAGCATTGCGCCAAAGACTTTCGAAGCACTGATGAGGCACTGGGAATGGACTCTCAGTTCGACCTTTTGCTCTCCGACAACAAGGATAACATCGCCGTCCGAGGCAATAGCCTTGACGAAATCCAGTTTCTTCCCATCATCGGAACTCATCGTCGCCCTCGTAAAACTGCCCTTGGATTGTATGAGGCCACGTCGGAGAGATGAATAAATGTTTAATGAGTGATGCCAAGTTGAAGAGCTGACTGAACGAGGGCGGTCTGTCGTTTTTATTACCCCGCATTCGAATCCAGAACCATTTCAGCTCGCAGACCAACTCCTTGCAGCTGACGATTCGACAAATCAGCCAAGGCTGAGACAAGATGCAGGTGGTTCCAAGATGGTAGTATGTGTGTTGCAGTGTTGCAGGGTGGGCACGCGCCCGCTCCGATGCGCCCGACGAAAGACGCCGAAATTCTTTACATTGCGTGGATGGAGAGAGATCCAATGGGTTGAGAAATTCTCTTCTAGATATCTTGAAATTGATGATTTGTCTTATAGATGGTCTCTACATAGTCATAAGAAGTGCTGAGGCGAGATGGTTGATAACCTCTAGTTGACATGTGGATTTAGCTACGTGTAGCTTCTCATACTAAAATACATGTGCACTTATTGACCAAAAAAGAAAAAAAAAAAAGATTTGAGACACATGTCAACGAGCGCATCAGAAAAAGTCGAGAAAATAAAGTAAAATAAATATTCGCCTATAAATGAAGCAAAAATAAAAAAATAAAAAAGACTGTCTCTAAAAAAGTCAAAAAGAACAATCCGACAGAGACAGGATTCGAACCTGCGAGGCCGAAACCATATGATTTCTAGTCATACCCATTAACCACTCTGGCACTCTGCCAATGGCTGGATTGTTATGACAGAGAGTCGCACTAATGCATTTATGAATATTCCTTTTGCACTTTCCCAATTCATACGAAAGGATGACCATAGAGGCAATCGTAATTGCATGAGACCGACCCTGCGGTTCTTTTTCTTTTTCTTTTTTCCTTTTTAAATATGAGCGAGACGGAAGCTGAATCTTTTCCCTATATGCCAGAGGACAAAAATGTTTCACTGCTAACGTATGACTAACCAGAAGCAGCCATGAGGTGCTGTCATGTCTCAGCCTCAGATGTAGTTCAACATTCTACGCCGCCGCCCGTTGCATCAAACGATGTCTCGCTCTATGGCCATGTGATCTATCACATTACGTTGAATGAAAGGTTTGCATATAAATAATAGTCCACAAGAATCTTCGTATTGTGCCCTTTTAAAGAGGCTGAGATGAAAACACATATTCTGCACGCCCACGATTCAGCGCAAGTTCACACCCAACCTACACAATTCAGTATAAGACAGCTTTCATCACCAAACGTTAAAGGCTCTTATTTTGCCATCAATTCATTAGCAAGGCTTATAAATATCACACATCTCTTGACTCTACAAGCATCTTTGTCCTTTTTGTATCCAAGTAGTCACCTCTGCCACACCATTTTTCCACCATAGCATCCAACCCCCATCAACAATTGTCTAAGAAGTACCGGCGCAAGCAACAAAAGCGTTACCGCTGGCACCAGTGTGTGTAATAATACCAGCAATCGAGCACTGGCCGTTAATCACAACACGGTCAGCCCCAGGAGAGCCTACATCATCCTCAAGAGTCAGTCTCAAGTCTCATCACTCATACGAAAACATCAGAAACAACGCACCTCCAGTGTAAGTCTTGCCCGAAGACAGAATAGGAAACTCGTAAAACGGCTTAGAAAGGCCCTTGAAGCGGAAACCCTCATAGTTGTTGTACACGTGGGGATAAGTCGAGCCTCCAGCAGTGCTGCCAGCCCGGACGTAGTTGCAGGCAGCGTTGGAAGCGGCGCTGACAGCGCTGGCGCTGTAAAAGACCTTGCCGCAGGTGGCGGTGTCTCTCTTGGTGAGCTCATCCAAAGGAGCGGCGCTGGCAAAGGCGACGAGGGAGAGGAGGCTGAGGAACTTCATCTTGGCTGGTGATGGTGGAGTATAGGCAGAGAGGTGGGAGGACAAAGATTGGTGTGACAATAGTGGAAGGACAATGGCAGATGTCAATGGAAATCCGGAAAGTAACGCCGTTTTATACTCGATCTGCCATGATTCAATTTCGTCTTGTCCAACGTCTCACAATCTCATCTCGCCTGCCAACTCTGGCCCAAGTGCGAAGCTACTACAATCCAGCACCATCATCAACCTCCTCACATCTTACACCAGCGGATCCGCAAAAACACTCAATCCTACTATTTTCTACAACACATCAATCACATCGATATACATCTTCGGTTCCCCTTTGAGGTTGGAATATTTCCCTCCCGCATCAAACACCGCGAATCTCCCCCGCCTAATGCGCCGCCGCCTCTCTTGGCCCTTCTTGGCACTCTCGCATACCGACATCTCCGACACGCACTGCCAGCCATTCAGCGTCTGGATCTGCAGCCATGTGCGACAGGTGAATCCCAAGCCGGGAGAGGTTGCGCAACTGGGAAGGTCAAGAAGATATAAATGGAAAGCAAGCAAGCTGCAGAGATCAGTCCGGCGGTGGCGGAGCTCTCCGGAGAGATTACCGTGCTAGCATGCTGTATGGATGGATGGACTTGTAACTAGAGAATTGCTTCGAAGATAGAATTTGTCCATTGGCGGGAAATAGTCTCTAAATTTACTAGTTTGGGAGACCCTGTTCTCTGGAAGCCTTGGCATTTCTCCAATCGCCAATGTCGATTACTTGATCAGTAAATCTATCCCCTCCGTTCATTGCATCCGACGAGTCTCTCTCCTCTCAACATCATGTATAAAGTAGGGCAATAATTCCTCGGAAAAGGCCAGACAGAAGAAGAGATAAAACATGCCAGCCCCATTTCACAGAACGAGAGACCCAGGCACCGTCGTCAAATAAGCTTATCTGGATGCTCCCACACGGCCCGACCTATGAGCAACGAGCGTCGATCCCACCTTTGTTTCAAGTCGTGATGCTAAGGCATTTAGCATCGAACCCACCCATCCATACCACGCTTTGGAGCCTTCCGTGTTGAGATATTTCTCCATGGAAGAGCCCACCGGCGGTGTTGAAGGGAGTGCAAGTTGTAATTAACACTCTAGGGACCTTTGTATAGTGTGTTGAAGAAGGGGCGGAGCCGATGAAGATAATAGGACGCAGTTCTATATCTAGCCTTGGGAGGCAGATGAGTCCATGCATATGCTCTTCTGATAACAGCTTCGAACAGTGGAGCAAGTGGGCAAAAGAAAGTCTTAGGGTTTAACATAGACATTACTGAACAAAATACCAAAGAAAAGAACGCTTCAATCTAGATTGCGAGTTGCATTTCTTTCTTAACGTTACAGGCACTACTTCAACTTGTGATACCAACCAAGTAATACTTCGATATATGTGGGCAATAGATAAGGCAGCACCAAAGTACAACGCAAAAATAATAAAAAAAGCAAAAAGAAAGGGGCCAAACCGTGGATTGAACACGGGACCTCTTGCAGTTGCGTCACTCAGAACCCAAAGCAAGAATCATACCACTAGACCATTTGGCCTCTAGTTGTTTACATGACTAATAATTCCCTACACTCCCTTATAAGCCCCCCTCCTCAATTCATCCTTCAAAACAAAAAAGAAAAATTCTCTAGCTCTGAAACCCCCCCACACAAATACATCCACAAACCCCCCACAAAAAGACCAACAAAAGAGTGTGTGTGTTTTGCGGTTTAAAAAAAAAAAAAGGCAAAAAAAGAAAGAACACGTGGAGACAGAGGGATTTGAACCCCCGACCTTTTACAGGCTTGTATTGAATGAACAATGCAAAGCAAACGTGATACCCCTACACCATATCCCCTATGTTGAAATGGGCGGTTCGTATGCAGCATTATACAGCCTTCTTCAGAAAAACGCGCAACTCAGCAAATCTGCATTCATCTCACTGTATTTTCTTCTCCATGAACAAGTCGTGATGATGCACACCTCTTCTTTAGATGATGCAATAATTGTCTCTGCAATGGAAGCATTTCCATGTACGCAATTCACGCTCTCCCAACTTACTACATCTGGATACCTGCCAGAGCCATTGACGCTCCTCAGAAACACCATCTAAAAATAGCACCCAGCCTCATGCAAGTTCTCAAGGGAGGCTTTAGACTTTCTCGCCTCCATGCAACCGACACGTGGGAAGCGAAATCGCCTAGTACAAAGAAAGCACATGCCAAATGCCAAAATACCCTCGTATGAGATCAATGGCATTGTTAATTCCGACTTCAACCCTCGTGGCACCATACTCGTAAAGTTCCCACGTCACAACATACATGGACAAAAAAAAAACATGACAAAATCCCAGCCCCGAGCCGCTCAATTATTATATGCATTTCTACATGGCGTATTAAAAAAATCGACAAATATTCTAGTTGTATGTACTCATATGTATATATAAACCATCTCTCTTTCAAATCATGCCTGGTATATTCAAATCATCAAACCACGACCAACATGTAGCAAAGAGCAGCAACTGTCAGCATGACAGTGCCGGTCAGAGCTTGGGTGCTCGGTGTCGCTGCTGAGCCCTTGTCCTTGTCGTCCGAGGCATTGTTGGTGTCGGGTGATGGTTTTGTGACCGGGTTCGCTGTGGGAGAGGGGTTAGTCTGCTTGATGGGCTTCGTGGACGATGGTGAGGAGTCGTTACTGGACGCGGCGGCGGTGGAGGTGGAGGTCTCATCCGGGGCCGTTGAAATAGACGTAGGCGTGGGCTTGTACTTTTCGTCCAGGGTAAACTGGTCCAGAATGCACTCGTTCATGAGCTTGTTGTCGGTATAGTTACCGGGCTCGCCCAGGGGAGTCAGGGTCAGGATGTACGTAGTATCAAAGCTACCAGCGCCCCAGCCAACAAAGCCGATGTATACATCGCTATTTGCGCTGATGGCCTTGTTTTGAGCGCAGAAATCAACCATGCACTGCGACGAGTTAGTGGACTTTCTCCATGATGCTGGCCAGTGAGCCAGTGAGTGAGTTGGTCAATAATCTTACCGAAGGATCCATGGACGCGCCCGTCTCTGAGATGATAGCCTGTCGCTTGTTCTGTCTCAACCAGGTGGCGAAATCCTCAAAGGCCTGGACATTGTCCTGTGTGCACTCGACGTGGGATCCCGAGTTGTTGATGTCGAGGTACTTGTGCACGTCAAAGTACAGCAAGTCGGTGCTGCCATCGGGGTTGGTAATCTTGGAGAGAGCATCCGCGCTTCCGGTGGACACGTAGCTCTCGACGCTGGCAAAGTTGGTTCCGGGCAGGAGAATCATCTGCGACGTGGCGCCGGCCTTTCGGATGGCGGTGACGACCTTTTGGCAAGTCTCGGCCCAGATGTTGATGTCGATGTCGTGGGGCTCGTTCATCAGGCCGAAGATGATCTTGTCATTGTCCACATAGTACTTTGCAATTTGGACCCAGAGCTTGACAAAGATGTCGTCCGACACTCCTCCCTGGCCGATGATGCCGCCGTTGTAGCGAGCAAAGTTGTGCATGTCAATCATGCACCAGGCACCAGTCACCAGACAGGCGTCGATGACTTTGTTGTAGGACCCCCAGTTAAGCTCGTCCAGCTCGCCGTCCACCGTGTTGTTGAGGACAAATTGCCATGTAGCGGCTGCACGTTGAGCATTAGCATCAGCATCAAGAATTCGTCATACAGCAACGCTCACAAATACGAAAGACATTGAGGCCGTCGTCCTCGGCGAAATGCTTCATCTGGCCCGCGCCGTCACCTCCCTTGTAGCTCAGCAACGGCACAGATGAGGTGTCGGTTGGGCAGCTGCCGTCAATGTCGCACCCAAAGTCGATTCCGGGGATTGCGACGCCCAGATACTTGATCTTGCCGGCGAGAGTGTGAGAGGCCAGGGCCAAGGCGGCGGCCAAAACGGATGTCGCGCGCATGATGAATACAGAGTCCGGAGGTGCCGCGCAAGCACCAGGGAAAAGGCGAAGAGAGTACTGATTAAACGAGATGGATGTATCGTGTGAGGTCTGATTAGGTAGCGAGAGAAATGCGAGTAATACTGCTACTAGTATGGGGAAAAAAGAAGGATGGTAAATAAATCAATAAGAGCTGTCAATAGAAGCCCAAAATGAAATGAAAACAGATTCTATGCAAGAAAGAGCAACGAGCAGAACCGACGACAGCGAAGAATAACGGTAACGAGTGTGTTATAGCTGCGTCATGGTTTTGCTGCAGAGCGAGCGTGAAAGAATTGAGGTGAGGTGAGGTGAGGTGAGAGAGATTGGAGACGAGAGAACGAGATGGAGAGACGACTACCTAGTAGAGACTGGAAACATCAGCAGCGTCTCCCCTTGATTAGGCGTTGCAGCCGCTGTATTCCGGGGGCTGTGAACTCGGCCTTAGCGCCGCAGTTGCCTGTCACGGCTCGTGTTGGCGCCAGGAAAGGCATAGCGGGCGTCTCGATTCGTATTCACGTCAGCCTCTGCAGCTTGTCGTATTTGACGATTAGGGCCGAGAATCCGTTCAATGTGGTTGAATGAATGCAAAAGGCCGGAACAACTAGTGCCGGTACGAAGGGGGGGGACAGACAGAAGTTATTACGAGTCAAGTCAAGTGGCGGCACGTCACACAATCCCGATTCGAACTGTCGAAATGTCACCGCATCTCCAAATCCATCTCATGTCAAAGCCAACATGGAATTCTATAGCGGCCGAGAATGCGCTTCAGGGTCCACGCACTTTGCGCCGGGGCCTCACTAAAAGCCTCCAGCGCGGTGGGACTAGACAGAGCGGAGCCGCTACGAATTGAATCGCTGGAGAAAAAAAGCCTAGGCCGCCAAGCCATGGATTTATTTTCTCAATGGAGCCTCAATCGTTGATGGTGCAAGACCAAGACGCTGGGCATTGACGGCCAAAGAGAACAATACGAGGCTTCTGTGCTAGTATTCTATTCTGGGGGACTCGCCTATTGCGGTGGGAAAAGCGGCACCTTGTGCGTATTGATGCATTTGATGTGTTGTCTTTTTCACCGACATGTACCTAGCAATGGAACAGGCACGGATGGGGTAAGAAATTGGGTGATGTGCAGCATTGATTACATCTGATGTACAGTCTAGTACACCACCATCAGCCTATAGATGCAGTATGTACTCCGTACCTACACTGGAATAGAAGAAGAATACCTTACTGGATGGCAGTGCTTACAGTATATGTACCTGATATACGAGTGTGCACAGAGCGCGCAACGTTGAAACCAGTGGTCCGATCATCTAAACCAACAAAGGCGGAGGATCCGCGCACTAGACGGGGGGTCGAGCACACTCGTACAGGGAACACCCCGTAATATTACGACAAGAATGGGTGCTGTAATGGAGTCTGTTCTGCAGCTCTGGTTTCTATTCATAGCCCAGCATTCTTCAACAACGGCTTCAACTCTGAAATATCGCCGCTTCAGATGCCTCAACGGCATGGTATACAGCAGCGTCAAATTAAAGTATGCCGTTTGTCTCAGACAGCGTAGTCCCATAAATGTCCTCACTCCATTGTCCTCTCCATTCATTTAAACAAGCTCGTCATACACGGCCTTGACCAGGTCCGCATACAACTTGGTTGCCACCGTATCGCCAAACGGAAAGACGGCCACCATCAGCACAGCCGCAATACCCGACTCCGGATCAATCCACTATCACCACCATTCACAGTCAGCCTCAAATCACACAATAAATGCGTCGAACAAATACAGGGATAAACCACCAGATACAAGACAAGATGAATAAAATAAAACTCACCCAGCGTGAATTCGCCGCCCCCGTCCAACAAAGACTCCCCTTCCGCCTCTGTTGCCCCGGCCAGTCGCTCATACCCAACAACCCCCCATATCCATACTGCAGCTCGACGCCGTCCGGAAACTCGGGGATAAAAGCGGGCTTCTTATCAGGCGCATACAAGGTCTCCTGCAGCATCCTTCTCTGAGCCGGCTCCAGCTGCGGCGAAAACATTTCTTTCGCTGTCTTCCCCGAGACCACGCCCGGCTCGGCCTGCAACATGGCGCGCAGCAGGCGGGCGTAGTCGTTTGCCGTCGTGTGGATGCCGGCCCCGGCGCTGTCTATCTCGGGCTCTTCTGGGACGACCTCGAAGTGTGAGAGAGTGTTGGAGTCGGCATCGCGGAGCGTGACTTCGGCCCTCCGGTCTGCCGTGTGAGGGAGTTGGTTGACGCGGAATCCCGTGTCGTGCATCTCGAGAGGGTCGAGGACGTGGTGCTTCATGTAGTCGCCCAGCGTCATGTTGGTTATCGTCTCCAGCGCTATGCCGGCCCAATCCAGGGCAGGGCCATACGCCCAGCCATCGCCGGGAGGAAACGATAGCGGCACGCTGAAGCCGTCTCTGCTAAGGCGTATCGTCCTCCCAATCGGCCGACCGATTGCTTTTGACCATCTTCGCAGATCTGGGTCCCCAACGTCATAACGGAGGCCGGCAGTGTGAAGTATCAACTGTCTACGCCGTGAAATCAGTATACACGTGCATATGGGCATGTCAAGTCATGGCAAAGCACATACTTGAGAGTGATGGGCTTCTCATTGTCCTCGAGGATAGGCTGCTCTTCCGGAGTAAAGCCTCGCAAAATCTGCATCTGCTGCACCTCAGGAACAAGCTTCCGAACATCAGAATCCAATGGAAGCCTGTCTTGTTCCACCAGTTGCATGAGACAGATGGCGGAGAGGAGCTTGGTCAGAGAAGCGCCGTAAGTTAGGGTATGGATGTCGAATTTCGATGAATTTACATCCATGCCAGCTCGACCGGCGGATCCAGAATAGATGACACCTATTTCATAGATTTTTGCTCAGATGTGAATTGACTTGAGAGGACAAACGTGTTTTCGCTCGGAGGCTTCGAAATGAGGGCTTCAGTGAGATAGATGGCTTACCATTGCGGTCTGTCACTACAAACGCAGCTCCAAGCAGCTTGTCCTTGGTATCGTCACCAATGGCAATATCCCGCCTCAAAAGAGCGTCCAACGTGTCCATTGCCAAATTCGATCCAACCCCTCAGCTTAGTATGCGGTGATGAGAGACTGAATCCTTTGGCCGTGATGGGAGGAACGTCGTCTTATAGCTCATCCTTCGGTCGTGGCTTCTCCGCCGAACTTGACGCCATTCGAGCCCGATCGGCATGGGACGTCAAAGGCTTGTTTGTGTAGCGAATGCCAACCGATCAACTGACCCAATAAGCATTAGCGCTGAACTCTGCATCTAGACACATGCAAGCTTCAGGTTGTGTCACGACCAACTACACGTCTTTGTGCTGCTGTAATTGTAATCGAATGAGTGTGTAAAAGAGGAATTGCCAAGTTGATATCGGACTCAATTCCTTGTGTATACTATTCATGAAATCATCGTTGCTATTCTATGCGATCGTCTGCAGATTTAATTCACTGATTCCGACATCGCCGCGTTCATGCCACTGAGAGCGGGGTCCTCTTTTTTCTCATCACGGCAATTCTGAATCTTTCCGAGTCAATACTCTCTTCATCCGTCGACTGTACCTGGACCGGCTAGATATCCGTCCGGCATATGTGAATCAAGTGCGCGTGGCTACTCCGTGCATGTCCGGCACTTTTCAATCCCTGCCAGTTCCCATTCCGATTCCCGCTCGGTACCTGAGCCGGACCCGAACATCATGGCCACTCAGACCACCACTCGGACATCGTCCCGGCTGCTGGATCTCATTACCGTTTTTGACAAGTAAGACTGTCTCACAATGTAACAACAGTTTCAGTGTCAAACAGAAATTGGCTAACTCTACTTCTCTTCTTCCTCCAGTGTGCCGCTGGACTTTGAGCAAAACTTCCACCCTTACTATCGTTTGATCCTAGCCCCAGATGAACGTGTCCACGGCTACATCCACCCCAACACCATAGCCCGCATGCCATGGCCAGCAACTTTCACCATCGATCATGAGAAGCGCCAGGTGGTCCTCTCTGCGCCGTCCGCCGGCATTTCACTGTCCGTACACGCCAATGCCGCATTCCAGGAAGCCGTTGATGCGGCCATTGACGGCAAGATATTCCCTACTCTCAACGGCATGCACAGCGAGTACTTTCTCGTTCCTGGAGCTAGGGAATTCGTCCAGATTGAGCGTTTCGCCGCCACATTGTTCGGCATCGGAACTCGTGGCGCACACTTGACAGCGTATACAAAAACAGCAGACGGAGAGCTTCGCATCTGGGTCGCGCGGAGGAGCAAGACGCTCTACACATATCCAGGCATGCTAGACAGCACAGTCGCCGGCGGCGTCAAAGCGAGCGACTCTCCACTAGACTGCATCCTCGCAGAGTCAATGGAGGAAGCCTCACTGCCAGTGTCCCTAGTTGGGCCTCGAGTCCGCACCACCGGGGTCATCACCATGGTGAACCGCAACCCTCGGTCCGAGCTGGTCCACTCCGAGATTCTCTACACGTATGACCTGGAACTTTCTGGCGAAGGCGAGGAGGTGCCGTGCCTGGGAGACGACGGCGAAGTCGAAGAGTTTGTGCTGATGAGCTGCGAAGAGGTGGAGCGGCGGATGCTGGCGGGCGAGTTCAAGACGAATGTGTGCGCTGTCATGATTGACTTTTTGATTCGGCATGGCAAGATTACGCCGGAGGGGGAGCCGGACTATGTCGACATTTGCACGAGGTTACATAGGAAGCTGCCGGTGCCGACCAGATCGGATGTATGATGTATTAGATAGATTCTAGATAAAGGCCGCGTTGGGGTATAGAATGGAAAGGGGATAAGGCTACGGAATTTGATATCATGATGTTGCAATTTGAGTATCAAGCAACAATATAGAAGCATATTACAGCCAGTGTCTCCTCATCTTCCTTCTGAATCCACTGGCCAAGAACGACAAGGTACCTAAGGTGGGTATTCCATGGTATATCTCTTAATTAATTTATACTTTTCGATCCTTTTCTTTTACGCCTTAATCCACGAATTCAAACCTGCACCTCATGAAATTAAACTCTTCCACAGGATTGGAATCACTGCTGCCAATACACAACTGGTGTACTCGCTCCGTACCAAAACGGCCCGACAAAGCTGCAGCATTTACCACAGCAGTACATCCAAGCCAACGGAATCCGGCGCAACAAGTCCGTAAAGCCGGAAAAAGAGTATCCCATTTCTCAGATATAAAGCTACTTTATATAAGAGTAAGTGATAATGCTAAAATGTAGCAGTAGTACCCAAGGTAGAGGTAAATGTTGAACATGGTGATAGTACCAGAAAGTTAAAAGGGCCGAGTATTTCCCACCCAAAAAAAAATCCCATATGAAAGGCAAGGCGCCCGCCCCCCCAACTTTATCTCCTAATCACATCCTTCACCCAATTTTCCTCCATCCTTATACCTTTGCCAACATTGAATTCCATACTTCCTCCCATCTCGCCCATCCCTTTTATTTTTACAATAAATACCACCATGGGATCCAATATCCATTTTCGCTCAACCTCCCCCCCCAAAAAGTTCTGCAACTCTTTTCACACTCTCGCGCGAAACACACGCACATAATTTTTTCTCTCCTCGTTACTCGCATTCAGCTAGATACTAATCAAATAATACAGTACCTACCTAGGTAGTAGGTATCCCATCGGACCTCGCCGTCAAAAGAGAAAAAAACCCGCCCAGCGCCCGCACGACAGACGGCAACTCGACGATCTTGCACCCTTTTATTATACCCGCAAGGGACATCGGCGCCCCTCACTTGACATTCTTCTTTTTCCCTCTTGTCCAACATGGGGTTTTATTCTCGCGATAATCTTCAACGAGACGTTCCTCCGAATTAGCCTTGCGGCAGAAGCTGGCACATGTCAAGTGCCAGAAACGCAAAGGCAAATGTGCCTCCAAGCTCAAACCCAGCTCAGCACAAGCCATCCTATACCATCCAGCCCCAGTACAAGTCCGTCCTCCTCTCCCTCCTCCATCTTTCTCATCTACTTCTTTTTCAAACACTCATATCTCTTCGCTCTCCGTTTTCTTTCTTTCCCCTACCATCAAGCAACATACACACCCCCAATCAACGCTTTTAGGGCTTTACGCTAGCCACCCTGCATCTCGTCGTCGTTCCGCATCCACTTACACATCCTCCACAAGCTCACCACCCTCGATTCAACAGCTTCAACAGCGCACTCGCCTCGTTTGCGCTCCTGTTAATCACAATGTTCAGATACTCCATTCACGATGTGCATCCGCTTCCCGATTCTTCCGCCATGCGCCGTGCTACGATCCAATCCATGGGCTCACCCGACGCTATACAAAGAGCGACATATACATCGCCAAGTCAGCCGCCCATCAACCTCCTACAATCAACCACGTCGACATTGCACAGACTTCACCAAAGCACCGGCACAGAAACCAAACAGGAAATATCATCTCAAGCGTCGTCGTCATGTTATACAATGCATCCTACACTACATACGATTTCCTGGCGTCCTCCAGCAGGCCCGCCCTCCATGCCTCGCATCCTCCTCAAGTATCAAAGCATCAAGCAAAATAGCAACAAGAAAAAATGCGAATGATGCAGCGCGATTCCAGCAAAAAAAAGCTTCCGCAAACCCTGTCGTTACCGGCCCAAACTCCCCAGCGCCTCTTTTGTCCACCCAAAACGTCCATGGCCCTCGGACTGATTCATCCGCGCCTTGCCCTGGCTCCTGTACCCCGGCCGCTCGCTGCTAAAAAGCAGACAACTCGAAATATTACTTGGCCAAGAAAAAAAAACACACGCCGCTCTCTCTAGCTTGCTACGCTCGGTGTAGACCTCAGCCGGTACCCAAACCAAATCATTACCGGCGCGCAGCCCTTCCTTTTTACCAACAGAACCATTTACGCCATAGCGAGTTCTATTAACCTGAGCAAAGGGGGTTCGCTCCTCTACTCCTCCTCAGAATCCGAGTCATCGCTAGACTCATCATGGCGATTCGGCGCGGCAGCAAGGGACGCCTCATCGGCAGGCTCTTGGCCAGGCTTGTACAGCTGCTGGATGGCTGTCAGCTGCGCGATGCGAGCCTCTTGCTCTTGGGCGCTCATTGGTTTATTCTTCTTGGGCTTCGAGGCCGATTTAGGAGTCTGCTTTGCGGGGACCGCCCTATTAACTTCGGGCGACTTGGCGGCGGCGGTTGAATCTTTACCGAATCCAGGGAGCACCTTTTTGCAGAGTTCCCACAGCTTTAGTAGAGCCTCATTACTGAGCTGGTCAATATCCAGCTCAAGCTCACCCTCGTTGTTTTCCTGGTGGAAATCACTCGCATTAGTACACGCACATCGATCTGGGAAATCACACAGATACAAGAGAGATGGAAACGAGGGACGGGAGGATAACTCACATTCTGGCCAGTGTCACGCTTGATAATGTCAATGGCGCGATCAAGGTGCGGATATTCAAGATCGTTAATGGCGCTTGCAATCTGATCTTTATCGGCCGCTGACAGGCTCTTTTTGGGAGCCGGCTTCTTCGCACTGCTCGATTTCTTGGGAGGCGGTGCGTGGGTGGAAGACTTGCGCTGGGGAACGCTGCCAGCCGCCTTGCTCTTGCTGGGCTTGCTGGCCTTCTTGGCCGACTTGTCCTGGTGCTTGGTCTTGACATCGTTCTGGCTCTGCGCCACCTTGTACAGGGCCTGCTGCACAGTGTCGACAATGACCTTTTGGCAGTCAATCAGCGCCTGGGGAGTGCCCGAGGCAAACATGCGGTTGAGCTTGCTGCTCTCCTCCTCCAGTTTCGCCTTGAGCTCCTGGATTTCCTTGGAGTTGTCTACGCTGGGGGCCGCGGCCTCGTCCTCTTCGCTGTCGTCCTCGTCATCTTCGTCACTGGCGTTGGATGCGGAAGCGGCAGGGGCATTGGCCTTGGCGTATCTAGCCAGCCAGGCATCCTTGCCCTTCATCTGCTGGAGGTACATGTCCTCAAGCTGCTTGGCAACCATGGAGACTGGGTTTCCCTGGTCAGGGGGTCCGTTGAACTGGTAGCAGTTTTGGAAGACGAGCCGCACGTTCTTATCGAATTCCTTTGCGTTAGTGATGTCGCCCGCATTAATCATGCGCGACACCTTACCCAGGTCCATAGGCTTCTTGATGATGGAGTAGTAGTCGGGGATGTTCAGACCTTCAGCATCGACGGCGTCGAGGAACCACATGTTGAGCGTCGAGTTCTTGGGGTGGACGAGCTCCGCCAGGACCTCGTCGCAAAATTGCATTTCGGGCTTGAGTTTCTTGCGAGAAGGCTTAGTGGTATAATCGATATCCTTGGGCTTCGGAGCCCTTACCGTCCGTTTTGGTCTATCTCCGTCTGTGGCGGTTGAGCCGCGACGATCAGCGCTAGGCTCTGCGGCCTGCGGCTTTGGTTTCGATTCGGGTACGGGGGGCGGCGGGCTGGACGCTGGCCCTGAGGATTGCCGCCGCACAGCGTTGTCGGGGCCGGGTAGGACCCGAGGCTCACGAGGGGGCTTTGGCTTGGCCACAGACTTGGGTCGCGCAGGCTCCTCTTCGGGAATAGTAACAGCTTCCTGCCACACAGTTCGGATTGCGTAGAATGCGGCATCTGTAACTTCATGCTGGGGGCCGTTGAAGGTATGGGCATTCTCAAGAATGAGCCGCAGGTCGTTCTTCATGTCTCCAAACGTAACGTAGACTGTGTTGGGGTCGCGGAGGCCTCGATCAATCTCGGACAGATCCATGGGCTTGTCAATCCTTGCCAAGTAAGATTCTGCTAGTGCCGGCCACAGCTTGGGAACAGAGTCTCGGAAATGGCCACCATGCTTGGTCTTCTTGACCCTACCGATAATCTTGCGAATCTCGCGGCGCTGGAAAGGCGAAATCTTCTTGTCGTGAATCGCCGTGTCCTTCCACTTTGATATAGAAGCAAGACGTGACATGCCACCATCATTAGCAGGTGCAGGAGTACCAGCATTCTCGCCAGAAGGAGTCGCAGTCGCAGCGCCGTCTTCTTCCGTGGCCTCCGTCTTAGCACGCTTGGCAGCCGGCTCCTCGTCCATATCCTCATCTCGTTCTCGAGCATTCTTTGCGGGTGCGTCAGTCGAGGGTGCATCAGTCATGGACACCTCGATTGAGGTGTCGGCAGGTGAGGTGGACTCGATGGCCAGCTGGGAAATGCTTGAGGATCCAAGGTCGACCTCGGATGCAGGCGGCACCTCCGATGTCTCCTCAGCCTTGGGCTTCGCGGGTTCCTCAGCCTTGACAGCGGGCTTGTCGTCAGTCATGACAGTGTCAGCCTCAGCGTCAGCATCGGCATCGGCATCGGCATCGGCGTCAACGTCATTGGCGGTGGAAGGCTTGGGCTCGTCAGAAGCCTTCTTCTCAGTAGACTCTTCAGGTGCAGCATCTTTGGCAGGCGCAGCGGCAGGTTCCGCATCAGTTGCATTCGCAGCGTCTGTCATCTGCACGTCGGACTTTTCCTGCGCCGCCGGCTCAGTCTCTGTTTCTTTTTGTGCTACCGGTTCTTCAGAAGGCTTCTTCTCCTCCTTGTCGTCCTTGTCCCCCTTGTCCTCCTTATCCTCCTTATCCTCCTTGGAGCTGTCAGCTGGCTTATCTTGTGCGGTTTCCGTCTTGGCTTCTGCGGGTGTGGCATCGCGTGGAGCATCCTTCTCCTCGGACTTCTCGTCGCCTCCGTTGACGGCGGCCACGCCATTGGGGGTAGCTGCCGCTGCGGCTGGTGACTCCTTGCCATTGACAAGCGCGTCGTCAGGCTTGTCCGACGAAGTCTTGTTTTCAGAAGCGGGTTCGTTCTCGGCGTTCTTGGCAGAATCTGAGACAGGCGGCGTGTGGCTAGAGGGACACAAACAACAGCCATGGTCAGCAATACAGGCGCATTTGATGCAGATGAGAACATGCGCATCCAGGGCAACGTGATGCCAAGCCCACCAATCGTAGCTGTACTCACCCGTTCACGTCGGCCACATTGTCCTTGTCGGACAGCGACGGTTTGTCCGTAGTTGGCGACGCCATGGCTGCCATTCGTAGACGAATTTGTAAATAAGGCGCGCGCGCAAGAGGCAGGTGAAGATCCGCAGTGGTGAATTCAGTAGAGGAGGCGCGACATCAAACACAGCAAGGGCGAGTGCCCCGCGAAATCAAGCTACTCTGGCGACGTCGAGAGAAGCGCAAAGCTTCACGATTGCGACAGGCGCGGAAAGGTAGGAGATGGTATCGGATAATCCTAGGTGGTGGAGGAAGAGGAAAAGAGAGGTGAAGAAGATAAGAATGGGATTAAAAATGTTGCGCACAACAGTTGGCGGAAGCGATTCGAGGTGGGAAGCCGAGCTGCACACGATGCGCGCACAATGCGGGAAGCTCTAGTTGCACCACAAGCCACAAAGCGACGTCCTGTGAAAGCAAGAGCAATGCTGCAATTATGCTGCGGCAATGCTGCGAGGAAATAGCTGAAGCGCAATTCGTGCGGCTGCGCAACAACTGGATGCGATCTGATAAGATGCGCCGGACTGGATGCAGCGATTTTGGAGGCGATGCGGCCTAGTGACGAAATCCGGCGGAAAGGCTTTCGTCACGATGCAAGGAAGAGCTTCGCCGAAAAAAAGGCGGGCGGAATATTTTTTGGGGAGAGAGAATGCGAAAGAGCAGTGGTTGGTCGGAATAAGCAACAAGTACCAGCTCTGCTTTGCGACGGGGTAAAGGTCGGCAAAGGCGGATGCGGGCGACGTGGTTGGCTGGAGGCGGTTTTACGGTGGCTAGAGAGATACTTTGGAGGCAGGTACCTGAAGGCGTGGGAAAATGTGCTTGGAGGTGGTGATGACGGCGGTGGCGGTACGGAGTGAACAAGTCCCTTTCTTGGCAGTCGTCGGGCTTGCTTCGGAAGAGGGGGAGGGGAGCCGTTGCGAGGAAAAGCGCGTGCACGTCAGTAAGTTTTGCCGGTCGGAGGCGCGGTGCTATTTATGAGAGACGAAGACGAAGTGCGCGCCGAGCTTGATTTGAGACTACCGGGGCGGCGGGCGGGTTATTGCTTAGCCGGGGCAGCCGGCTTAAGGGAGCTGTGGCTGGTGGCTGGAGACACGGCGGCGCTGATTGGCCACGCGAGGCTGATGCTTTTGGCTAGGGCCACTTTGCGGTGTCACAGGCAGGAAGAAAAGGGAAAAAATTGCAGGCTGGCAAAAGGCTACCGTTTGTTATGGTGAGCGGGACGAGGCTAGGCTAGGGGTGCTGATGGCAGAAGCGTGGCAACTCGGACTAGAACTGACCGCGTTTTTGCCCATCCATGCTATTACCCTGTAATGCCATTATGGCATTGCCTTTATGGCATTGCCTTTTGTCGTTGTCTCTGCTTCAACTGTCCAATATTGTAATCGAATACATGCAAGAAGTAGGTAGGGAGTGTGGGTAGATGAACGTGGCGTAAAACAAAGACACATGGCCAGTTGGAGGGCATGTTGGGTTCCGTGGATGCCTGCATGTTGTTGGGATACCCGAGGGGGGGAATGAGAACAGGGTTAGTCTTGGGCTCAGCTGTGTATAACTCGGAAACAAAACAGGTAGCCATGGGTTGTTTTCACAGCATTTGGCTTTATTGATGGGTTCACAAAGGAAAAAAGAGGAGATTTGTCGTGTCAATCGTGCTTTGACTCGCTGCATCTCTCAACCGCCACAGTCCATGATTTCTGTCCTCTGACAAATGCGGGAGGCAAACCAGCAAAAAAGACAAAAATATTAGTACTGACTGACTGATGACATCTCACATCCACCGTTCATAATTCATCACCAACAAACAAAAAGACACTCAAACACAGCAAGGGCGAGAAAAAGAAGAAGAAAAAAGCAAGAAAAAGTATATCATGTCAGCGGGCATCCGATCTGGAAATGTGTTTGCCAAGTTGATGACATGGTGATCCACGCGTCGCTGATAACAAAGCACCAAGGCGTGCCCAAGACAAGCCTGGAGACGCGCCAGAAAATTCTTTTCACGGGGCGCATGCTTCAAAAGGGACCGAGTATGCAATATTCCGGTGCTGCGTGTTCCGCGCTCCGCAGTCAAACTGAAAAAGCTGTGGCGCAGGCTGTGGCGCTCTTGAGTTCTAGTGAGGTAGTCAGGTGACTCTCCGGCACGGAGGAGGAAATCATAATTTGGATCGCCTCTTTTAAGGTAGACGCAACGAGCCAATGGGCAGCCGGGTGCGGGGACATGAAATTTTACGGCAGCAAGGGTCCAACAACCTTGTCCTGATGGCGCCGGACTTGGACTGGAGCCTCACTCCGAGGCACGTGAGCAGCATCGAATTGACGTATCACGTGAATTCCGATAAGAACAGGCAAATGTCTTATGTCATCTCTTATCGGCAGGCCAATGCAAGTGTGGGGAAACATCAACTCACGCTAGACTTGGCCAGTCCAAAAGAAAAAAAAAAAAAGTTCGGGCAGATTGGCCGACAACTGTGAAATTTTCCCATCCACTCGGTGATAAGAGTGGTGAAGAAGATCAACGACACTTGGGCATTTTCTCTTTCGTTTTGTCTCTAGATTCTTGTTCTTGCATTGCTATTGCCGCATCTCAAAGAGGAGAGCGAAAAGTGGACGACCAACTGACCGGATATATACCCCCCGACGAGGCTCCAAGAAGTTGCCTTCTCACCTCATCATCTATCACCATTTATTTCTCTTTACAATCTTCACACTCTTCACACCATGTCAACCCCGAAGAGAAAAGCCGCCGCCAAGCTGGCTACCCCCGTCGTCAAGCCGGATGCGAGACGGGCCACCAAAAACACAATTGACGAGTCCAGAACAACCGTGGCTGGAACGGATGCACTGCGGAGTTCCCAGGTCGAGACGATAGAGATCTCTTCCGATGCCGACAGCGACGAGGACATGTCCGACGTCGACGAGGCGAACAACGAGGCTGAGCAGAACCCAGAGTCAAAGCCCTTGGCCAATGGCCACCAGAAGCCCGACAAAAAGGACGACGCAGACGACGCCGAATCAGACGCCGAGGGGACATCGCCTTCGTTTGGCGAGCTGCTGCGCGGTAGTGAGGCTATCGACGTCACCGCCATGCTGCAGCAGTCGTCCACAGGCAACAACGCCGTCGTCCAGGCGTCGCGCAATGCCATCGCCCCTCCCACCCACCAGTCCCTCACAACCGTCCTCACCCAAGCCCTGAAAACCGACGACACAGACCTTCTCGAGTCCTGCCTGCACACAACCGACATCCCCACCATCCGAAACACAATCGAGCGCATCGACAGCTCCCTGGCCGGCATCCTGCTCAACAAGCTGGCTGCCCGGCTACACAGACGGCCTGGCCGCGCCGGCACCCTCATGACCTGGGTGCAGTGGACGCTGGTTGCTCACGGCGGCGCCCTGGCAGCGCAGCCCAAGCTCCTGCACGACCTCAACAGCCTGCAAAAGGTTCTGGCCGAGCGAGCAAAGGGCCTCAACAGCCTGCTCGCGCTCAAGGGCAAGCTGGACATTCTCGAGGGCCAGATGGAGCTGCGGAGGAAGATGCAGAGGAGCGCCGGTCTCCTCGGCGAGGGCGACGATGATGCTGATGAAGAGGACGTCATTTATGTCGAGGGCGAGGAGCGCGACGCCGAGCAGAAGGATCTCGCCAATGGAGTGCGCTCCCGGAGAAAAGGCAAGGGCGGCGAAGTTGACGAGGACGACGATGACGAGGACCGTGTTCTGAATGGCTTCATCGGCGACTCGGAGGACGAGGAAGAGGGCTCCGAGCAGGGTGAAGACGAGAGCGACGACGGCGAGGAGCCCCTGGATGAGGACGAGGTCAACTACGACGACGTGGATGAGTCCATGGGCGAGGACGAGGAGAGCGACGTCGAGGTTGCGCCTCCTACAAAGATGCAGAAGGTGTCAAAGGGCCTTGGGAAGAAGAAATGAGAGAAGTGAAGCATGAGGAGAGAGATGTAACAAAAAAAAAGATCTGTGTGGGGGGAAAGAAAGAAAAAAGCAAAGCTGGGTGCTTGATAAGAGGCATAGCATTCTGAGGTCCTCATTCTGGGCGTTTGGTAAAACTACTTTTAATATGTTTTTGTCAAGAGTAGATAAGTGGATATTTTGTACTTGATTCTCATTTTGTCTGGTCTTTGTATAAATCCTGTTTTTTTACTCGTTTTTGAGTGAATGCCAAGATAAATCGACGAGACATGGTACACCATATAACGGCACATCTTATAACCAGAACCATTCACAGTTAAAAGAGTCAAGAGCAAGTTCCTCCTTTCACGATAGCTTCAAATTCCTTTCATCCAGCTACCCCATGAATAAAAAAAAAAAATACTACAAGAAAATCCCAAAATCCATAATCAACGTCTCTTTGATTACACGTATTCTTATTTTTATAACAAAAAACCGTCGTCAGCATCATCATCCATCTCTCCTTTTTTTTCTTTCGCTCGGAGAAAAGGAAAAAAGAAATCCCAGTGTCTCTCTACCAAATATCGCTCGCAACTCATTTCAACTCGCTTGCTTTGTGTGCTTGCCCGCTCATGTATACTATGAAAAATGAAAAATGAATATAAAAAAAGCAGCAAAAACAATGGACAAGAAAAAGAAAAGGAAAAAGGAAATCCCGATATTCCTCCTATTTGGGGCAAGTAGTTTTGACAACGAACTGTGCCTATTACGCCGGTTGACCCATCGCCATGCAAGTTGCATTAAAAAACAAACGCAAGAAAAAAACCAGGATAACAGAGACATAGCGAGCTTGAAGGAGAAGAAAAGACCAAAAAATAGAAAGTGTGCATCTATGGCCATATAATGATGAAAAAGGGGTAAAGCCATTAAAAAATCATATAGTGGTTTGATGTGCTGTTGCGTCTAAATGTAGTGTATATCAAATGCAACAGCAGCAGCAACGGTCTTTTTTCTTCGCTCGCTAGTCTTTCAAAAAGCAAAGTCATGCCAGAAACGCTTATATAAACGAAGAGGCTGTGTGAAGATGGTGGGGAAGGGGGTATGTGTGTTACGCAGCATATGAATTCAGAACAGCAGCATAATGGAGAAGACGGAGAGAGAACAGGAAGAGAGAGTAAGGCCAAACTTAGATGGCCCAACTGCCTCTCCTCTCGCGCACTCCCCAGGCCAATGGGTCGAGGTTGTCGAGATCAGGGTGCTGCCTTGCCCACTCCGTAATGTAGGATCGCAACGCCGCCCACCTTGGGCATCTCTCCTCTTCTGGGGCGGAAGCGTCGAGCTTCATCTCCACCATGTGGCCCTTGGCCAGCTGCTTCGCGTCGTCTCTCCGCAGCTCGTCGACGCCAATGTGGCTGATGCGAGACAGCTCTTCGTCGAAGCCACGTGCCATGGCGGGATAGCCCAGCGACAGGTAGTTGTACACCTGAGTGACAAAGTCCTCGCCAAACTCTTGCAGGATCTTCTCGTCGCGCTCGGCCTGGGCCTTTTCCCTCAGCAGCCGCTCGTTGAGGCCGTTGACCATGTCAACATCGCCCTTGTGCTCCTGCTCCTGGGACTGCTCCTGGGGCTGCGGGTGCTGGTGAGAATGAGAAGAAGAAGAGCCCCAGAGGCCGCCATTGCTCGACGTCAGCCCCGACGACGCGGACTCGGACGGCGAGAAGATGGAGACGGGCTCTTCGCTGATGACGCTGGCGTCGACAACATCACAGGAGCAGGACTTGTCGGGGAAATTGGAGTCAGTGGGCGTCTGGATCAGCTTGGGATTGTGCAGATCGGGGGGAACGATGCATCCTCCGGTTGATTCCGACCTGCAGCAGTACCCCCTCCACAGGCCGGCCTGGCCCGGCAGATCCCGAGCCTGGTCCTCAATCATGTGTACTTGAAGAGAATCTTCAGGTTCCAGCGTGGTGAACTTGGGAGAAGGGCATCGTCGAAAGACGAGGTCCCTGCCGAGCATGGGAGGAGAGGGACCCTGGCGCAACTTAAGGAGCTTTGGGTCATGATCGGGCACATGTCGGAATCCTCCAAACGGCCGGCCAAAGGGACTAGCCTCCTGGCGGCCGCGGTGGGGCTCAGCCGGCTCGCCCTGGGCCTGGGTTGGGGGAACCGCCTGCGCGGATGAACTGACAATTTGGGCCTGGGACTGGGCTGCATGACGATTGGCCTCTGCGAGCGCCATCTGGAGCTCAGCCACCGAGTCTCGCCGGTCATCGGTAGGCGATAGGGGCTTCGTGGTGGTCCACATGAGATCGGGAGGGGACGGCAGCTCCATCTTGTCCAGATCAGAGTCGGATCGGAAGATAGGGCTATCACCAGCAGTGGCACCGGCAGTGGCACCAGCGTCAGGGGCGGCAGCAGCAACGGCATCGACATCGACATCGACATCAGCGTCCTCTGTCATCACCACGGCCTCTTCGTTGTCGATATCCATCTGGTCATCTTCGCCCGCCTTCTCCTGCTCCAGGCGCGACGCATGCTCCTGCATGTGCTTATGCCACCAGTTCAGCCCCAGGTTTGACGATTTACGCCGGAGCCTGTGCTGGCCGGCCTCTTCATCACGAGGGCTAGCTTCGGGCGAGTTCTCGCTATCAGAGGAGCCCTCCCGAAAGTAGAAATGGGCCACGCCACCTTCGCGGGGGCGGCTGTTGGGAAACGCAGCAAGGGCAGCCTCCTCTATCTGCCGTGCGACTTCTTTAGCCGCCAGCTCCAAGAGGTACTCCTGGACACCCTCTTCTTCCGTCTCACGCCTAGTGGGCGGAAACGGTCGCGACGCTTGGCGCCGGGGCTCCTCGTCGGCGGCGGCGGCTGCTGCTGCTGCTGCTGCTCCATGCTGCCGGCGATTTGACTTGTGCTTGGCAGAGTAGATGTGGTTTGTATAGGGAGTAATGTCCGTCTTGTCTTCAGGCCGAGTGGCCGGCCCAGGGTCGCCAACCCTTCTGACCCGTCTGGACGTCTCGATGAGCTGGGGAGCAAAGCGCCGCCTCTCTTGCGATGCTTCGTTGCCCAGGGCCTCGAGAGGAAAGTGTGCTAGCGGGGATCTCGGCGACGGCTCCGGAGTCAGCTCGGGATTGGGGCCTATCCTCTGGTGCGACGTGTAGTCGTAGACATTCTTGCGATAGGATTGAAACGTCGTCTCGATCGGGACGGGCACAAAGCGCCGTCGGGGCGGATCGGTATTGGCCATGCCTACAGTACCTGGACTTGCAAAGTATGTATTATGCGGGTGTGTGGCGATCTGCGCTGGGGGGGGGGCTCGCTCGAGAGAACAAGAGAGAGATGTAATAAACGGTGACAGATGACAGACAGTCAGGACAATGCCCGCTGGAGATTGGGGTATTGACAGTGGAAGCCTTGCTGGAAGGTCCAGGAGAAGAGGGAAGAGCTGTTAAGAGCAGGACATGCGGCAGCGGCAGAACGCTTTTGCTTTTGTCGGTCGAGGCGGTATGGACGTGGTCGCACCGGGTCGAGTCGCCCCCGTGCTTCGTATGCGGGTTGCGGTATGCAGTATGCGGTATGTGATATGCGGTATGGGGGATCGTACTCGTAAGGGTATATACAGTGTCGCCCGTATGTGCGAATCTGTAGGATAGCCAGGAAGCAATGCACAGGTCAAGCCGGGCATGCCATGCACCTCTATGACCTTGTATGGGCGGCGGCGGGGCACCAGCGGCTCTGTCTGCCCTCTTTTTCTCTCGCGGCGAAGGTCGATGGCCGGATTCTAGACGTTTGGACTGGCAGGGGGTTGCTGGATGCAGATGCAGATGCACCAAGCCGTGGCCCCAGGGCTTTTTGCTCTTGGGGGATCCCCGGGAGGAGTTCGTGCCTTGCTCTGGATACCTACTCGTACAGGACAGTAGGTACAGGACAGGCGGAGGAGCGAGTGACGATGCGGGGACGGGCGGATTCGCACCGCAGTCACCGGCCTTCACGATATGCCAGGTTGGAGATGAGTGGTCGGACCCTTGCGTGGCCAAAGTGCCCGCACAGTACGGGATGGCGCATGCAGGCCAGGGCGCACGGTCTCAGGTGACGGCGGAGCGGGTTGGGGGGGGCTCTGTAGGGGATTGTTTAGGGGGGCTAGCATCGGCAGTTTAGGGGCCCCCCTGAGCTGTCAGTCAAACTCGGTCACTACAATGGACTGGTTGGAAGAGCAGCTAACAGCAACAACAACACAGGTTCTTGTACTTGCAAAGAGCAATCAATTGTCACCACGAGGAGACGTGCAAGCCATCAACGATTATCCTGTGTTCATCACGCAAACTGACGGATTTGCGGCTCAGCTGGAAAAATACGAATTGCACACGTGCCGCGTGCCACTCAGCAAAAGCGCCCCCCGTCAGAGCCGGACCCGACGTTATTGCTCTCCAGCGCTGACTATCAGTTTGCCCAAGTCATGGAGAAGCCCACAGTCCGCTGCTAGGCCGCTGCACGGTGCCTGTACCTGGAACTGGACCCCTTCCATGTTCTGAGAGGAGCAGAAAAAAAAAACCAAAAAGCTGCCCCTCTCTGTCGTGCTCACCGGTTCCAAGCCCACGATGCAGGTTGGTGGCCAATCGTTCTGCGTCGTCGCGGCTGCTGGTCATGAGAATTCAAATCCCCCGCATGGCTACCGGCGGGCCACCACGTTTTCTCGTCTTGTTTTCTCTTCGTCTTCCTGTTTAGGATGCATCTTGTTAGGTAATGTTAGGTAATGCAGGACCTGAGCTGACAATGGATGACACTTTGGCATGGCACGCCATCGTCACTAACACTGGGCGAATGTATTGCCATTCGCAGACATGGAAACAGGCAAGCAAGCCGAGGCACTGGCTGGTATCCATTGGTTGATTCGTGATAATAACCGCATTCAGCCCCCTTCGACTCCATCCATACCACCAAAAGCACTGTATGGCAACTTATCAGAAGAGCAACACACACTCGCCCTAATGCAAGTACTCAGACTCTCTCGCCCCTCGTTTCCAGAAGCGTCGAACCTCTGCTCTGGCCAACCAACCCCCCTGTGCAGGCTAGTTTCTTAGTGCTAGGGCTCGCGGATTCTATCCGGCTTCTCGTGATGTGCCTTTTCCGAACCTTGTGCTCCTTTTAGACGATGCAACTTCACCGACACTTTTCTTTTCTTTTTCTTTTTTCCTTGTTCCTTGTCGGTTTTAGAGAGAGGGGTTTCCCTTTGCCGACGGCAATAGTGTCGCTAGGCAAAAAGTAAAAACCACCCTGTTCACGATGTTATTCGTTGTTGATACGCGGCGTGGTTGGCTTCTAGCGACGCCACAGTCGACGACAGCCAACTTGTCATTCCGATGACGGACAACTGGCTGCCAATTAGCTTCAATTCTAGCATCCTTCGGTTTGCTGAATCCAGATGGCCCGTGACCAGCAACACGGAAAGCTGCTAGAGAAGTTTAGCACGGCTTCTAAAGATTCGCTAAAAGTTCAATGTTGCTAAATCCAGGGGAAGAAGAAAAACGTCAACTGCGCCACGAAGGGGCTGGAGAAGAAGAAAAAAAGAGGGCTAAGATTGCCACAATTTTACGGGGCCCAGATATACGGCACGGTAACAGAATAGCCCAGCTCTTCTTCCAAGCAAGCCAAGGTTCTTTTTTTTGGCCTGCGAGCAGAAAGCAGATCCGAGATTATTTCGGGCCGGGCATGTACCTTGTCAGTACCGAGAGAAGACGCTGTAGCCGGGATTTCGCCCAGATGTGCCGAGTCGACTTGGTCGTAGATACGGGATGCTACTCCGTGAGATTTCTAGACGTGCCGATGGAAATGACGCCGTGGGGACCTCGACTCCACGACGGCGTCTTGAGTGATGACATGCTGTCGAACCGATTCTTTCTACTCGGTACCGGTTGTTTCTAGTTTTTCTATTTTTTTGCTCGACCCTATTTTACTAAGATTACGCCAATCTTTGTCGTCTACGGATAATTTCTGGCAGACGCCGCTTTCCCTCTTCCAAGTACCGAATCCGGTCATTTTGGCCGGCCATTCTATTTTGAGACCGGCGGGAGTTGAACAAGGCTGGCTTCGGGCGAGAAGTACGAAGTAATGCTACCTACCTAGTATAACACTTACTTTCTGTATTAATCCGTAAATATGGGTTGCTGAGCAGTTTATGGCAACACGTGCATCACAAGGGAGCGATTCCAGCTGTTGCTCCTCGCTAAACCGCCTCATATAGCCGCAACTTAAAGGAGATACTACTGTATTTGTATACTCGTACTGCTATGATTCATGACAATTAGGTTCTATGTGTCAATGATTTCCCGTTGCAAGTATCATATGCATGTTATAGAGCACGCCGTTGTATGCAAGCTTCTGTATCGCTGGCTCGCCAACGCCACGCATCACGTTCCTCCACAAAGAAATCCAGCCCCGTCCCGCCGGGCACACCGCCATTGAGACAACAGGTCACAATGCAGCATGGCCGCCTCTTGGCACTTGGGGTAATGCAGGCACGACGTGTAAAACCCACCGAGATGCAACTAAGGGGTGGAGATGGCAGCAAGTTCCAAGTGGACGAGTTCTTTGCGGTGTTGTGCTCGTATCATGTTGCCTACCCTGTATCCGGAATATGTAATTTGAGGTTGAGCAACAACACGCCAACCATTGATACTTGTGGTCGAGATATACATGTCCAATTCTTAATCTGAGTATTGGAAATCATGTTCACTACAAATAGCCTTGGTATCTGCTGTATCTGTTGTTTCTGCTGTATTGATTGAAGTCATAAATCCCCCCATTATCATTGTGTGCCTGCAGGAGTAGAACCGACAAACAGCAACGGCGCCACCAACTAAAGCGCACAACAACGAGGGCAAGCAGCTGCAAGTAACACACAAGCCGAGACAATTAAAGTTGAAGGGGCCCGTTGCGACGTGGCACAGGAATTCTGGCAGCTGGGCTGAACCAATCGAAGCTGCTCATCCAGTACATGTATGTATGCAGATGTCGATAGGTCTGGAGCTGTTTGCGCGGTGCATGGACTTTTATTTTATTCTTCTCCATTTTACTACTCTTTTTTCTCTTACGGCTCGAGTCACGGAGCGAAGCATGGATGAGTACCTATCTCAATGGAGTATTGTGTATATGAGAAACATGTGTAGAATCCACTGAGGGAAAACAAGACAGGCGAGACATGATCAGCATACAACCCGAGTTACTGCACCAGTCAAATCAAAGGGCTGCGGTCTCGGCTCCATCCGTGCCCAATGGGAGAGAATGAAGATGAATTGATGCGTGCTGGCTGGCTGACGCCTATACACGTATCCAGCTGCTCCCTCGCAGCAAGGCACATGAACAGCCAGAGGAGCCGGCTGCCTCTTTTTATTTTTTATTTTTTTTATTTCCTTCTTACTTCGGCTGGCTTGCAGGAGGCGCAAATCGATCGGCCGACTGGAGATACGCGCGATCGAAGTGGGATGTCTCACAAGAAAAAAAAAGAAAAACATCTACAAGGGAGACAACGTTGCCCCTTTTCTTTATCTTTGTTTATTTTTATTCTCAGTCTCATCACATCTTGTCTCACATTAATATACATTTGCTTTTCCCTGCTCCTTTGGATATTTTTTCTCCTCGTCTTCAATCCTCCAGACTGAAGGAGTTTTGTAGTGGTGCTTGTTTTGGGCACCTCCAGCCAATCGGGCTGCTGCCCCTTGCGAGCTGCCCCTGGATCCCCTGCCGCGTGCGCTGGAAAAACTTGGAAAGGCGGCCACTGGGCTGCAGGGGAGGCCCCTGGTTGTGCCGCGATGTACCTCTACTTTGGTGCCTGTGCCTGTATTCCGGCCGGGCGGCGCTCGGAATGCTGGTGGACACGCTAAAACAGAAGACAACGGCGTCGACGCCGAGACTTGCAGAAGAAGTACTTGTACATGGGTTTAAGTCTGCAGTAGCGAGAAGAAGAAAAAGAACCTTGAAGAGCTGAACTCGATTTACACCAAAACTCTTCGCCTCGCTTAAAGAAGAAAAAAGAAAAGAAAAAAGAGGGAGTTGAGACCAAAGGAATCAATGCAAGGCACGAGTCTCGGCTGCTGGGAAATTGGTGCCATGCAGGCCGTTGTCGTACGAGCAAGATGCACGCCTCTGTGAGGTGGCACATGAGAGACCCGGTTCATGCATCCGGCGAAGCTGCGCGTCCAAGACACTCTACAGAGCCTCAGCTTGATAGGACGAGAGAGACATACAACGCAGGTCCAGAGGCTTACACGCTGCATTGGCGGGTTTCAGAAGGATCAGCGCTATCTCCTCGGGTGCCGTGCGAGCTACACAGCTGATTTGATGGGGGTTCAATTGGTAATACTACTACTAAGATCCTTTGTTAGTACGGAGTCGCAGTCTAGGTAGCAGCAGCATTTTGATGGATCAATGGGAAATTCAATGGCTGTGCATCCACGTTGATGGGCGGGACAAAAGCCACGGGTCCTTGCATGGGGTGCAATCCCGAGAGTGTGCAAAAAGCGGCAAACAAGGCCGAACGAGGGATCAGCGCTGAACCGGATCTCGATGCCATCAGTATGACATGGTGCCAAGCAGGGAGCTCCAGCCAGTAGCGCCGGAAGTCGAGGAGATTTGAGATGTATGGATCTTGGGAGGGAAAACCGCGCAAAGTTTGAGATTGACGAGAATACGATGAATGAATTTTGCACAGTAAGTGAGAACAATAAGAGGTGTATGTAAGTACCAGTACTAATGGACATAACAAAGCACCAAGCAAATGATGGAGGGCAGCAAACGGCTCTTGTATGGAAAGTTAAAAAACAAGACTAACGGGCACAGATTAAGATGCAGCTGCTTTGTCCTTGTCCAACGCAGCTAGACCAGGATCAGGAACCAAGGAGGCAAACGGCCTGGGCTTGGCCTTTGTTCCGGTCGCAGCGCTGTCAGCGGTGCTGTGGTTTGATGTGGTGTGACGGGGGTTCCTTTAATCAGATTTGATAGTGCCTAAGTCTAAGGTAGATAGAGGGAGAGTACGGAGTAAGAAGAAAAAGAAAGAAAAGCTGAGCTGAGCTGAGCTGCCTCAGAAATGGTTGGAGGAGAGGAGGGGGGTGGAAGGGAAAGGCCTTATCTTGGTCCTTTTCCTCTTCTGCATCAACATCACAGAGCATCTGCATCTGCATCTGCATCTGCATACTCCGTACATACAGCCCTGTCTCTCGGTTCTGCCCTTTTCTCCCTGCTTGCTGCTTCAGGCCGTTATCTGCTTGCTTCAGTAGTGCTGTCTGCTTTGCTGTTTGTGTGGCTCGGCTGCGATATCAATTGGCTTTCTGGCTGCCACACACTTTTTCCCACTGGCGGCTTCTCGCATCCGGCACTTGATAACACCAGAACTCACACTCACTCACACTCACACACCAACACGCATTCTAACCATCTGTCTATCTGCGTTGTGAATAGAGAAGCACACGGAGAGAGCATCAACTAACACCCCCAAATCAAGTAGCGGGCTGCACCAAACGACGCAATCATCACGGCCGTCATCTTTATCTTTAGCATCCATCAGCATCATCCATCAGCCCTCGTCAGCATCAAATCCTCCCCGTTAGCGCGCTCCAGTCGTCTCGTCTTTATCCGCCACTAAGTCCCAAGCTGCTCCATACTCGTACTCCAAAAAAAGAGGCACTTTGACGAGTCGAGTCGAGAACTCCTAGTTTCGTACAGGTACTTTGCGTGCCTTAGCATCAATTCTGAACCTTTGGATTGGAACGGGCCACGCCGCTCCGGCCACTATTGCGCCTTGCCGCCGAATCTAAACCACAAGTTTTTTTTTCTGGTTCAGTTTTCTGGTTTTATTCTTTTTACCCTTTTTTATTTTGTTTACTTTATCCTTTGTTTAGCCATCGCCCAAACCGACGCTCTCGTGGGAGGGGGGGGCTATTACCAGTTGATAGAAGGCTTCTCTGGTATCTTTAGCCTTGTTTATCGCTCGTCCTCCATCGTCGGCCAATTTTTTGTTGTTGCATCTTGGTTTGGTCGCCCTTTCACTTACAGACAGCCATACCTGTATCCGAACTCGGTCTATTTGCTTTACCAGAGTCTCTTCTGTAGGAAGATAGAAGAAGGAAAGGAAAAACACATCAATTGGATAGTCCGAGCTATACAAATACGCCGTCACGAGCCTGGATCCAGACCCTTGGCGGGCTTCTCATGTCTCGGCCATCACGCGCGCACCCAATCCAGCGAGATACGCTCCAGCTCACCCACCTGACCATCCCGGATAGAGACGCAACGGGGGGGCACATACTTGGACTGGGAGTAGCGTAGAGGGCATTCTTGGTCGATAATACTAATACGAGGTCGCATTCCCTCGGCCGCTCGCCATGCCAGTCGCTGAAGCAGACGCCGAAGCTGCTGCGTCAGTGGAAGCTTCTGCTGCTGCTGCTGCTGTTGCTACTGCTGTTGCTTCGACAAGCTCGCCTGGGAATGACGATACCCTCAGACTCGCCTCGCCACTCTCGACTCCAACCACGGCCACGAGCCCCGTGTCGCCGACCTTTCTGTCTGTCGCCGGCCGAGTCAGCACGCCCTTGAGCCTGTTTATCGACTCTGCGCCCAGCAGCGGCAAGAAGAAATCGACCACCAGCCCCGAGCACGAGTCTGCTGCGGCGGTGCGTCAGCGTTATCTCGCCATGTCGCCCACGGCCTCTGCCATTGCGCCGGGCGCTGCGAGCGCCGACGCCACAGAGTCCAGACTCGCAGAGGCCAGTAAAACAGAGGCAGAAGCAGATGCAGAGAGCCTGCGACAGGCGCTGCGCGAACAAGAGCGGGATCAGGAGCAGGAAGAGCAAGACGAGGCCGGCTGGAGAGAAAAGAACCTGAGCACGAGCGCAGGCGCAGGCACAGGACCACCGCTGCCGTGGTCTCCCAGCAGCACGACGAGCAATTCTAATGCTAATATCACTGCCGCCGCCTCATTCTCACTATCTCCCACCGCTGGCGACATTAAGCATGACCTCTCCAGAGGCGTCATTTCCGCTCCCCTGCCCCAGAGCCCCAACCGACACGAGCGCCCCTCGATTTCTGCCCGGGATTCGGACATCGCGACCCTAATTACGGGTGCTTATACCACTACCACTAGCATTGCCACCGTTGCCAGTAATACGTTGACTGCAGGCTCTCGAGCGGCCACCGTTCGTATCCCTGCACCTGCACCCGAAGAAGCGCCATTGCATACGGGCAGCGTGCAGCCGGGCACCAAGCTGGCCCATCCAAAGCCCATTCTGCACATTGCTACCGACGTCTCATCGCCATCGAAACACAGTCACCACTCCGACCTGCTCACCCGCTCCGCGTCAGCCGTCAGCAACGTCGCCCATCTCGAAGCCACGGCCGAGCGCCTGTCCATGACCAGCAGCATCGACGATGCCATCCGCGAGCTGCACTGCGAACTGAAGCGAAGCGACAGCAGACGATCCTCCATCCTCGCCGCCAGGGCTGCATCGGCCGACGAACACTCGACACGCCTGCGACGATATCCCTCCAACTCCTCCTCCTCCGCCGCTGCCGCCGCCCGACAAAAGGGCTACTCTCCCGCGTACGTAATGTCACCCACGAATTCCCTCTCCGGCCGCATGCGATCGGGCTCCAACGCCTCGACCGGCCGTCCGGAGCACGAAGTCATCAACTCCATCCTGTCCCGCCACGGGCCGGGCAAGAGCTCCGTCAGGAGTGTGCGGTCGGCCAAGCCCTCGCTGGCTGAGATATCCGAGTCCGAGCCCATCTCCCTGACCCAGCACGTGCTGGACCAAGTCGACGCCGTGCCCCCTTTTGAGCACGCTGCCGCCGCCAGCTCCAGGAGCATCATCGAGCAGGACGCTGTTGGCGTCCCACAGACTGACGAGTTCCACAACATGCTCGAAGGGGGCTTTAGAAGCCACAGGGCTTCCAATCTTGTCCTCGTAAACCCGGACCTTCCCTCCGATCACGACGAACACGATGGCTACGAGGCCGAGCGGCCCATGACGGCCAACTCCACAAATACCTTCCAGGTGGCCCAGGACGCGTTTGTCGACTTTGACGGCGCCCACTGCGAGACGGACAACGAGGATGATCGTTTCGCTACGGCCGACATGGGGTCGCGCTCGCAGAAGCGAGACAGGCTGTCCGACGTGCACCAGCTGCCGGCCCAGCAGCAGCCTCCTCCCCAGATGCCCCAATCTGACCCCCGACCTCCTGTCGACGATGAATTATTCCTGCCCACCCCCCAACAGTCTTCGGCCGAGTTCGTGAGGCCGCAGTCTTACTTTGACCAACAAACCGGCCAGCACATGCTGTACTATCCGGCTCGTGTGCCTGCTATGCTCAACCTGCCGCCCAAGCTGTCCAACAAGCCCAAGGCCGCCGACCGGAACCAGCGACGCTCGCAGATCCTGAGCGCCATGATGCAGCCCAAGGAGAACAAGAGAAAGTCGGTCGTCCCCGACCTGGACCAGTTTGCCCTGCCCGACCCTCTGTCTGGCCACCGCAACTCATTTGCCGCCCTGACCGTGGCGGACAACTTGGAGGACGCTGACGATGCCACCACGCCCACTCCGTTCCTCGAGGAGCCCGCACCTCAATCCCGGAATGGATCCGCACCTTCCCTCGAAGATCTTCGCCGGCCCCAGCGGCTGTCCAAGATGGACACTGACAAGCACCAATCAAATATTCCCAACCTCGAAAACATCCCCCCTCACCTCCGAGCCAGTGTCTTCTTCGACCAGCCATCTCTTGAGCTTCCCGAGATCGAGGTCAAGGATGGGTCAGCCATGGCTACGCTCGACAGCATTCTCGATGCTTCGGCCACTGCTCCCGTTAGTGCCTTTACCGATCACCTGTACGCTGGCAAACTGGGCTCTGAAACCTACGGCAAGGAGAAGAAGAAGAAGGTGTCCAAGCATAAGCAGCAGCCCTCCACTAACACCCTGGGGGCCGCGCTCGCTGAAGCACCCAAGGAGCAGCCCACAGTCAGGCTGCTCACCAAACGAAGCCAGAGCAGCTTGTTTGGAAGGATTAACAAGGGTCCTGATCCCAATGACAATGCTCATGATGGGGCTGATGAAGAAGAGGAGCATGAAGAAGAGGAAGAAGAAGAGGTTGACGAAGGCATCCTTGATGGAATGCCCACGACGCTCCTCGGCGAGATCCATCTTCGAAAGCAGCAACAGAAACAACGAATCCTCAACCAGGGCAACGTAGCGCCCCAAGGCATGCGTGCCACCCTCCTGGAGATGGACGCTGTCGCCGAGATGCAGCGCAAGCAACGCCTCAAGCAGCGTGTCAACCTTGCCTGGGAGGAACAGAATGTCGCCGCGGAGCAAGCCATTTCCGACGACGAAGACACGCCCCTGGCCGTCATTGCCGCCATGCACCAGGGTGCCAAGAACATGGCCGATGTCGACCGCCCTATAGGACTGATGGAGATGCGCCAGCTAGAAGAAAACGAACCCCTGAGTTCACGCGCCGCTCGTCTGCAGGGACGAGCCTCCACCGTCTTTAACGCGAAGCGCCAGAGCAACCTCAGCCTTCCAGTCACCCGCATGGCTGAAGTGCAGCCGCCAGCTTCGCCGCGCATCATCGAGCCGGACGCGAGCGTGGTGGACGAGGATGCACGCACTACCATTGCTCCAGAACCCGAACCCTTGGCGGCTGAGATTGAGGAAGAGACGCTTGGTGCCAGGAAGCGCCGCCTGGCAGAGTCACAGCTGCCCAAGGCCCGTCCCGTCAGCAGCACCTTTTCTGCTGAGCTCCTGGGCCAGTTTGCCGATCCCGAGGAGTCCAAGCCCAAGCCTAATACGGGCGTAGAGGATGAGACCCTGGGCCAGCGCCGTCGCCGTCTGCAAGCCGAGCGGGAGGCCCGCGAGAGAGAAATGAGCTATGGTAACCTGACAGGAGAAAGGCCAGGCGAAAGGCCAGTCAGCTACGGCAACCCGATGGTCGAGCCGCCCAGGAGGGGCGTGATGCGCCGGGTCAGCATGGCCGACATGCTCTCAGTGCACCAGAACGTCCAAGACCCTCGCATTGCGGAACAAAGACGCCAGCAGGAGGAGCAGATGAGACTTGCTCAGCAGGATGCCATGTTGGCGGCTGTCAGAAGCCAGATGCCCATCGCCCTCGTACAGAACGGCAACGCTCGCCCCGGAGGTTTCAAGGGAGGCCTCTATAATGACGGAACGGGCGGGCTCGGCATGGAGGCGGCCCGGTCGAGCACGGCTCTCAACGCATTCCAGACTCGCAGCTTTACCAATACCGGCTCTAGGAACCGAGCCACCATGATGGCGCCGCCCAATGGCTTCGGCATGGCGCAGGGAGGCTTGCACCCATCGTACAGCAACCTTACGAGCTTTGGCTCGTCCTCCATGAACGGTAGACACCCCATGGCAGGCATCAACCCCATGGGAGGCATGAACGGCATGAAGCCGGTGAGCATGTACGGTGCTGGTAACCTCTATGGTGCTAATGGCCTCATCCAGCCAAACATTGGCATTCCCATGTCCAACCCCAACGGCAGCATGGACCGGGTTGAGAGATGGCGACAGGGCGTTTTCCCATAGACGAGGAGCGCGGCATCGCATAGATGGGAGAAGATGCACCGCTGAAGACATATACACATCCGTACACACACATTTATATATCCTACTACCAAAGACTCGCACGAAAAGCATCGCCATCACTTCCCTTTGTCATTTCGGACACGTGCAGCGAGAAACTACGGGGGCGCTTATACACACACATATCCCCTTATTATATCATTGGCGGACGAAAGATACTGCCTGCCATAAATCGCATACGAGTCCTATAGCTTTTGTTTTGCCTGTTTAGTCCGATCCTATCTGATTTTATTTGTTTTGCTTTGTTCATTCTGTGTGGAGGGAGGGGAAAGGGGGGGCTTGTATTGTATGGCCTAGCATTGCAACGGCGCATTTTTGGGAAAATTAAGTCTTTTTTTTCTGGGGGAAGAAGAAAGTCTTTTGTCTTCTATATGTATTTTTTTTTAAAATACTGGGCTACTTAATTTTTTGAGTTTAATTAAGGGGAGAGAGGGGTTGATAGAGATGTAGCGTATGTACGAATGGATTTTGAATGTTTTTCCATCTTCATGTTTTTTCCATCTTGATGCTTTGTTGATGTAGATATTAGAATTGTGTGTGTGAGTGATGTTTTCTCTTTGGCTGTAGGATATTCGATGCTATATTTGTTTTCGAATCATTTCTGTTGGAGAAAGGCAAGAACATCCATCCATCCACCTAGTTTATTGACAAGGGAATTCAAGGCTGAGGGATGTCTCGAACTTGTGATAGTAACCCATTCAATAACTTGAATTCTACCAGTACCGCGGAATGAATAGAGCGACTTTTTACTAACTGGGATTCGGAAAAGATTCTGTGGCTTACGGGGAAAAGTATTGTGAATGCGAGCTAGCGGTTATATGAATGGATGTTGGAGGCGGGAGAGGGAGGCCGTGGAGCTGTTATTGAACTGATGGGAGAGACTTTTGGGGCTGTTGACTGATGAATCAACGAGCTAGGATGTTGAGTATATTTCCAATGTCTGCGACTAAAGTTGTCATATAATGGGCCTATCTTCTTCCCCTTCCCATATACCTATCTGTCTTTCCACGCGAGTTCAGGATGAAGAGCATCACCTCGAACAATTGTGCCCGAGTATTTATGCATACATGTAATCATAATGCGATTCTCTGGTAAACACGTTGAAAGGCTGGCCCAACTGACGAGCCTTGCTTAATTCTCTTTCTGCAATCTTTCTGCAATCCTCTGTAATAATAGCCTGACCTCTTGTCTTGTCAAGGATTACTTTAAGTACTTCCTCAGCCATAGAGTAGTTTCCTGCCGCTGCTTTTATAATTTCTTCTGTAATGACAATTTGGTCTCTCCGTTTGTCAAGGAGTAATCGTATCATTTTTTCACCCCCGATGGTGTTCTCCACCGCAATCTTTGTAATATTTTCTGTAATAGTGATCTCGTGGGCCCTTCTATCAAGAAGTAATGCCATCACTTCGTGGTACCGATTTTCTGTTGCATTTTTGACGACTTCTTCTGTAATGTTAATCTGCTCTCCTCTTCGGTCAAGAAGTAATGCCATCACATCGGGGTTTGGATTTAGTGCTGCAGTTTTAACGACTTCTTCTGTAATTTTTACCTGCTCTCCTCTTCGGTCCAGCAGCAATGCTAGCAGATCTGCGTTTCGATTTTTGGCAGCCATGTTAACAATTTCTTCTGTAATTTTTACCTGCTCTCCTCTTCGGTCCAGCAGCAATGCCATCACATCGGGGTTTGGATTTAGTGCTGCAGTTTTGACGACTTCTTCTGTAATTTTTACCTGCTCTCCTCTTCGGTCCAGCAGCAATGCTAGAAAATCTGCGTTTCGATTTTTGGTAGCCATGTTAACAATTTCTTCTGTGACGTTGATCTGATCGCCTTTCTTGTCGAGAAGTATTTGCATCACTCTCCTGTCATAATGGAGGGCTGCAGTCTTGACAAAACCTTTTGTGATGGTGATCTGGTCTCCTTGTCGATCAAGGAGCAGCGCTATTATTTCATCATCAAAATATGTTATAAATATTTCGAAAATTCGGTCCGTTACGACGATGTTGTCTCCCCATCGGTTTAGGAGAAGCACCATGGTATCTCTGAAACAATCGTGGGCAATTAACATAATGACTTCATCCATGATTGGGGTATCTTGACCAGCGTGTTCCAGCAAGAAGTCAACCATTTCTTTCCTGTCATGTTTTTTTCCTTTTTTCATCGCGGCGGACAGTATGTCGCTTGTAATTTTGACATCGTCTCTGGTGTTCAGCACGAGATTCATAGTTTCGGTACCGAATCCAGCCGTTATTGCTACCATTGCCTCCTCTGAGATATCTGTGTTGACCTTGCGTAAAATTATTTCCATGACATCTTCACCACTCTCATGGTTGTCTGCTGCTAGTTTCACCAACTTTGAGGTAATCTTAAAGTTGCACCGAGATTCTAGCAGCAAGTCAATCACGAACCTGCCATACTTCTTGTTGGTTGCCGCTGCCTCTATGATCGCTTGAGTGATGTTGGCACCAGTACATGTATGTATCAGTAGGCGAATCATCTCATGGTCAAAGCATTGAACAGCCGCACAGAAAGCTTCTTCAGTAATACGAACATCGGATTTTTTGGTGAACTGCTTCAAAGAATCGTAACCTCCAATGCCACTCCTTACTGTTCTCTGAATCATCTCCTCAGTAATTATATGATCTTCCCAGTGGAAATCTGTTAACCATGGAATGTTGGCTTTTGTTGCAATGTCATATCTATCCTCTACTTTATCGAGTGCCATGATTCCGGCTGCTTCGCCCCAGGCTAAGAGGCCCAAAGAACCTATCTCAGTCAACCGGTGAATAATCCCGGCGAAAATATTGATATCATCGTCCGTGCTAATATGCCGATGCCAGTTGCGCGCAGCATAATGGAAAAAGGGGTATTGCCGATATCTTTTTTCCAGCAACGTAGAATCTCCGCAAGGTCCCGTTTCCGCAAAATCTGCAAAACACAAATATGTCATACAGATCTTTGCCAGGTACAAGTTTGGATGCAGGCCTCTGCAAAACTCAGCCTCGGCTAGCAGTTTGCTCTTGAGGAGGAAATCTTTGGCTGACTGATGTATTAGGTAGACTTTTCCATCAGCGACTTCCAGAAAAGCTCCAACGGCACTGGTAACTGATTTCTCTGTAAGCCATACCCGGTATTCTTCAATAGATTCCTGATTTTTCGATGTCTCTTGAATTGCAAGAGACTCTTCAAGCTCATCCAAAGTCAACGCTCGCCGACTGAAGACGGTCCAAATTAAGAGCTTCTGCGCTGCTATATCTCGGCTTTGTATAATTGGAATGAGAATGCTTTCGTAAAGATCCGTCAGACGAGAAGGAGTATTGTTGATCATTTTTTTCATGTCTGCCCGGGACAGCAAATTTGAAGCTGTCTTCAGCTTCCTTAGAACGATTGATATCCACAAGAATGTTTGCTCCACACGGCTGCTCAACAAACTCATCACTTCACCCTCGTGTTGTTCCCCCAGATCGAGCTCCTGAATCCTGCTTTGGATAAATGTCTTGAGATCATCAGAGCTAGCTTTCAGAACAATAGATGGGAATTGTCTTAGGGCCCGATTTAAATCTTTTGTCGGACGGCCTGTCAGGAAGGCTTTGAGAACTGGATATTTTTCTTTGCTTTTTGCCAGTGGACTTTGAATCACGTTCTTGATAAAATCCAGTAATTTTTGTCTAGATTCATCACCATGGCATTCATCTAGTGCATCAATAACGCAGTATACGGTACCGAATACCGGAGATCGAAGCAGTTCTCCTAGTATGTCCCACGCTGATTCGTCGCTTATAGTAGAGGCTTTGATATTGAGTTTATCAGAGATGACATCAAATGCTCCTTGTGTTGACAGTAACTGCTTAATGAGTGATCTTACAGCGGCACTCACAGTTCGGTAAATGTCATCTTGGCCATAGAAGAAGAAATAAATAACTGTCGTGCGATGGTTGAAACTATGTTGCAAATTTTCCAAGTTGGCCAGGAGGAATTTTGCAACAATTGTTTTTCCTTGGCCTGGCGATCCATTGACCCAAAGGACCGATGATTCTTGAGCTTTGGACCACGAGGAGAACAGCTGAAGTTCCAAAAACCAGCCAAGCGTGCCAGATGTTGGATTATCAATTTTGTGGTTTCTGAATGCTGTATAATCGGGAGCCCCGAGTGCCCCAATGTACTGGGCTTCCAGATCCGAGAATGCTTTAAATATGATTTAATACACGTTCTATAATCTTTTTTCTAATGCAACTCACTCGTTCTTATTCTCCTAAAACGGTCTCGAATGACAGCCGGCGCCTTCTGAACCCATTTCTCTATTCTCGATTGAATGATGATATAATCAGAATTCGATGCGTTACTGAACTTGACGATTTCGGAATGATCTGCTTCTATTGGAAGCTGATCGTAAGGTTTCTCGTTTGGGCCGGCATAAATAGCCGAATTCTGTGGAACCATCATGACTTCGGGCCCTGTTCGTTCCCATGACTTGGTCTCCGAGTTCCACTTTGAATATGGTTAGCAAGGCCTGTGGCCAAGACAATGGATGCTCAGATGAAAACTTACCTCAATTGTGGGGGTTGTTTTAGTTTCGAACACACATATAATCTCTGAATTGAGTGTGAAACGCCTGTGGAAACTCTCATGAAGATGGTTTAGAAATGGAGATTCAACACCAAGATTCCTCACCAAGTCTTCATTAGGCTGCCCTTTGACCATAGACATCAAGTTTAGGTTGTCAAGACCTCTGTTAGGAACAGCAAAAAACATAACGGCATAGCAAGATCTAAAAACAGCTAGATCGTCTTCGCTGCCTTCAGACGCTTGTACCAGGGCCTACATTCAGATTAGTTGTTAATCTCAATATTGGCTGAACATAAGCTCCCTCAAGTTCTCCAACGTACTTGTTTCACGACAAGGCCACCAAGACTATGTCCAATAAGAATAAGTGGTCGATGTTTCTATAACAAGTGAGCTTCAATTCGAGAAATATGGGTATTTCGTCTCATAATCTTACTGTACTTTCATCCCGGGTTGTCTTGATAGACTCAAGTAACTTTCTGGAGAGTTGAAGGATGGAACTTTTAGATCGGCTTCCAGGTAATTTGGTGTCATATCCATATGTCAATACTCTTGCATTCGGAATAGATCCTGGCAGGAAATCTCGCAGCCACATGTCGGGTTTACTTTTGGGTTGCCAAGAGCCAAATGCATGACCAGAGAGTCCAGTCACTGCGATAATGCTAGCAAAATACTGTTGATTAGAATCATGTACGTTTAATATCCTTGTACATCCTTGTACGATTAGACTCACTCCACAAAAGTATTTTGCAAAGGGTCAGCTAATGGTGTTAGACCAAAAAAGTCCAAGTCGACGATCACTCCAGTATCACGATCTCCGATCGTCTTTTTGAGGAATTTCTCCAGCTCGCCCAAATCGGGGGCTTCTGCAAAAGTAACAGTGGCTACGGCAAAACGTTTAGCAAGCATGGAGCCTGCAGCGGGCGAATATGAGAAGCGAAGCAAATTGGATTGACCATGACCAGTTTCGGTTGTCTTAGGTAGCTTGGTCAAGATATCTTCAAGTTTGTCTCTGGTCACTTCCAGCGGTATGTTGGAAATTCTGAAAGTTAATGATCTGCGAATGGCAGGGCTCTGGAGTAGGTAAATTAGTCATATTGATCAAATCGACTATAGAGTTATGAACCTGGCATACACGTAGTCTTGTGGCTTGTGGTTGCAGATTTGGCCATTGTTTGTCCCTAGCAGATAACCATAGGATGAGGCATACAATAGCGACGATACCCGTTGTGATGGGGACTGGCTTTGATCGAATGTAATCCGCCATGACTAGCTCAAATGCATATGGTCTTTCGATAGTGATTGTTCTTGATATATGTAGCTACTGCTTGGTCATAAAGAGTAGCGGAAAAAAAAAGGATATAATCCGCGCGCAACGTGCTTCGAGCAATAATTTACGTCAGGCATACTAGATTTGGGTCACAATGGAGAAGCAAAGGCAGAACACTTTGACGAGAAAAAGCGCGCTCTTAATAAAGTGTTGAATAGATGGGGCTCTGATGAGTGCGGGGTTGGGCTGAATCAATATGCATGCAATATCGGCGAGTGTGCGACCATTGGTTCTTGACGATAGGCTCTATGTCTATGGGAAGAGAGGGGCTGCGAGATAGCTCGCAAGAGTCATCAGATTTGTAAACGATCCAAGACTCGGATCATTTGAATTGGTAATGATTCAGGCGAGTCCACCGAGAATAAGCTTGCTTTATGTCACTTATTCAGATATTTAAGAGAGGGCTAGCTGTTAACATAGTAATAAGAGCTGTTTGTGAAGGGCGACATCGAGTCTGGTGACAGCCATTGCATATCAGCACTCTCGCTGATAGGTATGTTCCCGTTGGACTGGGGGACTCCGTAAAATAGGATCCAGATTGATAGTGTTTTTCTGTAGCTTCTATTGGGAAAATGAGCAAGATGATGAAGACGAAACTGACCAAGACCTTAGGGGAGTGGCATTGAGGAGGAGCTTCATCTTGCTGTTGTTGAAGCAACATCACACTCTTGATCTAACAGGCCTAGAAAAAGATACTAGATTAGATTTCCTGGAAGATGAAGATACTGACCAACTTTGTAGTTTCTTCTTGTGGTTAATTATACGACTCTCGGAAGATATAATCCTGGTGTCTATAATCGACAGAGTGGTGCATTACGAAATAGACGACTATAATTGAAGATAGGCTGCTGAAGGTGAAAGAGTGCCTTCTGAGCTTATCCAAGAAGGTTGGAATACTATTTCCAGTGTAAATTCTCGCTATAAGCTTACTTCCAACAAAAATGATACGTACTGAGGGAGGAGGCGGATGGTGATAATGATTTTCGATTTATATCATTGGACTCATTTCTTAAGGCTAATCATATCTCTGAGAATGAGTCCTAGCTCTATTCTGTCCCACAGAGAGATATGTTCAATGCGAATCCTCATTTCGCTGCGTTCAGCGGAATGCAAAATCCCCCTTGGTGACTTGAGTTGTATGGCGGAAATCGTGCCAGTCGCAGATTCATTTCACTCGTGACCTGCAACCTGGAATCTAATGACAAGAATAACGAACAATCCATGAGGTTTATGAATAGCACCTAATGGGAAATCACCGTTTCTATAATAAAACAAAATTATTTGCATTTCCCCTGACAGACAGACCTTTGCTTCATTCAGTATAAATGCAGGTCAATAGGTGGTTAGACTAGCTCCAACGTTGAAAACAAGTGGATTGAAGCTAGGATGATTAAGTTTCCCACACTCGCGATATGTGCTACTGATGCCGGTTTGGGCAAAGTCAATATGCCTTATATGAGTATAATAGACATTTGCCTGGAGGAAAAAGAAATGCTGGGTGATTTATCATATTACTCGGGCAGGCTCTCTTTGGCGCAGACACTTGTGGTAAGAAATGTGAGGGGGGAAAAATCATGGATGAGATATTTATAGGGAAATACTAGCCAGCACTTCAAGTCTGCTATCCAGCATCCCATGTGAAATTTGAAGCTACATGTACTTAAACTCATACGACTCAAGACTGGAGAAATATAACCATGGCAGCAGATACTGGAAGAATGTGGCGATCGTAGCAGAAAGGACCTATACGTAATAGAAGAAAGGTTGGAAAGTATATGCATCCTGTTCCGATACTTCAACTTCACGAAGTCGCTGGGTTGTTGGATAGCGGAGTTGAGGTGCTGATTAGTATTTTCCTTCAATAATAAAGAACAATTGAAGTTTTACCTACAAGCAGCTACCATCACGCGATTTTCCAAAGTGCTGACGGCCCCGTTTGCCGAATCAGCTGCAAAGGTCCTCTGTAGCGTGTGAAACTATCGGCTTAGGGGGCCTTGACAAGACGCCACGATGCGCTAGAATCAGCACCTACGGTCTGTAAATTGCACTCAATGTGAAGCTGGCAATCGAGTATGTGCATCTTGCGTGGTTGACATAATCATTGAAATGTTGCAGCTCGACACCTGAGGCAAACTTCTTCAACTGTACATGTATCGGCATCTCTCTGTTATCATCATCCTACCGCCATCAAAAAGCAAACATGCTTCCACCAACAAAACCCATCTCGTGTTTCGATACCCAAAACAGCCAAAGAAACGCAACGCTGTGGAGCCCCGCCGAGTTCCTTGTACGACACAAAATTGGGTGAGGTCAACCAGGGTTGCGATTGCGATATCAGTGCTAATCGACACTAAGCCCGTCCGGTGGGCGCTCGGAGGAAATAATCTCTGTACGAGTGAGTTTGTATATGAATCGGCTTTGGCCGAGGCTCGTTTGAGATGAGACACGCGGTTTTGCTCTTTTCCTGCTGGAGACGACAGACGACGTCAAAGAGAGGGGTCAAGTGAGACATCAGACAAGTCGGAGAGGAGGCTTCGGTTCTGTCTTCTCTGTATCGTTTCACTGGAGAGGCTGACGACTAGGACTTTTGTCTTGTCGAGGTTCAACAGAGGCCGAGGGCGGAGAAGAAAAAATATTCAAATCTGACTGCGGGAGAGATAAGCACTGGAACCTCGAAAATACAAAAGCAAAACGGCAAATCAATCATCTTGGGGCATGACGAGCGGGCAAAGAGCACCACCAACCACAATGTCGCCGCTGATTGACCGATCTGGCGGAAATGGAGGAGCAGGAGGATACAACACCACAAACAACACCGGCTACGACTATGGAAAGGATGCTTCAGTAACAAAAGTCACCGACGACCTCGACGTCGAGCGAGCGCCCTCGCACTTCATGGGCGAGATTGACCCCATCAAGGACCTCGGCGACCTCGACGGCGATCTCGTCACCGCCACCGAGGAGCGCGACCTCAAGCGCGGGCTCAAGGAGCGGCATCTGTCCATGCTGGGCATTGCGGGAGCCATCGGCACGGGACTGTTTCTTGGTCTCGGCAGCGCCGTGCAGACGGGCGGACCGCTGGGAGCGCTGCTGGGATACGGAACCGTGGGGATGGTTGTGAGTGCGGTGCAGTTTGCGCTGGGAGAGGTGTCGGCTCTGTTGCCGGTGACGGGATCGTTCGTGAGGCACGCCGAGGTGCTGGTTGATCCGGCGCTGGGCTTTGCCGTGGGCTGGAACTTGGTGTACGGCAACCTGCTGTCGATTCCGAGCGAGATTACGGCCATTTGCGTCTTGTTCGAGTACTGGCTTCCGGACTTGAACCCGAGCGTGTGGATCATTGTCTTCATCATCTTGACTGCCGCCGTGGGCCTTTCGGGCGTGCGATGGTTCGGCGAGATCGAGGCCTTCTTCGCGACGCTCAAGATCCTCATGGTCATCTTCCTCATCATCTTCGGCCTCGTCATCGACCTGGGCGGCATCCCGGGCGTCAAGCCGACGTACTTTCGCTTCTGGAAGAACCCAGGCCCTTTTGTCGAGTACATTGCGACGGGCAACTGGGGAAAGTTCCTGGGCTACTGGAGCGTCATGACGGGCGCCGTCTTCTCCTTTGCCGGCGTCGAGTCGCTGGCCATGGCGGGTGCTGAGACGGCTAACCCGCGCAAGGCGATTCCCAGGGCCTGCCGCAACGTCTTCATCCGCATCCTGCTCTTCTACATGCTGGCCATTCTCATCGTCGGCATGATTGTCAGCTCCGACGACGAGCGGCTCAGCGACTACTCTGGCACCGCCGCGCAGAGCCCCTTTGTCATTGCCGTCTCGGCCGCCGGATATCCCGCCGTGCCCTCGGTCATCAACGCCATCGTCATCACGTCAGCGTGGTCGTCCTCGAACCAGGCCCTGCTCTCGGGCACCCGTGTCCTGTATGGTCTGGCGCTCAAGAGACAGGCGCCCAGAATCTTTTTGCGGACGACGTCGTGGGGCGTGCCGTACGTGGCCGTGAGCCTGTTCATCGTCTTTTCGTTCCTGGCCTTTATGACACTGAGCAGCGGCGCGCTGACTGCCTTTTTCTGGTTGATGGATTTGGTCGGTGCTGGTGTGTTGGTGAGCTGGATCTGCATCGTGCTCAACCACGTGCGGTTGAGGATGGCGCTCAAGGTGCAGGGCATTCCGTATACGCGGCTGCCGTGGCACAACAGCTGGACCTGTGAGCTTCTGACTCCTGTTTTCTTTATATTCTCTGTGAAATTGTTCGCTGACTAGAGTCTTTATCATGTAGTGTACAGCTCGTCTGCGGCACTCTTCATGTGCAGCATCATCCTGCTCACCAACGGCTTCGTCGTCTTTACCAAGGGCAACTGGAGCCCCAGCGGCTTTGTCTCTGCCTACTTGTGAGTTGTCCCCTACTAAAACCCCTTCACTTGATATAATGCTAACATTTTTCGCGAAAAGGGACATTCCGCTTGTGCTGGCAGCATATCTGATATATAAGTTTGTCAAAAAGACAAAGGTGGTCGCGCTAAAGGAGATTCCGCTAGAAGAAGCCTTGATGCAGGCCGAACTGAAGGATCCATTGCTCAAGTCGCCATGATGATATTTTGTCTTATTTATTTAAAACGCGGGATGATCTTGTAAATACGTAGAATAAAGGGGTGCTTCAACACGGCAGCGAGCGTCTGCGGTAATAATGCTTTCAACGAATAACATTACTATATATATATTTATACGTGTTCTATCCATTCCGGGTCGTCATCCAGCCGCATGTCCACACCGTCATGATTCATAACTCGTGCTGTCTTTTTTCTTTCTTTCTTTGTTCATCATCTTTGGCGTACTCTCTTCTTAGATTTGGACTCACTCGCCGTCATCCTGCATCATGTCGTCCTCTCCCATAGTACTCAGCGTATTCTCCAAAACCTGTCGACACCGTTCCCTATACTCCAACGCCAGGCGCTGGTTCGGCGACAACAGCTCAGCGTCTTCTCCTACAACCTCCATGTCCGTCTCGTTGAGCCTCTCGAGCTCCTGCAGGATCTTGTGCTGGATGATGGCGACGGTCTGCTCGAGATAGTCCTGGCACTCGTCGTTGACGTGGCCGGAAAAGAAGCGCTCCTGGCGCTGGCGCACAGCCTCCTCCTCGGTAGGGAAAGTGTTTGAGTTGAGGGGGATGAGCTTGATGAGCGGAATGGACGAGTGCTGCAGCAGCGTCAGGAAAATGTCCCAGACCATGTCGTGCTGGACGTGCTTGAAGGCGCCGAGAAGGCCCGGCAGCGGCGGAGGGGGGAAGACGTTGAGGGTCTGCTTGGAGGCGGCGAGGAGGGAGGATGGATGCGAGATGGGCCGTAGGGAGATGAGATATTCCTCGGGCGAGGAGCTGCCGGGCTGGGTTGGCGCGGCGGAGGGAGATGGCGCGGTGCGCTTGCGGACGTGGATGTAGTCGTTGTGCAGGGCGTCGGTGACGGGAAGCATGAAGCCGTATCCCAGCAGCAGCTCGGCGTTGGTCTTGGGGCTATAGTTGTTGAAGATTTGCTGCCCGGGCTTGTGCTCCCTGCCGACCTTGAGCTGGACGGCAGCCCCTGAGCCCCTGATTCCAGCTCCGGCTTCGTCTCCGGCTGCGAGATCCCACCTCACGTGGACCGTCATGTCGTGGTTCCCAATGTCAAACAGCGGCAGCAGCACGGAAAAGTCGTTGGTGCTGACGCCCTCGGGGAGAGACTGCTGCTGCTCCTCGGACAGCACCAGCGACGGCCGAAAGGAGCGGCTCGAGAAGATGCAGTACGCCCACTGATACAGCTCACGAGTAAGATGGTCGCAAAAATCGTCCTCGGCATCCTTTTGCGAAGCAATCAACAAGTTCCTAGCATCGCGAAACTCACGACCGAGGTCCTCCCGAATCTTTTCCAATCCAATCTCGACATTCGTGCCCTCGAGCAGCTCGGCCTCCTCCTCCGGCCAAAAGGGCGGCAGGGCCCAGTCATCGAAATCCTCGGGCTGGGGGAGCGCCTGGATGTAAGGATACCAGAAGGACTCCTGGCCCTTGAGGAGCTCCTTGATGAGAAACAGGCGGCCGACGACGTGGGGCCGTGTTTTTGAGAGAAAGTCGCTGGGGAAGGCGGGCGTGGGTTGGAGTGCGTTGAGGTAGGAGAGGGAGAGGCTTGTGGGGAGGCTGACGATGGGCTCGTAGGGGGGGATGGAGGAGGTTGAGGAGGGATTGACGCGAAAGGAGAGGCCGGTGTCGGGGTCGTCGTAGATTTGGGCGGATGGGTGGAGGAGGGCGTTGTGAGAGGAGGCCCAGTTGAGGAGGAGGGAGATGCGATCGTCGATGGAGTCCATTGTTGTGAGATAGTCTTGAGATGTAAGATGAGATGAGATTGGATGAGATAGGATGAAATGAGATGAGATATAATAAGATGAGATGAGACAAGGTGAGTCCCAGGTGAAGAAGTGAGTGAGCCGAGGTAAAGGCAAGGCTCCGATATCAAAGACGAGGCTATCTCGAGAATCCAACAACCAGATAGACAGATATTCAGCCTCGCCAACAACCACTCTCTCACCACAACAACAAAATCCAAACGGGAATAAAGAAATGAATCAAAAAACACACAAGCACAGCGTATCGCCAATTGGGTGGCCGCAATCGCAAAAGCCACACGCACTGTTTAGATCAACGATAGTGTGATATGCAGCTCTCCGAAGCCTTGGAACTCGCGCAACTGAAATTTTCCCCCGCATTAGTCACAGCTTTTTTTCCGTGGTGTGCTATGGTATTGTTAGTGCAGCACATGGTTTTTGGCGGGGATATCCAGTATTTTGGGTGGTCATGGCTTAACAGGAGCTAATTGAGCATGTGGTTTGGAGCTTTGAGCTTCACTTTTGCTTCATGGGAGAGCATCCATCCATGCATTGGACTCTTTAACACAAGAGACATTTCAATTCGAAGTCTCAAAGTATTCTGCTTCTTCTTTTTGAAAAACATCATCAAAACTTGCCCCGGAAACAAACACACAGGTTATCAACAGCCTTGCATCATCCAAGCTCACATTACCTGGGTACTCGTACCTTGCTTAGCCTTTTACCCTATCCAAATCCCGAAGAGAAAAGCTCCTCCATATCCCGTGCCAAGACCAAATCTTCATCTATAGTTGCATTTACTTGTCCAACTCCAATTCCAGGGGCCCTTGTAAATAAGTGGCCACCCGGGCGTATATGATATACTCGTACTCGTACAGACAAAGATGATGGAGATGCACTTCACCATCCCAAAACGGCAAATGGTGTCCCACCGCCACCAAAACAGCAAACGGTCTCCCCTTACAGCCCTCTCGAAAACTTTGCTTGTTCATCTTGGCTCGTGTAATAATTCCCTAATTCCCTATTTCCTTCATCTTTTACTAAGCACTGTAACATATATCTTTTCGGATTCGGAATTTTGCTGCATCACGTAATGAACCAACAGGGATGTCATGTCATGTAATGAATGACTCTTATTCCGACAAAAACGTGCGTACTAAGCAGGCAACTTTGCCCGCTGGGTGTATATCCGTAGGAATGCGGGTATACATACAATGCACTCAAGTCGACATACAAAGAAACAACAACATAGACTATGATTCTAAAAGAAGGACCTTTTCTCCACAGCGGCAGAGCACTCCTGTTCTCTAGCAACACATAGTATCTTACGGCTAGTTACTTGGGTGGAAAGAATAAACAAAAAAGAAAATAAAAAAAAGCATTTCCGGGGTAGTTCTACAAATACGCAAAAATACGGCCACATGCGTCAACAAAAAATAAAGAAGACCCTGGCAAAGGATTCGCCGGCTAATGGCGATAAGCCCGCGTGGGGAGCGTGCAGAAGCTTGCTTGACGCCGAAAAACGGGTGGAGCCGAGCGCCGATTGTAGGGGATTTTTTCGGTGCTATGGCCACTGGAGGCGTCGTTTAAGGCCGAGGGCCGGAGATGCGTATATATGGATATAGAACGATTGGCTACGGAAAACGAGATGCTCGTACGGGCTAGGCAGAGGAGAAGAGCAAGTTATTGAGCAAGTAATTGAATAATAATAGATAAAATAAAATAAAAATAAAATAAACAATGAGAATCAAACACGTGGGGGCAAGTAAGAGAACAAGAGACACAGAGAGAAGCCGAACCGTTGAATCGAAATCTCGTCTATGAAGCGAAACTAACAGAAATCTCAGATCTCAGCCCTGCCGCGCAAAAAGAGATCCAAACAAACCAGAATCAAGTAATACCCCAAAACCCTCCGGCATTTGTAACCCCCTCCTTCTGCTTCATATATACCAAAACCCCCCCTTCGCAAAAAAGAGCCCCTGATTCCCATCATCAATAGCAACATACAACACGGCAACTATTTGCTATCCCTCTCTCACCACCCACTACCCCTTCAAGTCTAGCCCTTTCGCAACAACTTACCCACCGCCCCAACGTGGATGCGCCCGTTCCAGCTCCTGATTGGACACATACCACCAATCTTACTCAAGTGCTACGGCGGCGGGGCTCGGTATCGTCGTGCCGCGATGGCAGATATGCTTAAACAAAGCCGGGTGCTGATGCAATTTTTTCTCTCTCTTCTCTCCCTCTCTGTCTATCTCTGCTGGAAATAAAAATTGGATTGGGGATTGGGCTGAACGGCTATAGTGGTTGGCTTGGCTGGGGGGGGGAGCTGACAAATTGGCGACGGGCTTAGAAACCAAAGGCCGGGCCCATACATGTAGCTTTCTGTTGCTCTTGCATGGACATGTTGGCTTATCGTTTTATAAAGGAGAACGTTGCTGCTGATGGGGTTTGGTGTCTTGGTTTTCTATTGCTGTATTGACGCTTTGGCTGGGAGCAAGTCAGCTTCGACTTGGATCTTGTATATATATCTATATATAATCAACTATAGATATATATTGATAGATATATACACACACTCGAAGCATCTCTTTTCTCCTGAATCGATTCCATTATAACAACAGCATCAACATCAACGTCGACATCGACAACTCCTACATCACCGCCACAATGACAGTCCAAACATCCTTCCCCCCCTCCGATCCCTCAACCCCCTCCATCGAAAAAGAAACGCTCCCCCTCTCCTCCGACGAAGAAGCTCCCCCCTCAACCCCGAGCTCGCCTCCCAATGAACAAGAAGGGCGCCAGGTCTCCGGCTTCCGCTGGATCCTCGTCTGCGTCGCCCTCTACGTCACCACCTTCGTCTACGGCCTCGACACCACCATCGCCGCCGACGTCCAGGGCTCCGTCGTCGAGGCTTTCGGGCACGTCGAGCAGCTCGCCTGGATCGGCGCCGGGTTTCCCCTCGGATCCGTATCCTGCATCTTGCTCTATGGCGTGCTCTATGGAAACTTCAATATGAAGTGGGTGTATGCCGCTGCCGTGATTCTCTTCAGCGTCGGCTCGGCTGTTTGTGGTGCGGCACCAACTATGACGGCTCTTATCGTCGGTAGAGTCATTGCTGGTTCTGGAGGATGTGGCGTCTTCATGGGCTGCCTCAACTACTTCACTGCCCTGACGACGCCCAGGGAGCGAGCCACGTACATCTCCGGCACGGGTTTCTGCTGGGGCATCGGTGCAGTCCTGGGCCCCGTCATTGGCGGCGCGTTTGTCGAGTCGAGCGCAACCTGGCGATGGGCCTTTTACATCAACCTCATCATCGGCGGTGTCTTTGCGCCAATCTACGTCTTCGGCCTGCCAGACATCCACCCCGTTGTCGGTGTGTCTGTTCGGGATCGTGTGATGAAGATTGACTTCCTCGGACTGCTTCTGGGAGCCGGCACCTGGGTCACCTTCTGCATGGCCTTCACCATGGCCGGCGGCCAGTGGCCCTGGAACGACGGCCGCACCATCGGCATGATTGTCGCTTTCGGCGTCATCATCACCCTGTACGCCGTCCAGCAGACGTTTTCCATCCTCACGACGCCCGAGGACCGCTCGTTCCCCATCCACCTGCTGCGATCGCGCTCCCAGGTCCTGCTCTTCATCGCCACCGCCTCCAACATCACCGCGCTCTTCGTCGTCGTCTACTTCATCCCCATCTACTTCCAATTCGTCCACGGCGACTCGGCCATCTCCGCCGCCGTCCGCCTGCTGCCCTTTGTCGTCCTAACTGTCAGCTTCAACATGGCCGCCGGCCACCTCCTGTCCAGAATCCGATACTACATGCCCATCTTCCTCGTCGCCGGCTTCTTCATCACCCTCGGCAGCGCCCTCCTCACCGCGTACCTCGACCCCTCGACCCCGACCAGCTACATCTACGGCTTCACAGTCCTCACCGCAGTAGGAGCTGGCCTGACCCTCCAGATCGGATATGCCGTCGCCTCTCTCAAAGTCGAGCCCGCACAACAGGGTGGTGCTCTCGCCATGCAAAACGTCTCTCAGATCGGCGGCACCGTCATTTGCCTCGTCATTGCCGGCCAAGTCTTCCAGTCCGAGGCCACCAAGAACCTGACCTCGGTCCTGGCAAACACAAACTTCACCGCCTCCGACATCCAAAACGCCATTGCCGGAGCTCAGAGCACCATCTTTGAGGAGATTACCGGACAGCTCCGGGACCAGGCCATTCTGGCCATCACAAAGGCCATGCAAAAGGCATTCATCCTGGTCTGTGTGGGAGGCGGCGTCCACATGCTCAGCGCCCTTGGCATGAAGCGAGAGAAGCTGTTTGGCGAGATTGTTACCGGCGGCGCTTAAAAGTTCGAGAAAAGCAATGACAAAAGTTCTAGCTGTTATGAGGATCGTGTGAATGATATCCATTTTTTAGCATGACGTTTTCTGGGGTTCTTTCTTCTTTCCTTTTTTCATTGTTGTATTGCCCTCTTGGGTTGCCTTCAAACTCCCCTCCCGCCCCCCTTTTTACATGAATCCCCATTTGTGATTTGACATAGACGGCACGAGATAGATGGTGGAACTAGAATGGGAAAAAATGGGAAATCTCCCTATAATCCTTTTGTAATTAGACTGAAGCATAGCATACCTTATAAAAACCCTTAAAAAAAGATAAACCACATAAAGTTTCTAAATTTTTGCAATCCGGGGTTTTATGTAAAGCACGGCGGCACCCGGTGCCTGCTGATAATCATGCCGTAGAGCGTAAAAGGATCTATCGACGACTCGCGCAGATCCTGTTGCGTCCAGGCATCGGGTATCATCTTGTTGACCAGCCTCATGGGCCCCAGCGGTCGACGCTCCAGCGACTTCTCCAGCACCCTCAGCATGCGCATGCGGTGCTCCTCGGAACGGGCCTCGAGCGCAATGACAAACAGGGGCCAGGGTCGCTCGCAGTATACCAGCTGGTCGAGCAGCTCGTACGCCTGGTCGACCAGGGGAATAACACTCTTGGAGTTGCCGGGCTCACCCTTGGCCATGCGCAGGAGATAGATGATGGCGGCAAGGCGGTACAGCTCGGCAACGATAGCCTCCTGCCTCATCTCGGGCCCATCTAGCGGCGCTACTGTGGATTGCCGTTGCTGCAGATATTTTAAGCGGATCTCCAGGGATCGGACCAGCTTTAAGTGTGCCTCAGATTGGTAATCAAGGTCACCGGGCTCGTAAACGGCATCTATGGCTTGGCAAAGCAGGTCAAGCAGTTCCAAGGAGCAGCCAAGGATGGGAACAATCTAGCGGCAGATCAGTCAGTATGAGTTTCACTCTCACCCTTTCCCAACTGTTCTAGAGAAGGTATGATAAGAAAAAGAGAGAGAAAAAGACTTACCGTCTGTCTCTCTGGCGAAAACACGGCCTTGGAGAGAACTTTTCTCTGCGACGCCAGCATGATCTGATCCTTGTTCTTTTCGATCCAATGGCGAATACTAAACTTGTACATGACGTCGTGGTAAAAGACCCAGTCAATGATGAGTGCCTCGTCCCCAAAATACGTGTCGTCGGTTTTTGTGACATAGTTGGCAATTCGTTTTGTGCCGCAGAAGAAGATGGACCAGCTGAGATCCGAAGTGTCAAAGTTGAGCGTCTATTTCCCGTTAGCAAGTCTGCTTGAAGTCGTAAATTTAAGGAAGAAGAATCCCTATGCAGCCGTTACAAACCTCGTAAATGTTTAGTAGCATGCTCGCAGCCATCAATTGCATACACTCCGAGGGAACCGCCGTCTCAATGGCGGACTGGAGTGCTCGGATCGCTCTGGTCTGATGCATGACGGCCGTCTTGTCCATGGCTAGATGCTGATATGACAGCGCGCTGATGGCATACCTTGACGCCAGCGACGGCAAGCCGTCGTCCTGGAATGACATTCTGACGAGCAACCCGTAGAGTTCATCGCAACTCTGACTAGATGAGACCAGCCGGGCAACTGGGCTGAAGGCTGCAGCACATCTCTTGTCAGCACAGCAATGCAAGGTGAGTCCAGTTGAGCAGCCTTACTATGTGAAGCAAGGAAAGGATCCAGCCTTGCCATGTTAAAGTTTGGCTGCCTCGTCAACCAAACCTCGCCAAAGGAAGTTTCGTCATAGCGAGCCAGGGCTGAATAAGTGAAAAAGTCAGTCGGTCAGCCACCAGAGCAAAACACACTTGAGACATAAAATCGAGCTCAAAAACTCATTTACATACTGTTTTCCTGAGACCCCTTGACGTCGTCGCTCGTGGCATTGATAAAAATGGGATCCTTTGCCCGGATAGGAATGATGAAATGCTCCTTTTGCAACGACGCTGACCGTCTCTGGTCGCCCTTGCGCGGCCACGACAGCTTCAGGCCGTATCCAAGACACTGGCGGCCCTTTTTGACGCAGTTGCGGCAGTGCGGCAGCGTCTTGTCGCAGGCAATCTTTTGCTCTGCAGTTGGCAGTTAGCCATGGATCAGTTGATATAGTGAGTATAGCAGTGAGTGCTTATGAGAGTGGCGGGCTCTCCCTACGGCGACAGTTCCAGCAGCGCTTCTGCGTCTGGCTCATGGCAACGACAGGACGGGCGAGGGCGATTGGATTAAAGGCGGTTATAAGAGGCTTGCGATGTTTTCTGAATGTCTGGCTTGATGAATAACTGTTTGATTTGTCACCACTTTAAACTGCGAAAGTTGAAGTTTGGTTCGGGAGAGTTCAGGCCGGGCGATAGGGAGAGTGGCTACTAAGTTGAGCATAGTACAGTACAAGCAGCATGCTGTAGTGCAGTCCATATACAGTACAGTGCATGTGCATACAAGTACAGGTTGCTCGACTCTTATGTCAGCGCCTAGACCATGCTGGACTCGGGGCTAAAAATTGGCAGCATCCGCCTATTTGCTGCATCGTACTTCTCGTATCGACAGTTTTTCTTGGCCCGTCTGCAGCCCTGTTTAGGATCGGCCCCAAGTGATCGGGAATTTGGGGAATATAACTCATATTGCTTTACTATTGAATATGTGTATGGTTAAATACGAGAACAAAAATGTCAGAAACAGAGGCATTGCTAACCACCTTGTATAATAATTACTGTATAATACAGACGACCATGTATGTATAATCCGGCCAATAGCGCTTATATCACCAGACATCAGACAAGCCTCAATCCTTCTCCCCATCTCTCCCCTTCTCTTCCTCTGTCTTCAGTATTCTGCTCTCTCTCAGTGAAACTCGGCTTCCACCCGCCCATACCGCACCCCGTCAACCTTGAGCTCAAAGCCCAACCCCGCACTGTCCACAATCATCTCCAGCGTAAAGTCGAGGTTGTCGAATTCCACCCCCCTGGTCGTCGTCAACCGCGTAAACAGGCTCCTTGGCACGGCATTCAGATCCGTCGTCAGCGTGCACACGTTGATCAGGTCGCGCGTGTGCGCCGCCGGCGGCTCGTCCGCGTCGCACGCAATCAGGTCGTCCGTCACGATGAGCGACTGGCCCGGCCGGAAGTTGCGGGTGTAGTGGAAGGCAATGGGTGACAGAGGAGAAAGCGCCTCGCCCTGTGGGCAGTCAGTCATCGAATCGAACAAAGATATAAAGGAGACAACAAGACAGAGAGAGAGACTCCTTACCTTGGCAATGTGCCACTGCATCCGATCAGACACCATCCACCGCTCCCACAGCGGCGACCAGTACCGTTCACTGACAGAGTGCTTCTCCTCGTCATACACCGTCGCAAACGACGTCCCGTAGTGCATCCTCGACTTTCTCGAAATCACCATGTTGCCCTCCAGCCCCCGAAGCACCGCCCCGCGCACCACCGCCGTCCACGCATAAACCGGCTGCATCACCTCGATCGATCCGCCGTCCTGCGACACACTCGCGTTCGCATGCGTCGGTCTCTCGCTGTACGGAGGCGGGGCGGCGCTCGAAAAGTGCGACTTGAGACGCCGGTATAGATAGTCGCTCTGGCCGAATCCCCCGACCAGCACGATGCCTGAGACGATGCCGCCCTTGGCACGGAGTCCTTCGACCTGGCCTTGGACCAAATCGCAGACTTCCTTGACGACGGGCTCAAAGATGTCCTTGATCTGCTCTGCGCTCATGACCATGAATCCCGAGTCCAGCCCTGCCTCCTCGTCATCTGGGAGTCCGGGAAACCTAACAAAAGTCAGTAAAAAAGACAGTCCCATCGCTGGATATAAGTAGACAGGCAAGCAACATACGGAACATTAATCTCCTGATGTTCGTCCTCGTTAAAATTGCGCTTGACAAACTCTTCAAAGTACCGCAAGCCCATCTGCCACGTCTTGCCCTTTTTCGACTTCATCTCGTCGAAGCGGGCCTGGCCCAATCTTGTCCGAACATGCTCCTCGAACCTGTAGTTTAAAAAGGCACTTCCACACAGCCCACCCGTTCCCACGGCAGACTCTTCGACTCTCAGGGGTTTTAGGGATATGATTTTGTAGGCAATTAGGCTAGATTTCTGTCAGCTCTGTCTCGCATGTCAAGGCAGTAGATGTAAAACTCACTCCACTGTGCCGCCTCCTGCGTCACACACGATAAAGTTGTCCCCAATGTTCAAGTGATTGGGCTGAATCGCCTTGAGCGTGTATACAGCCGCCGCTTCAGGCTCGCTAATCATCTGAATCTCGGAGCGGCTGCCCATGCCCGCCCGCTCAGCCGCCTGCAGCGTCGTATTCTTTGCCGTATCGCTCCAAACCGCCGGGCACGTCAGGACGAACTCGACCTTTGTCGAGGCCATGAAGGATTCTCCGTAGCGCCGCGTCAGGGTGTCCATGGTGTGCCGGTAGATCTGGGTGAGGTAGTCGCTGACGGCATCGACAACATTCTTGTTAAACTTCTTGAGCTGTGCCGCCGTGTCGAGAGGGCTGACGTAAAAGGGGAGCTTCTGGGCGCGATCAAGAAACAGCTTGATACACCGGAGCCTTGACTCGTCTGGCTTGAACTGGAACCCCCATTTTACCGTGGGCTCAGCGCCGGGCGAGGCATCGGGAGGGAAGCTGTATGTAATCTCGGTGGGCACCTTGTCTGAGGTGATGCCGTTGCCGCCTGGCCACGTCTTGATGATTTCGACGTCGTCGGGCGTTGATGTGTATACTGCGGCGACGCTGAAATGACATTAGCTTAAGATCTGGGAAGAATCTTGTCTCATATCATATCATCTCATCCTAGCTCATCCTCATCCTCATCTCATCTCTCACCCACTAACTCACTCACCCTGAAAACGTCGTGCCAAAATCCACCCCCACAATCAACCGATCAGTCATCGGCGGCTGCTCCCTCACCGGCTCCCTCACCGGCCCATTGATAGCCTCCGTAGAGCTCGGCGGCGTGTAGCTCGTAAAGTAACTCCTGCTCTCCTGGTTGCGCCGACTGGCGCTCGTGCGCACCGGCAGCGCGAGGTTCTGCATCTTCTCCAAACAAAGCGCGACTCACAGCGCCCTCAATTGCGTGAAATCTCGGTGACGGGTTCCAGCGGTCATGCAGTAGAGAGCGGTTTGTTTGTTTGTCCTGTTGGTATTGGAGTCTCGCCTGGTGTTATTCTTCAGCTCTCGGTGAGCTCACCAGGGCTCATGTTCTGAGTGGCCCGGACCGTGCTACACCCCTCTCTTCTCCCGCCCTTCCTCCTTCTGTGGCGGGCCGTACAGATGACGAGATGCGATATGGGGGATGGATGATGCTATTCGCGGATGAGGGCCTCGGTAGTCGCCAAAACCAGATGGGGCCGCGGGAGTCGCCAACAAGCAGATGAGGCAAATCGCCCCTCTTGTGATATTGCTCTAGATGCCACGTAGATGCCACAGCAAACGACTCTCGATGCACCAACAAGCCGTTCAGAACAAGAGAATCGCAGTCGCTTTTGATTGTCGTCCAGTTGATACCTTTCTTCGCTGCTGCTCGTTCAAGCAAAAGACTGACCCGCACAAGCAGAAAAGCGCTCTCCAGGCACGGCAACTCGTCACCAGATATAAATATCCATATAGAACCCCCCTCTTTCCTCAATGAGAAAAAAAGACAATTGATATAAATGAAAAACTGAATAAATAATAAATAAAAGGCCAACCTGTCACAGACTCAGGTAAGAATCAAAAAATAAAAATAAAATAAAAAATAAGCCCCGTTCGTCTAAATTATTCTGTTGCCTGATGATGGCTTTGCACTTGTTTTTTTTTCTCCCCTTGTTTGGCGGACTCCCTCAAGGCTGCCTCAGCTGGACGACCTTGTTCCCGCAAGGTTTTCCGCAGGTATCGCCTCGTTTCTCTTCCGTCTGGGGTCTAGCGCTGACACGTGACTGTTCTGCTTACGTACTAGGTAGACGCTCAACTCGTGGCAGTTTTCCCCAGAGCCTCATTCTGACAGGTCCCCGGTTTTCTCCCATTCTTAATTCCTGGTGCACTGCGACTGCTACGGAGTTACACACTGCGCGATGGAGTACGAGTACGTACACCGCAATCCGCAAAGGTGGTGGTGCATGTACCCAACCTTATCCCTTGTACAGTTACAAGTACTTGCCCCATCATCGTGGGCAGACTCCAATGGCCTGACAGATCAATGATATCCTCCCAACCCCAAAGAAGAAATATCAAATCATAACAAAAATGATAAAGATTAGAAGAGAAAAGAGACGACGTGGCACAGCACACCCCCAAAGCCAGGGTTCCCGTAAGGCTGCCAGATTTCGCTGCGGATCCTCCCTCCCCCCAAAGGTACTCGTAACACCGCCAATACCGTTACCGGTACACACCATCTCGCTCTGCCTTGCGCCCAAAATGCCCATCCCGTTGCATCCCATCCCATCGCTCCGCCGCTTATACAAACCGCCCCCCTTTCATCTCGTAAGCCAGGCAACAAACAAAGTTACATGTAGGTAGCCAGATAGTACAGTAAACCCGCAAACTCCCAGGCATCTATCTAAATCACGTCCGCATTTCTTACCTCTCCCTCCAACAAGAAATAGCATCTAGTATCAGAAAAAAATCAAGTCAGACGGACACAAGAGATGCATCTGGCTGGCGCTCACTCTCGCCATGCAAGACCCCAAAAACATGCATCGCCGCGCCCCCTCCATATGCACTGTAGTCCCACCCGCAATCCCTACAAGTGCACACGACGAACTGTTTGATATGTAAGATACGGTAGTGGTACTCCGTACTGGTAATGGTAAAAACTGGGAGCAGCCTTGGACCGTTCAGGCAGCAAGATACAGCCACGAAAATGTACAGTGTAAGCGAGCGTGATTCTTGCATATAGTGGTGTTGCTCTTGTTCTACTTGGTGCTTTCAGCTGTATATACCGACAGAGATGGATTGATGAATGCTTGTACTGGGCTTTTTTCCTCAGTAGTTATATACTGAGGTAGGTAACCGTAAACTGGTCATGACATTGCCATCACATGAAAATGATTTACTCGGCCTGCGACGAGCCACTACGAAGAACCAGAGCTCCATCAAACCAGAAGCGATTCATCGTTTACAATCAAGTAACACGGGCAGTCAACGATTTAATCCATGCAACATAATAAGAGAATTCTTAATGAAGGAAAGGAGAAGAAAAAGGAGATATATAAGATAAAAAAGAATAAATTATGCTTCATTGCTTTTTACAAATTGTGAGGGGTGTACTTCAACGCAAAAGAACACAGGCAGATACATAAAAAAAACTCCTGTCTCCATGTAAAAAATATGCGCCCTCACAAGGGCAGACCACTATTGATTGTTGCAAAAAAAAGTTATCGAAAAAACGACCGTAAATATCCAACCACGACAAGAAAAAAAAAAAAACGCCTCGACTCCATCCATCCCAATCTCAATCCCCTTCTTCTGCTTCTTATTCCTCCTCTTCAGCTTCTTCTTATTCTTCTTGGTATAAGGAAACAAAAATTGTTGACAAAGGAAAAAAAAAAAGTTGGTGTACTATGTGAGGTATATTTTGCTTCAAGCAAGGCGAGGGCCAATGCTCGCCCTTCTTATTTTCGGTCTATACGGGGTATTTCGGTGTGCCATGAGTGCTAGTGCTCAAAATGTTCAATATTGAAGAAAACGAAGCGAAAAGCGAATCGAAATCCAAAAAATAAATCAAAAGGCTACCCCGAGCTCTGGCCTCGATTTTATATGTCGAAAGCCCCTCGAGGGTGATATATGGTACGGTACGCTCTTTGTGGTAGTAGTAGTAATAAGTAGTAGTGTGTGTGTGTGTTTGTGCCAGCCGAGATACGCAGAATAAACCAAAACGAGTTTTTATACCCCAGTCGAAAGAAGATGTGAAAAAAATATAATGTCGAAAAAATAATGATATGATGGTCGACCCGGCGACTCATGATTCAAGGAGCGAGGAAATATGTGCCGCAAACCAACACCAAAACACCATTTATCATGCGAAGAAAAAAAATAGTACACGCCATATTAATAAACAAAAAACAACTTTTTTGCCTCACCACTCAACAGTGACATGTCCGAGAGAAGGGGGGGGGAGAAAGGGGACAAAAGAGACTCCACCGAGGAGAAATATTAATGACGTCTCCCTGTTTGTCTTTTAGATACGGTTTCCGGCGGCCCAGATGCTGGCAGAGGCCGAGGCGCTCCATTCACCACCCTCGTATGGCGGGGTGGGCCACTTGTACTGGTTGGCCGTCTTCTTGCTGAGATCCAGTGGCTTGGGCGCCAGTGCTTCAGCGCCGTCGGCGTAGAGCAGCTGGTTGCTGTTGGCAGACGGTGACGGGCTAGGGTACGGCTGCGAAGTCGACAGGCCCAGGTTGCTCGCCGACTGTCGCAGCGACTGGGCGTTTCCCTCCAGGCGCTTCATGGCCTTTTGCGTCGAGGTGAGGACCTCGTCGAGGAGCTCGTCTTCTTCGGCCGGAGTATCGTACTGCTGAACACCCTGCACTGCCTGGGCACGTCGGGTACGGCTCGAGACGGGGCCGTTTCTGGCGGCGCCAATCAGGTTGTCGACGGATCGGGGCTGCTGGTAGGGAAGCGAGTGGTGACGCTTGAGCTTCCCGGCCGCGGCAAGTTGATGCGACTGGGGCACAGGGGCGCGCGGCTCAGAGCCTTGGACGTCGCTGAGAGTCTTATCCAGAGACTCGTACTCGGCCTTGGGAATGGGGCCCACCTGCTGGTCGACAATCATGGAAGACCGGTTGCTGTTCCAGGGGCCGCATCCGACCTGTGCCTCCATGTCGTCGTACGCTGGCGAAACGGGGGTTTGGTGGCGGCCGGAGAAGCGCCTGGCACGTTTCCGAAGGTGCGAGAAGAAGCTCTCCTTGTGAGCGCTGGGAGGGGACGCAAGGCCCGTCTGTCCGTTGAGAGCACGCTCGGCCTGAGCCCGGTGCATCTCGGTATAGTTGTTGCTGCTGGAGTTGACGGAGAGCTGTCGGCCCAGCTTCTTGCTCTTGTCCTGGCTGTCGGCGTTGCTGTTGGCACGCGCCGTCACAGCGTCAGACAGGGGAGAAATGGGCTTGATGGAGGGCAGAATCGGCATCGGCGCAACACCAGAGAGGCCGTTGGCCCACGTACTCCGCTTGGCCTTGGGCTGCTGCTTGGTGGTGGAAACGTCGACGGTACTGGAGGTCTGGACAGGCGAGGGCTGAGCAGGGGCCACGACAATGGTTTCGGGAATGTCGCTGCGGCCGATGAGAGACTTGCGGAACCACGACTGCTTGGAGACGGAGTTTGAGGGGGCCAGGCCCTCCTTGGAGTGGCGGCTAATGTCTGACTGCTTGCGACCCAAGATCTTGGAAGCAGACGACTTGGGCCTCGACGGGTCCGTAGCATCTGCAAAGTATTCGTGGTTCAGAGACTGGGTGGACGTAGGACGGTTCTTGGGATCCCACATCAAGCACCAGGTGACAAAGTGGCTCAGGGCAGGCGGCCACTGGGGGGTTTGCAGGATGGTGTCCATTGCGTGAGGAGCCATCTTGGGAAAGGAGAAGCCGAGCTTGGAGGCCAATCTAGTGCCCTCGCGCCACTCGCCGCCTCCCACGCGAGCACCGGCCTTGTTGTACCAGTTTCCGGGGCTGCCCATGATCTCGCATACTCTCCACACCTGGTCGACCTCGTTTCCGCCGGGGAAGAGGGGCTTGAGCGTGGCAATCTCGACGGCCATGGCGCCGACGGCCCAGATGTCGACAGGAGCCGAGTACTCACCGGCGCGCAGAAGCACCTCGGGCGCGCGGTACCACCTGGTGGACACGTAGGTGGTGTAGGGCAGCTTGGAGTGAGTCTCACGGGCGAGACCAAAGTCGGCCAGCTTGACGGTGTAGGTGGGAGGGGTCGATGGCGGTGTAACCAGGGCAGAGTATCGTCGGAAGGAGTTTGAGGTGTCCTGGTGGGCTGAGGTGGAAACGAGAATGTTCTCGGGCTTGATGTCGCGGTGGAAGAAGTTGTGGGAGTGGATGTGCTCAAGACCCTGCATGATCTGGAACAAGATGCTCTTGACACTTGCGTTGTCGAGGTACTTGTGGTCCCTGGCCTTCATCAGCTGGTACAGGTTGCCCTCCATGTACTCCATGGCGATGTGTAGCTTCTTGGTGAAGGGGTCTAGGAAGATGTCGAGAGCGGGGACGAGATGAGGGTGAGGCGGCAGGGTTCGCAGGAAGACGACTTCTCGGAGCTCCAGGCAGGGCGCCAGAGACTCGAATGTCTTCTTCATCGACTTGATGGCCACCTAGGTAGGATGCGTTAGCAATGGGATCCAGGCCGAGGTTGGTATGCTGAGCTGTCTTACAAGAGTGCCTCGACGGGCGACGGCGGCACCCGCTGTTCGAGTTCGAGCCAGGACAACGCTACCGAAGCTTCCGTCTCCGATCTCCTTGACGACCTCGAAGCGGTCTTCGAGCGCCATGTTGCCGTGAGGCTGTTGCCGCAGCGTCATTTCCGTTGTGGCTGTCATGGTGTATGGTTGACGACTGAGAGTGTTGGCGCTGGCGCTATCAATGAAGTTGCAGAAGCAGCTTCAACAACGGTCCAAGAATTGGACGGAGGCTAGGGCGGCCAGTCGAATGCTTTAAACAGAGCAGAAAAAAAGAAAGAAAAGAAAATCGACAGGCAAAAAAAGACAACACCTATTGGCCCGCAAGAGATGAGCTCTGTCGCAGAGCTGCAGATCGTTTATCGTGGCATTCAGGTAGGGCAAAGGGGGAGAAGAGAGCTTGAGGTTGCTGCAGTTTGTCGTCGGGCAGGAGGGTTGGTTTTGGTGAGGTTGAGGTTGACGGGGCGGGTCGCTTACACAGACGGATGAGAAGAATCGAGATCGTGAAAATCCAAAAAAGATGGAGGAGAAAAGGCCGAAAGGAGGTCAGTGTAAGGAGTGACTGAAGTGAGGATTAATTTCAAAGTGGATAGGCTTGGAGGTTATGGAAAAGGGGAGCTCTCAAATGTCAACGGCCCAGGGGGGGTTGGTACAGTACTTTCTGGCACTACAGGACTCCCAACAGTGGCTAGACCCAGCTGATCGCGGAGGGATCCTGGGACCCGGACCGCTAAATTAGTATTAGTTGGGCCTGTCTGGATTGAGTGGGAGCCCGCTCTCGGCTTGGCAAATACGAAATGGAAGAGATGAGATTTGATGGGATGTGAAGATGAGATGAGTGCTAAGTAAGAGTAGAGGGACTGTAGTGTACTGGAGTGTACTTGTAGCAGGTGAGAGTGAAGAGCCGCCAAGAGCAATTTGGGGCGAGAGATGATGATGCGGTTGGTGAGATGAAATGAATGACCTGCGAGTTGACGACGGAGAGAGACGACCAAAGCAGAGCAGTGGAGCGTGAACAGACAGAACTGACAGGGCTCCTTTTTTTTTTCTCTCTCTTCTCTCTCTCACTCGCGGAGAGGCGGTCGAGGTTGGACGATTGAGCGTCGTCGAACGGTGCAATATTTGGGCCAGTCGCAGACCCGCGGGCACCAGCACTGTACCAGAACGAGAACCAGAACCAGTCGACAAGCAGCAGGCCAGAGCAGAAGCGCGGCAGTAGCCAGCCAGCCCAGTGCATTTCCAGACCATTTGGTGTTTAGCCGGGGGGGTTGAAAAGGCGCGTGTCGCAGACGAGCCAAAGAATGAGCAGCGGCAGAAACAGGGTGCCAACAGGGGGCTGGACGTCTTGTCTGTCGACTTTGCACTGCTGTGTGAGTGTGAATCTGGTGTGTACTGCACGTATGTTCACGGTCCGTGCATTTGTTTCTTTTTTTGCTTTTCTTTTCCCGTTATTTTTTCTTTCCTTTTTTTGGGGACTTGTATCATAAACGAGCTACTAGTGGTATTGGTCGGTTGCATTGAATTCAGCTGTTCAACCGTCGCGCACAAACACGCATCGTTGAACCTGCTCCAGCTCAACCTCAGATCAGCAGGTTGGCACCCGTAATACAACACAATACACCTGTACTTGTCAAGCAAGTACTGTCATTCCCATTCAGTGAATGGCCCTGCAAAATAACAACAAAGCGAGCGAGTGGTCTAGGTCCAAAGCAGAGAAAAGCGTCTGGTGCTACTCTGCTATGGGCGATGGGGTGACCCCAAGGCCCGTCCGTCATGCCATGGGCTCGACAAGGCACTGCAGTCACCAGGCAGGGATTGGCTCCGCCGCCGCCGTTCGCATGAATGGGCGACTTTCTGGCCGCCAGAATTTCTGCTGTGATTTGATTGATTGATTGATTGACTCGAAGGGGGGCGCGGCACAGGAGGTGGTACATGAGGAATAAAAAACGAGCACAAGACGGTTTATGCTTGCCCATTGAAGGGACGCCCATCAAAAGCCACCCGCCCGAGTCGTCACAAGTTGCCGGTACGCGCCGTTGCAGGCTCAGTGACTTGTGCGCACCAGCTCGCACAGCTCCCGCGGCCGCTGCTTGACCGCACTTTTCACGGTCGCGGTGCAGTAGCTCCTGGTAGCTCGCGCGGTACCCCATACATGTGGCCTTCTCGCCCAACCACCCGCGTCAGGTACTAAGCCCGCGCCGCAGTGCTACCACACGCCACCCCGTATTCCGCAGCCACGTTCAAGGTAGCGGTACCGGCGGGCACAAGTACCGCGCTGCCCAGCTCGTCTGCTGAAAGTTACAAGTTGCAAAATGCAGAAGTTACCAGGACCCGGCGCTATGCCGCACTTGGTGCTGGGGCAATGGCAGAAAAAAAAAAGGGACCTCCGTCTCTTTAATTTATCAAGTGGGGCCTGGAATCTATCGCAGAACTTCCTTTTGTCACGCTCAAATTGGGCAATTTGCGTGGCGGACAAGGGTCGGAGAGAGAAGGGGAAACAAGAAGAAATTTCCAGAGGCCACTTTTTAAATGATTTCTTCTTTTTTAGAGGGGAGCTATTTTGTTCTTTTTTCGCTTCTGCGAGAGTTGCAAGGGATCTCCCGTCAGGCGACCAGGCAGCTCCATTTCGCCTGAGGCCACGGGCATATCTGCTGCCAATAGAAAACCTGGCCATCCGGTAAATAAGGTATGAATAACAGTAACCGTATCTTGGATGATATTTGATAGCACCAGACGGCACAGAGCTGCTCTACAGTGCTATTACTACCTAGCTACGTGCTTTGGGCATTACTGTCCATATCAACCTTGCACTGATATCAGCCCAATGTACCAAAGCGCCAACACGTGCAAGCCCTCCACTCCTATACTCGCTCAATTCGACACATTTACGGCTTACCTTGTACTCGGTACTCCTCCGCGTGTTTCACTGTGAAAAAATTTTCCACCTTGCTTACCAGAGTTATCGTATATACGCGGTGCTGGAGGAGCATCGGAGAAAAACATTGTTAATGCTTGTAAAAAAGTACGGAGTACAAGTATCGTCTGTACCAGAAATCGAAGCGCTAGTACTTCCACAATATGCCCATCTTCTGCAGATGAGGGCCCAGACAGGGCAGCCGGCCTGGTGCCAGCACAGCACACCAGCGCCCCGGGGCACATTTTGCTGCGCTCCTATTCGACAATATTGTGCCCAGCGCCAGGGTCGCTTGGGGATCCACGGGCCAGTCAGAGCTGCCGGGGGTCTTTGGTTGAGCGTGTCTGGTGTCTTGCGGCTGGAATACGGAGCGCCGGACCAGTGACAAGCAGAGCCGTGCAAAGGATACTTGTCGCGCCAATACAACAAAACGTGGGCTGTCAGCAAGTCAATGCAAGATTCACGTTTGATACAATGTACCGAGAACAATGTACGAGTCCCGTACCGTAACAACAATGCACACCACAACTCAAGATGCAATCCAATCCAGTCATTTCAGATTCTCTTCAGTCTCTTCCCACCTGCTGCATAAGCGAAGCACTCACACGCGACGTTGCTGGAACGCCGAGAGGGGCCCCCACAGCGGCTAGTCCGCTACAAGAAGCAAATCCAACAACGCCTAAGCCGAGCCGGGACTAGCCGGTTACAATGGGAAATTCTGCCATGTTTCAATTCCAACACAAGTACCTGCCAAACAGCCGTTCCAAAGTACTCCGACATGGCTGAAGGCTGCGCCGTGTACTTGCGCGCTTGTACTTTTGCATGTGCGAATCTCTCACCAGCGCTGGTCCGGTCGGTACTTCTGATTGCCGCCATTTTACAGAGCGAGATTGGTGATTTTGACCTGGCCCCAACAAAGCTCCTTATATTTCACAGCGGCGCGAGTGCTTCACGGCGATGCCTTGCCTTGTCATGCCTTGTCATGCTTTGCATGTTGAGATTAAGAACCTGGAAAGTCTTTGTCAGCGCTTGAACAATGCGAGTGCTGCTTTGCATCTCACAACGCCACCAAGTGAGCTCAAGAATCACTCTAAAATCCATTGGAGCCCTCCAGCATGGATGCGCCGGAAGAGCTACTCGTGCTATGTCTCCGGATCATGACGGCTCACTGCCGCGGAACAGGTATCTTGACATGTACGAGTACGCCAACCATTTTTTTCGCCTCCTGCTGCTCGGGATTGGCGGCGTGAGATGCCTGTACAGTACTTGGTATTGGGGGCCGAGACGCAAAGCTCTCATCAAGTCAAGATGCCTTCGCTCCTAATACGGGTACGAACTGCGCACATAAACAAAAACACATATAAATAAAAACTTGCACCTCCGAAAAAGGAGAATGTCGTCCGAGAGAGGGGCCGGTGGCATGTAGTGTACTTTAGTAGCCGTCCTCCAGATCTGCAGCCTCGCGGTCTAGAAAAGCCTGAGGAAGGCTTGGATGCACGTCGCTTGGGTCTATCAACGCATTGGCCTGCTTTTAGGGAGTCCAAGGCTTGCCCGTAATGCAGGGACACACACAGACAGGCGCACAAAGGAGAGAGAGAATGATGAATAAGAAAGCGTGGCGGCTACGAGGCGATTCATGTCACATCCAGCCCATGAACGCGTGGTGTCACCGGTGACACGCCGTTGGCCATTCTACTCACACGAACTAAGGTGAGGACGACTTGAGTCGGAGCATTTCCAGGTACAAGCGCCAAGGGGCCGAGGGCCTCTGTCGAAAGGGCCGTGTCTCACTTCTGCGAACATGTGCCTACACCGTGTATGGGCTGACGAGAGACAGAGAGCGAGAAGGCTTTGTCCATGTACGAGTATTCAGTTGGATGCTTACAGGAATGCTCCGGGCAGGATTCCGGTTACATTGTGCTCGGCCAGAACCGGACTGCCTGTTCAAGATGAAGTCTTTCTGTTAGTTGGTGACTGATTTGGTATGGATTTCATATCCAATAATGAGAGGCACGATCATTTCAGTGTTGCGCCACGACCCAATATCATAACTACATGTGCCTCTACCTCTACCTCAAGCACATTTGTCGCAATGTATTATTGCGTTAGACGAGATGGGATGGGATGGATGCAAAATAGGTATCATCCCAACTATTGAAACGGCTGCTAGCACCAAGCACGGGCTCGCCTTCACTCCAGCCCAGCTGCAAGAGAGTCTCCATCCTTGTGCCAGTAGTTCCGCATGGCCGGTATTGTATCCAGTGGCCAGGGCCTTGCTTCTCCCCTTGCATCAGGGCTGCAGCGGCTGCAACTCCGATGTCTCTCTTTTTCCTCCACTATTCCAATAGACCGCGGTTCCGGCAGCAACCCCCTGACAGAATTGGATCTTCTTTGCTTTTTATTCTCCTCCCCGCGGCTTAAAATAACAAAAGCAATAGAGAAAATTTTCACATAGAGCCCCTCGTGTTTCTTTTCTTGTGAGACGGAACAAGCGCGAAGTGACCCGTGCGAGAGACGCCCCCCGGGGAATCATCCCGCCGCATGTCTGAGCTGCATGTCATCGGGGGCGCCTGGGGGAAGCGTCCAAAGCTGACATTATCAAAGGCCATCCCACCGTTGCACAAGGCGCTTCAGGTGTGTACAGTACTCGTACCTGGGGAACTTGAGCATTTGCATTGCACACTACACTCGTGCGTGGTGTGCCTGCCTGGGCCTTTCCGCTGTGGCGTTGCTTAGGGACACTGACTTGTCATCCATCCTGTTGTGCCTGAGATGGTGGCGATATTTCCCTTCTCTTAATGTTGGTGGAGTGGGGATTTATAGGAGCTGGATCAGGAGCTTCGAAAGGCGGACAGAACAAGACGTGAGCAATACATTACAGCTCCGGCAAGGCTAGACTTGTTCGCCCCCCTATCTTGCTTCTCCCGATCGAAGCTATCCCATGATGGTACCTGCAGCACTGAGTACTACATGTATAACCAGCACCATCAGCTTCTTCGACAGGTAAAACAGGCTTCATCGAGTCATTCGTCAGAAGCAGTGACCCGTTTGACAGCCGTCGGGCGCCGCTCTGCGTTGAACGTGCCAGCCAAATCGCCATTGTGCCTTGTACAGCCCAGGTCAGCGTGGCAATGAAGCAGATAGACGCCTTAGCATCAAGAGCGCGGGAATCCATCCATGATCCCTTTTAGTGGAGTGCCTCTTTGTTGAGACTCCGGGATGGCCTGCCGACATGGGACGGGACATGAGCCCTGCCACTGAAATACCATTGACATCGGTCTTGATACTACCAGGCGCTGTTCCGATGCCCCTATCTGGCTCCAGCGTCTTTTTTTTGTCGTAGATCTGGTGTCTTGTGGCCTGAGCATTGGACTATGCAAAAGGTCGGCAGCTTTGGCCTCAGTCACACCAGTTGATAAGCCGATTGCGTGGGTTTTACATTGTAGGCGCTTTCGCGTTGAGCGTGACGGATAGCCACTCATCTCGTATCAGATGCGAGCACTTTAGACGATGGAGAAGCCCATTTCAGGCGAGCCCCGAACAATGCCTGTACCTGTTAATTACAAGGTAGCAGCAGCAAGTCTATCGCACCCGCACGTGTGTATCAATCTCGGTATTCGGGACATGGGGCAGCGGTTAAACACGACCTTGTCGACTGTTGCAGTAAATTACGAGTATTGATGTCTGGTGCTTTTCAACCTTGTGGTTGGGCGGGCAATTCACATGCTTGGAGAGGGAACCTGGCGCATGTGCCTTTGATGAAACAAGCCCATGGTTAGAAGAGTATGCGGCATTACGGTGAAAATGTTTGCATAAACGAGACATAGTTTGGCGCAGTCCGTACGAATTATGCGAATTGCCATTGAGTTTTGAAACAATCTTCGGTGCGACATCATTTACATCAGCGCTCCAGTTGTAGGGTAGATCAACACCATTCAGTCTTCCAAACGCCAAAAATTGGCATGTATAGACATAGCTGGGATATCGGGTGAATTTAGTTTCCAAGAAGCATATTGAAGGCTCTTTTGCGGTAAAAAAAAAAAAAAAAAAAAAAATTACTAGATCTTGTTGCGCCGCTTGCACAGCTCCTGGGTACTCGTAGCTTCCCGTTGGTAGGTGTGAGACTTCTCCTATCGTTACAATGTGTACATAAGTGGTAAGGACATTAAGACAAATGATATTGACCTGTTAACATATCGTTGATATCGACCTGACTATATTGGTTATACAAAGACACAAAAAGCCAAGAATCAGCATTTAGGCACCTGGTCGTTTGCCTCTCTCGTGACCAACCTGCCCTTTAGTGAATGTAGGCTCTCATATGCATTCACTGGCGAATATAGTTGCACCACAAATCTCAACTCTGCTCGCCTTAATTCACTTGGGGATTTCTGCAACTTTAGATGAAAAGTGACACAATAATGGAATGTCATGTGCATCTCCCTCACCTCGGATATTGGCACATTGAGTCATTGTGTTGAGCCACCTGCAGCCAGCCGTTGATATAACAATAGCAGACCTGTTATCGAGATATGCCAGCTGCCGTTTGCAAATCTAGATGCCTGAATTTGACGGCTTCTTGAGAGCGAGGAACGATAGAAAGAGCGATTGCGACCGACTTTGGCTCTTGCTGTGAATCAAAGCAGCGCCTATAAAGTACAATCTCCTCTTCCACCTCCGCCTCTCCTCCTTCTTCTTCCAACCTCTGCACACTCCCTTTTATCTTCTTCGTAGGGACTCAAATTTATCCTGAGCAGTGCACAACTATCTCGTTTCCTTTTCCTTGATAGTGCAAATTAAGAGAGTCACTCACGAACCATGGCCAACAGAAGGGAGAACGCCAACTTTAACATGTGAGTTGACCGCCAGCTCGTTCCCAGCCCATCTCCTTGCAGTCTTTTCTCCTTTTGATACAACTCTTTATTTGAGCCTCCACACCTCTCCCCTTCTTGCTCACTCATATTAGAGGTGTAAATGCTGACTGATGTGTTCTAGGGCGAGCTTTCCAACGAGGTACGAATACGCAATCCAACTCCCGTCCCTTTCTCCATCGCCTTGTATCACTTGATTTGACCCATATCACCAGATTTCGATGCAAAGTCGGCGGAGAATGGAAGCCCCTCGAGGAATTTTCCAAGAATCAACAACGCCTCGCTCTAAGCAGCCAGACTGGCCGATCTCGCATCAATGCAGCCAACTCGGGAATGACTTGCCGAGAGCACTCGGCTGGCCAGCGCACAGAGATGACGTGCGAGTTGTGCGGCCTTGTTAAGCCTTTGTCTGAGTTTAGCGGCAATACCAAGAGAAGTGGTAGTATTGTATGGTGGCCCCCTCTCAACCTAACGATACATTGCGTAGAAGCTAGCTGACCTGTCCAAAGAGCTGCAAGAGATGCACTGCTTGGGTTGAAACCCAGGAGCCAGAGGTTGTACCTGCACCTCTTGAGACTGGCCACATCTCGATCGAAGAGGAGCGTGGAGAAGCGTGGCCCGCTAGGTTTATCGACAGCACTGATTTCTTCTCTGACGATGCCTATCCTCAGGTACGTAATAGTTTGGCCCATCGAATAGTCGCGTATACTGACTACACACTAGGCTCCTGTTACTGGATATTCATCGCTTGGCTTGGAAGATGGCGAAGTGGCCTCCATTATGGACGGAAGTGCTCCTTCCGAGTACTCTGCCTCCGAGGCGTCGTCGAGCCGGGCACTTCCTCCCCATTTGCGAGGCTCCATTGGCCAAGACAGACGCTCTCTGGCCTCTTCAACTGATGGACGAAGTGCGTCCAATAAGTCCTCGTTTGTACAGCACTTGCCTCCTCACCTACGACCTCTGGTGCAGCAAGGCCTCTCCATGGACGCTCCGTCCGATGCCGCCAGTAGCGAATTTGGTGAAAACCCAAGCAGCATTTCGACAGCTACAACAGCAAGGGAGGCACGATTCGAGAAGAAAGCACGTCGAGTGTCTTTTAATGCTTGGGATCCAAATGGAATACAGCATCGAGGCTTCAGATCGACCACGGAAAGCTCGGCCATAGGAACCTCGGAGGCGGAAGAGGAAGAAGACAGTGTGCCAAACCCGCCAAGCCAGACTAGAGGCAAATGGCCAAAGATTGTATGTCGTTTTGTACTCTCACATCATATTCAATCTGTCAACTGACCATGTCTTAGGTACGCATGTCCCAGCAGGAGTTGCGCCAGGTCGGCACGAACCACCATGTTGCGGCTCGAGATCCTGGCCCTGTGAATCATCGCCCCGTGCAGCATGACGCGACCAAGTGCTGCGAGCCGGACGATGAAGATGGCGAGGACTACTAGTGTAGGCGCGGGGATATTGATATTGACCCCGAGGAAGACATCTTTTGCTTTTGATTCTTGCATTTTGTTCATTTCAGTTTAGCTATGAGCCCATATCGGGGAGACACGCCACGCCGGGGACATATTCGCAATGGTTTTTAGATTTAGTCTAAAAATTGATGATGTGGATGATATACATTTCGTTTCCACTCCCAGCATCCAAACGGCGGCTGAAAAGCCTCTGCTTGGTGGATGTTGTAAAAAATGCATCCCAGTCCCGTTCCTTAATCGCCAACACCCGACGACCTACTTATGCTGTTGCAAGCATCCCAAATTGTACTTTACACTTGTACATCAAAACACGTCTCCTTTTTTGCCTGTTCCTCTGTGTTTGAAACACTTCTTGAGGCTCTCCTTTGACCGAAAAGAAGCCCCCTTGATAAAAAGTCCTCCGTGAAAATCCTAACATTGTTTTAATGTTGTCCTGTCATATCCAATATAATAAACATGATGATTCGTGAGATAGTTTCTCTCATAGCTTGAGAGAAGCCGTGAGTTTGTTGTTGTGAACCTTGTGTGGTTGCTGCTGGTGTTATGCTTTGTAGATTCTACAATGCTTTGTGAAATAGTGATACTGGCTTCTGCTTCACTACACCTGTGCATATAGCCGTTTTTCGTATGATTACTCCACATTGTAATGCTCCTTTTTTTGTGTTGTTATATGTATTCGTGATTTTTCTTCTTCCTTTTCTTACAGCTGCTTGTCGTCCTTGTGGAGGAAGCTGCTCGGAGGCGCATTCACCACCGCCTCTGCGTCCCCGACCTGCCGGCGCTCAGTGACCTCGCGCTTGCTGTTGCTCTTGAGCTTGCTGCGGATGCTGAGGGCCGAGGGGGCTTTAGCGTGGGCGGTGCTTAATTGCTATTGGAGGGGTTCTGAGGAGGAGGAGAGGCGGTTGAGGTGGAGGTAGACGTCGGTGCCGTAGCTGGAGAGGGAGATAAGGGGTCAGTATTGAAGAACACTCAAGACTAAGGGAGTTTCAATGAGGGAGGGAGAGGGATTGGGTTCCCCGTCTCAGAGAATGGAAAACATACCCTTCCATGCTGATGAGTTTCAAGTCGCCGCCAAAGTAGCGGGCGTACAGTCTTGATATGGGCAGGCCGTAACCGAAGCCGGCCATGGGAGCCTTGAAATCGCTCTTGTCAAAGTCCGGGTCGAGGTTGGGCGTGCGGTCGACGGTGGTGTACATGTAGGTCCAGACCAAGGGGATGGCGCTTCGCGGGATGCCGCCGCCCTCGTCGGAGATCTTGATGGTAATGTCCTCTTTGCCCTCGGCGACAATGACCTTTGTGACGGGGAACTCCTGCTTGTCCATGCCGTGGGTCTCGACGACGGCGCGCAGCGAGTTCTTGAGCGTCTCGAAGAGCATGTGCGACAGGTGACCCGGGACGTACATGAAGTCGAGGTTGGGGTTGCAGACGAGCTGGATGCGGGGCGCCTCGAACAGGCCGTAGTGGTCCTCGCAGACGAAGCGGGCGTTCTCGATGGCCTCCTGGGCCAGCTCCTTGACGTTTGTCTTTGTGCAGATGACGCCGACGTAGGTTGGGTCGCGGTGGTGGCTCTGGTCCGTCAGGGCAATGTGCTGGCCGATGAGCATGCGGATGCCGATGCGCGACATGTAGAAGCGGTCGAGGAAGGACTGGATGTTGGAGTCGATCTGCATGCGCTGGCGCCGCCGCTTGTACTCGAGGATGCCCTGGGCCATAGTGGTGACGACGCTGTCGTGCCGCCGCTTGATCTTGTGCAGGCACTGGGCGAACTTTTGGTTGTAGAGCTGCAGCTCGGGCGGCCAGTCGCCCGTGTCGTCGACCGTGGCGAAATATCTCCGCGCAACGGACCGAGCCTTGCCGTGGCCGTTTGATGATGATGTGCTATTGCCGTTGCTGTGACCGTTGCCGTTGAGGTGCAGGCGGCCCCAGCCCGAGGCCTCGCCCTCGTCGATGGACGGGTTCGGCGTCGACTCGGAGAGCTGCGCATAGCCGCCGCGGCTGCCAAACTTGGCGGGTTTCATGAGGCGCTCCTTGATGTCTTTGGCGAGGCGCGGTCGAGGGAGCTGGGTGATTTCCTGTGTGGGAGAGGGAGGGGTTAGTTTGGGGATATCAATGGATAGCTAACATTTGCTCGTCATGTCATGTCATGGGCTTGTGACGTACCTCAAAGGACTGAGCATACCAGTCCTTGACCTTTTTCACAGAGGGCATGTCGTTGAGGCCGTCGGGCAGCAGCTCCAGCTCCTCAACGCGGTGCGCCAGGCGGATTGGCAGCTCCTCGGCCAGGAATTGTGAGGCGCGGAAGAGGGTTCCTAGAAGAGGGCCATGATGTCAGCGTCTCTCGCCATACACTTGCTTGCTGTTGGTTCCATATTCCGGTTTTCCCGCTCTTGTTTTCTTTTTTCTTTTTTCTTCCTTTTCACAAAATCGGCGCGCGCAGCAGCCAATTCAAGCACAACGCACCTGTGGACGGCTTATCGCCAAACTGCACCATCTGGCGCAAGCTCACGCCAGTTGCCGGGAACCTGGCGTAGTGCCGGATGGTGTCCATCAGGGTCTCGGACGCCCGCCATGACATGATGGGCGCTCGTCCCCCAAGAAGGGTAGAGGTAGAGGTGGGATTGTTTGGGGCGAGATTGGAGGAGTTTGCGCACTCCCGCAGCGGTCAATGGCGGTTCGAGGCGAGGCAGCGCGGGCGGGAGGAGGCAGAGAGAGGCGATGGGAGGAGCCGAAACGAAGCAGGATTATTACGGAGGATTGGACAGGCGAATAGTCAGACAAGCAAGACAGTGCAAAGGGCCGGCGCAAGGGAGAACCAGAACAGCACAGGATAAGCTGAGGGGCTCAAAAAAAGAAGATTGAACTTCAGCTGCTTAGACCAGTCTCGTCATCGGCACGTGTAAGATGAGAAATTGGGATGATTAAAGCAGGTCGAGGCGCTTCTGACTCAAAAGTGGCGAGCGATTGCGGCCCCGCGGAAGCTGCTAAGGTTAAATGGCTGTAGCCGAGGATGTGCGGACGGAGCATCGAGAGCCGGAGCAAGGACAGGAAGCTTGGAGGGGATCTGGGCCGGGCTGCGGCACGTGGGCATTTATATCTTTTCTTTTTCTTTCTTCATCTAAATTGAAGCTCTAACAATTACTAGTTTCGTCCAGGGCATGGGGGTCTCCTCTTCCTTAACCCCCCAGCCCAGCAAGAGAAGAGGCTCTCAGGCTCTCCGACGATGTGACGTCGTGGTCATGCTTCAATGCTCGTGCTCATGCCCATCACAGTCGCGTGAACGGAGCTCACCCAGAAACGGCGGGTTTCGGGGTCCGGGTGCCCCCACTCTGGGCAAACGGCGGTGGTGGCTAGGGGGGATTCATTGAGCTGTTAGTGGACGAGGGGGGCACTTAGGTCAGTGAGTTAGGGGGCCTCAACTGGGCTTTGCCGGCGGTCCAGGCGGCTAATACGCTATACGGAGCCCGTACTATCCATTCCATGTTACTGTAGATGCCCGTATCAATTGAAGCTCAAGGCACGGAGCTGAATCTTGATGGATTGTTTCTCGAGGGAATCATCACTCCATCCCATGGATCCCAGGCAAGATAAGATGTGGACTAGGGGGCAAACATCTCGATCAATGCCACTTCTCATGTCATGGCTGGAGCCACAATCCACCGGCCATCAGCCAATGCAGCGGTACTTGCATCGCATCTCATCTCGTCTGGCTCCCCTTTACGCTGCGTCTATGTAGGTAGGTACATGGTAGCAGGGATCAGCATCTTTAACAACATACCAAAACAACTACTGTGTACGACTACAGTATCGTTGTTGTCTGTTTGTCTGCTTCATGTGTTCTTACTAACTAACAATGACCGTTTACCCAATTCGTTCCGTTGCTTCGGGCTGAGGGATCGAGTCCTTCCAACTGCCGCCAGTCCTGCCAAAATAGGCCACGGACAAACGGGAGAGCCCGCACATGCAGTGCAGTGACATCGGATGTGCCTGGAATATTGACAGCTGCCAGGTACCTCACCGAGTACGCCTATCGCCTGTGCTAATTACCTAAAATCGAGATGAAGCTGCATTAGGTATCCGGTTATTGGGACGCAACTTGCAACAGTACTAGGCATGATTGATAAAGATGGCATGACCTGAAGAAAAAAAAGAGAAGAAAAAAACTTGTCGCGGCTGGTCAGCCCACCAGTTCCATTGAAATCTGTGCGTACATTGATCGTATCTGGCGGCCCTTACCTCAGCTCCCGCCACCAGTAAGGGGGTATGTAGTCAGAATCCATGGCTCGGAGAATTAATTTTTCATTTATTTCTATTTTCTCTCTATTCGCATATCCCACGTACCTTACGATCTGATCCGACCAGGCTCGGACGGCCATCCATCGTCATCTATCATAAACAGATCCAAGGGACTCCCCTGGCAGACACATGATTGTCGTCTGGAAGGTGGTATGGAACGGAAAGAAAGAATCTGCTGCAGGTGGCCAGTTGGACCAGATCGGATCCATATTTTCGCGTGGCCGAAAGCATCAATTATATTAGATGGTGCTATTACTAACCTCTGGGCATAGACTATGAAGCTCTCAGCTATGGCTTCTGTTAGTATGATTCGAACTAATACTGCTTGCTATTGAAGCTGTTTCATTGGACGACGGATCATTCATTCCCCGATGCACGACAGCGGTGCTAATGTAAGTTTGTACGAGCAGGCGTCGACATCAGCACCAGCATAAGCCATCCCGCCTCTGCCGCACCGCAGCACAGCGACAAACAAACAAGCGGTGTTGAGAGTTGAGCCAAGGCAAGGCAAGACAAGGCACCAAGGGTCTGGCGAGTCCCCCAATCCGTTACTCGTTACGCTCGAGCTACTGCACCGTCATTCTCCATTCTCCACGGTGGCCCAGGGGAGGCGGTCTCTAGTCGCACCTGTTCCGTCTGCAAAGGCTTCGCTTCCATGTGCGGGCATAGGGGGGCTTCATGCGGCCACCTGCTGCGACACGACATCACTTGAAGATGCCCCATTTTCGATAAGGGGAGGGGGAGGGGGAGGGGCGTCGGTGTAGAATCGACTGTTTTCAACGGTATCTCGAAGTGGTGACTGCTGTGTAAGAGTAAGAATCGATGCTCGTTGGAATCTGGCAGCCTGACTCTGGCACACGGCTGAGCGTTTGGGTGGTGTTTGTACCCAACTCATACAACTCATAAGACAACTGCTGCCGATACGAGCAAGGCAGGGAAAAGGTACAGTACCATCAGCCATGATTTCCGCAATCTTGAACCAATTAATGGCACACACGGGCACTAAGCCCCTCGCATGGCATCGCGATGAATGGCTGATGGACTGCATGGTGGCTTGGGCGAGCGGCTCGCCTCGTCCAGTCAGGGGCGGCCAGCCTTTGCAGACCGGATTTCTAATGGCCTCGCGCGTTTGTGTGTGTGTCTGTGTGTGTGCTTGTTGTGTCTGTGAGTAAGCATCACGTATCATGTATCATCTATCGACCATGTACCCAAGGTCACGATAATGTCCATGCTGGTGCTTTTCCCAGGCCGCAAAAGACGCCTCTTGAGGGGAACCCGGCAAGCGTAGAGGTGAAGAAGGTACATGTAGAGGTAGAGAAGAAGAAAATAGGGTGGCGGGCAGATCAGACGGACGGCGTGCTGGTGCCTATTGATTTTCTTAGTCCTTTCCGTCTTCATCTTCTTTTTCCATTCACGCTTCTCCTTTTTTTCTGTTCTCTCTTTCAATCTCTTTTCTGCCATTGTACTTCATCCGTCGTTATAAAGCCGGTGATTCTTCACCAGCACAGCATCATCATCATCAGTCTTACGCCAACATGCCTACATACGCTGCAGACACGTCCGAGGCGCTGCTTTAATGCAATGCATGCAAACGTCACATGGCTGCCTCTTGTCTCTGCCTCTGCTTCGGTATCGGTCCAACCAAGCGTCATCATGTTGCTTATGAAGCAGCCTGCCAATGGCCGAGCCGAGCATCTCCAGCCCAGCCCAGGCACTACATTGGATCAAATCACGGCCACACCCACGACTTCGCCGTTCTAATGCGCGATTATACTTATAGGCGCCTTGAGCTGGCCTCTCATCGTCCGACGTGTGGCGCGAGTGGCGGTGCGAACCGGTTGCGAACCAGTCCGAGCGCGAAACCTGGCAGCGCAGCTTAATTAATTTGGCTTTGGGTTTGGCCGGGGAAAACCTAAGACTGGGACTAAGATCAAAGTAACACACACAAAAACATGGAGTGATGACTTGTCAAATCCCGGCCAAAGTTGTCGTGTTCCAAGGGTTGGTGTTGTGCTCGGAGCTACGGGGCCCCATTGATCCGCCCACCACAACAGCCCAGGCGCTGACATTGAACTGCTGTACTGGTACTACTGGCACCGCTGGACTGCTGCTCAGGTACTGGACCTGCACCAGCCAATGCCAGCCAAACTCGTCCCCAAAAATCCTGCTGCCACTCTTCCATAATAAGGGAGAGGCTAAGGGTAAGGTAGTCACCGAACCGCCAGCTTTTGGGCATTGCCAATGGGCTTTCCATCCTCATCCTCATCGCCATCGTCCACCGCCGCGCCCCTCGATTCCGACCAGTTTCTGCACCTGCGCCCGTCTGGCGTCCCGGTGACGCGTGCCGAGGGGAGCGCCGACAATTAAGGAAGACAGAAAAAAACAAGGAGAGGGGGCTTCGAACAGCGCGGGACACCGACAGACAGACAGACAGACAGACAGACAGACAGCAGGACGACGTGGTTTGCCGCCTGATTGAATATCCCCTTTCTCCTCTCGCATTTTCCATTTTTGATCGTGTTTTCGGGCGTCGTTGGGACGGCAGAGTCGAGCAAGTCCAGCCTCAAGAGTCAAGTCACTAGAGAGAGTCATCGCACCACACCACAACCACACTACAGTCAATTACCACAACCACCATCGCAATGGGTCGACGGGACAACGACGACGACAAGCCCACCGGCCTCGAGGCCCTGCGGCGACGCAGCTCCAGCAATCGCACCAGCCCCAGCGGATTGAATCGCAGAATCAGCAGCCAGAGCACCCGCACCACCAGCAGCACCACCAGGCGAGAAAGCCTCGCCGGATCCGAGACGCCGCCGCCGCTCATGCGGTCCAGCCCCAGCGTCGGCTCCTCCAGCTACGGGTTTTCGGCGGGAAGCAGCGTGCTGAGCCCCCTGCGAAGGGAGGTTGATTTTACTCGCAGCCGTGATGGAGGCGACATTAGGGCCGGCAAGCTGGAGCTGGCTAGGCGCTTGAGCATGCTCGCCCAGCGCCTGACGTACGGTGACAGCATGGAGGAGCTGGTTGCGCTCGACAGCCAAGTCAATCAGATTGAGCAAGCCCTGGGTGGCGGCATCAGCCCGAGCGTCTATGGGAGCCCGCCGCTGTCGCGAAAGACTCGCCCGCTGAGTCTGGAGACGCCCGTCCGCAAGAACAGGCACAGCGACATGGACGGCAGCGCCATTTTCAGCTCACCGTCGTCTCTCTTCCGAACCCGCTTCGCCGACCAATTGTCCCCCACTCCCTCATCCCCAATGATGCGTCACGATGAATCGGAGGAGGAGGAGGACGCTCCCCCGCCCAAGAAGGGAATAACGGCGGTGCAAGCCAACAAGATCATTGGCGAGTTGGTCAAGCTGAATGAAGAGCTGGAAAACACCGTCACCAATCTCAAAGCCCGCCAAGAAGAGTCGGAAGTGAGTAGCCTTTTTTCATTTCACTTTATTTTATTTTATTTCATTTTTCATTTCACTTTCATCACTACCAATGTTCTCATTCAATTCATCTGCATGGTATCGCTAACAGACATTTTGTGCAGCACATTCATAGGTTGTTAGTGGATCGTGCTGAGCAGGCTGCCCAACGCATCATTTTTCTCCAGAACCGCATCCAGTATTTGTAAGTGGTCTCTTCCATTCTTATCCTCGCCTCCATCTTTTACATGATTGCAAACCCCTTTCATCACCTTCTTGCGTCAGTTTACTTACACTCTGACAGGGAAGAAGAGCTGCAAGCGAATGATGACGAACTGACGCATCTCCGCGTCTGCCTCAAAGCAGTCGAGATCCAGCTGCCGCCACACCCAGACAAAGAACTGCAGCGATGCTTTGCTGTTTTCAAAGAAGGCTACAGGGCTATTAAGAAGAAGCGCGCCATGCGATCTAATATGGTTAGCTACTTGGGTTACGATTCTTCAATAGCTGCCTCTTCGTCAGCGAGATCAGCGAGATGACCGACGCCGACGACCGCGTGAGCATGAATGTTTTTTTACACCACTGCCGCGGCTGCCGGTGGGACTGGAGTCGCCCGCCATAGGAGCATTACGGGATAAACGATGTCGAGGAGGAATTTTTACGACGATATGCACGGCAACGGTGTTTTATTGGATGAAACGGAATGATACACGGGGGAAACGACGGCGCTCTTCCACCACGCCATGATTCACGAAACCTTTTTCTTTCCTTTCTGGTTCACGCATCTATTTTTGCCTTGACCGATTGATTATTTCCCCTGTCTCTTTTTTTCTCTTTTGTGCAGGGAAATTCGACACAAACCGAAAAAAAATCCAAAAATCACGATGCCCCATCTTTTCGACTGGGCATCAACGCATTTACCCCGTGGCCCAAGCAAAGCGAGCGAGCATACAACGAGCATACAGACTGATTGAATTGCGATCCATTCTTTGATCCATTCTCTTTTTTTATTTGCGGTAATCTCCCCGGAAGAATGCAAAAACGATGGGAGTCTAGTTTTACGGATGAAACAACAAAAACTTTCACACGAGCGATATCTTGATACGCCGTCCTTCGTTTCTTCTTCTTTTTCTTACTCGAGATTCACGCTCTGCGACTTTTCCTTCAGAGCGGCTAGTGAGATTTCTTACATCTCTATCATCTTCTTATTACTATTTCTACAATCCTTTCTTGTTGAGGGAGGCTCACCCTGGTTGTATTAGCAGCCATGGTGAGCATTTCCTCGGCTTGATGAAAAGTAGCACAAACTGGGCAGGCATAGTGATGGGCGCAAGGCTGTTTATTCCCAAGGTCGTTTTTGCTTTTTTTTTTTTTTTTTTTTTTTAAACTTCCCGTATTATCATTTTTATTTTTGTATCTAGTGCGGCTTGTGCTTTTTGGTCTTTTTTTTTTTCTTTTTACTATTATTACACATGGGCTACGCATCAACAAAGTGTTTGTGTCTGCGGGCAGAATATGAAATTTTCTTATTTTTTTTTTTTTCTTTTGCGGCGGTTTTATAAGTCGTTTTTTTACATATTACACATCCACACATATTGCTGAGGATTCTTTTTGTGAACTTTATCTTTATTTTTTGGGTAGAGAGGCAAGGGAAGGAAGATGAATGAGAAATTTAATTACGTCGTACTTTATGAGAGTTCGTTGGTGAGAAGAAGATGGGAATATTTAGTAGGGGAGAATGACAATGGTCAAAAACAGGAGGAGAAAAAGCAGCTTTAGAGTATCCGAATCCCGGAAATTTCCAGTTGAATTTTCATATTGTTTTTTTTTTTTACGTTTTTGACTAATTATACCTATCTAACTAAATGAATAAGACCATGTGGCTATTTGGATGCTTATTTCAATCTTTGAGCCTGTCCGTCCGTGAGAAACCCGATGTTTGTGACTGATCAATCTCTCTTACACACACTCGCCTGTCATTAATTACCAGGCCATCCATCATGTCGCTTCTCCCCCCTTTCTCCCCCCCCCTTCCCCTGATATCATCTCGCTTCATGCGTTTCTTCATAACAAAGGAAGAAAAAAATAAAATATAAATAATTAGTTGCTTCCCCTTCTCTCCCTCTCCCTTCGTCTCTCATCGCCTCTACCAGAAGCATACCGCTGCTCCGTCGAGTCCGGGCTCGAGGCCCTATATCTTCGACTCTTATGATGTCGGCGCGGGGACCTCTCCCTCTCCGACCGGCGAGAGGACCTATCTGAGGTGCGATGGCGGGACTCTCTATCGCGAGAACGAGAGGAGCGGTGCTTGGAGGATGATGATGAGGAGCCGGAGGAAGAGGAGGATGTTGATTGTTGATCGTGCGCGGGCTTTACGTCCACAGGCGCTGCGGAGGAGACGGTTGAGAAGGAGGATGTGGGTGAGGCGGGGGAGGATGGGTATATTAGTGAAGATGGGCGGAGACGGGTCTGGTCGAGGATGTAGGAGGCGTCTTTGTGGCGGCGGGTGTCTTCTTTGAGGGCCTTGCTTGCTGCGGGGGGGAGTTGGTGGATGGAGGAGGGGATGCTGGGGGAGTATGTGTGGACCGGTGGATGAGAAGAAGAAGAAGAAGCAGCAACGGCTTCAGGAGGCACGATGACGGCAGTAATAGTGTTCCACTCCGCAAACGACGAGGCAAGCAGATCAAAGACCCTAGGATGGCCTCGTTCAGGGAACAGTTCGCGAGGGAGTTCACGAGGCAAGAGTCTCTCCGCGGCGGGAAGACGCTGGTGCCTGTCGTCTGCGATGAGCGGGATGTCTGCGAGGACGAGGTCGAGCCGTTTGGCCTCGCGGTCGGGAAAGGCGCGGACCATGAGGGTCATCCAGTCCTGGAAGCCGGCGGGGGTGAGGGCCGGGATGCAAGGTTTGGAGTCGATGGTTGGTTGGACGAGGTGGTGCTCGCAGCGGAGGTCGGAGAAGAGGAAGGAGATGCCGCGGAGGGATTTGTGGTAGCGGGTGTCGAAGACGCCTGTGTTGTTGAAGTTAGTTTGTGTTGGTTGAGGTGAGGATGGGGGGATGAGAAAGGGGGAGACGTTACGTTGGAAGGGAAAGAATTCGTTGTCGAGCTTGTAGCGGGAGTAAAACTTTAACAGCTTGTCAGGGGTGATGACGAGGGAGTCTGTTGGGGAGTACTCGGCAATCTACAGGTTCATCTATATTAACATCATGGACAAGGAAAAGGGGGGAAGAAGTGTCAATGGCTTACAATGTGGTTTGCCAGGCCGCGGAGGAACCGGCCCAAAGCAGGCGTCGGCTCATCCCTCTCATTAAACAGCAACGACCATGCAGGTCCCTGTCTCTCAGGCGCAGGAGGCCTCAAGTGCGTAGGCAAAGAGTGAGTCCGATGCAGCTCCGGCTCGGGTTCCAGCTCAGGTTCGGGTTCAGGAGGCTCGGTGACGACCTCATAGTGGATGACTGGCGGCTGCTTCTCTGCAAAGCGGACGGTTGGACGCGGGGTGGGAGAGTCCGATGAGACGGAGCTTGGAGGGGTGGGGAGGGAGTCTTTGGATGAGGTAGAGGAGGAGGAGTCTTCTGAGGAGTTGGAGAGCTGGGATTCAGTGCGGGTGAGAGGCTGGGTGTCGTCGATGGAGACTGTTGGGGTGAAGCCGTACTCGAAATCTGAGGGTTCGTCTTCGTCTTCGGGGTAGTCTTCTACTGTGGGCTGATATCGCTTCATGGATTCTTTTGATGAAGACTCGTCGGATGGGGATTGTGATGAGTGGTGGCTGTCATCTGAGACTGAGGCATCGTCACCGTGGTCTGCTCCATCATTGACTATATAATTGTCAGAATATTGAACATGATTCTCACAACGTTCTCATAAGAAGAGGGGTTTCACTGGTGTAGACTTACGTTCTCCCTTGACTTTGGCCACCAACTCATCCAACCACCGTGAATTCCACTCTTCCATGGCAAGTCCTCTAACGACATCCTCGACCTGCTTGTCCTTCATGTCGCTCTGTGAAGGTGAAGATGGAGTCTCGGCCTTGGTCATGACGTGTGACAGCACAGACTTGATGATATCCCTGTATGGAAACGACGAAGACGAAGACGACCTTGACGAGTGTCCTCTCCGGGAGGAAGCATCGTCTTTATCTTTCTCTCGACGGCTGTCTCTGTCTCTTCGATGCCGTGATGAGCTCGAGGGCATGGATGCACTGTCGAGCGTCTCGTCACCGCTGCGCGGCGTTGGCGAGGCTGTGTTTCCGTGTGCCGACGGCAGATGGCCGTGTAAGACGGTGGTATCGGCAGTCATTGTTTTAACGGCAACACGGCAGATTTTTTTTTTAAAAAAAATTCTCCTTTTGGCACTGTCCACAACAGCAATTGGAGTTACCGAGCACGGGAAACGTAGATTTTTATGTCTCCGGTTTTATCGTGCGATGCCGGTTGGTTGTGTTGTTTATCGTAAAGGTGTGAGGTGTGAGAAGAGTTTGTGAGATGGCGAGGAAGTGGCAATAAGAGGAGGATGAAGAGGAACACAGCGTATTAAGAGGCAAAAGAGGTGTTGCGTTTTTTGGCTTGTGAGAGATGAGAGGTGATTGACAGGTTTTGAGAGGGAAGGTTGTGAGGTTATGAGTATTTCAGCTCTGAGGCTTACACAAAAAGGCACGGGGATGCACAAACACAAGCACAAGCACAAGGGGTGTGTGTGGAAGGACAACGGGAAATTATATGAATTGATGAAGTGTCAAAAAAAAAAAAAAATTCAGATCAGGGTCCTTCGACGGGAAAGGGGCAGTGAAAAGAAAAAAAAAAAGCGCTGGTGGAGGGGGAACGAAATCCAAGGCGGCAACAAGGACGAGGGAGGCACAACATGATGACATCGCGGGCCTCTCATACAAGACTACGGCTATTTTTGCTTGGTGGGCTCGGAGCGAAAAACCGACGCCTGTAATGCTATGGCTATCTACGAGTACCTACTTGCTGCTGCTACTTGTACTGCCCACCCCTGGCCATTGGGGGGGAATGGAACAAGTGGACAGAGAACCCGGTTTGGTGCTTTGGCCACTTGGGTTTCGCTCGACATACGTGGTCCCCAGGCTTGGGTCGTTATTTTCCCGTATTGGAGACAGCTAAAGGAACAAGCACAAGCAAGCAAGGGTTTGAGGCGAATAATCCCAAAAAAGAATAGACACAAGAGCAGCAGCAAGGAGCAGGGTTGGCTAAACAGGTTGTTACAGGGGTGGGCCTGTTTCTGGCAACGGGGAGAAAAAAAGGCGTATCGCCGCGTTGCTTTTCGAGGTTGCCTTTTTTTTCTGTCTTTGCCTTTTCTTTGGGTGAGACAGGCAAGGGTGGGAACGACGGGGGTAGGGGACCCAGAAGATTTGCATCATGGGCTTTTGAAACGTGATGCGTGGAGGATCTGGGTTGGTTGGGCTGCTTCGTGGCGGGAGTTGGGCTGAGGTGCATGTGAGGTGATGTAAGTGACGAGAAATGCTTGATGAGTCAGGTGGAGAGAGGCGGATTGATGGGGTTTGATAGGATGGTTGGATGGGATGCTGGGGATTTTGTTTCAGGGCAGGATTATGTGCAGTGCTTGGATGGACGTGGACTGTTCTGTAGGTACATGATATTTGCTGTGCTGTGTGTTATATCAGATCAGACCATGGGCGGGCTGAGCTGTAGTATCTGATATCGTATGTAGGTAATGTACCTGCGGATGTGAGTCGACGCGTGTAAGTGAGGGAGACACAACACAGCTGTAAGGCATAAGGCAAGGCAAGTAAGCATCACAGCAGCAACACAACACAACACAATACAGCACAGCAACAGCAACAGCTCAGCACACGGCACGGCACAAAGAGAGAGAGGGATAGCCGGGATTTCCCCCTCCAATTGCTGCCTCCTCCTCCTCCTTCTCCTCGCATAAGAGAAGAAAACACACACAATCCCGTGCTGTAATCCAGAGCCCAGTAGCGAGAACGGGAATAGCTGCGTGTCCCGTCCACTCAAGGCCCTCGCCACATCTGCAAGCCTCACCACTGCTTGGCTCGCTCATGGCCCCCTCTCCCTCAGTCGGTCCCTCCTCTCCCCCCTGCTGAGAGCGTCCAAGCGTCCGTGATCAGTCCAAGCAGAGCAGAGGCCCAGCACTAGCTCCCAATCCGAGCCCAGCACCCTGTTTTTAGCTGGTGGAAAATGCAGCTGGTGTAACAATGAAGTAAGTCAGTCAGTCAGCCGGGCAAGTTCCTATTACACACATACTATCACGAGTACGAAGCTCCCTGCTATTCAGGCCGTGGTTGTCTCTGTTCGGGTATTTTTCTACCGTAGTCTAGTGGCCCTTTTGGGCTTTGGGTACGAACGGTGAGAGAATGAGCATTGACAAGGGTTTGGCTGGTTTGGGGACGAATGTCGTCATGGCGGTGGTTTGTTGCCTTGTTTTGGCCTTTTTGGCAGAGACGGCGCCTGTATAAGACGGGCTTAGTCTGTGATGGGCCTCCATGGTTGACGTGCCCGTATTCAGCACATTGGCATCATTGCGTACGAATTGGACGGATGATGCCGTTTATTAGCATCAATGCACCTCAATGCTATCATGAATGCCCTGTGCTATGCCCTGCATAATTCCTACAGTGCAGTGCCGTGCTGCAGTCAGGTAGGTAACCAGACAACCAGCCAGACAGAGGGACGGAAGAGATAGACAAGACAGACCACTTACACGGCATCATCACAACCCCCGTCATCCATGGATATCTTTTGCACATCTTTTTCCCCTCCTCAGCTAGCCACTTGGCAACCCAAACCAAACCCAAAAAGAACACCATCTATCAACTGCTAGTAGCCCAAACTTCGCCTTCGTTCCATTTCACATCAGCCCTCTTTTTGCCTCCCTTTAACCACCCGCCGATCGCCTCGTCCTCAGGCGACCACGTATGTAGGACCGCTTCGCCATCGTCGTCTGTCGTTCCTTTCGGGCATCGGCGGTGCAGCCACCCGCTTGCCGCTTTCCATCCCCCCTTTTTACATACTTCATCGTTCGTTCGTTTCGTTCGCCGCGGGCCGATGCACTGCCGCTGTATAATCAATCTTTCGTTCTAATGCGTGCATCGTTGCCGTGTTGAGATTGTCCTTGGATGTATGTAAAATGGGTGATGCTAATGCTAATGCTAGTCGGTACCTACTGGATGTTGTATGTACGACTACGTGGACCAGCCAACAACTGCCGATATGCCCTCCCAATTCCCCTTCTTAGTAGCTGTAGACCATACATAAGATTGGATGGGACATGCACATCACCAGAACATGAATGCAGCAGCATAATGCAGGACCAAAGAAGGGGGGCGAAAAACTACTCGCATTCGATAGTACAGTTCATGCATCCCGTTCGCCCTGCAAGGAGACGCCAACGCCAACAAGAACCAAAGCTGCTGCAAGCCATCACGCCGTCTGTAAACCATGGTATGTGTTTGCCAACAAGCCGAACAAATCAGTCACGCAGGCTCTCCCATGACAAATAATACAAGCTCATCGGGATCAACACTCTCGCGAGACAAGACAAAGACAAAGACAACAAGGCCAGCGAATAAAAGAGGGGCGGTGAAGCTACCAGACTGTAATGGAGCTGGGACGATGGACAGCAAAAGTGAGGCTGTCTTGTGTGTGCCGCTTTGATTGGACACGCTGCTTTTGACTTGTTTGCCTCCCCTCCTCTTCCTAACCCCGACGATGCTGTATTATGTGATGAGATTGCAGATGCATGTGATATGCGTTATACAGCGAGGCGTGTTTTTGGAACAAGGGCTCCTCCAAGGCGAGGCAGGGCGATGCCGATGCCAAGGGGGGTTGTTCAAATGGATACCTGCAGATAGTGGGAGATGCAGATGAGAATCAATCGATCGAACTGGAACTGGAGAACGCATGCATGTTGTCCAAGCTTTGTGGATTGTAATGTAATGTGTCTGTGTCTAGCAGGATGTATGTAGGCACCGTTCGTACAACCCGGCATCGACATGGCCGGTGCAAGTCATTCTCCCGTTTCCGTCTGCTGCTTTCCGAAGAATTCCAAAGCCATATCATCATATAAGAACCCAGTTCCATGGAGAGGGTCAAGGTACGTAAGATGGAGAATACAAAAAGAGAAGAAAAAAAGAGAGACAGCTAGATTCGAGATATTCCCCCAAATCATGCTACAGATAGAGAAGCAGTATACAGTAACCAACCCATCAATAGAAAAAAAAAAACTCCGTACGCACACAAAGCACACTCTTACAGCCAGCACGACAAGTCACAATCATACCTTGTACAGCAAATCGAGGAACCCTGTGGCCAGATCAACCACGACCCCCTTGTTCGGCAGCGATCCCGCCACGCCGTACAGCGCAGCCGAGTCGCCCATGGCCTTGCCCTTTGCCCCCTTGCCCTCCACCAGCCGGACCCTCTCCTTCTCGCGCTCCTCCTCCACCACCGTCTCCAGGTCGCTGACCAGCCGCTCCCACACCTTGACAATGGGCATCGTCACGGCTACGTGGATGGCCGGCGGGCTCTGCAGCGCGTTGAGGTGCCAGCCCTTGGATGACATGCCGTCGGCAATGTCGTACACGTCCAGGTTCTTGGCCGAAAAGGCCACCACCGAGACGAGCGGCTTGCCGAGCACCTCGAGCTCGCTGCTCAGCACGGGGCCGTTCTGAATCGCCTCGGTAATCTTCTTGGTCGCCCCCACAATCTTGCCGCAGGCGTCCACGTATCCCGTCTCGCCCAGCCGCATCATGCTGGCCCAGCAACCGGCTATCAGCGCTCCAGGCCGTGATCCCGCCAGCCCAGGCGAGGCGTAGACGCCGCCGGCCCAGTCGGGCGAGACAAAGTACTGGTACGACCGCAGCTCGGCAGACCGGTACAGCACTGTCGAGCTGCCCTTGGGCGCGAAGCCATACTTGTGCGTGTCGCAGCTGATGCTGGTGACGCCCTTGAGACGAAAGTCGAACGGCTGCGTCTCGAAGCCCGCCTTGTCGAGGCAGGCAATGACAAAGGAGCCGAGGCAGCAGTCCACATGCAGGCACAGCTTCTTGCGCAGCGCAAGCTTGCTCAGCGCCGAGATGTCGTCAATGATTCCGTGGGGGAAGTTGGGCGCGGAGCCCACCAGCAGCACCGTGTTGCGGTTGATGAGGCGGGCCACCCGGCGGACGTCTACTTGATACGTAGGAGCAGGGCAGTCTACGTAGTGAATCTTGATCTTGAAGTACTCGCCGGCCTTGCGGAAAGCCGTGTGCGCAGTAGCTGGCAGAATCCTATAAAAGTTTAGGGTATTAGTATTCGTAGTTTGCATCCGGTGTACTTGAACACGTTACGTTGAGTTACATGTGGGAAACAAACAAACACACAACTTACATCTCCGGCTCCGTAACTCCACGCTCGTTGTAAGCCTTTTGGCGCGCAGCCAGCACGGCCATGAGGATACTCTCGGTACCGCCCGACGTCGTCACGCCGGCAGCACCAACCGGGGCATGAAACAGGTTGAGCACCATGCTCACAATCTCAGCCTCCATCTTGCGCACGCCCGGGAAAACATCCGGGTGGATGGGGTTGGCCACGGTAAACTTGCCAAACGCCTCCGTCTGCAGCTTCAGCAGGTCGCCCTCGCCGTGATACACGGCGCCAGAGACGTAGCCGTCCTCCCAGCGGGTGTGATCCATGTTTGCTAGCGAGTCGAGCTCGGCGCGCACGGCTTCGTCCGTCAGGCCCTCCTTGGGGAGCGACAGGTATTTTGTCTGGCCGGCCGGCACCAGCTTGTTGGACATTTTGTCGAGCGATTCCTTGACCTTTTTCTGCACCTGGCCGCGCACGCCCGGAGCGCGCAGGAAGTAGCCATAGAGGGTTCGTTCGACGTCGCGGTACAGCTCAAGGATGGCGCCGATGATGCCGCGGCCCTTGAGCTTCCACCACAGGCGCCGGGTCCACCGGAGGACGAAGTAGAAGAAGATGATGTTTTTGAGGCTGTCGTGGGGGAAGCAGAGCGTCAGCGACAATCAATCCAATTCAATGCAATTGGCCTGTATTGACCAGCACAGTGAAATCACCGACTCACAGTTCGAGATTGAGCATGCTGAGCGACAGCGCCTGTTTCCGGCGCTTGACGCTCTCCAGACTGCCGCGGAGGCTCTGCGGAATGCGCGAGCTGCCCGGCATCGTGGCGGTTGTTCTTCCTTGTCGTCCTTTTTCCTTTTTCCTTTTCTTGAATTGTCGACTTCCTCACAGGCGCATGCAATCGCTGGAGCAGCAGGTCAATTCCTCCAAGCCAGCATTTCACCTGTTCAAAGAGGAGAAAATGATGAATGGAACAGCAGCAGATAGATGGAGGAGGAGGCAAGTTTTGGCTGTCTTGAGCAACAAAGTTGAAGCAACTTGCCACTAACACGAGCTACCTAAGACACAGGTACCATCGCCGCGAATCTACTGCGGCAGAGTACTTGTATCTAGCACCACCTGATAAAACCACAGCCGTCGAGCTATTCCACACATGATGCGTGCTTCCGGGAAAGAGCCAGCCTGCCACCTCGGCTTGCAACAACTAAAAACACAAAATACATGCACTGGGCCAATGACATGCTTCCAAAGGTGCCAGATGGTGTCTCGATGGGGGTTAGCGTGGCGAGTGGGCGCACCTTCACATGTCTGGGCGGGGAACTGCGCTAAACTGGGAGAGGAAGAGGGTGGAGGGCGTGAACCCGCGGACGCCGCGAATCCGGAGACGGAACCGGAGGAAATGATTGAATTGCAAGATGGACGACATGAGATGGTGGGAATTTTTGTGTTGTTGGGGCCGGAATTTGAAGGATACGATGGGGTAATTGTTGTTGCCATTGGTGTATTGAAAATACCGCATTGTCAAGGATCGATAGTGCAGGCGTGAAAGTGAGCTTGCCCTTCTATCATCATCAATGGATGACATGGAAATATTGGATGAAAAATAACCTGAGACTCGATCTTACTATACGGGATAGCGGAGAACTGGCGAACCATGTTCATAGACTATTTTGCCTGCTGTATTATATCGTAGTGCAGTAGTTGGTCATGAATGTTCCATGGCATTCAGACGTCTAGGACGACTCTGGACTATACTTACAGACCATCCACTTCAAGTCAAACATCCCCCAATGCCAAGGTCATCATCATCAACCCAGCCCTCCTACTTGCTCATACCCCAAAGCAGCATACTAGGCAGTATTATATAAATAAATTATCAGAAAGATAAAAATAAAAAGTAAAAAAAAAGTACTTTGCCTCCCCAAATGCCAACTATACTCGACACAAGACAAGAACAGAAAGACATAAATTCATCAGCGTAATACAAAAAAAGAAGCGTGCCCTTTTGCTTTATATTTCCGTTTTCCCCCTCCCTTGATACTTCCAAGTAGTTAGCCGTCCTCGTCTTCTTGATACTTCCAAGTGTAGCTGCCCCCCTTCCTTGATACTACTTCCAAGTATAGTCGTCCTCATCGATGTGTAATACTTCCAAGTGTAGCCGTCCCTCCTCGTCTCGATGATACTCCAACTCGCTGCCCCCCTCTCTATGTCAAGTGTTGGTTGCCAACCCAGATAAACGCCGTGGATATAGACTCCAGAGGATAGATATATGCTCTCCGAACGAACGCCGGTTATTACGCAAGTGTTTTTTGTGCCCTTGCCGCCGCCGCCGCCCGCCCGCCCTCCATATTTTCCTAGTGTTCATTTTATATCTTTCTTTCTTTTTCCCTTGTTTTTCGTCTTTTATTCTGTCGATATGCCCAAAGTCGCCTGCCAATCCGTGCTTCTCGCTTTCGCATCGTAAAGTAGTGATAGATTTGAGTAGCCTCTATGTCTCTCGCTCTCTCTTTCTAGCTTCTAAACGCCGAGCTCCACTTCTGGTAGTAGGTTGCCGACTCGGTCTCGCAGCTCAAGACACCCTCCTTGGTGCAGCCGTTGAACATGACGACAAAATCGCCGTCTTGGTAGGCATCGCCTTTGTCGGTGCGGGTGTAAGGACCGAGGATGCGTTGTGGCACGAGCGCCAGCTTCGAGAGAATGGTGGGGTGCCATTGGACAATGTGCTCCTGTAGTCTAGATTAGCTTTTGCTTCCCGTGTTTCTCTGCCTTCAGTCGGTATCGAAACTCACCAGAGCGTGTCTCTCGGCCTTTTGGAAGTTGTAGCTTCGGTACAGAGGATCCATCCACGTCTCGAGGAAAAACTTGCTCCATTGGCTGTTCCTCACCACGACGCTGCCAGCCACCAAGCCCGAGGTATCCTGGCTGACAACAAGATCCACCTCGTCTGCCCTCAGGTGCGAGAACGTCTTGATGATGCTGTCCGGTGGCACGACGGGATAGTTCTTGATCATCAGGCTCTCCAGCCTCCGCTGTCCCAGTAGATGCTCCTCCAATGACTTGTTCACGTCCATGATGTAAGCGTCCTGGTCGAGGTACCAAACGAACTTGCACTCGGGGAATTTGGCCAGCGCATGTCGCATAGCCATGAGCTTGGACCAGCTCTGCGGCGCTCCTTTGGTGTCGTAGTCGAAGGCTCTCACCACAAGTGCCTCATATCCTGTGATTCCTGCATGTCAGCGATGGACGAGTTGAGGTCTGGACCTGAAAGAGTGAGGGGCTACCCACCATGCTTGGCGGCATATTGCTCGCGGTTCTCCTTGACCGTCTTCAGATAGGAATTGGGATACTGAGTCGGATCGATGACGGTCACAACGACGACGGGCGGCTGGCCAGAAGGCACGCGCTCATGATCGGGGCGCGGCACTCGGGGATTGGAGAAGAACCAAAGTACCGCAAACACGACGAACAGGCCAATGCCAATGGTCTTGATGCGACTCCTCCGCAGGCCAGGCAGCCGTGAGGATCGAGGCCGGAAGGGCGGCGGGTTGGAGCTCTTGCGGGAAGGATATGCGAAATGCATCTTGTCGTCTGGGCGAGTTTGTCTTTTGCCCCAAAACGGCACGAGCTGAAGATGACTGGGGCGAGCTCAGCGGTATCGACTTGGCCAATTCAATTTCTCTTTTTTCGTTCGTTTCTCTCTCTTCTCTCGTCTCCTCAAAGTTCTGCAAGAGTCGACAACAGCAAATCGCGCCGTGGTTGGAAGACGGAGGATGCGGGATGCAGCGGGTTAGGAGGAGCAAGTGCTTGTGCTTCTCCTGATCTGAGATCCTGAGGCCAGCTGTGCGACGGCCGATAAGCAGAAGCCAAGCGATTCCGTGAAGGTCGCAGCGAGCGAGACGATTCGATAGTGAATTAATCAATCAAACGAGTGGCTGGCGATGAGTGCAAAGCAAAAGACGGGCCGCTGCGAAAGGCGTTCGCGCGCGGTGAGGCGATGGCGATCCCTTATCCTTATGCTTATGACATTTGTGGCCATTCAATGGCTAGGGGTCTTTTTTTTGGGTACCTTCACCTTTGGAACACGAGGCGCTGGACCCGGCGCCGGGAGTACGAATCGCCGGCCCAGCCAATACTGTATCATTGGATTGCAAACGGCGAGCCATCCTTGCGCCTTTCTCGTATTACTGCATACGGAGCTGAGCTGATTTGCCATTGATTGCGGGCTAGTACCAAGCTGGAGATGTTATTCAGGTGTTATCAGTTAACTTATCGAGCACAATAGGGCTGATTTTGCGATAACAACGTGGCTGTTGCCGAGTAACAAAAAGCTGCCTGTGATTTATATGCAGGTACCGCACGGATGCTTCATGTGCTCCAGATACGATGAGCACAGGCATTTTCAAACAAATCTTACGACAAGGGGTGATGAATCCGTTTAGTAATTATTAAATTCAAGAAGAGGAAAATGAGATCAAAATCGATCATATTATGTATTGTGGTTGTGCCGGCTGTTCCAATGATGCTGCTCAAGGGTGGTGTACTAGATGAAGGCGTACGGAACAGATGCTCAGAGGAATGGCGACGTCTCCAAAAACCCAAACGGGCATCTTCAACGCGCGCAAATCGCACCGGCAACTCACACCAGGCCAGCGAGCAAAGGACCAAGACGGCCTCTGCTCAAGGCGCTGGTGGAGCGTCGCTATTTGCACGCAGACTAGTTGACTTGACACGGAAGAGCGAGTTCGAGGCAACTTAAGAGTGTGCAGATGGGCAACAACACGAAAAACAACATAATGTACAAGATTGCCGTGAGAGGAGAGCAAAGAATGTCATCATAAATCCTTGTTCCCGTTCGGGATATCCTCATCGTCATCAACATCACCGTCGTCTCCGCCGACGTCCAAGACTCTCTCACTCACATTCTTCAGCACGCGCTCACTCAGCTTCTTGACTCCTTTCCATATTCCCATAAGGGCAGTAAAGGCTCCGATAATCACAAACACGAGGCTAATGTTTTCCACTCTGGCCCTTCCCCCTTGGCGTCTGCTGGTTCCCGTCAAGCTGCGCAGGTTCCACCAATGCCACGGTGACAGTGCAATCATGGATTTGAAGATGCCAACGAGCCCGAGAGAGAAGAATCCCTTGAGAAAGTGCTCGCCCCAGGTCGTCGGCGGTTCCCAGTCGGGCTCCTTGATGGCTTCAATGTCTGTGACGACGCTTGTAACGGCATCACTGACAGTACCGAAAGGATCGACCCAGAGGTTGAGGATCGGGTCGGCCATGAACCCCAAAAAGAAGATGCTTGCCACAAGGATAAACAATGTCAGGCCAGCTTGAGCCCATTTGCTGCTTAGCATCGAGGCCCAATGAAGGCGGACCAGCCGGTAGGAGAATTTGCACGTCGGGCATTGCCAGTAGTTTCTCTTGACTGTCGGATTTGAAAGTCGCCAAGAATTAAGGCATCCCTCGTGAACATACTTTTGCGATCCCTTGCACTTGCAAGGAGACAACAGCCTTCCCAGCTCGGGGTCGTCAGACACGTATATCGGCTTGCTCGACTTGGACGAGTTGGCAGGATACTTTGGCTCCACGGTATCCAGGCAAATGCGACATGTCCGTGGCCTATATCGCCTGTGTCTGTGTGTAGTGTCTGGTGACGGCTGGGCATGCGAAGATGCATACTCTCTCGTGTGGTCAGATTCCGTTTGTTCCTCGTGATAGGCGGTGGTGGATGTCTTTTCGTGGACCGACGATTGGTACGGGGTCCTAACCCTCTCTCCAAACCACTCCATATTGGCTGTGATACCTCGAGAAAATGGGATGGCCAAACTTGGTTATCAGCTTTTGACGCGCCAGCAGGGGTATGAGCCTGGTTATCGTTTAAGGAATAGTTGGTAAAACAACAAAACAGCTTTGGAAGTCAAAAATAGTGGTGGCTTCACATGGTATACAGAGTTTTGCAAACTCTCTGGTTACCTAGGCAGCAACGCGGGGAAGAAACCGAAAAAAAGGTACGCGCCAAGTCTTCACACAGATGAAATAAAAAGAGGCCACTTCATCGCCTTGCGCGTCACATCCCGAGGAGCCCAGCTAGCCGAATTCTCCGGCTGTGTGGCAGCGGTGATATTTTGCTGGTGGAAATTTGTCGAAGGAAAAAGCTGTCTGGTAGTACAAGTTACTTCTTTGGCTTAGCTGAGATGAATAAGGCACAAGGGACAAGGGACAAGGGGAGAGCTCCCCACCGGAGCCCGGCAAAAGAAAAGTCCGCCCGCCAAACTGCCTGGCCCAAGCTTGACGCGCAGCTCAGTGTGCCTGCTGGGTGGGATTGTATTATGGCCGAGCAGCTCAGAATAGCTTCCACTCTAGCAAAGCAAAGCAAAGCATTGGAGCACCGCAGATTCACACGCACCCCGCACGCAGAAACAATCAGCCCGGTAGACTATCGATAGGCATCCAGACATGGCGGACAGATACTCCTTCTCCCTCACAACATTCTCGCCCAGGTACGCAGGTTGATGTCATCTCCAGCCCCAAAAGACCCCTCTGCTAACTGGCCCTTGTTGATAGCGGCAAGCTGGTGCAAATCGGTACGCACTCCTCTCGGCTCGACAGCCAAGTCTATTTCACCGAGTAGTTGGACGATGGCATGGCATGGCTTGAATGACTTGGAACAAGGCTGACATGTAGAATCTGCCCCGCAGAGTATGCTCTGAATGCGGTCAACCAGGGTATCACTGCTCTGGGTATCAAAGGTATGCTGGAACTGAACTGAACTGCCCTTGGAGGAGGCATGTCATGTCATGGCATGACCGGCTGGCTAATGGCGCAAATATACAGCTACGAATGGCATCGTCCTTGCTACCGAAAAGAAGTCGTCTTCCCCTCTCGCCGACCAGAGCAGCCTGTCCAAGATTAGCCACATCACCCCCAACATCGGCACCGTCTACTCCGGCATGGGCCCCGACTACAGAGTACTAGTCGACCGAGCGCGCAAGGTTTCCCACACAGGCTACAAGCGCATCTACAACGAATACCCTCCCACCAGAATACTTGTGCAGGACGTGGCCAGAGTCATGCAGGAGGCTACCCAGTCAGCTGGTGTCCGACCATATGGCGTCAGCATGCTGATTGCGGGCTGGGACGAGGGCATCGACCCCGAAGAGGAGGAGACGGAGGCCAAGGAGGGCGAGGAGGTGAAGAAGACAAAAAAGACTGGTGGTATCCATAAGGGAGGCCCCATGCTGTACCAGGTCGACCCGACGGGCAGTTATTTCCCCTGGAAGGCTACGGCCATTGGCAAGAGTGCAACCAAGGCCAAGACCTTTTTGGAGAAGCGATACTCGGAAGAGCTGGAGCTGGAGGACGCCATCCACATTGCCCTGTTGACGCTCAAGGACAACATTGAGGGTGAAATGAGCGGAGATTCCATCGAGATTGGTATGTTACTCCCCTTTTTTGGCATGAGTGATGTTTGTTCTAACCTGTGTTTCTTTCCCAGGCATTGTTGGCCCCCCAGCTGACCACCTGCTGGGCGTTGAGGGAGTGGAGGGTGCCACGGGCCCCAGATTTAGAAAGTTGACTCCTCAGGAGATTGAGGATTACTTGTCAAGTCTATGATAGACGTGCCCATACACGGTATGATGATGACGCAGGCTTTGATGTACAATAATGAGGCATAAAGCTTAATAAACAAAAGAATTTTGGCACATGGCAATATTGATTGATGGGGAGAGGGGTGAGCATCAGGCTGAAGCTTAGAGTTGTGACGTTCGTGGTGTACTGTAAAGATGGCTTCTCTATTATACCTTGACCATGATCTGGCGAGAATCTGTTATCCTTGGTTCTGTCTATGTCTTGGCAGTTAGAATAAAGGATGCCCGCGGACCAGCAGCCACTCCTACTATCTTGGAACTCTCGGTAGCATCAAAGGGCACATTGACCCATTCTTCTGCTCTCTCAATAGCCTTACCAATCCCAAGCTGGCCATTGTTATTCTCACCAATGACGTAAATGAGGCCATCCGCTGTCAGTGCGATGGCGTGTGACTCTCCGAGAGCAACATCTACGACGTCTTTCCCGTCGTCGATTTCTGTATAGTTGGGCATGCCAGAGAGTTGCTGGAAAGCATGTCCTCGGCGATGATGATGATGAGAACTGCCTGATGCCTTTGACGTCGTCGACGAAGTACTAGAAGAGCCCCATACGTAGACACTGCCGCTCGTCGTCAGAGCCGCAACGGCGGTTCCGCCAGCCGTGACGCATTTGACGGGATCGTCAGCCGAGGCGATTTCATGGAGATCGGGTACCGGGCCCGGGGTTTCAGACGGTCTTTTTTGGGGGGTTGGGGGTCAGCCCTGGGACAAAAGGGGTCCGGAATCGGCTGGCGAGGCTGCTTTTGGGGGAGGAGGAGGAGGAGGAAGCTTAGTATTACCTACCGGTTTGGCGGATCGATGTCTCTTCCTAGACAAGTTTCGAAACGAGAGTCGCCAAAGGTAGAGACGGTGCCGTTGGAGTGGAGGATGACGAAGCCGGTGCTGAAGGCGGCGATTTGCGTCGCTGGAGGGGTGCAAGGGAAGATGGCGTCAGGTTTGGGGGATGATACTGACGAGTGCTTGACGAGCTTGTTGCTGTCGTGGGTGTTTTTGTCTTGGACAATGGTTAGGATTTGGCCGGAGGTGTTTTCGGCTGACGTGTAGAGGAGCTCGAGATGCTGAGGCTCGGGGGCGAGGCCGGCGACGATGAGGCGCCCATCTTGTCGAACTGCAGAAAGGGCCTTTTGTCAGTATTGGGATTCCGAATCGGAGGGTTTGGGGATTATGTGATTTCTTGGCGTTGAGTGGTCGGGATTGGGATTGGGATTGAATGATATGATATGTTATTTGATGGAGATGAGTATACCAATGGTGTAAGTGAGGCGCGAGACTGGCCGTTCAATGGCTGTTGCTGAAAGAACTTTTGTAAAGGCGAAGAGGTCATGAGGTTCGTCTGTGAGGATCTTTTGCGATATAGAAAGCTGGTTCCAGGCATTGAAGCCTGTTGCGAAAAGATTCATCGGAATACGCGGATTACATGGCAATTGGGCAAAGGGATTTTTTGAATGTTGGCGATGGCGTTGAAGTTCAATTGGTTGCTTTGGGCACTACAAAAAATCCTGGGCTTCCAAGTGACAGGAATCCCGATAGGCTATCAGGCTGCCTAGTACTGCATGCAGTTACTACTGCACAACACCAATCATGCGTGCATTTTGTCTCTACTCCGTACAAAAGGACACTTTTTCGGATTGAAAAGGACAGATTTTTTGACTTTTCTTGCTTCCATCACGCAGAGAGTTTGGCAACCTAGCAGGAAGGGCTTGATGCCATCGCCGGGAGTACGCGGGCTGAACGGTCACATGGATCCTCTTTTCACGCAGACTAACGGCTCGAATCCAATTGGACGCTGTAAAGAGCTGGCGGGTTCATGCCGCTGCGTGACTGATGACTCTTTTGCAAAAGTTATTCACGGGGGAGCTGATCGCTTCTCGTTCTTTGCTCTTTGTGGACATCTCGATCCTACTTTGTAATTTCCTTTCTGTCGTGAGGCAAATAAGCATCGAAGTCATCTGCCCTCTTTTTCAACGGCAAACGTGTAAGTTTAAGTGTGCTAGTGTTCCAGCATCGGTCTTACCCCGATGTTTTTTCTGGGGCTGGTTTGTTCGTTTTGGGACTTATTGGGGACAACTTGCAAGAATACGCTCCTTTTTGAGGATACGCTCCTCTTTTGAGGGACAACGAACTCCATCGTGCACAAATTAACGTGTATGTAAGTTGTAAACTAGCTAGCACTTGACGTCTAAGCCACATCACATTTCTTGTGACTCTTCATATGTATGTATGACTCCCAAGGTGTAAATGGGAAATTGGACAAAAGTTCCTTGTGCGGACTTGACCGTCCAGCGAGATCCGCGATGGTGGGTCGAAACAAGTCCCGATCTGTGTTGTGTGGGAAATGCCGGTGTGTGGCTTGTCATATCGGTGCATCTCGAGGTTTTGATTACGGCGAGCTGATATTGTTCATGCAAGGATATTACATGCAAGGCAGCACTTTTCGTTTTCTCGTTTCCTTGTTTTAAACGAGCTACATGAAACCAAATGTTTGCTATGCTAATTCAAGTTCGTCGGTGCCTTGTCAATTCGGCCGAGATTGCGTTGGTGCAGGAGGTTTCATCTTTTAGGCTCCGGTATACGAGTAATAATCCATCAATTGTTGCACGTCTATTCGGTCATGATGATCGCCGTGAAACTTGGTAGGCGGTAGCCTCCGAAATAATACACGCATCGGATTATACCTAGATGCCTAGCCGAATCCTTCGAGACCAATTCCTTCGTGAGTTCCGTGGAGCCTTTTGGAAAAAGAAAAAAATTATCGCAAAGTTTGCCGTGCCCTTGTGACCATAACGCGTTTACCGGGTAATTGAAGCCTTATGAGGGCCACCCTTGTCTATTTCGTATACTTGCCAATGAGAGACAAATTGCCGAGTTGGGAAGCAAGCAGCGCTCGTGGGGCTGGGACAAGCATAGTAGCAGTAGTAACAGGGAACCTGAGCCTGTATTTGGCTTTACAGTGTCATGGTTCTTTGTAAATGGTTACTAGGAATAGGGACTGTGCTGTCGGGTACGAACTGCAGCCATCATGATTGGATGTAAATGGATGTGAATGTGCATCCCTAAACTCTCCGAAGTATTATCGGCATGCTTGATCCGAAGCGACTGAGATTTTATCTGGGCTCGTATATTGCCCATGCTATTATTCGGCACTGGTATTTTGTTTCCGAAACGAATGCGTGGTTTTTAGCATCAAATTTGGGCATTAGATTGAGAGGTTTTGTGTGTTTAGCTGCCAACTTGAGCAACGTCAGTTGAGTCGTATGCTCTCGGAGGTATGTATTATCAAGTATCGGACTTACAAGAAAACTTGAACAAAGATGCGGAGCCTTGTGTGGCTTCTTGTCCCACCGTCTAAGCGTCCCTACCCTATGTGACTGTGATGTGTGCACCGTTGTAAAGAGAATTTGAAAGCAGATCGTGATTTACTAGTAGTATTTGCAATCATTGAGACTGAATTTTGGTAACATTTTGTTTGTCTGCTACCACCAAAAGTCCTTGAAGCTGATTCGACGTCGTCATGTTACCCCCAAAGGAGACACACACATCGACTCCCCCACGTCACCCAATTGCGTCTCCTCCTCTTACACCTTTGTGCCGACTGTCGGGAAAAGAGGCCAGCAGCCAACAGCAGGACAGAACGGCGCTGTGTCCCACTTGCGGGACGAGCTGCTTGCAACCACGAACCGTGACGCCTCAGCTGTTGACGCCGCGTCTCTCTGCTTTCTGCTTTGGGGCCCATCGATGCTAATTAAGCTTACCTTACCAGCAGCCCTGGCTAAAGTCTTAGCTCCAGACTCCAGTCCCAGTCATACGAAAATCCCGTCCTTTGCAAGGGCTGGCATGAGTCCATCTCCATTGCCGTATCCAGCAGCCCCATCTGCTTCTGCTTCTGCCCCGTCCGAGTCGAGGTCGAGGTCGAGTCCGAGGCAACCCCGCAACCAGCAGCGTCGCCGTCGTCGAGCCGGGATCCTGTCGAGGACGAGATCAAGGACAAGCGGCCGTTTCCCCTTCCCATCATCATCATCCCAGTTCCAGCCCCAGCAGCGAGACCGCCTTTTGTACGGCTCCGCCTTTGCGTCTGCCAGACACGTCAGGCTGCCATCCTGGGCTCGTTGCCTGAGTCACACTTCCAGGGCCGCAGCGGGAGCGCCAAACTACCGCCGTCCCATGTGGCGGGTGACTGGGGAACTAGCGGCGGCTGGCGTGCAATCCGGCAGCTCGAGCCCTGCTCCGGGATCTGCTCCGGGCCTGTCGCCTGGTGACGTGCTTCGGCGGCCCTGCCCAGACGCGGATGCAGACGCAGACGCAGACGCACAAGCACAAGCACAATGGGCCGCCGTGTCCAGATCCTCAAGCTCTTCTGGGGCCTCGCTGGCACCCCTGAACATCGAGGTGACTAGCCCGAGCGTCGAGAGGTGGGCAGGCACTAACACGGAGGCTGCTGATGCTGCTGCTGATGCTGGGGATGGCGTTGCCATGGACGAGGCTCCCGGGCCCGGATTCGATATCAGGGAGCCTCCGTCCGCTCCAGATGGCGTGTCCTCAGGCTCCCAGGCAGCACCACTGTGTGAAGATGGCGAGCAGACAGGAATAATGGCGTCTAGAGCGTATCAGATTGAGATGCTCGAGCAGAGCCTCGAGCGAAATGTGATTGTGGCTGTATGTTTTTTGCCTCCCTCTTGATGTTATTGTTTGGCTTGAGACAATGTCCATTGACCAAAGGGGTGTGTGTATCGTGTAGATGGATACAGGAAGTGGCAAAACTCAGGTGTAAGTCGCATGCCCCCCTTGTGTGGCGTCAGTACATCCATGAGGCTATCGTCGGCATCCCTTGCTTTGTACTGCAGGCTCATGCTGACCTGGGATTTCTCTTAGGGCTATTCTTCGTATCAAAAAAGAGCTAGAAACTTGCGATCCAAAACAGGTGAGCCGCCCCTTGTAAACGGACACGAAGGAAGCACTAACGGAAGCTCCTCGTTAATAGATCATATGGTTTATCGCGCCAACAATCTCGCTGTGTTCTCAGCAACATGACGTACTTAAGCTACACATTCCTACCGTGTCCATGATGATGCTGGCTGGGGCGTCCAATATCAATGCTTGGGGCCCGGATATCTGGAGTACCCTCTTGGATACAGCTCGAGTTGTCATATCGACGCCTCAGATCTTGCTAGATGCTCTTGACCATGCGTACATTACCATGAATCATCTGGCGCTGATTGTATTTGACGAAGGTGAGATCTTATGCTGCACGCAATCATAGAAGAAAAATATCTGTGGCATAATTCCAACTGCTGACACTGCCTCCTTGATCCATCTAGCCCACAACTGCGTTGGCAAAAATCCTGGCGGCAAGGTCATGACGAATCACTACCATCCACGCAAGCAAACTGGCCAAAGTGTTCCATCCATCTTGGGCTTGACAGCAACTCCAAGTATTCAGTCCGAAAAAGAGGGCCTTGAGGCTCTGGAGATACTGCTAGATGCAAGATGCATCTCGCCCACTCTCCACCGTGACGAGCTTCTCAAATGTGTCAAAAGACCGACCATATCGCACGTCATCTACAATCCTCGCCCAGATGGCCCAGAAGATATGACTCCCACTATGCGCGCCCTGAATCAAGTATACCGTGATCTAGACATAAGAGAAGACCCCTACATACATCAGCTACGACGTGACCCCACGGATAAGAACATGCGTAAGCTGGCCGAGGTCATTGAAAAGTACGACACCTACACGCAGAATCAGATGAAGTCATTCTGCTCTCGGTCGAAAGAGATATGCAAACAGCTTGGCCCCTGGGCTGCTGATCTCTACATCTGGAAGGCCATATCGGCTCACCTGAACAAAGTGGAAGGAGACCATGACCTCGCCAGCCAGTGGTGGATGGACGCGGAAAAGAAGTACTTGGCCCAAGTCTATCACCGAGTCAATGTTCAACGTCCTCCCGAGACGCCGCAGACGTTTGATGACATCTCCGACAAAGTAGGACGGCTCTTATCCGAGCTTCTATCCACACAAGAACACAACGTGGGCATCATATTCGTCGAGGAGCGCGTCATGGTGACGATGCTCTACGAGATCTTGTCTATAAACCAGGCCATCAAGGCCAAATACAAAATCGGGACCATGGTTGGAACCTCGGCGTATGCTACACGGCGTAAGGCCGTGTATGAATTTGGCGACAAGGCCGATTACAAGGATTTACTGAGCTTTCGACAGGGCAAGATCAACCTACTCATTGCAACGTCGGTTTTGGAGGAGGGTATTGATGTGCCTGCTTGCAACCTTGTCATCTGCTTTGATACCCCGACGACCTCAAAGTCGTTTATTCAAAGGCGTGGTCGGGCTCGGAAGAAGGACTCAAGACTCGTCATTTTCTTTGAACAGGCCAACCCTGCTCTT